TCTTGTCGTAGTTGTCAGAAGAGGGAAACTGCCGTTGTCGCCGTCCAAAATCGCGGCTGCCTCTGAATGCAACGATGGTTGAAAGCAACCGCAGGTCACTAAGCCAATCATCAAAGCTTTCCATGCATCGAGAGAGCTAATCTTGTTAGGCGCTTGCACTCAGAGGTATGCACGATTAGTTGTCTGGCAGGGGTCGCTGCGCAAAATACGCTCGCTTTGCGATCTCTCTCGCGAACTGGATTCTGCAGATGCCTCGCTTGTTGCCACAGGGCGCCTTGGCCACGCTGCAGAAGGCGGAGATACGAGGATTGAAAGGCAGAGGAGTACGGATTCTCAATCCTGGGCACTGTTCTGCTTCCAGGTGGTAGCTGCCATTGACGCCGCCGTCCATATCTGTCCAGTAGAAGCTGCCGCGCAAAACTTTGGACACCGTGGAAAGAGGTGCACACCTCGGAAGACTGCGTGCGATGCTGGCCCCAAGGAGAAGTGCTGGATTGTGGTGACCAGACTGCCCTTCTGTTGGTCTCAGCATGTCTGAAGTTCGGCTGAGTTCCGTCGGAAGTATTCACCTGTGTTGAAGCTTAACTTCAGGCCGCGCGCTGAATTTGCCATTGCCAGGAGTGCGACTGGCTACCAAGTACCGGGCGATTTATTTTTCTCATCTCTGCGAGAATGCGACAAGCCTATATATACCACCACACCCTCCACATCCATCCTCAACTCACATCAGAGATCGAAAGATAGCGAACTTCACTTCACGCCGCAAATCTCGCACAACAACAGCTCGCAAAATGATCTTGACAATGAAGCTCATCAAGAAGACACTGGTGATGCTCTTCATCAGCGCCAACCTCCTCGGGACGATCTCGCCGTGCGCGGCCCTCCCACAACAAGGTCTTCTCCCATCTGACTCTCCAACCACGCCAACCTCGCTCCCTCTCTCCTGGAACGCAACATCGTCACCACTCCCCAAGAACACCACCGTGACAAACACTCACCAGCTCTCCAACAAAATCAAACCCCCTCACATCTACTGCAAATCCTTCTGCATCCACAAAGGCCTCTACCCAACCTTCGACTACGGCCCCGTAAACCTCACCACCAGCAACCCAGACACCCTCCTCACCTGCCTCGACCAAATGTGGGACCATCTGAACCCCACCACCCACAAAAAAAAACCACCCCAAAGGCCACCCCACCGACTGGCGACGCAAAGGTTTCCACTGCAGCTATTCCCACATTTTCCAACTCTCTCATCAAAAACTCCGTAAAGGCCGCGCTACACCATCGAAAGTTCTACAAGGATGCTACGCTTCAGCGGAGGAAGCGGCGAAAGAGGGAAGGGAATGGTTTAATTGCCAGGTGAAAAGTTGGAATGGGATAAGTACGCATGCGTGGTTTGGGTGGAGTTTGAGGGGTTGTAAGGTGATGAAGGGAGGACATATCCCGGAGTGTAGTCCGAAGATTTTTGAGGAGCAGGTTGGGGGTATGTATGGGTGGTGTTGGGAGGAGCCTTGTTCGAGGGTATAAGATGAAATGATGAAGGGGGAAGGAGTCGAAGGATCTTGGATTTGTGGATTTTGGTGATTACGGTGGAACGAATTGTGATAGAATGTGATAGATTTTGGGAGCGAGGGCCTTTTGGACAGAGCTGTAGCCGCAGAATAGAATGACCAGCCAAATTGGGGAAATTTTATACAGTACATTCTGTCTATATACAGCCTTATAGGCCCGAGTAGAGCAGCGATCTGGAGTCCACTGCCTCTCTGCCACCACAAGTCTAAGAGAACCCAACGCCGTCCATTTGCTCCGCCGCTTAAAACGCACAGCACTAAGGCAACAATTTCTTCCCTTCAACTACAGCATGCTACCGCATTCACCCGCTCCACGCGTTCCTCTCCTCTTCAAATAATGGGCTAGGCAAAGGCGAGCTCTTCTTACTCCCTCCGTTACTGTTCCTCTGATCCTTTGGTTTCAGCTTTCCCCCATCATCAAGATCTCCTTTACCGAACCACCGATCTCCACCATCGTCGTCTTCAACATCATCATACCTCCTCCCCTCCCAGGGCTGCTCTTGGTCAACCTCATCCTTCGGCTTACCATTTCCACCACCTTTTCCGCCGAATGCTTTTCCTCCATCCAAGTCATGGCCTTGTGTGTCGGGAACCTGCATTTCCGGCCGATCAGGGTTAAATCCGTGTCGAATACTCTCCGCCTCACTTCCATCTTCGTCAGGATACGTCTTGACGAAATGTTTCTGTTCAACGGAATTCCACCCAGGACCGCCTTCCTTCCGCGCTCGCACGCGCTCGACTTCTTCAGCTTGGTGATCTTCAACTACAAGGTCGACAAGTTGGGAAGAGTGGGATTTGGTGGATGATTGCGATCGGGAAGAGTGGTTGCGGACGAGCTTGTTGGCCACGGGAGTATCCTTGAGGGCATCGACGACTTTCGCCTTGGCTTTGCCCTTGTTGGAGGAGGAAGCTTCGCCCGAGGAAGAAGAGGATCCGGGGCGGTTATGCTGATGGACGTCTTTTTTCAGGGCCGCGATCTGTGACTTTCGGCGCTGACGTTGTTCTTTGCCCGGCTGGAGAAGCGCACGGTTGGTGGTTTGAGAGATGGTGTTGGGATTGGCGTACAGTCGGTCCTCGCGAGTGGCATAGTGAGTATTGATGACTGGATAGTTCCAATCACCAAACTCGAGAGCGCGAGCATTGGTGTAAAGCCGTTCCTCCTCTGGGTCGAGCTCGGTCTCTTCAATGTCATTTGTGGCACCGTAGCCTCGGCCTTTACTACTCCTACTGGTGGAGCGGTCTTTGCCTTGACTAGGACTCAAAGTTCGCGCGTGACTGGGATTATATTTTTGCAAAAGCGGCTGCCGTGAGTCCGTTGGTGGAGGAACCCAATACTTGCCTCTTCCGTTGCGTTCATACCGCATGCCTTCCCGCATTCGCGCTTCTCTGCTCGACGACTCTTCGTGAGCCATGACGTTGTCATTGGCATCGAAGTTGCGATAATCATATTTCTTCCCACTAAATGTCTCTTTGCAATCCTCAATCAGATCGCGGGGTCCGAAGGCGTCTCTCAAGGCAAATCGGATAGGCATGCGTGCATCGCTGATGGTCTGGTCCGCGTAGTCCTTCCAGCTGAACGCCCACCATTGCGCGATAGCGAAGAAGGGCATTTCAAAGCAGATGAGTGCATCCTGGATAGCAGCGGCCAGATTGTCCGCGGTATAGGTATCTGCCACGCTCGGAATCACGCCTAAGGCAACCAAAATTGACAGGAAGAAGCCCTGCCACCACGATGCAAAGATGATGCCTTTGATGCACAGGAACTTGGGCATGGGTCGGAATGGCTGCAGGTCTTGGGACATGCAGACCCAAAACAGAGCAAGATCGTACAGGGACCAGCAGATGCTGACATTGTAAATCAAGCTGGTCCAAAAGTATCCCGAATCGACGGCCAATATGCCCTCCTTGAAGGTGCCTGTGGCCTTGCACGCCACGGTTGTGATTGCCAGCGCGGGCTTGATCCACACGTACTGCAGAATACCTCTCTTGATCTGTAGAAAAGTGTGGGGATCACTGATGTCCACTTTTGGGAAGACGTGGTTGAGCGGCCACAGATGCTGGACTGGAGGCCTTCCATGCATCATGATTATCAAACTCCTCTCACCTCCCAGAAAGTTGATGAGGAGCTGGAAGAAGGTGTAGATGACGAAACCCTCGTAGACATCGCGAAATGGTTCAATCCAGAAGGCGACTCGAAGGGAGGTCAGGGAGGCCCACGAGGCGGCGGCGAAGATGGGAACGAGGACGACGATGCGAATGACATGGCGCTGAAGGAGCGGCTTGCGGTAGTTTTTGGCCTGGAGGAGGATGATGATGATGGTGAGCAGCGTGGATACGAGGGCGCAAACTCCTAGATGACGGTGAGCATGGCAGCCTTTGGGCAACGCTGGACTGCAGACGGACCTGCTACAATGATCACGGCGCGGGCAAAGCCAGCGCCAGTGCCTCCATCTTGATTCTGCTGTCCGCCTGCCACGGCGCGTACAGCAATATCCCAGGCAGCCATGGAAGCTGTTGCTGCTCCCGTGTGGTGGCGGAGGGATGTTTGGATTGTGCTATCGCATGGTCGAGTATGATCAAAGCTCCCACACTGCTGCCTCGAGAGGGTGCAGGTGTCGATGAGTAGAGCTCTGGTGTGGTGCTACGGCGGAAGTGATCATCTGCCCATCACCGGCAGAGACACAGAGTTCTGGGTGCAGCATCGCAGGGTCCACTTCTGGCACGCGCCTGTCTCGGCGGCGATGATGCACGACTGCGGCGGGAGTGCCCATTCCCTTCCCGCCCTCTCCTCTTCCATCTTCATCACCACCACTACGTCCATGACATCTGCTTCGATTCGCAGCTGTTCATTGCCGCCTCAAACATCGCCTCTGCCGTTGCTATAGCGAACGCGTCCCTCGGACACCTGCAGCGCCGTGCCTGTCAGTGAGCGCGCCGAACTGGGAATTCTGCCCACTCCTCCGCCTCCTCCGACATGGACATCCCCGGCCGTCGAGTGAAAGCTTCACGGTCAGGCGAATAGCATTCCGCTGTGCACCACACTCAACTTTGACGTGTGTTGACACTCGATCCGCCAGAGCCAGGTTGGCACTGACGACGTGCACTCTTTGTTTACTACTGCTTGAGCTTACAAGAGGGCGCAACCACATACTGAATATGCAGCTCACCATCGTCCATGATCCTCATATCTGACCGCATGACATTGCTCACAATTGTTCTACAGACGTCTCTTCCATTTCCTGCCAACAGAACATCTCATTTTCTCACAGTCTCGACGACCAAAATCATTACAACACAACACAATCATGGTGAAACGCAGGGCGGGATCACCGGACATTGATCGCGCTCAGAAACGCAAATCGCTGGCTGCCCTTGCCATGAAAGCGTCGAGCAGCTCACTCCGCTACGAACAGCAAGGCTCCTTCTTGGATATCTTCACTGCTTCCGGACGCCTCAAACGCAACAGCACTCTCAGCCTTCGATCTTCCTCACGACCACTACTGAAACAAGCACCCATAGAGCCTGGCCTGACACTCGCCGGCCGCAGCCTACAGACCCACGTAGACCACGATGTCGCTTCCATCAAAGAGCTGCTCTTATTTCCTACTTCACTTGCCATCATGAAAAGCAGCTGGATTTTCCGCTTCACAGTCAACTGCACGCCACAATTGGGCCCACCTCTACCTAGACATGTTGAGGACATGCTTTATGAGAAATACTTGGGACCTCGTATGAACCCGCGCCCAGAAGCGTTGCCATACATTCATCTCGGTTCAACTGCTCTGGGCTTTCGCCTCAACTTTTATCTTGTCCTGCCGTACGCATCTCACGCCCCAGGACATTCGGGCACAGGCAACATGTGCTATACAGAATTACAAGCTGTGTACGATCTCTGCATCCGCCCCGCACTGGAGACAGCCTATCCTAAGCGTGGACGCTGGCCGTCTTGGATCGAGGCGAAGAACGAGTCACACCTCAAACGTAAGCATTGTTCGTTCCTCTTCTCGTCATCGACGTATGCATATTGAGTCTGACCCAGCATTCACAGCCCTGAAATCACGCCGCAAGTCTACCCGATCCGAAGCACAAGAGGAACGCATGCACTGTGGGGGACTTCAAACGTTCTGGGATGCCATCGAAGTCTTTTGCGAACATCAAGCTATCGCTCATATCATGCGTGGCAAACATCTCGTCGCCTACGGTGATGTCGACGTACACGACTGGCAGTCCGACTGGCAGCCCACTTGGGCTCAATTCTCTCAGCTTTGGAACGATGCCATCAACCCAGTACATGTCGGCCCAGGGACCAAACTCAACTTGGAAATGCAACTCGGCTTTGACGAATTGGACATCTTGAAGGATTTCCCCGAAATTCCCAGCAGACCTCGAACACCCAGTGCGAGAAGCTCCCTGTCTTGCGATAGATTGCCTCGCGTTCCGATGACTCCGACTGGTCCGAGGAACTGCATGTCTGTTGCTGATCTGTATTCTCCTCCCATGACAGCTCCTCCAAGAGTCCCTTTGCCGCCTGTACCGACCTTGATGAGGGCGGAGAGTAGTATCTCTCTGCCAAAGAGAGTGAGCACTAGGCGAGTGAGCAGTCGGCATTCGATCAGGTGCGTGGATCCGAGTTTGACGGATCTGAGTGAGATGAATGAAGGGGAGTGAGGGGTGCGTTCTTCAGTTTTGATTTGGAAGTGACATCATTGATTGCAATATGGCGTTGTGGAAGGTATCGCTGAGAAGCATGCCGTGGGTGCGAGACCGAGTTTTCGTATAGTTTGGCTCTGTTGTCGCGAAGGATCTCGACTGCTCTTGCGAGCAGCTTTTTATTGTCTATAAGTGCGTGCTTATACTATTACAGACAGAAGGAATCGAACAATGGGATTTTGCACTGTCGCAAGACTTTCACGGCGACCGTTCTTCTTGAAGCTTCGACTCGACATGAAAATAACCGTGGCTACCTCTGAATGCAACTACCTCTGAGTGCAACCACAGGTCGCTACGCCAGTCGGCAAAGCTTTTCATGGATTGAGAGCCAATCCAGTTAGGCACTTGCACTCTGAGGTCGTTGCATTCAGAGGTATCCACGATCAAAGCACACTTCACCGATCGTTGAAGAGTAAATTGTTGTGAGACAATCATTGACATAAAATCAACTTTCAAGAGTTCTTACAAAGAAGCTTTGAACACTGACTTTCCCGCTCACCTCACGCGAGCTCCCTGCGCAGCAGCTCTCATCGCCGCTTGACTTGCCAGACGATCTTGATGTGCTCGTTCCATAGCCTCTGCAGCAGCCGTGATCGTAGGGTTGATCATCAACTGTGGCTCATCCTCCGTCGCCTGCTCAAGATCTCTCCCGCTGTCAGTCTTTCTCAAGAACTCCCGTACTCGTCCCACGTCGGATTCACCCAGCGTTCCTCTCTCGCTTTCCACAGCGGCGACAAGGGCAGGGAGAGCTTCGTCCAGCTTCTCTTCCGGTACACCAGTGCACAAGGCCACGACTTTCCGATACAAGCCTTCCAGTTCCGTCGACTTGGCACGTAACTGCTCGGCTTGCGCTTGCAACTTGCTGTTAGATTTCTGATAAGCGGAAAGTCGAGCCTTGATGAGGTTTGGTGTCGGAAGACTCGATGTGATGAGTTGACGTTGATGGGCATCCATGCGTGTGCTGTTAAGGTTGTCGTTAAGATCCGTAAGCCAGTCGGGTTCCAGATCAATCTGTTCTGTGGGCGACTGTGACTTTCTTCGATTCTGCATCTTCTTGTTGGCAGACTTCTTCTTCTCAATTTCCCGCTGCAGGTTAGCGATCTTCGCTTTCCGCTCCGCTCTCAGTCGCGCTCGCTCTTTCATTTCCTGCAACTTCTCTAGATCGGCCTTTTGCATGGCACTGAGCTCACGAATTTGCTCGTTCATTCGATCAATCGCTTCCGTCTTGGAACGCAAAAGCTCTTTGTGAGAGGCAAGATTTTGCGTAAGCATGGATGTCATAGCTGTAGTCTGGTGTCAGTTAGGCTCAGTTCTTCATGAAGCATAGATGGGTGGATACACACAAGCAATGACCTCTTGACCCAAGTCCTCCGCTTGGCTCGCTGTCGCGCCACCACCAGTATCTCCGTCCGTGTTCGCAGATGTCATTCCTGGATATGGTGCCGGACCCGATTGTGAGCTGGCGAGGCCGGCGCCGCTGACAAAGCGTGGTTGCTCGCCTGGCTCGAGTCCCACGCCAAAATCTTTGGCAGAAACGCCCTTTCTATTGGGAAGGCTAGGGTCAGCATGAATCTCCAGCAGTTGCTGAATGATACTACGATTGCCAATTCGAGCCACCAAATTGAGCGCAGTATTGCCAGCCTTATCCTGCGCATTGACAATCTGCGAGAGGAAGCGAACAAGACTGATAGGGCCGCGCAATTGGTCTGATGGTCGCTCTGTATCCTGACTGGAATTGTCGCCATTAGTTGCCTGATCAGCGTGTGCTGCCGCCGCTGCTGCCACGCTTGGTGGGTTTTGAGAACCTCCTGCAGCGTCTGACTTGGTTCCAATTCGGACAAGAAATTCCAGTAGTGCCTCAAGATAGTATTTGCTGCTCGGACCACGGCCTTTTATGCCTGAAGAAACAGCAATATGGTGGAGAATGGTTCGGCCTTGCAGGTCACGAACCTCAATCAAGGGACCAAGAAGCTCGAGCAACTCTGGAAAGCACGAATGTTCCCAGGAGTTGTTCACCAACACTGCACTTATCAGTGGCGACTGTCCTGCAGCGTTGCCGCGCCATATGCTAGCACCTTTTTGAATCAGGAGCTTCAGCAGGGGCACCTTTGCCAAAGTTGCTGCCCAGTGGAGAGCATTGTTGGCGGAAGCGTCAAGTGGCATGTTGAGGTCATCATTCGATAACTGGGTCAGGGCCGGATGTGACGCGTAGTCCATACGACCTTGCTCGGCGAACAGATCCAGAATCAGGTTCATCTTCTCTTGTTCATGCTCTGTGGTAGGGCTGGGCAAAGGTGCCAGCGCCACTGGATCACCATGCGAGTTGACAGAGTCTTGCATCAGTTTCTGCTCATAAAAGCTCATGTTCGGCTCTGTTGGAGTGGTAGAGCGAATAGAGGTATCGTAGGGTAAGTTTGGTGGGCCCATATCTTGAGTCTGGCTGTCAGGTCGCATGCGTTTCCTCGGCGGCTCGCCATTCGGTTGAGTACTGTATCCAGAATCGAGCTTGCCGTCGACATCAGAAGCCACGCTTTGTTGACTATTCGATGGTTCTCGTTGCGATTGCCGCATGTTTGAGGGCCGAGGAGTGTTGCTCGTCCTCGGCGCAGGAGAATTGAGTCGCGCGGCTTTGTTCATCGCAGCCAATGCCACACTTGTTGTGGGTGAGATGTTGGAAAAGAAAGTGCCATTCGCGCCGGGGACGCCATTAGGTCTCGGATCCAAGCTGGAGTTCGCGTAGAACTTCTTCCGCTGTGCAGCCATCGCTTGTTCTTTGGTTGGTGTCTCCTGTGCGCCTTGACCTTGCGACCCATCGGCAGCCACATCGTAATCTAGCAGCGGGCGGAGAATGTCCTCGACTCCATATTGGCGACAGAACTCGCGGCCTCGGCGATAGCTGATCCACGTGCCTTGGTACTTGCCGTAGCCACCCTGCACCTTTTCATGCTCGCCAGTGAGGATCTCCTTCTCAAGGACCTTGGTGCGCTTTCCTTTGTCAACTCCTGCGACTTTGAGGATTTGTGTCGCATTCAACCAGCCGTCACTACGGCGGCGCATGACAGCAACGCCGCCGACCTCCATTTCGTACACGGACACATTAGAATATACGGCCTGTCCCCGCAAGTGTTAGTGAAAGACATGACAGTCGCGCTGACGTCTCACATACGGTATATATTTGCGGTTTCTCATTGTACTGGCGCATGGCGCTCATGGCTCCCTCGCCGAAGCTCCGCGCATAGCCTGGGTTGCTCACAGGTCCATTGGGAAAGCTTTGCGCATAACTCGCCGGCGCAGGCTGCGACGCGCTCTGATGTTGCTGCTGGTTGCCGTCGAAGCTTACGTTGTAGCCATGGTTTGCGCCATATGCGCCGTGGCCGTTGGGCTGACTGCTTGACTGCTGCGGCGATTGCTGCGACATGTGGAAGGACTGGTGGGGAGTGGGCATGGCGGCGGCGGCGGTGGGTGGGCACCCATGCAAGGGTGGAATGCGGTGGGCGGGACGTGTCTCGCAGGCGCACCCTCGGGCTACTCTTCGCAGCAGTAGTATGCGCAGCGTGGGAACGTGAGAGCGCGCGACGTGTGCGGTGTGCGTGCAGAAAGCGCGTGTCTTTGGCGAAGCAGTCGCGTCACCCAGCGCCAAGCTCCCGGGAGCTCGGCAAAGCGGACCAGGTCGTGGAGCTCCTCGCGTCGTTCACACTCTCACTTGTAATGGCGATGATATGAGTTTCTGTCTGGCGCGAGGACAAACTCGTGCAGCATGTGTTTCCTTTCGAGGGCAGCACATCGCCAACTATGCGACGCTCCAGACACCGTCCGCTCAAGCGCAGAGCGTGGTGAAAAGAGCAGGGAGCATGCAATTTGGCTTTGGCCCAAATTCGCGAGCCAGTATTGAGTACAGAAGTCTCCTTCGAGCGATACTCCGAGAGGCATCCTACTTGCCAGATCCCAATGCTCGCACCTTCTTCAAGGCAAAGGCCCTTGAACACAGCAAAAAACGAGCCTTTCGTGTCTGGGATCGACGCAACGATCCAAATTACGCCGAACGCGAGGCAGGCCTGCTACAGCTCGATCGTAAGAAACTCCGGATGCTGCAGGATGCAAATGCTGGAGAACGCAAATCACTGCTCCAGGTGCTCAGCCATACGTACGGGAGGACTGGCTATCGAAGACACGAGCTATTGCAGCCACTCATGGCCACCGCCGGGAGAGAGAATTTGATTCAAGCTATGAAAGAGAAGACAGCGCGGACTATCGCTCTCTATGCTCTTGCCGAATCGCAACAGCTGAATCAACCGCCCGCGCTCACCCGCAGAAATCCAAAGAGCCTCAAGCCGAGCGTCCCTGCCACCAATGCGAGAGGGCTCCCAATGCCTCAGAAGCGTGTGCACAATCTGCATCGCAAATGGTATGCCGACCTACTCGACCGCATTTTGCCACCATTGCCAACCAAGGACTGGGAACAGCTTCGAGATTGGGCACGGGGCAAGAATATGCCCCAGATCCATGTTCCCCGACGCAGCAACCCACAGACACGACCCTTTGCACATTTTGGGAAGTACACCGCATTGGAAGCCATTGTGATCCAAGGACGCATCGACAAAGAAGTGTACGGCAATCGCAAAACGCATCAGATCACGGAGCGCTTCATGCAACGGCTTTGGGCGGACGTCTTTTCCACTTGCCCCTACATGATCCACGACACTTCCACGAACAAGTGGCGGGTGATATGGGGCCATCAGAACCTCGCTCAGTCCATGTTGGCAGCCGCCAACGAAGTTGCCGACGAACTCAGCATGCACGACCTCGTTGGAGGATGACCAACAACACACATTGGAGAAATGGGCACCATATCGCGCCTACATGAGTCCTTCACATCTGGGCCGGATATAGCCGCGAAGTGGATACAGACCCTGGACTGTGCAACACGGCCCCCACCCGAAGGGCGTCAAGTTGTGCAAGTTCATACCACTTCTGGACTAAAACAAGACTGAGGGCTTCGACCTGGAGCTCAGCATCGCCGTAAGCGCCACGATGAGTGGACAACAACCTTCGATCGCTCACGCGACGCGTGAAGGTTGGACTTTCATTTGGCTGCTCTCAGATAGCTTCAACTGACCAGACTGCAGATGTCCCAGAGATTCTTGCCATGATCAAAGAGCTCGCCGACTACGAGAAAGCAGCCAGCAAAGTCGAAGCCACAGAGGAATCCCTCGCTCGTACCCTCACTTTCGCTCCTTCAGCACCCGGCTCGCAGGCATCAACTCAGCACACGAACCCAGGCTACGCCAAAACTCTCATCCTCCGACATCCTGCCACCCTGTCTGAAGCCGACAAGAACGCTGGACTCAATCCTGGTGCAGTCGCCGGCATGGCAATGTACTTCAACAACTATAGCACTTGGCGAAGCAAGCCGGGGATTTATTTGGAGGACTTGTTCGTGCGGCCGCAGTACAGAAAGAGAGGATACGGGAAGCTGTTGATACGCGCGTTGGCGCAGGAGGTGCTCAAGATCGATGGCGGAAGATTGGAATGGAGCTGTTTGAAGTGGAACGAGCCTAGTCTGGAATTCTACAAGAGCTTGGGTGCCGTACAAATGACGGACTGGGTCCAGCTGCGAGTTGATGGGGAGAGTTTGAGAGATTTGGCTCTGGGCGACAGCGGCAATGAGGCTCATGCATAGACTGCTGAAAAGCAGTCAACTCCGACCAAAGAAATCTCCCAGGTTTGTTGAGGCCATGTCTCTCAGTAGTAGTATCTCAAAACCTCATAATCATCAGGGACATCTGCTATGCTTTTGTGTCGTATCGAATCGTATGTATCTCATGCTCTCATTTCCCGTTTCCACCTTGCCTCCTCAAGGCACAAATACCAACCTCTCCGGCCCACAATGCTCCCATTCCTGCTCTACATCCTCAAACTTCGCAACTTTAATCGGCTGTTCTTGAACATGTCTCATTGCAGCTAGCAAATCCGGCAACGTTTTCATAAAAGATTGCATCGACCATGATCCTGGGCCGGACCCTCGTATTGTGATATCTTTCGATCTCAAGACGTGACCAGGAAGTGAAATTTCCGTTGTCGACAGCGCTCCAATATGCACGTATTGTACAGGTTTTGGAGTTTGAAGTGATTCGAAGAGATGTGTTGCGAGAGGTCCGTAGACGTAGTCTAGTACTACGTCGACATCGTCGAGGTTGCTGAAGTCTGTTTGTTCCGGCTCGCAGGCGATTGTGATGGTTTGGTCCAAGTCGAGTTTTTCTAGTGCTGCTGTATTTCGTGCTGCTCCGATGACTTTCTTTGCTCCGAGGGCGCGGGCGAGTGATATTGCGACTCTTCCGCTAGCTGATGTTGGGCCGAGGATGAGGACGGTGAAGTCTGGTGGTAAATTTGATGTTCTCCCTTTGAAGGCCATCCAGGAGGACATAGCGGGGTTGAGGGCTCCGGCTATCTGTCGTGCGCACACGTCTTCTGGGACTGGAAATATTGAGGATTTTGAGACATTGATATAGTCTGATATTGTGCCAGTCGCGAAGGTGAGGAAGTAGACTCGCTTTCCGTCTTCTGTCGTCCCTACGCCGTCGATGCCGGGGATGTGAGGAAGGTGCTCGGCGGAGTAGTGCTTTCCGCTTGCTCTTGATCGTACCACTCGATGAACGCCGGTCGCTTCGACTTTGACGCGGACTTCATCTGGTGAAGGAGCTGGCAAATCGGGCACGTCTATCAGCCGCGGTATTGAGCCCCATTCTGTTATTTGTGCCTGTCGCATTGTGATGAGTATTCGGTGTTCTGTTCTGGCAAGTCGGAGATGTCGCAGGACGAGGGAAATGCTGAACTTGTGCCAGGTTCTTCAGTGCTCAGACCGCAAGTCTTTAAGGCGTGCAGCTCGTCTAAGAAGTGACTACTGATTCATGACAACGTGTCAGAACAGCCGGGTAAATGGTCTTGCTCAGCACGAAACAATCAACAATTTCGCGTCCGCGGTCACTGACAATTTCGGGCGCGAAACATGCGTTCAAACAGCCGACGAATCAGAAGGTGTGGATCTGGCCCAACTGGACACAGCTCCGCGACGCTGGAAGCAAAGCGCTGTGTTGCGCAATTTATAGCAGCTTACGACAGATGGATCCTACGGGCAAGACGCGGCAAGGTGTTATAGGGCTGCGTCCTTTTCGCTCGTAGAGTTCAAAGTGCCATCTAGACTTCGCTCGAGGTTGCCTTCATTATTGCATGGGCTTCCGCCACAAGCGCGTGGCATACATCGCGTGATAGTGTGATGGATCGCTGATTGGCACCAACCTGCCGTGGATCCAGATGCTGGAAGCCTGATGTACTTAAGCACAGAATCTCGCGTGGCACTGAACGAGGGCTGCGGATAAGCTCCAGTGGTCCAAGTCGTCCGCCAAGCCAGGCTGTGCGAAGCTCCCACCTCCTACAATAGCCGTTCTATGCGGAGACGGGTCTTTGCTGTCAAACGCGACCAGATTACGGGTCCGATGGTGAAGACGAAGGATGTGCAGCCAGATGCGCCTGTCCTAAAGGGGAAGTAACACTCGCCTTGGCAACTTCAACAAGTGTTTGTGATGAAATAGTGAGAGGCTTCGAGATCCGGCTGGCTTCATGGACTCCATCTGGATGACTACCGTCGCATTGTATCCTCTGCGTCTCCAGCGCTTCACAGGCGCATGCCTGCACGACTGAGCTGGTGCTGGTACCGATTGTCGCGGGTGTCAGAGGTTGCGTAAGGGCCTTGTGGACACGAGTTCTACATCCACGCGGGCGTGATGGAGGTATTTATATGGAAGTCTTGGGATGAGCAGCTGTTTGGGAGTGACGGTTGAGCGATCAACAACTCGTATACCTCGTTTAACGGAGGCAGGAAGTAGGTCCGAGCCATCCCTGCGGCCATGAGTAGCACAACATAAGAACCCGGTCCGCTCTTCAACTTCACCTGTGACTTTTCACCTCCCCAATCTTCGCTCGCGTGTTCAAGCTAGGTCTCTGCGGTCAAGCCAGCAAAGTCCACCCAAGTGTCGTGCTCAACATGCGCACTGCTATTCACGCTTTCACCAGCACGGCCCTCGCCGCACAGCCGAAGAGATGGCGAGCAGGCCAGAACGCGCCGTCTCATTGCGCTCACGATGAGCTGCGAGGATGCTTGTGTGCTCCCTCCTTATACGCGAATATGACCAGAATGGATCCTTCAAAAACGAAGAGATCTGCGTGCGGCGTGCGACCGTACTGTGGCACAGGCCTGCCGCCTCTCTGTGAAAACTAGGTTTCTTCCAGCGCCTGCCTCGGCGATTCAACTTCCTCTGCTTGGCGTGCTAGATCCAGGACCTGGTCAGCACATCTCCTGAGGAATTGCTGCTTTCGCACCATTTGTACATCATCTCTGCACTGACTTACTGACTATGCTCATCTAGAAATTTCATAAGCGATGGGGGTCTCAAAGTTGCTGGGCGTTGCTGCAAGCATCGCGATAGCTTTCGCCATGCAGAATGCCGAGCACGTGGCGCCTGAGACAATGAGGAACAGTCTGTCCAAGAAGCAGGATGCCGCGCCACTCAAGATGATGCTTGTCGGTGATAGCATCACCCATGGTTTCGAAGCAGATACCACCTGGAGATTCCGACTCTGGGAATGGCTCAAGTCGACCAACACACCTTTCAATTTCGTTGGCCCTTACACTGGTAAGCGCGATACCTCCAGCGCCGTCGACAAATCACTGACATTTCAGGTGTCTGCGCGCCCATGCCTAACCATCCTCCACAGCCACCACGACTGATGGAGCTTCCGGCGCAGGGGCTAGAGGTTCTTGACGAGTTCCCTAGAATTGAATGGGGCTATGCCAAGGAAGTCCCGTCCGACTTTGACGCACACCACTTCGCGACTTCTGGCGAGAAGGCCGAGCGGGTCCAGGGTCTTATACTGGCCCGCGTCGAGGAGTTCGAACCGGAAATGCTTCTCATTCTACTGGGCTTCAACGACTTGTCATGGGGCGGTGCCAGGCCCGAAGAACTGCTCGAGAGGATCAAGACTATTGTGGACAAGGCACGCGCCAACAGAGCTAACACGAAGTTCATCATCGGCAACGTAGTTCACGAGCAACTGGCCGATGCAGACCTCGAAGCACGGACATCAGCATACAACGAACTTCTCAATGCTACATATTCATCCTGGAGCACGGTAGACTCACCAGTGCATTACGCGGACGTTGCCGGAGTGTACACTTGTGGCCCCAACCGCAACTGCACCTCGACGGTCGATGGACTTCATCCGAACGACCTTGGAGCGTATCAAATCGCGCATGCGTTTTCACAAGCTTTCATCGACCACTACGCCATCGGCCAGCAGCCTGTTCAGATTCCCGATACGTGGACGGATCGTGCTGTCGATCCACCAACTAACATCAAAGCCTTTGGAAGCTCGATGGGTATCACTGTCACTTGGGACAGACCGTTTGGCATCCCAGACTTCAACGTACGACGACGCAGCGGCGACGAGGATTGGATCACCGAATACGGAGTTGGCATGAACCGGTCAGATACCATTCTTCCGCATGCTGGTATTCAATACGAATATCAGGTCCGATCCTGCTTAGGACAGCGTTGCGGGGAGTGGTCGAGTGAATCTGTCACCGCCGTATCGGATAGAAGAACTGGGCCACCTCCTAGGAACGTGCGCACCAAACCAACTGCTTTGGGTTTCGAAGTGAGCTGGTCACCTCCGAAAGATGCGGATGAATGGAACATCACCCAGTATGATGTGGCGTATGCAAACAGAATGCGAAACAATCTTCAACTGCATGCCGGAACTCGGAAACAGTCTGCCAAGCTCGAAGGGCTGGAGTCTGGGCAATACAGCATCATTGGCTTTATTTTGGACGTGTCTGTTTCTATCTGGACAGACCCCGAGGGAGGCAGTCTATTCACATTCGGCCGGCCGGTGAGGCCTGGCACGACTCAAGCGCCGCAGGCACCATCGCAGCTACGGTCAGAGATCGTGAATGAGACTGCCGTGCATCTCACATGGGAGGCTGATGACCACTGGGCTGGATTTCTAGCTTATGTCGACCATCACTCTGATGATATTGTCATCTATGACCGAAGCACAGTCGTGGCTATCGACTCCACTGTTGCTACACAAATACCGGAAATCTGCATATCTGCCATCAATGGCGACCTAGAGTCCAAACGGTCTTGTCTGTTTGAAAAGCCAAAATCGAAATGGAGCTGGCGAGCCGATGGCCCTACTGCTATCATCGTATACGTCATCTTGGCTTGCTGTCTCGCAACGGCGCTGGTGTTGGCTATGCGATTCAGAAAGAACCTTAAGGGCAGGATGCGAGGTACGTACACAAAAGTACCAACAGGGTAGCACGCTCCGGGCTGCAGGAAATTGGACAAAGAAATACGCTTACTTGGCGCCATTGAAGGTCGTGGAATGCGGGATCTCGAACAAAGAAGCCTTGACAGCGGCAGCCAAACTAAAGGCGGCGAAGTGGTGTCCATTGTTGCCACAACGAAAGCATGAACGATGCAATAGACCTGGCGGGTTTGTGGACACTAACGTCTACTTTGTAAGCATCCCGTCTGTGTCCAAATGGCTGAGAGGAGTCCATACGAGCCGCGTGAGGCATTGGTCACGTCACAGTACAGCTACTCCACGGCCAGGAATGATCAGCACGAATCGTCCATCGACAGATCAGTGAACATGGATCAGCAATTGCAGAGTGAGATGCATCTAGGCTATTCAGAAGTCCATCCTGAGTCTCGTATCGATGATAGATACGTTCCGCCGCACCGGCACCATGATGAGTTGGCCAGCACGCCCGTCCAACAAGAGAGCGCTTGGGAGCGTATTGGACGCAATCGACAAGCTGCTGTGCTCGCAGCAGAAGAACTGGAGAAGGACGGAGTACATGGCCAAGCAGATCACCAATCAAAAGAGCACGATGCAGCTGGCGGCGACAACACTAAGAAGAAGCATAATCTGGGAAAACGACTTCGAGGTCTTTTCTGCATCAATTGAGACTTCAAGCATGAATGAAACATCATGCCCCGGCCTGTTTCGTTTAAAGATCCAGAGATAACGATTTCCATTCCCAACTCGACCAAGTTCGAGCTCCTATTCCGGCTTCTGACCAATAGTTACAATAAACCTATAATACTTCTGAACATCTGAAAGATAAAATGCTCTGGTGTCCTCGATCATGGCGCTGGCTTCAGCGTCGTCTAGCACACCTCGCATATTCATCCGCGTAATTATGCTTGTCACAACATCCACCTGATCCCGAGCGAGGGTGCCATCCGCAATATCGCTCAATTCCGCTCGGAGCTCTGGGCTTGCACCAGCAATATCGATTGGCCATAAATACTCATGAGTTTGTACGTTGATGAAACCGACTTCCCGCATCCAGTCTGCTGCCAAGTCGCCGGGTCGCATTACCGCGCCGGTCTTTTCTGAGTAGAGATCCTCTATTTTTTCTATTACGTCCATCTGAGATGCTTTGGAGCCATCCCTGAGAACTGTTGGTCTACCGAGCTCGTGCATTTCGATCCAGCCTCCGGGTTTGAGGAGATGAAATTCTCGTTTGAGGAAACCTGGAGCGTCTGGAACTGTATTCACGCAAAGTCTTTCGAAGCATAGGTCGAAGACATTCTCGTGCTCGGTCAAGCTGGCGTCGCTATTAAGAGGTTTCCATTCTGCTGGGGATTGGGTCACGATGTTTCCTTGCAGGAATCGCACGTTGGGAGGATATTCTCGGATTTGTGGGACGGGAGTGAGGTCTACGCCGTAGACTTGGGCATTTGGGAATTTGTCCGCCAAGGTCTTGGTCACATAGCCTGTACCGCAGCCGATATCGAGCAGGCGTTGCGTCTTGTTTGGGTCAAGCGGTGCATGAGGAATTTTGTGGTTCATGAGTGCGGACAAGACTCTTGACTGTCGTTCGAGACGAGCGTGTTCCGCGGAGCTACAGAACGCCTCAGCTCGATCGCATTTGCGAAAGTGTCCAGTGAGGAAGCGTACTCATTTGGCAGCATATACGGCGCCTCGGAATCTTGATGGAAACTTCGTTGGCCTCCGCCAACCTTGACACCGGTTTGTTCCTGACAACGGTCAGTGAACGGGATTATCTAGAAATCAGCGCTTCAAGAGTTGTCACCTACTGCAGTGGCTGCCATGTTTGGAGGTTTTCTGGGCCGATACCACAAGACTTGTAAACTGGGATACAATTTAGCTTCCTGCGGTTTCGTTGGACCGCGCCGTATACATACTCCTAGACATGCTCGGCCTTCGGCATTGATACACAGCCGGTATCACCTCACCGATAGCGAGACCAGAAGATTCAATAGTGCTTATTATGGTCTGCGTCTACGATCGGCCGTAACGAGCACCCATCACTCATCATCATGATGGGTTTTGAAACTCAAGACTCAATAGAGTTCATGTTTTGGCAAGGATAAGCTTCACAAGTGGCGGTACGATTGGTTGACATGTTGACAAGCTCTTGCTGTCTCGTGGCTATCTGGGGAAGAGCTTGAAGCGGTTTATGCGGTGACCTAAGGTAGACGGATCAGAGTGCCGAGTGGTTGGCAGCCGCGTTCAGGTTCTTACACAGCCTGATCATGACCATCACCATGTTGCGATGGTATCGCATATACCCTCGGCATTCGCGAACTATAAAGTCGAAGCAGCATGCGATTAATAATCTTGTGACATGTCTCTCGTACTCCTTCGTCCATTGCATATCTAGCAGAGATATTTCGAAGCCGCTTGCTTTTCAGATCAATCAATGAACGCTCTTGCTCTTGTACGATCGTAGTCCTAGTTCAATACTGCTTCCATCTCACGTCAGCTTTCCCCACGACTCGATGTCCCTGTAGTCCTCAGAGATTACATCCTTGCATTCCTGCCAAAATGAATGTCTCCTGCACCTTCTTGAATATGGTGGCACCACGTTAGCATTCCTTTCAGTCTCAAACAACGACTACGAAGAAGTTCCCTGTCAGGATTTAGAATCTTGCACGAGAGCGAAGTACGAGATACAAGGATCGAGAGGAAGCTCTGAAAGATGCATCAAGCCTGTAATTAGCATGTCCGGTCGTTGTGCTATGCGTTTTAGGGACTGAGATGTATCTGGAGATGGATAGAGAGGAATTTTGTATTGCGCATTGATAGGATATGTCCGCTTGACAGACTCGCCCTCAACTCTACTCTATGGCGCGTCGCGCTGCCCATACGAGTCGCTTCCTTTGATCCGAAGTATCCTGCTTCGAGTTTTCGTTTCTGTTTCTGTGCTCATGTTCCGTCGATCTCTCTGCCAATGCGTACGAAAGCGATTCCTTTCGCCTGTGAAGCTATAACATGGGCCGCAAAAGTGGACAGCGCCGACATTGTATCTCTCCAATTGCTGCACCAAACAGTCCCGTAGAAAAGATCTCAGGCCAGATTTACCTCATCGGAATCCAGTACTTTGAGGCCTTGGTGGAACCGTTGCACGCTGGTTTCACGCATGTTACTTGGTACTCGTAGATGCGGTCACACTTGCTGCAGATCCATCCCTTCTTCTCAACCTGGCAGCGGATGGCATCGCACAGCTCAGAGCGCTGCTCGGACACCATCGAGAGCTTCGCGGACACCTTTAAGAGCTGCTCGCTCTTCTCATCCTCGCTGAGAGCTTCTACAAAATCGCGGATGCTGCAGAAGGGCATCGATGTGGGATTCTTCCATGGCCGTGGCCTGCTTGGTGAGGGCGTCGATGTCATTGAATTTGCTCTTGATTTCGAGGACGGCGTCGCACACTTTACTAGGTTCGACGATGGCGGCGAGGAGTTCGACGCACTTGACGAGTGCCTTGGATTCCAATCCAGGGACGAGGTACTGATACTCATTAGCAACAGGACGATTTTCACGCGCAAGAGGGATGAATAGCGTACCTTGTCGGCAACACGAGTGATCTCGGCGTGGAACTGCCACTCGTTGTCCTTCATCGTAGAGGGAACGTAGGGGCCGCCGTAAAGGTGGACAATCATACGTTCGACGGCAGTCGCGTCGTCTTCCTCCAACTTGATAACCTTTCGTGTGCTCTCAGCGAACTGAGAGTTTCTCCCACAGAGCCTGTCAAAGTATTCGGATCGGGTGCAGAGGACTGCTTTGTGGCCGTGGTACTGGCGACCAGAGTATTCAATGGTAACGTCGGAATAGTTCTCGTCGTCGTACAGCGTCTTGCTGAGACTCTTCTCGGCTGGGGCTTCAGCTTGCGCTTGCGTGGTGGGCAAACGATTCGCCATGATGGTGACTGGAGTGTTATAGATATGTTGATGCAGTAGCTTTACGGCGCACGCTCTGCGCGCGTTGGTGAGCCCGCAGGGAGAGGAGGGGAGTGAAGTAGTGTCGGTGCTGAAGGGCGCCTTTCGATGTTTGCGTCGCAGCCTTTGTGCTGCACTGGGAGTATGTCGACCGAAATTCCAGATGGGACGAGTCGGTCGGTGCAAGCACTAGACAATTCTTTTGCACTCATTCACCACACGGGCGGGCCGGCACCGCTGGACGTGTTGCGATCTCATTCACCTGCTAGAACTCACCGGCTGAGCCTGCGCCTCCAAGAGCAACCAGTAAGTCGCGTTGCTAAAGATCAGAGAAACGCATACTTGTATTCTGGCCTATCTAGAGGATATCTGTTGCTCGAGGCCATACTCATGATTCGCCCATCCGGCTTGTCTTCTCGTGAAGCAAGAACTGTAGACGTAATGCTCAGCTGAGCCAACCAGTCCCTGCCAACTGTCACTTATCGAAATCGCGAGACCTCGCCTCGAACAGTTGTGCTCTTACCAGGTCCACGCAACGACTTCATTCCTTGGTAGGAAAGATGACGATGTAGTCCGCATCGGACACACGCACCCTATTGCCGGTGCAGTCACAGACAACATAGTTTCCGTATTTGTTGCCCTCACAAAGTCTCCCGCAGATCTTGCACACTGGTCCACGACTCTCGAGAGAGCCCCCAAACATCTTCCGAAATCTGTCAAAGTGTTCGCGAACCTCCGCTGTCGTCAGGCTAGCGACGAATCGTGGCTCGATCAACAGATTCTTGATATGCTTCTTCTGCAACTCGACGGCCTTCTGGGTCAGAGCATCGTCCTCTCCATCGAGCAGCTTCATGCGGGCGGCAGAGGCCGTTTGTGCTGCTTTGGGGATCAGGTACTGGTTGAACGTCAATGATAAGCTCGCTGTTCGTCTCTCTAGACCACATACCTTGTTGGCCGCTTTGACGACCTCAGCATGAAATTTCCAGTTGTTGTCCTTGGGTGTGGTGTTGGAGAGATAACTTCCGAAGTAGAGCTGTCAAATAATTCCTTCAACAGCGTCGGGGTCATCTTCCTTCAGCTCGATGACCTTCTGCTTGCTCTCGACAAAGGACGACGCCTTTCCGCATAGCTTCTTAAAGTACTCCGATTGCGTGCAGATGACAACCTTGTGGCAGGGAATTTCACGCCCCAAGAACTTGATCATGATGTCGGAGTACTCCTTATCCTTGAAGATGTTCTGGTAAGAAGTCGTATCAGGCATGACTGCGACGGCGCCGGTGGACTCGTGAGGTCTGCGCTGTGTGCTTTGTGCGAGAGAGTGGTCAAGGGATGATGCACGTTGTTGATGGTCCTTGGATTGGTTCAGCTGCGAGCGAGGGTGTTTGTCGGGCTTTTTTGAAAGTGCTGACACAAGATGTCTGCTGAGCCAGTTGTTTGGTAGGAAGCGCGAGGCACTTGTTTGCTGTCACATGCACGCCACCCGCTTTAGTCTTGCTGCAGAAGCTAAAGCCCCCGCTGGCCAAAGCTGCATTGTCACATGTGCTTGACAAGATGTGCCGCCAGGAATCATATGTACGATTGTAGCGAGGTTACCATTGAGAGAAGATGTGTGCGTGACGAGATCGAGTAGAATGGCACGCAGTTGGCTGTCTCGTCGCCCGAATGCGTCTTCATACCATTCAAGCCTCTACTTCTATGGTCATGCTGCTGATCATGTTCCGTCGATCCATGTCCGCTGGCACTGGTGTTAGCCAGGCAGAGGCGGTCCCTCTTGCCAGTGCAGGCATGGCAGATGCTGCACTATCTTGTGGTCCAGTACGTCGTGGACGTTGTAGGACTGGAGCAACGGCTATTCTTGCACCCAGGAGTGTTGTACATGCCATCGCAACAGCGGCAATAATGCCCTGTCTTCTCTACCATCCCACCCACGACGCCTCGCAGCCTGTCGAATTGCTCTCTGACCTCCTCTTGGCTGAGAGATCCTTCCTTGAACAGCGCCTGGAATGAAACGCACTTCGGAATGGCCGTCACTACCCCAGTGCTTGGCAACAGACGTGATTTAGCTGGTCCCGCCATGGTAGATGGCCGAGTCGGCGATGCCCGCGGCACCTACTGTTGATTGACGGCTCGGACTCCGGGTGAGGTTTTGGGGGAGTTTCTGGACGAAGCTGCTGCATGCATCGAAATAGCTTTTTGGATTGCTTGGTGTACGCGTGCCGCCGCTTGTTTGCCTTCACGTGCGAGCGGGCCGCTCCCATGCGTCTGCTGCTGCCTGAGGTGGTTTGCTTCAGTTGCTCACGCTCAACGGTCGAGGCTGCATTGTCAAGCTCACTTCATGGGCGATGATGCCAAGGCCCAGCCGTTTTCGCAGATGATACAGAGTGTTGTGCTCTACCTCCACTCGTCGGACGCTGTTTGCGTGGGCAGTGGAGGCGCGCTCGGAACAGTGCCATTGACAGACAGCCACATCTCATCGCCGGCGCAAGCTTCCATCTTGTCGGCGAAGTCCTTCGCTCTGGCGAGCATCCACCTCGAACGCACTCCTCTTCGGTGGATGCCCATTTTCGGGATTGGCGAGAACTCACAGGTGCCGTTGGAGAAGGCAAACTGCACGCACTCCATTCGGCCGACGCACATGTCGCGACATTGATCCACGGATTCCGCCGGAGTGCCGTTGGAGAAGTCGCCACTCAAGTTGTCCCAGTCATCAACTCGACCAGATCTGATCAACAAGCGAGGCATGATGTAGGAGTTGAAGACATCGCTGTGGCGGATCACTGTGTTTGGCTGGCAACTGTCAGCTCGATATCTCAAGACATCAACCGAAGGAAAAATACCTTATCCTTGAGCCATTGCTGCTCGAACTTCCAAAGCTCCGCAATCTCAGCCGCGACCAGGCCATGGTACGAAATCGAAGGATAGCACCACAGCCTTCTCCCATCACTGTGCGTGGTGTAGTCAATTTCTGCTGGTTTGTGGCGCTGAAAGATGGGCCAAGCTGGAGTCAAAGGGGCCTGCACAGCTTCCATCATACCTGCCACAACTTCATCACCAGACGGACTTTCCTTTGTGAGTCCTTCCCAAACAGGCTTCTTCTTCTCAAATACATCAACAGCAGCCTTGGCGGCTGCATGTGAGAGCACGAATCCAGCTCCAGCCAATGCAAACGACAAAGTATGGCTTTCTTTGCGGGCACCAATGTAATGTGGTTTCTCCGGATCCAGAGTATTGAGCCAGGTGAGCAGATTACCCCACAACATATAGGTGTCGGACTCCAGAAAGACATACCACTTCCGATCTGGCTGCTCGGCGAAGGTCTTCTGGATCATCGGTAGCCACATCCACTTGTCTTCTTTCCGCGTCGTATCTTCTGATGCCCACATTTCTTCGTCTTCCAGAGAATCAGGTCCACCTTTCTGCAGTCTTCGCCATAGCTCAAAGTCAGGATGAGAGCCTTTGATAGTTTGATCTACAGAAACCAACGCGTCCCGAATGTCATGGCCTTGGAATGTCTCCTTCCAGTCCGAGAAGAGTAAGTAATTCGGGTAACATTGTAGCGTGGTGTCAAAATGGACTGGCAGCCTTTCTTCCAATTCGGCGGTGTTTGTCTTCAACGCGACGATCACGTCACTTGCTCCTGGCAGTTGTGAGCATGGCAGTGCTTGTCCGGCTTCCTTCTTGGACCTGGCTGCTGGCCGATCATATTCGGGGTGAGGTCCGTGGAAGAAATACCACAAGATCCCGAGGACGAAAGCCAGAGACAGGAGTTCGATCAGGGACTTTCGTCTTGGCGACCGGAACCTAAAGAGGCCCATTTGGAAGGCGAGCAAGTTCTTCCCACTCCGGAAAGAAGTCAAAAGCGTCCGACGATAGGACTGCGAGGCATCAGATGTCAAGCGATCGAGGCTGAAAGTACGCGAGGCCTTCTCGTTACCCCTTCGTAACCATTGGACCGGTCGGCAACTGTGGATGAGGCGCAAAGCTTATCTACTTCGACAAATGCCACAGCGAGAGCAATACAAAACGTTTCTCCTTTCTGTCTGGCAGTTGTGTATGCCAGCATTCGATCTGAGCTCTCTTTCCACTTGTCTCATCCTCGTCGACCGCCAGGGTCAAAGTGAACGGCGTTGGCGCGTGAACGATGGCAAACGACGCGGTCTGGACGCAGTGGAGCCGTAGAATGGGAGGATCTTCGCCATTGGCTGCACCTTTCATCGCATGCTTGACCTCTGCGTAAGCACTACCCGCTCATCTCTGCTGATTTGTGATAGACATGGCTTGAGCATTGAAAAGCATACAGAGTCGTTACTATGTCAAGAGAACTCGCAATGGAAGAAGTCCGCATTGCCTACATCTTTGCAAGCAAAAAGACAGAAATCCTCACCGACAAAGCTGGCTAAATGTCCCGATGAAGCCATTTAAGCGCACTACCGAGGTCGGTCATCAATTGTCAGCTATTTCCCATCATTGGCAATCCTCCATCGACCATTCCGCATGCTTCTAGCTACGAGCTCACGATAGTATAAATACCGCCTTCGCGGCAAAGTAGGTGCTTCCGATGTCTTCCAAAGAACAACAGCAACCAGCTTCAAGCACACAGTCTCCCAAACCAGTTTCCTTGAACTTCAAAACAGCAGCAACCCTCATAGCGATTCTAGCAATCATACTGGCTTTCTACAACAGCCTCCGAGCAGCTCTCCCCAAAGTCGCCCAAGTCGCAGAACCTACTACAACAGCCGCAGCCAAAAGAGCAATGAGCACCACAACCACAGCAACCGCGACCGCCAATGGCACCTCCTCACCCCTCAAAATCACAAAACGACCCTGGAACACCCGCGGCCACGCCGACCACGGCTGGCTCTACACCTTCCACACCTTCTCCTTCGCCTCCTACTACGACCCTTCATTCGAATCCTTCGGTCCCCTCCGCGTAATCAACGAAGACCGTGTCGAACGCGGCACAGGCTTCGGAACACACGGTCACGCAGAATTCGGAATCTGGTCATATATCGTCAGCGGCGAACTCGAACATAAAGATTCCATGGGAAATTTAGAGAAATTGAGAAGAGGAGAAGTACAATTCACGAATGCGGGGACGGGGATTCGTCATTCGGAGTATAATAGGAATCAGGAAGAGGATTGTCATTTTTTGCAGATTTGGGCGAAGCCGAATGTTAGGGGGTTGAAACCGAGTTATTGTACGAGGAAGTATACGGATGAGATGAAGAGTGATAGATTGGTGAGGATCATGGAATCGAAAGATCGACATTCTGGGAAGGAAGGCGCGACAGAGCCAATTGAAATTTACGCGGATGTTAGTATGGATGCTTCGATTTTGAGTCCGGGGAAGAAGGTGGTGCATGAGCTTGTGAAAGACGGGGAGAGGAATGTTTATTTACATGTTGTGATGGGTGGGAAGACGCAGCCGAAGAGTGGTGGGGCGAGGATTAAGGTTGGGGATGTGGAGTTGGGGGAGGGGGATGGGGCTTTTGTTAAGGCGAGGGGACCGGGGAAGGTTGAGGTGGAGAGCGTTGGGAATAAGAAGGCGGAGTTTTTGCTTTTTGATATGGGGGAGCAGTAAACTGGAAGAACAGGACGAGAGCAGAGAGGGGGATAAATTTTATGAGGAGAGACCACAGAATGAGATTTATCAGACAGATTGATGAGAATGAATAGACTCGAAAGGGCTCTGTTTTTTGGTATGAAGACTGATATCCTGTTTCGACGCAATGCGCAGATGCATTTTGCAAACTGTTGTTGGTAATATTTCATTACAGCTTGAAAAGCTGTTGACCAGACCGAGCAACAAATGTGAACAAATTTCTCCCATCTTTGCCACTGCTTACCCAGCCTCTTCTCCCAATGGGCTCCACATCCCAGCTACTCAATTCTGTCAACGTTTGTGCATCTGCGTGGTTTGCAATGAAGCGTTCAGCAGTCTTTAGCAGCCTACCGATCACGAAGCCCTGCTCCGGCTTGCCGTCACGAGAGAATTGGACAGTATATGTCTGTTGCCGACATTAGTTTCATGCGACAGAGAACTGCAGTGAGTACGGAAACTGACCTCAATAATCGCCTCTCCCTCCGCCTTCTCTATAATCTTCGGCACCTGCACATCCGTCACAACCTTCGGCAGAGGATTCTCATCCGGATACGGCAACCCATCACTTCTCGGACTCCGGCTCATGAGCAAAACATGCTGATAACTCACCCACCCACCATTAGCAAGTACAAGTCCCGTCTTCCCCTTCCCTTTCCTCAACTGTCTCGTCATTTCCGTAATAGCATGCATACTATAATTATTTCCCGCTCCACCAAACGACGTCAAACCACCAAGAAGCGTCAAACTCTTTTTGCCTCCTGTGACTGGTAGACCTAAATGATGAGCTGCCAGTTTCGGAACGATGGGGAAGCAGGAGTAAATATCATAGAGGTCGATTTCTTCTTTGCTGACGCTTGTTATGTCGAGCGCGGCGTCGAGTGAGCGGGAAATGCAGGGAGACCAGTAGTATTCGGGTCGTAGCCAGAATTCACTGGAGTCGGATGTTCCGGCTCCGCCGAGAGGGTAGATCCATTTGTCTGAGGATATTCCGAGCTCGCGAGCGTGATCGGCGGATGTTAAGATTACTGCGGCAGAGCAATTGACTGTGTTGAAAGCGTTCATGAGTAATGGGTATGGGAAACAGATCATGCGGTTGTTTTTGTCGACTCGTGCGATGTCGGTCTCTGTTTTTGCGGGTGAAGGGTATGTCCAGGCATTTTCGTTCTTTTCTGCGACTTTGGCGAAGTCGGCGTACAGTTTTGCGGATTCTTGGTGGTTGTCCCGGATGCTTTGACCGCGATGGAAACGGAAAGAGTTCTCGTAGAATGGGTATAACTGAATGGGGTTTCCGCAGTCGTGTTGAGCACCGGGATCCTCTTCAGACTTTACAAGATCGCGCGTTGTAGGTGAGAAGACTGATTGCACGTCCTGCGAAGGAGGCGTCCAGCCTGGAGGCGGCATCTTCTTGGCAGCGGCGCATGCTGTGAGAGATGCTAATGCCTCACCTCCAGTGACGACCGCAATTTTGTTCTCTCCCAATGAGATCCGACGTGCCGCTTCATCGACGAGCTTAGCAGGCTGGTTGCCTCCATGAATAGTGTACTCGGAGTGTAGAGGCTTGAAAGCTAATCTCTCTGCGATTAGTTTTGGATAGTCGGCTGGCCAGGTCCATGTGCTGACAACGGATATGCTGTCAATTGAGCGTTGAACTTCTGCCAGGGATGAGGCTGCTAGTCCTGTATCTTGGATAGCTTTTTCTATTGCTTGTATCATGAGCTGCAGTGGCTCGATGGCATCCTCGACTTTCTTGGAACGATTGACCACATCGCCGACTCCGATGATCACAGGTGTCTTTCGTTGTGATCGTGGCATGCTTTCGTCTGCTACAGAAATCAATGTGAGTGTCTTTAATGATTCAAAGATTTGGTCTGGTGAGAGCCTAAGAATAACGATCACGGTGATAATGGCAGATTCTACAGCCGAAATGTGGAGTGTTATGCTTAAAGCTTGAAGTGAGGTTGTGATGAGGTGGAGTTGCCTCGGCCATTGACCTCGCTGACATGGGTCATCACCGCGGCAGCGACTCGCAAGCACTTTCCATCAGCACATGCATTTGAACTCGTGACGATCTCTTCTCGTCAATGTCAAGAGTGATGATAGCGATGCTTCAATGTATCTTGATGTGCACATGCTCTCATCCTGGCAGCCTGGAAGTTGGTCGGCCGTCGCACAGCGCGACCCACAATCCCAGCATTTTGCCGTGACGACGAAAAGAACCACACGACTCTACTCCTGCGAACAAGAACATGATTTCTCGCTTCTGTCTACAATCCGAGGGAAAAAGATCCTCAACAAGCAATATCAACCACATATCAATCTATAATCTGACCGCTCTCCCCAATCCACATTCCTACCAAATGCCCACACTCACGGATGCGCCAACAACCACCCCCCATCAATAACCAACGTACTCCCACTAACATACTCATTCATCGCAAACCCCAACACCGCCTTTGCATAATCCCTCGGCCGTCCAAACCTCCCAAACGGAACCCCATACCCCTCCAAATCGCGATAAAATTCCTTCCCCTTCTCCTCAGCCTCTCCCTTATCAACACTCATCTGACTAGGAAAATACCCCGGCGCCAAAGTATTAACTCGAACTTCCAAATCCGGTCTCTTAAATTCCACTGCCAATTGTTCAGTTAAAGATATAGTCGCAGCTTTGGAAGCGTTATACGAGAATTGTCCGTTTTGAGAAGTTTTTGTAATTCCCGAGATAGAACTGATGTTGAGGATATTTCCTGCTTCGGAGTAGCCGTTTTCGCGAGCGCGGATGAGTAAAGGGAGGAAAGCTGTCGAAGTAAAATAATAGCTCGCGACATTGATTTTATAAATCTCCAACCAATCCTCAAAATCCTGATTCTCAAACATCGTCTTACTAATCTCTTCCACACTTCCCGTCGGAGCACCCGAGGGTCCATAATTCACACTCGTGACGCCGGCATTGTTGACGAGGAGGTTGAGGAATTTTTCTTTGGAGGAGATTTCGCGGACGCCAGAGGAGATGCTTTCTTTGTCGTTGCAGTCCATTTGGAGGGCGATGATGGAGCCGCCGCTTTCGGTGTCGTGCATTTCTGCTTCGCGGAGCTTTTCGATGCGCCGGCCTGTGATGTAGACTTTGAGGCCGTTGGCGCAGAGGGCTTTGGCTGTTATGAGGCCGAGGCCGGTTCCACCGCCTGTTACGACGGCGACGCGGCCTTTGGTGTTGAAGAGGTATTGGGCGCGGAGTTGGTCGAAGTCGGCCATCTTGTCTGATTGTCTTTGATTAAAATGATGGAGAGAAGAGACTGGATATTTTGGTGAGAATAGCGTGTACGGTTGTCACTACATTTTATAGCTATCAGCTTTGAAGGCATTGCCGGATAAATATAGCTCAATTCCTCCGTAAGCGGGTTATCCTATCGTAAGCAGGATCAAATCAGACACCGCCGTCAAAGCTTCCAATTGCTCTGAACTCCGCACCGTGATGGCTGCTGTTTGTAGACATGTTTGTGTCACAACGAGATGCAACCATGCCATGCAATGAAAAAGAAGTGATCTTGCGGGAGTTTAAGATCTAAGCAGTTGCTTGGCATGAAGACGCAATCAATTGAGCCGGCATCCGAAGACTCACTGAATGTTCACTGTCGGACGACACAAGAGACGAGAGAAAACAGCGTTTTAGTACTCACGAAGTGGTACCTCCTAGTCCGGGAGTCTTATGAATGGTCGCACGGTGGCCTGCAGATCCGCGAATCGTGGTCTCGTCGCACAACCACGAAAATGGCTGAGAATGGTAATAAAAGGTTGGTGCGCACTGACTCGTGCAACCTCAACGTTCATGTTGATGACCATACCGACTACTCCATGCTATTAAAATCCATATAGCGCTCGCTTGAAGGAATATCATGAGATGCCATGTGCAAATGCTGACACGCAATGTCAAAACACCAATATCCATGCCAATGCCAATGCCAGTGCCCGTACCCCGCCATATGCCATAATCCGTTCCAATCGTGATGCCTCAGAGCAGTCGCAGGAATTGCGGCTGTACCAATGTGTCGTCGCAAGCCGAACAAGGCGGCGTGTCGTCAGGCGTAATGTTGCCATGCTCGAAGCGGGCGATGGAAGTGTGCGATGTCACGAGCTTCAATGGCGCCACATCCAGTCCAAGAGCTGTTTGATCCAAATCGACACCATGCTCTGGTTCATATGCAGGCTCGATGACTGTCGAGCTGCAGAACGCGGTGAGAGCGCGCCCGTATGCTTCCTGTGTCGTGAACATGTGAATGTGCCAGTCCAATGCAGAGAGAACCTCCAAGGCTGTACTGTTGATCCGCTGTGGTGAATGGGCATGCCTGCAGACATATCGCGAGTACCACGCAGGCAAGGGAGCATGATCATCGGTATACGACACCACGAGGCTGAGGGCAGCTACAGTCAGAAGCCCCGGAGAATAGCCGGCGAGGCTGCTCGAGCTCGAGCTCATCCGCAGGGCCGAGATCATGTTGAAGGCTGTGGCAACCACTTCGAGAGGCAGGTCGGCGCGCACAAGGATAGAATGAATGGCATCGGCATCTTGTGGACTGGCTTCGATTCCGATCGCTGCTCCACGCGCAAATGCATTTGCGATGGGATCTGTGCAGACAAGCGAGTCTTCTAGTGCCTTGTCGTCGTCATCAGGCGGTAACTCGACAACCTCAACTCGAGGCTGATTCTTGGTCGGTGGTGTTGGAAAGTGGGAGAGTCGTCCTTGAGCGGCCAGGAAAGCGTCCAGGTCATCAATGCCGTCCAGGGAATCGCAGGCACTGAGAGCCGGAGATGGAGGATAGATCATGATGGCAGCAGATGCGCCGTCTCATGTCGCGAAAGACGAGGTGGTGTGAGTGCTCGCATTCCCACAGCGGCGGCGAAGTAGCGAACGACGAGGGCTTTATGGGGCAGAGGACAGTGAATGTGTCGAAGATGCAGAGGGTGCAGGAGGATAGAGTGAGCGCTGTACAGCCTCTGTGGAAAACCTTCTAGCCTGGCCGTTGGTAGGCGGAGGACGGCTTGTTGCACCAGAACGCCTTACCTGATCCGCGCAAGATGAGCGTGCGAGCTCCGGTTGAGGCTTGATGCACCGCGCGGTCGTGCCCGCGTGTGCTTAGGTGGAGTGCATGAGGCCAGCTTCACCGGCTGTGTCGACGTTGTGAAGAGGAGGTTCGGGTGTTGGTGGAGGCTGTGGCAGAGTGCAGCCGTTGGGGCCAAGCAAACGTTTCTGCTGGTGCTGCTGACGTTGCCCGAGCATCGGCATCGGCCTGCTTCTCTCTCACATGGCGTGCCGGTGTGCAAACCCGCCTGATTTCGCATGTGCACACTCGCATGACGCGCGCCAGAGTCCCTCCTTTCCCTGCCGCTGACATGTCGGTGTCGGACTCGCACCACTGTCTGCAGCGCTCGAACGGTGATCAGCGCTTCCCAGCATGACCCTGCACGCGATTGTCCAGACCCTTTTCTGTACATTCATGTCGTCCAGAGCTCTCCCTACCTCCTCCCCTCACCTCGCCCAGCACCTGCTGCTTACAACTGCCCATGGCGAGCAAGAGACAGCTCGTCACAGGCAAGATCAACGCCGACCTTCTTTCCGTTGAGCACCAGCTACGTAATAAGGTAGGGACCAACTGTGCAACCATTGCCACTGTATAGAAGGAGCTCTTCAGTAGATATGTATTCGCAGAATCATCTTCATTTTGACAGTTCACCGAAGCTCTAAAACTCTCCATACTGCATTGACCAAATCCAGTCCTTCGGTCCTCCATCCCAGGTCACACGACGCTTGCAAGTCGGCAAGCTACTGCCAGGGCTCCCGTGACCAGACAACGATCTTGCAAATAGTTTATCAACATGTCTTCTCCAACCTCTGAGACTCATCCTTACAGCTACCAAAAGCCAAGCACAATGGTACCACCTCACGTCAACCTCAAAACGACACACTCTGATAGCTCTGATTGATAGGCAACCCGCTCCCTCGTCACCGATCAAAAACCCACCGAAACTCCCTCCGCCTCAAGCTACGATCACGAAGACGCCGCAAAGCAACCCGGCGTCCTGAAACGTCGCGTGACAAATAATTATGAAAAAGCCGTGAGTCCCCGTCCATTCCACTTCACCTCCACACTCATCCCATCATTGTGCCCGTCTGACTTCTTCCCACAGCTCGCCTCAACCCAAACCTCAGACGACCACGAACATCAACAAGGATCCAACAGCCCACGTCCCAATCTCGACCGAGTCCAGAGCTTCAACAAGAACGATTACAAGCGAGAGATGATGCAACAGACGCTCGCGAATGCCGGATCGGTCGAGGGACATGGTTATCATTCTACTGCTGCGGCGCAGTAGACAACAATAATGCAGGAATTGGTGAGCTTGGATGAAAGGAGGTGCACATGACGAGAAGCGACCTGGGGAGACTGTGACCTGGTAGAATATTGTGACGCTTAACGAAGTATCGATGCGACGAACGGAAAGCAAGGTGTTATGGTGTTCATCGGTTTCCGGGGAGCAATGTCGTGGAGCAGAGAGCCTATGTCCAAGGATGGGCTGTGCCTATTCGAGTTCAGTCAGTTACCTGTACGAACATACCTTGTTTCTCAGAAGTGTCAGTGAAAGTCATTCATGGATCGACCCAAGGAGATGTCTTAATGAGCGACTGCAGCTAGTGTTCTCTCCGATCTCGCCAAATCATTCTATCCTTCCTCTCCCACGCGCGTATACTGTCCCATCTGAAGTATGATTCGTGTGCGTTCGGGATCCTCTCAGTGCTCCATTCATGCTCTCCACGTCCCCATTCGAGCTAGAGTGGGCACGAACTTCCACTCTCTTCCCTTCTTCGACGTGATCGCATTGCGTCGTCCTGCACATCGCGCAGGTATTGGTCGTCTCGACGCAGAGCCGAATAGCTTTCTTGTATCGAGACACTCGGGACTGTCAACAACGGCGATCCTGCTTCGACTCGTCATCGACGGCTGGGTAATGACAGCAGTAGTCTGTTTGTCATGCTCCCAAAGGCAAGAAGTGATGCGTAACCATTGCATCATTAAGTGGTCGTGTGGAGGGTTGTTCGTATTGGACGTCAAGCGTCCCCTACCAATCTCGTTATGTCCTGCAAGCGGTGATGACCACCGGTCAGCCTTGTGCAGCGTGAGGCTGCTTGTGAGCTCTGTCACGAATAGGGCAAGCGCCAGAGCGACGACCGCGCTTCGACTTGCTGTCGACAACGTATTCGTCGAGACTGTGCTGCCCCTCACGACGCTCCGAAGCAACTGAACAAGCAGGGGCAGAGCGTCCGTACCAATCAATGTCTCCAAGCTGCAACTTTCGTGCGCGTTGCTTCGAGCGCGTATTGCCCGATTTGTCGTATCGCGGGCCGTTGTGGAGGGATTCGAAGGCGCCTGTCTCGTCAGTGAATGAGTCTTGTCGAATGATTTGCTGCTTCGCTTCTGGAGACGAAGCTCCGATCTTCTCGTCGCCGCCACTGACAGTCGTATGTTGAAGTCGACCATTCTGCTGCGGGCCCCTCTTGTTGAGCGAGCCAGTACCGACGAGGCGAACGCTCTTGTCTGAAGCTTGGACATAATGAAAACTGGGTAATTCACCATCTTCCTGGTCGTTCGTCAAATCGTAGTTGAGAACCAGGTTCTTGATACGCTGCTGCTCCGCGCGTTCAGCTTCCTGCTGCGAGCGCATGGCAACTGCAAATGCAGAGTCTGAAGGCATATCGATCGATCGTGTCTATGCATGATTAGCGGGAGCTTGCTGTGGGATGTAATCCGTAGGCTTACCTGTTGACGGTTGCCCTTCTTACTGAGGAGCGCAAACTTCATCGTGCCCGCACCATTGGTCTGTGGTTGCGCTGTTGCCTCGTCTCCACTGCCTTCAGCAGCATTGATGGTGGCATCACGCACCGTACGACGCATGGGAAGCGGGACATCGAACATCGTTTTGCGTTCGAACTTGCGAGAGTCGACACTCTCAGCCATGAGTTTGGCGAGTTCGCGGTCAAATTCGGCGTCTGCTTCTGGATCTCTGTGATCTTCGGGTCGAGTCACCACAATGTGCTCTTCCTCGTCAGATTGCTCATTAGCTCGTGCGTCGTCATCATCACCTTGTGCCTTGTCATCATCACTGCCAGAGTGCGTCGCATCTCCATCAGCTGCATTTTCATCACCATCGCGGCGCTCGTCATCAGAAAGATTCACTTCCGCCTCTGGCTCTTCAGGCTCGGCAGTCTTGCCAGATGCGGTGTCCTGGTAATTCTGCTTGCAGGCCTCGCCAAAGACCCGGGAAGCTTCCTGTATATCGTTGAGGACCAGCTTCCACTGAGGCCGGAGATGGTTGTAGGTATCCTGAACCACGAACTCAATGTCCATCGGCAGTGGGTCCTTGACATTGATGTAGTACTGCAAAAATGAGAGGTAGAAGTCCAGCTTCTTCTTGGCAGCGCCTTTCTCGAAGCAATGCCCACAAGTCTCAAGCAATGCACAAGCCAGTCGGATGCGGAAGTAGTCGTCCGGCAGATCCATCATGCATACTTCGCCAGGCTGAGCGTAGCTTGCGTGTCCATAGTTGAGGATCTTGTACAGGGTATCGAATACAAGCGCCGAGTCGATAACGCGGTACATGTACAGCTCTCCCAGGTACTTCGCTTCGGCAATCCTACGTTGGTTGAATTTGAAGTCGTTAATCTCAAGACCGACGGTGATGCGCTCCAGGAGTTCGTCCAATACAGTGACCGCAAAATCGGTGTGGAAGCGATACAGCGCAGCGAGCATCATCGCAAGCAGGTAGATGTTGCCAAACCGAATCTTTCCGGGCTTGACGAAGATCTTACGGAGAATCTCCACAACCTCACTCTCTTCCCAATGTAGCTTGCGAATCTGCTTGATCACTTTGTCGAGCGTCTTCTTGCTAAGATCCGTGTAGACAAGCTTTCGCACAAATAGGTCCAGAGGGGTGCGCTCTTTCTGCTGGATGGCGGCGCGTTCAGGAGGGTTGACGTAATACACCGCGTTCTCGATGAGCATGCGTTCTTGCTGGCCCAAGTGCTGTGCCGACTTCTTGCGCTGCAGAGTCTCCAAAAAGGACACCATACGTGGCGATGTCTCTGGGTTGCGCAGAAGATATCTTCCACAATTCTCAAGGAGATTTGCTATAATCTCGATGTTCATTCTGGAAAAGTCGTCAAGGCTGACTTTGAGACAGTGGAAGATGACATGCTCGGGCACCACGCCGAACTTGGTGAGTTCCGCAATGTACCGCATGTTGATCATGCGAACCTGACCGAGGAAGTCTTTGGACTTGCGGCGCTGCAGGCTTCGGAACTCGTCGTCCAGATATTTGATGATCGCATCAGGGACATCCTGTAGGTGGCGGCCGAGTGTGCTGATCAGGCGTGCGTAAAGCGGGAGTAGATCAGTGCGACCCTTGGGAACTTCCTCGATAGCCTTGATTAGGCGGTTGCGCGAAGCCTTTGAGTTCAAGAAGCAGAAGTCGATGGCCAGTTGGTCGACTTGATCTTTGGTAGAAAGCTCGTGCAGGCGGGCGAGAAGTGCGTCGACTTGAGCTCCGACGGTCTTGTTCGCAATCGCGGTGGACGTCTCGTCGCTCTCAGCAGGCTTTTCCTTGACATCTGCGGTGTCCTCTATCTTCTTCCCGACTTGCTCGTCGTTGTCTGCTTTCTTCTTCTTGCCGTCTTCCAAGAGAATACCAGGCACTCTGTCTTTTAGGTCCACCAAATTCTCGTAGAAGCGACGTTCGTCCTCGTCTTCCCAAATTCCGGCGCCTTCGGCCTGACCGCGCAGATACTCGCCTGTCTTTACCAGGCCAATGCTGCTTTCGAACCCAGCGTTGCTGCTGTCCTTCTCGGACAAGTCAGGCATCTCAGCACCCAAAACCTCAGCCAGGGTCTGCGCACTGGATACGAGTTTCTCTTGCGCTTTCTGAGCTTTCTCGTGGCTCGACTGGCGATCCTCAAAGACCTCGCCCGATTTGACATATGCCTCTGCATTGCGCTTTCCCTGTGCTGCCAGGCGCTGCTGGTCGCGGAGGATGTGGGCCTTGACATCGTCAAAATATCGTTGAAGAATGTTTCGGAATCGCTGCTGCAGCTCGGGAGGTGTCATTGGAGGATCAGGCGAGGATCCGTCATCGTGCTCGGTGGAAGTTGCGGAGTCGAAATTACCGTTTGTGCTACTCACTGCGCCGTCATCAGTAACCTTTTGGCGACCCTCGCTCTTGCCGTGCTTTGATCCAAGAATGTCCCACGCAAATGTCTTCACGAACAGCACGACCAGCGGCAGATTGACATGTTCGCGATCATGACCCAGCATGTCCTTGAGCACTTCCAAGGGGAAAGGCTCTGGGTCAGCGGCATCTGGTCTCGCTCCGTTGACTTTGGGCTTAGCGCCTGCTTCTGTGCCCTTGCCCGCCTTTCCTGCTTCGGCCGGTTGGGCGATGTCCTCCAGGCTCTTGAGTGCACCTACTAGCCATAGCTCGGTTGCGACCCGTAGCAATGTTCGCTGCCTCGTGATACGATCTTTCTCTTCTCTCTCACGCACTTCCGGAGCCAGCGCCTTGAGCTGTGCCTTGTCTGGTGTAGCCAAACCGCGGCCCAGATACCATCCCAGATACGCAGTGAACTCTTCCGGACCGAATCTCTGGTGCAACGCGCTGATGATCTCCACTCCAGCAGCGATGTCTGCAGCAACTTTGAGCTTCGTCAAGCCCTCATAACAAGCCGAAATGATCTCGGTGAGGTATTTGTGCAGCGACAGGGTTCGGACCTCGTGGACAAACGTGGACGTGTTGGCGGCGGTAATGGCGGTGCGGAGACGCTTGATGAATGCTGTGTTCTTCTTCATATTCGAGTCCAGCGAGCTCTGTACCTCGAACACATCTGAGCGGACATCGTCGTCAGTCTCCGCGATTGCGCGCCCGTTCGTAGCAGTTCGCGCGCCTACCTCTGTCTCCATTCCATGCTCGTACATTCTGTTCTTTTAAATCTCCTTCGCGACGTTAGTCTACTCCCCGCTGTAGGCAAAGCCACCCATGCATACGCTTTCTTCGCCGCTCCATGGCGGCCATGTTCAGCACGGCGCGTGTGTCGGCGCCGTGGGGGAAGTGATGGAGGGGTGTGCGGCTCCTTCAGCGATCCGGCATTTGGGCGGTGATGACGGACAAGCTCGGTGGAGCACGAGCCTGCATTGGGGCAGTCGCCGGAGTAGCGAGCGGTGGCGGGAGAGCGGTTGGACGTAGAGGAGGCGGCGGAGGTGGTTTGTCGCAGTCGTGGTGGTGGGTGCCAGTGAGTGCCGTCACGGAAATCAACGAGAGGAAGCAAGCAACGGATAGATGTGGGGCTGGTGTGGCGCCCGTAGGGCTGAGTGGCAGGGGTACCGATCACATCCAGTCCGACATCTCTCGCGCAACCTGTTCTTTCCTCCACAGCGTCTTCATCGCGACAATCCCTTCTCACCGTCGGAGCCTGTCAAGCATCCTCCAAATATTGATCATGCCAGCTCTCACTGCAATGGGCCTCGACGTCCTGACCGCCCTGATACGCACCTGAGAACGAAGATTTGCACGAGAGCGATCCGAGCTACTGAGAACCTACCCAGTTCGATCTAGGAGGCCTGTTTGACCTACGTGTCTCAAATGTCGCCCCCGGATGCCACAACGGGCTCGACGGTATGCGCTGTGCATTGAGCTCGACATTGGAACTAGGACTCGATTTAGTAATCAGGCCGATATGACAGGCAAAGAGTGGCTTTCCGGAAAGGTATGCAAGTGGGAGTCCTGGTCGGCCTACCTTAGAACTGACTTCCCGCAGCCACCCCTTATATCATGCACATCCGTTACGATGACGGTCAATTGGCGCTCCAATTTGTCCTGTATCCCATGCTTAGCCATGAGTAAGTCCTAACTCAAACTTCGAACGCGCCCACTATCTTCCCTGCGAGAGTCCCAATTCAGGAGTACACGCCGAGGCATTCAACCTCCTTCGAGTCTGACGAGGCTTGCAATTTCGAAGATTGGAGATGGAGTTGTCCACACCACGCCCCCAGACGGTCATCCCTTTGCAGACCTCGGAATTCGGTATGCCATACAGACAATCAGTCTTGTCGTCCCGTAGTGCCACCTAGCATTACACCTGAATAGGTTCTAGCCAAAGCCGGGCTTGCACTGGCCTCCAAGTACGGTTTGCATATGATCACGACCACGGTGTGCGCCACTGTGCCCGTCGAAGGGATCATGTCAGGACGATCGAGTGGTCATTTTCCTGCTCGATTTACGCGCCTACCGAACACCATGCGTACAAATTAGATTCAGATCATACCTGCGATTTGCAGGTCAGACAGCGGCTCATCGGTCTGGCTCAAGGGCGCAAGTTGCTTGGGCACATCTTTCCAAGACCTTTCGACAGGGGCCCGGTGAAGAATGAGATTGCTATCAAACGAGCAGGAGAACTGTATTTCGGCGCAGACTGGCACGAATGTCCTGAATTCGTCTTTGTCGCGTTGTGCGACAACCTGGACTTGTTGGTGATTGGTCCATGACATTTCCCCAGCATATGATTAAATGATACTGGGGCCGACAAGTCAGAAACATAGGAGAATCTACAATCTCCGCGTGCATGTCAGAACGCTTGATCCTTGGTCTCTCGTCACGACAAACGATACGGTATAAAGCCGATAGCACCCACCCAGTGGAGTTGCCATTGCTCATCTGGCCACATTCATACTAAGCCCACCACGACTCCTCATACGATGCATTTCTCCACGACCTCTATTCTTATCGCGAGTGTCACCATTCTCGCTGCGGCAAACCCCACGCCCCAAGGCCTTGATCTCGTAGAATCGAAATTTGCAAATACTCAAAAGGAGAGCTGTTACGATATCGAAGGTGGTCCTAACGGGTGAGCTCTTCCGCATGCTTCAGGATCTGAACACGGTCAAACACGACTGACACTTGAGCCCTCCATCTGTAGATACTTTTGCGACAAATATTCCTTCTTGGTTAGACAAAACTTCCGTTGCAAGATTGGTCTCCGTCATATGCTGACCCTACTTCCTTCGATTTCAGTGGAGATGTGGTAATGGTCATGCTGAGCCATGCCAGCAATGTGGCACGCCAACGCTGTACAACCCACAAACTGGATGTTTCGCTTCCAACGACGGCAAGGCTGGCTACTGCTTTGACGGATCTCGGCAGTACAGAAACTGCTAGAATCACAAACAACCACCAGGGGGCTGGCAGTAGCCACCAACACAATGGATGGCGTGGTAGCATTTCGAGTATGCCAACGGCACTTGCAAGATATGGAACTCGTGCCACTTCGTTAACAACATTCGGCGGTCGCAGCCAGCATCGGAATAGCTGAGAATCAACGCATACGGGAATTGCTGGCAAGTTCAGCACACTTGTAATCGCCTCCTACACACAACGCAAACGTCCAAGCGGTCGCCGCATTGCTCTGCACATCAGATGACAAATTCACCACACTTGCAGTAGACGTGATCACAACTCAGGCAGGTGTAGAAGACGCCGTTCAGCTTCTTGGCCACCTCAGATGGCTGAGAAATCCTCATTTCTACGGAGAAAGCGACGTCTCCAATTGATGCCTCCAGCTTGAGGGGGCATGTCTCCCACAACTCTCTTAGATGCTGTCGCTCTTCTTCGCTACCCTGCGAAGCATAGAAGAGCTCGCCATTCTGGAGAACTCCTTGACGACAGTGTCATGAAAGCAGATCGTGTCTTCGGCGATTGCTCACGATATGATTCTGTCCGTTTCCAACTGGGCACTGGCTCATCGTCACCAAGTGGAACACCCTCAGAATACTGCTCATGGTGGGGATGCTGACATCGAGAAGCCGTTCAGAACTGTTGTGCCCGACGACTTTAAATTTGACAGCAGGGATCGCTGTTCTCATTCAGAGAAATGCGTACTGCGCTGGAGACCCTTCACAGATTTCTGCTATTCCAAAGGGAGCGCGTCTTCGTGCTGGGCTGTACGGAGAAGCAGAGAAGTACCTCGCTTTCCAGAGTCAGAGAGAATCTGCAGTGCTGCATCTCTAACGTCCAAAGAGATGCAGATCTGCCCGTGCTCCAGGTATCATCAAGAGGTGGAAGATTTAGTGGCTCCTGAATGATCGATGTATTTTCCTACATCAAGTGGAGGTCTTTCGTATCGTTGACGGCACTACGAAGAACTTTTCAGCCATTGAATTGTAGGTGATGCGAACGTTGTGAGAGGCTATAAGAGCAGTGCGAGCAATCTCCAAACGGTGGGGCCAACGACGTGGTGGTAGGCCACGTCTACCATATGGCAATGATAGGTCGTCGGGTAATTGAGCAAGTTCTGCGATGACATCGTCGCGCGCAGATTGATACGCTCGAGCACAAGATATGTCTTACCAGATTTTTCATACCACTAACGATACTAACCATACCAAGCTGAGCTAACATGTTGCTGATTTCGGCTCATCCAGACATTGAAGATGATATATATCATCGACAGGTAGATCAAGTTTGAGAAGCAGAATCACAGGCTTCGCAAAGTGCTCAGTAACATGTAAAACATGCTTTTGTCTAGCTCGACGAATTATGCGACTACAAGGGCAATGCACCAACCCGGACCCAGCTTTTTCGGGCCATCGATGCTGCGGAGAATACAGAACTGATAAGGAGTATTAACTCATGAATCCGACCAACGAGACCCATGACTATATCTTCATGGGGTCGAACATCTCTAGCAGATCTCGGCATCACAATGATAGTCGGAGTCAAGCGCATGGGCGAACGGGACACCCTGTCTCTCTGCGGAGCGGTGAGGGTTTGAGATTCACTTCGAAGCGTCGCCGAGAAGTCTTGGAGTCCCGATAGGTCGCTGCGGCGCACCGGCGCTTAAGGTCAAGCTAACATCGTGGAATCACACTAACGGAGAAAGTACGCTTTACAGGCTATCAATATTCCATATCGCTTTCATTTCGCTTTGGGTATCGTGGCATTCCATCGTATGCAGCGTAGAGCAGCGTAAAGTGCATGCCGTCCATTCTCACCATCTCCCGACCCAATATCATCCCATTCATAACCACGCATCGATCTTCCTACTCAACTCCACAACGGCGTCAAGCGCATCCAATTCATCTTCCAGATGTTCAGCCATCCAGCTCCCCACATTCACATCTTCCTCAGCAAGCATGTGCATCAATCTTCTGACCTCCCCAACTCCACCCTCGCACAACACTCTCTTCAGCACATCTCCATCAATATGCATATCATCCAACCGACTATTCGTCGTAAGCAGCATGATTTCCGCAGCGCTGCTTCCAAATCCAATAGGAACTGCTCGATTTTGTCCGAGCATTGCGTCCTCGCCTGCTGTATACGCCGGGCTTGTGTGCGAGAATGGAGATAAGGCGTCACTCCATTCGATCAGTCGTTGCAACCAGAACAATTTTCGCCAAGTAGAATCGTCTATTGTTGCAATGCTGAGTATGGTGCCATCTGTAGCTGAGCCAAGGATCCGGCCAGAAACGAGGCCTGCTGGTCTTTCACCTTTGCGGGCTGTAGGCGGACTGGGTCGAAGACGCGTGAGTGATCGCGGCAGATGGGCTTCAAACTGTAATGAAGCTGATCGGTGTCCGTAGTCCGAGGCCTTGATTTCATCACCGCTTGGTATCGACATGCCAATCAGCTGTCCATATTTCGAACCCGTGAGGACCAGTGGTGTGCTCTTCACTGCAGCATCACTGGCGCTCGGAAGCCAAAGATGGCTGAGAAGGTAATCCGCCCTCGGCCCAGTACATACTGGCCGCAAAGCGGCTGTCCCGTCTTCCGGATTGATCGTCACGCACAAGACAACCACAGAATCAGCAGCAGTCGTGATCACAATCGCTTTGAGGTCATCGCCAGCAGGCTCAACAGTAACGTAGACCCCGGGGCTTGCTAACGTGAAAGCTGGGCAAAATGTTTCCCACTTCATTTCCACAACGTCAAGCTTGGACATATGCACTTTGTTGCCGGCGCAAACAATGTAAGTGGTGTCATCGTACAAGGCAAGAGCCGTCACCTCTTGATCGAATTTGACTTGTCGAGTCTCTGCGACACCAACAACTTCCCAGCTCTGAAGTTTGGGCTGCAAAAACGTGACTTTGCCACCTCTCATTCCACTTTTCTTGCGATAGCTTCCACCCACTAGGATATAAGAGTAGGTCTTTTCACCGCCTCGCTTGAAAGACCACGGGAGCATGGCATTGATCTTCTCGCCAGGTTGCATGTGATGTGTGTAGGAAGATCTCGTTCCCTTGGTGGGTATGAAATCAATCACTGGCCAAAGTTGTCGTCTGTAGTCGGAGGAAGCCTGCGCTCTTGACGGATGTGGACGAACATCATAGTGAATGCCAGAGCACACGAGATGACGTATAGAGTCAGCGTAGACCAAGCGATTGGGAGTACCGGTCGTGGGTATCTGTCTCGGGACAGTGGCAAGCTGGTCACCGAGCTGAAGCACGATGAGTTCTTGACCAGAAATGACAAGCAGCTTCTCGGCAACAGCGTCCGATGACAGATAGTGTGCATGGGGCATCTGCGCGACTGCAGTGACCGCGTCTTGAGCGAGTTCGGGCTGTGACTTGTCTGTGATCCAGACGTTCTCTGTAGAGAGTGCGCCCCGCGTAGCACTCCAGGTCACAAGCAAAGTGCTGGTTCCTGTCATGGCAATAGCTGACGACGCAACGCTGGGCAGTGTCGCTAGCCGGACAGTGCTCGTTCCGAGCGTCAGTGTTTGCAGATGCTCAAAGGGCTGGTCTGCCTGCGGATGAACAATGTATGAGACAAGTGTACCATCGCGTAAACCACAGGCAGCCAGGAACGCACCGTTGTCCTGCAAAAGCGATAAGTGATCGCACACAACCTGCTGTCCACCAGGCGTAGGCAGTTCTGTGGTGAGCAAGATGCTTTCTGGCTTGTCATCGCCAAAGCAAAGCAATGCGATTTCACCTTTCGCAGTTGATGCCAGGACAATTGTGTCATTCCCAACTGCTGCGGCTGCCACACAGAGCGGCTCAATGCTCAAGGTGAATTTTGAGCTGAGCTTGATGCTGCACTCGTCATCACTAGCAATGTTGTATACTGCAATCTCGTACGCATCCGCATGCCGTATTGAGGCCACAATTGTAGCGCTCGCCGGCACTGTGCATGCAGAAAGTATTTCATCGTCGTGACCCATTACGAGCTTTGATGTGTCTTCAAAGTTTGGGTGTAGTCCTTGTGATGCACAAATGGTCTTGGGTGTCACTTGCACAAGCGTATCGTTTTGAGTCATGACGGCAGCGATAGTCCTCTGCTCCAAGTCAAATGCAGAAAATTCGCTGACATCCTCTGGTGAGTCGAATTCTGCATCAAGCTTCAATAGCATCGTTTCCAAGGGACTGGAAAGCACAATGATGAGCGACCCTGTGGCCAGATCTGGCAGTACCCAGATAGCCGATACGGTCTGCAGTTCCTCCAGCGGAAGAAATGCAAGAGCGCTGGCTTCGATACCTTGACGAAGCTCTGTGATCGCACCGTGCGGCTGCCGCCCAGAAGTGACGAACATGCTGTCGATTTCCTTCACACGATTGCGGCCGGATAGCGCATCCGACGTGATAGTATCCGTCACCGAGGCCCAGTTAGGAAGCAGCTCGATCAATTGCATGCTCATCGTGTCCATTCTGCTCCTCTCTTCGATCCTCCTGGCACTCGGCCAGCTGCCGATGGACACAACTTTGCCGCCGCTAGTATCTCCAGCTACGCAAAGCACGTCAGGGTCGCCCTCATCTCCGAGCGATGCAAAAGCTGCACCGACATGGCAGTCAAAACTACCAGCAATGCTTTGAGAGATGCCATGCGAAGGGCTCTTCGGTATCGTGACATACAGCAAAAGTCCATCTTCGCGCACGAGGTATACCACATCCCGCAAAGATCTCGCTGCTTGGCTGCGACGTGGCTTTGCCCAACTAGTCCACACCGGAAGCATGCTAGAGTTGCCTGGATACAGCCCCATTTCATCGACGGGAGCAAGAGGAGTGCCCGCTATAGACCCAGACAGAATGTCTCGCCACAGCGTGGGCTGGCTGCCCACAATCAAGATGAAGGCAGCGTCCTGAAGCGGTATAAGTAATGTAGGAACTGTATTGGCCGACTCGAGGGCTTGACCAGGATGGATCTGAGCTTGGATAGGTCCAGCGGCGCGATACCAGTCTATGCGGACCGCCTTCATCAGCCCACGTTCTAGCACGACAACGAGCAGGACAATGTGTTCGATATCGTCGGCGGGCGGCACCAGAAAATCGATGTGCTGAATCACCCCTTGAACATGCAGTCGCCTCTGGGCTGATACTGGACACCAGTCGGTGGCACCAGTCCTGATCTCATCCTGGATCTGGTCTCTGGGCTTCGCAGCATATATGATGATTTCATTCTCCTGCGCAGCAACTGCCAAAGCCCGAGAGTGTACGTCGATTGCAAGATACTGGCCAGGTTGGTATAGTATACGGTCGAAGGTGGGCATCGGGAGGACTCTTTGCACGAATGAATATCTTCCGGCCTCGTCCGCTCGCAGGAACATGAATGCCACATCATTTGAATCGAGTGTGAGGACAATTGATTGCGGTGGGAAGGCGGCAACGTCCAGAGAGCTGGTGTTCTTCTCCAATTTGATCAGGAAGTCCTCGTCATCGTCATCGTCTTCGTGACGGAACACCGCTGCATGGCGTATGCGAGCATCAAAGTCGTTCTTAAATGCCACGTGCTGCAAATGTCCCTCGTGGCCAACCTGCTTGACGTGAATGAACGTATCCCCTACAAACACAACATCGTTCAGTCTTCGATGTCGAATGCGGGCATGCAAGATGAATTGGATTGTAGAGCCTTGAACATTTGTCTTCGTGTACAAGCCGACAGTCGGTTTGGACGCGACAACGTTCGTCTCCATCGTGCGAACATACCAGATCAGGTATTGGGTGAACCAGAGTGAAGCTTGAGCAACGAGTCTGTGGCGAGGGGCTGGTACATGTGCTCAAAGGAGTACCTGGAGCGGATGCAGCGATCGTGGTTGGTAAAGCGAGGCAGTCATGCATACTCCGTTGTACCAGACAGATGTGGCAGCTCTTGACGATGATTCACCACTTCAACGACCCACGTTGGACGGCTGCTTCTCGCAGACGTCAGCCGCGAAGACTGCCCTACAGACTTGCTTGTAGGTGTCCGAGAGGGCGAGAAGTCAGTCAGTCCTGCGCGGTAGGCGCACGCGAACGTGTGATTTCTCAATGGGGCCAGCCGAGGACAAACAAACCGTTTCTCGGGACAGCAGCGGCAGCTCGTAGACGCGTGGTTTCAGATCGGACGGGAGACATGCGATGACCCTGCACTCGCGCACCGCAGCTACGGCCTGGTGCTGTGCCTGGTGTTATGAGACGCTCGTGAACTGCTCCCGTTGGGCATCGACGTGGTCAGCATGCGGTGCCAATGCAGTGATCCGGGCGATGCACGGCAAGACGAGCAACGTGCAGCGCGTCTGCAGTAGCAATAAAAAGGTGGACTTGCTGTCGAGCAATCACAGAAAGTGATCAGTCAGATTTTGCGTGCTGTGGTCCCCAGACCAGGATGGTCGCCAACAAGCGAGTCCTGTGAAGTTGCTCGATGGGAATTCATCAATCGCCGAATATTCTGATTGGAACGATGATGCCCGATCGCGCCCGCATATTTCGTCAGTCGTGAGCAAGACCCGGTACGAGATGGAACGCTTGAACGAGGTCGATGGCCGTGGGAGCTGATCGCGTCGCGGTGTGGTGCGGCGGCGTGTGTGTGTCAAGCGGAACGCGGTTGCCTTGGCGCTCATCCCCGTGCGCACGTTGAACGCCGGCAGGGTTCACGACATGACTTCACCTTCCGATCTTCGATCAACCGCTGCTGCACAACCATACCGTCGGCGCCTGTGGAAGCGGGCGCACAGATCCACGTCGCACCGGTGACAAACGCGACATCTACGCGCCGCAGGGGACACAAGATGTACATCGCGTCTGTCCTTACAGCACCAGGACCCCAGTGCCACCCACGCCGAGAATGGACAATCAGGATAATAGCCCGGTAGAGATGGAGCATGAGGACGTCGATGCGGAGACTCCCTCAATCCCAGCTTCTGGAAGCTCGACACCTCTAACCAGCAAGGACCAGGAGAAGGTCACTCGCATTCTGGCTGCATGTCGTGAACATGATCTCGATGCCCTGTCCGAGCTGGCCTCATCCCCAGGAGGCTTCATCGAAGATGAAGTGAGGCGAACTGCCTGTAGGTATCACCAAAACCTGCTTCACATTTCGGCCATGCGCTGATCTTTTCCCAGGGCCGGTGTTACTCGGAAGCCACGACGACACCAATAGCATACCCGACTGGCACGATTTACCGCGTCACCGTGAAGAGGGTCAAGTGCAGTTGGACGTAGATCGCTCATTCATCTACTACCCAGATAGTAAGTCAAGACCTTCCAGGTATAATTCTTAGCTAACACGAGCAAGATGAGTCCGATAAGCAAAAAGACCAACGCAGACACGAGCTCTCGGATGTCATCACGGCAGTCCTCCGAAGACACCCCGTACTCTGTTACTTCCAGGGCTACCACGATATCGTGCAGGTTCTCCTCCTGGTCTTGGGCGCCGACGCAGCGGAACCGGCGGCTGCGCGGCTCTCGCTCCTTCGCATCCGCGACTTCATGCTGCCGACCATGTCAGCTTCGCAATCACATCTTCAACTCCTCCCCGCCATCTTATATGTCGCAGATCGGGAATTGTATCAGCATTTGTCGAGTGCCTATCATCCTGCTCCGTTCTTTGCTCTCGCTGCGACATTAACACTATACGCGCACGACATCGAAGGCTATGGAGACATTGTGCGACTGTTCGACTATCTGCTGGCGAGTGGAGCAGTCGTCCCGGTATATTTGTTTGCAGCAGTAGGCCTCACCGCTCCTTCCTACGCATGTGATTGAGAGATGCTGACCTATTCGTGCAGATCGTCATGACACGAAAGAAAGAATTACTGGATATTGAGCACGATGAGCCGGAAATGCTCCACTCCATTCTCTCCAAATTACCCAAACCACTGGATCTCGAGGGCTTGATCTCCAAGACACGAACACTCTTCAAACGATACCCGCCCGAGCGTCTCCCAAACCGAGCTTGGAGCCGCGTGAGCTCATATTCAGTCCTCAAAACGACCCGCAACCCCCAAGCGCTGGCCGCACAAACGCTGGCGGAAGGCGAACAGCTCTATGAAAAACATGCGGCAGAAATACGCAGGCACGACATGCTGGTCAAGCTTCAACAGCGCACATATGCATTGGGTCGCAAGTACCGACGCCCAGCCAGATGGGCCGGAGCTGCGATTGCCGTTGCTGTGCTAGCATTATACATGCGCCGCGCAGACGGTGCGGTACGCATTGTCGAAATGCTTGGTCGTTTGGGCGACACTGCGTGGCGCTTTGTGGGGTCTTTGGCACCATGATGATGTGCAGCAATGTGCGCTCCACATATTTCAATATTCGCATCGGGCAGCGAAGCATCAAGCAACAATTAGATCTTCCCATCACGCGTGGGATTCACCGACATTCAGTCCTGTGCCTCCAGAAAGTCCACACTACAAGGTCCTCGATGAATATGGGCGAAGAGTTTCAGCAGTTGCGGGCTCCTCAGCATTCAGGCAGGTTTTTATTACAGCAGAGGCCTCGACGGATGGCTTCTGTGCCTATTTCTTCTGATCCAAGCCGAGCTGGGATCTCTCTCAAATCGAGACGTGACGAGCCCTCGAGGAACGTTGACTGGTCGAAATGGCGGGAAGTCTCGGTCGCCTCATCCAGCGAAGAGTCACGCCTACAATACCGAAATCTTTTTGGAAACATATCAGCGATTATAGCTCCATCTCAAGCGCTCCTCGATTTGGGAAAGAGGGACGCTGTAATGCAGCTTCATGACTGGAACGTTCGGCTTTGTGAGAAGAGCACGCCATCTCTTGCAGGCCGAGATGGCTCAATGCTCCCAGCTTGCAAGGTAGGGCGATGGCAGTGCAGAGCGATTTCAAATGCTTCGATATTTTCGCGAAAAGTCGCATTGTTCTTTTCCGCAGGACCAGGAGACTCAGCGCCCTGCAACTTGAGAAAGAGCCACAACTCTGCAGTCGCCACTATGGAGATTGGTATGAAACGGCGAAAGAATCGAATAAACACCGCTAAAGCACCGCTCCGAGCTTTCAACCGTCAAGTGTAAAGACACATGTCATCATCTCACGTCGACAATATTTCAGTCGATCTCATTAACATGCTATGTCAACACCGGGGTATTGTGCAGGCCGTGCCTTCGTCAGAAGACAACTAGCTTTCAGAACAAAAGCCAGGTCAGATGCCATGGCCACAACAACAGAACAACTTTTATTAGGTCGTTTCCTTCAACGACGAGAAATGCATGACTGTTACTGCCCTCCCGCCTGTGCACTGTCCTCCTGAGGGCCAGTCTCGTCAACTCCATTCTCGCTCTCCATTTTCGTTTTCTTCCGCGCAGGGCCATCTGCCGTCTCTGCTTGCGTCTGCTGCAGCTCGTCCAGTTGACGCTGAAGCTCCGCCGCGCGTGCATGAGCAGTGGCCAACTCTGCAGTGAGACGCTGCGCCTCTTCCTCGTGCGCTCGCTCTCGTTCTTTCGTTTGGTTTTCGCTTTGCTCCAGTTCTGTTACTCGGCCTCGGAAGAGGTCGTTGATGACTTCCAACTCGCTCACCCGCGTACGCAGGGTCACGTTCTGACTGAGCAGATCTTGCACATTCGAAGGCTGCTCCAACTGGCCGTTCTGCTGGCCGTTTTGCTGGAGCGCGAGATGTGGTAATGACGGGCTGGCAAAGGTGTCGGAGGGCAGGGACACTGTGTCGAAGATGTGCTGTGGTGCGATGTTGGGGTTACTAGGCTGGGTTAGCACGCATGCGGCAGTAAGCAATTTGCGAAAGACACACCTGTGTTGCTGGTGCAGGCCGGGCGTCTGACTGCGCGCCATGGAGTTGGGCGAGCCTGGCCGAGCCTGCTGGTCGTGGGCATGTCCCACTATGCCACTGCCCATGGGCAGTCCGTGCTGGTGTCCCGTCTGTACGGCATGCTGCAAATGTGCGAGGTCCGGATGCGCTGCGGGATAGCCATTGGACATATGTTGCAGGCCATTTTCTCCGCCATGGCTGTCTCTCTTCTTTGCTTGCGAGGCCTTGACGCGGTTCCTGCTCTTGATGACATCCGTCTTCAAGCTGATAGGCCGAGGGCGTCCGTGCAGCTTGAGGAAAAGTCCACAGGCATTGCACAGCACGGAGCCGGATTCATCGCGCCGCCACAGCGGTGTCGTCGAGGTCTGGCAGTTGGCGCATATGGGAGGCTGTCGGTCACGTCAGCTAGGAACACATGCGTGGTTGCTTTGGTGCTGGGCGATTTGAGTTTTGGTCGAGGGCGACGAATTGCGGAGAAAAGATAGGCGATAAGGCGCGAAGAAGAAGCGACTAGCACCGCAGCGCGAGGGAATGGGCGACAACAGCGCTGGCTGGCAACTCACCCCGGATCCGTTTTGGTTGCCGTAGCCCGCGGTCGCGGGGGCGCTCTGGCTCATGGCCACGGTGCTGACGGGAGTGTTCGATCGAGTGCTGCGGGTGGAAAGAGCAAGACGTTAGTTCAGTGCCTGCTGTCTTGGCCGAGATAACGAGACGCCGGCAGTGTGGGGATGCAACAGTGGAATCCCTGCTCCAGCACCGCCAGAGCTTCGCAGCGCTCTCGCTCTTGCCCATGAGGCCGCTCATGATCTTGTGAATTGGTATGCACATACCTGTCACCGCTGTGGCTCACTACCGCAGCAGGCGCATTGGCTGCGAGCGATGCCAATGTCGCCAACGAAATGTTGTCCGTCCCTATTCGTCCGCTGAACGAGGCCTGCCGTGGATGCGAGCTCGAGTGCGTTGACGCTGTTGAAGGCGGTCGAGGTATACTCGCGCCGGTGCTGTGATGTTCGCGATGCGCAATGCCGCTCGGTGGACGTGGGGCTTCGGCGAATACAGCTGGCGGTCTGTGGAATGGTTGCGACGCGTTGGGAACAGCGTATTGCAGCATTGAATCGGCGGGAGATCGTTCGCGGGCGGGGCAGTGTGAATGGACTTGTCGTAAAGCGTGCTGATGCCGTACGTTCACTCCCAAAGCGGCAGAGGATGTGCGCAAAAGGTGGGCGAGATTCGTGGTCCAGCACAAGAATTATTAGAATTACAAGTATGTAGGAAAAGCGACAATGGCACCCCCAATGCTCATCGACTGCAATGCTCTTGGGCTGATGAAGAAGAGGTCGTTGGAGAAGCAAGAGAGGGTAGCATACGAGCGACTGCAATAGGAGAAAGTGCAATAACGAAGGGTCACACCTGCTTTCGATAACATTGAAGATAACAGGGATTATGGCGTAGGCGTTGTGCAGTAGCGCCACAACGGCAAGCCGAGCGTCCATCTCGATTCGGCTCTCTGTCATTGGCATCAACCATGGCGCTCTCGCAGCGTGTACAACGTGTCCGAAATGCGGCACAGCCATCGTGCGTATTGGCGTGTAGGCCATACTTGTCGTTGCCCTTCGGATTGATATCTTGCCCTCTTCGAAATGCTGCCGTGTTCAAATTCATCTTGTGGCGCGAGCTACAGCCTCGTGCCCGGATCGAATGCCGGTTGCGCTGCGACCTCGCTGTAGCAGCACGTCGCCGAGCAGTCGCGGAATCAGCGAGGCTTTGATTGGATATTGACGACATCTTCCCTCATTTGCAGCGCACAAGCGGAGATTATTTGGCGGCTCCTATAACTCGCGCGGGTGCTGTGTATAAGGAGGAGAGATTCGCCGCACCTACCCAATCAGAAGCCTGCCCCGGATTCTGAGAAGTCTTCGAATGTCTCTAAGTCTAATACGCGAATTTTGAGATTTTAACACAACAGTAAGGCATAAAGTTATTAAAAAAAGTGCAACACCCAGGGCAACGACTATGTTGCCCCCCTAACCCCCCAAGGGGGGCTTTAGAAAGGGAGGGGCGTCCTTCGAGGTGCAATGTGAGCTGAAGCTGAAAATTCGTCCGTGCTTTCGAATTTCTCCTCCTTATACACAACACCCTCGCGCGTTGGTCGATCATCCGCCCGCGGTCCGCGAGTGGCTCAATCCTGGTCACTGTGGCTTGACTCTCGTCCCTGGATGCATCGACATGCCATCAACTTCGCGTCGTCCACCCACCGCGAACATGGCTTAGCCGAATTCGATGTCTGAGGCTGCATACTGATCTCACGGCCCTTCTCATCGCTCGAACATGTCGTCGAAACGTCCAGCGGCCTCGGGATACGCCCGCATCGCGCAGGCAGAGGAAGAAGAGGAGGAGCAAGCGTATTCCGATATCGAGGACCCGTTCGTCGATCCGGCAGTCGTCTCTTCCCCAGGTGCCCAATATGCGCCCATACAGCCTGGTCGTCGCGGCTCCATGCGCATGCCCGATGGCTCTTCTCTACCCAGACCGGGCAGACGGCGGCGAGCGAACAGCGGAGTGGACATCAAGGCAATCAATCTGAGGCTGGAGCGCTGGGCAGAGGAGATCAAGGACCGCTTCAAACGGCGAAGAGTGAAGGGAAAGAGCGCGGAAGAGGAACATTTAGAGATACATCATTCTGTATTTCATGCACCAGATTGGATCAGGCCCGCAACGAAAGAGACGTTGGAAAACGCGCGCGACGACACCGAGCGACTCTCAAAGTTGGAGTTCGACGACCTGGTCGAATCGGTGCGAACTGCCATTGAGCTTGGCCTACATCCAAAATTGATCGCTCAAGGAAGCAGCGGGTCATATTTCGCACGCAATAGTGGTGGGCAGACAATTGGCGTTTTCAAGCCCAAAGATGAAGAGCCGTATGCCAGCAAGAACCCCAAGTGGACAAAGTGGATCCATCGTAATTTGTTCCCGTTCGCCTTCGGACGAGCAATGCTCATTCCCAACCTGAGCTACGTTTCAGAAGCCGCAGCATATGTGCTTGACTGCCAGTTACGGACGAACCTTGTGCCTTACACGGATGTAGTTGGACTCAGCAGTAAAAGCTTTCACTACGACTGGATGGACAGAAGAGCATACTACAGGAAAGGCAGGCCATTTCCAGAGAAGCTGGGCTCATTCCAGGTGTTTTTGAAGGGCTTCAAGGGAGCAACGGAATTCTTCCAGGAACATCCGTGGCCAGATTTGAACAATACCAGCTTTCGAGATGCTCCATCACGAAAGAAGCGCCGAAAGCGATGGGACGAGACGTGCCGACCGAGCAGTAGGACGAGTAGCAGGCCTACGACAGCAACAACGGATGGGTACAACACAGAAGATGAAGAAGACGATGCAGCCGAGGCGGGGAGAAATTCTGAATTCTGGACCGAGGAGCTTCAGCAAAGCTTTCGAGAGGAACTCGAAAAGCTGGTGATATTGGACTATGTAATGCGCAACACAGACCGAGGCTCAGACAACTGGATGATACGAATTGACCGGGACACCAACAAAGCCACAATAGTCAAGGAGCCGCCGAAAGCGAATGGTGAAACAGACACCAATGGCTATCATAGGCGCAATGAGAGCATGAGTGCCTCAAGATCTCCCAGCAAAGCGCGAGAAGGGGCTGTTCCGAGAATCGGCGCAATTGACAATTCGCTATCGTGGCCGTGGAAGCATCCCGATGCATGGCGAAGCTACCCATTCGGCTGGCTCTTCCTTCCAGTCGGCTTGATCGGAAGGCCTTTCTCGGAGAAAACGAAACAGCATTTCTTGCCCTTGCTGACATCCAAGGCCTGGTGGAGCGAGACGCAAGTGAAGCTCCGTCAGTGTTTTGAGATCGATGCAGATTTTCAGGAGAAAATGTTCGCAAGACAGATGGCTGTGATGAAGGGACAAGCCTGGAACGTTGTTGAGACGTTGAAGACACCTGATCACGGGCCGCTGGAACTTACGCGACGGAATCGTGTGCATGTCTGGGACGATCTGGTCGACATCCCCGTCGCTGTACCATTGCCGCGCGCCAGCGAAGAGATGCGAATGAGAGCCGCTGCTGCGAACGCGGAGGAACACAGACGTCATGCACTAAATGGTAGTACACCTGCGATCGACATGATGGACGATGAAGAAATGGATATCTCCGCCGCGCATCCGTCAGCCTCGACAATAGATGGCAAGCTGCTGGAACAATATGGATCGTCCCTGCCGAACGAAGCCATACACGTTCCCAATCGTTTCAACACATCGCGGCAGAACTCTTCTCAAGATGTTCATGAATCGCAAAAGCCATCAGAGACGGCCACCAAGGAGGTGAAGCTGTCTCCAGCAGCAATGCGATCGCCAGACACGCAACGTCCCGGAGCTTTCAGGTCGCGAACCGGCGATCATCGCCATCGCGTATCACTCGATGTTCCCCGCACGCAATGGATGTCTTCGCCAAATCGGCCCCGGTCGCGGCGTTTCTCACTTAGCTTCGCCAGGAACAATAGCGAGGATGACGGAGATCTTGGCTATGCAGCCACTTCAGAGAGGGAAGGCGCAACAAGGAAGGTCATCGTGGAAAGGCTCGAAATGGTCAAGAGTCGGGCGCCCGTATTCAAGTGGTGCTAGTTGACTGATGCATGGCTCTGCATGGGCCACAATATCTGCTGAAAAGCATGGTCAAGTGTAGACGCTTCAGACACCAGGAGAGGTCTTCTGATCAGCGTCAGCGTCAGATATGAACCTCGTTGACATCTTACTGTCCACATGATACGATGCTAGATGCATTCCAGGCGGTCCAGGATCAATACGGTGATCGTGACGGCCTAAGTGCTCGCGTGATCGAGTTGTTGACTCCACGACTGACGAGCATCACCGAGGCCTTCACTTGCGTTCCCAGTGCGGCATGGGTGCCATCGTTTTGGCACATGTGAAGGGCTGCGGACAGTTGGCGGTCGATACATGACTCGACCGCGCATTCCACGCTCCGACAAGTCGAGTGGCAAGAGCGAACGGCTCCTGTGTGACAGTCAGCGTAGGCAACCTGGAAGAATCCAAATCTTGTCAACAGAAGTGGACTTTGAGAAGTAGTGCGGCATTGATTGACAAACCACACATGGTGCTTCTTCAAGCTCGTTTGGGCTTACAGGTGGCTCTCAACGTGACATGCACTTTCCGAAAGCCTACGCTGAAAGTGCGGACGTTTGCGAAGCATCAAAACAAAGTTATGCAGCTAGTGAAGAGCAAATATTCCCTACGCAACGTATCGCCTGCGGGCGATCGGGCACTGAGATTGCTCTAGTAGAAGCTTTGTAAAGATTTCGCCGGTCCATCAATCCTTCCCTCTCTCTCAGCCTCTCAACTGCTCCATAACATCCCTCAACCTCTCCCACCCCTCCGTTCCCTCCCAAGAATCTTTCCCTCTCCCCATAATCCCCCTCAGCGCACTCCTAGCCTTAAACTTCCAATCCTTCATCACAACCTCTCCAGACCCAGCCGCCATTCCTTCTGTCCTCTCCTTCGGCCCCAAACTCTCATAACTATCACAAAGTCGCACTGTAGCCTCGACCACAGCATTCCACTGCTCTTCTTTCCCATTACTCTCCCACCCCGGCTGATTCGTCACAGCTCTCCAAGCTTTTTCTTCGGCGTCTAGAGCAGTCGAAGGTTTATTTCTCCACAAGGCGAGTTTTGTTACGAGATGCCAGAGTTCCGCAGAGCTTGTGATCAAGGGAACGATATGCTCGTCGATGAATTTTACTGTCATGCGGGTGAGACCTGGGACATTGGGATCGTAGCCGGATTCATTCGAGGATATGATGTGGTTGACGAGACTGGACAAGATCTGAATATCAATGCATTTCTCGCCGTCTGTAGGACCACGGAGTTGGATGATTTGTCGTTGAGAGGTGAGGATGTCTTGGTACGAGGGAGGTCGTAGAGAAGCGGCGACAATGAGCACGTTCTCCCAGATGCGATGTGATTCGTGTTTGAGTGAAGCCGCACGCTTGAGGGCTTTGAGGGCGTCGAAACGGACTTGCTGACGCTTTTCGCTAGCAGTGGGCTCTGCTTGCTTGGAAGGCTGCAACTCGTCTTCATCGTCTAGAGCTGCGGATTGTTCAGTCGAAGTAGAAGGCACTGGCGCATCAGACTCGTCTTCGTCAGTTCGGAGGAGTGCAGCAGCGAGGTTGCTCCAAGATTCAGCGTCCGTATCATCGAGCTGCACGCAGCGAGAGAAAGCCTCGACTGCTCGCTTGAACTGTGCCAATTCGAGCAAAGCACAACCCAACGCGAACCATGATTGCTGATTCAGCTGGTTGACTCGTAAACTCTTGCTGTAAGCCTCCGCTGCGCGAACCATATCTTTCGCAGCCATGAAATGCCGCCCAATCGATCTTTGCGCTCTCGCATATCGCTGATTGGAAACTTCCCAGGCTTTCTCGTACATGTCGATCGACTGATCAATGTCACCCAGAATGCAGTACAGCCGCGGAGCGTCAAGAGGCGCAGGGTCTCTGGCAGGGCCCAGCCATTCCTCATCTTCTCCAACATCGAGCTCTGATTTTTCTGGGCCCCCACCTGCAGCATGGAACAGTTGTCGTCGCACAATCCGTTTTGCTTTGTCTTCACGCTCTGTTGCAGCCCAGCACAGAGCGGCTTCTGCCCACATTTCGAGTCGCTCGTAGATTTCAAGAGCAGATCGAAGTCCACCCAATTGAACCCATCGAGAGGCAAGCTCCGCCTCGAGCTCCCATCTTGTGGGAGTTGCAAGCTGGAAGATGTACCTCACTCGCTCCGTAACTGGCGCACTCTCAGACTCTGTCGCTTTCGGCAGAAACGTTGAAATTGCTGCTGGCTTTTCGGAGTCTTCTTTGCTGGAAGAGTGTTCAGGTGTTGTCTCTGCAATGACTTGATCGACCAATGCTTGCAGCTGAAGGAGACCTCTCTCGATCGTTCGAGACTTGTATCCCTCGATCCGGCTTCGGACAAGGAGAGCTTGCGTGTACACTTGCCAGTTCGAGCTGCCGCCGTCTAGGACTCGTGTAGCGTACGGAAGTGTCTCTTCTCGCGTCAGGCCGTTCTGCGGTGATGTATTTGTGATTGACGAGGCCACCAGGAGCAAGATGGTGGAGTCGAGAGGCTGTAATTTCGGCTGGTCGCCTGGATCAAGTGACTGGAGTACGGTCGGTAGAGATTCCAGATTTTGCATTTCTGTGAGAGACACGTCACTGGGCTTGTCCTTGGTGAACGATATGCTTTCCAGCAGTGTGTCATCGTTGAGATCCAGGTTCTCTGGTTTAGTCTTGGTGGCAGTGGTGGTAGAGTCTGCAGACTTTGCGACTTCTTCCCCATCTTCAACACTCTTTGCCAGCACTACCAGCTGACTGACGTCTTTCTGCTGATATTTGGTTCGTTTCCCAAGCATTCCCACCAGTGCGAATTGAAATTGGTTCTCAGCTTTGGCCTTCTCCAAGTCCTCTCGCGCGAATTTGTCGAGGCCATGATGGATGTGTATACTCGCTCGCTCCAGCAGGAACTCGACGTGCAACGTGCCGTCGCTTGCTGCTGTTAATTCATCATCGAGTAGGCCAAGATCATCGTATATCACTTCTTGGATCGTTGAAGACACCTCAGATAGTAGCCGCTGATGGAAGAAAGCACTTCTCAACTTTGCCCATCTCGCAGCTTTGATGTTTTTCAAGACTGCAGGATTTGTGAAGATGGCATCTGCTAAGCACAAAAGCTCAATGTTTGGCGTGAGCTTGTACGCGGCAATTCCATCCACGGTGAATCCGGCAAGTAGCTTCTGTCGCAATGTATGGCGAGCATGTTTGTCGGACGCCACGTCGGATGGCAATAGCAATTCCGCTACGTCGAAAGCCAGTGGTGGGCCGGTAACATTCGATTGCACGAAAGCCAGAAGTGCTGCATATCCTATGCAGAAGACAACGGCTTGCAACTCGGCTCTCGATCTGTCTGCCAGAATTACGCCCAGTCGTTGGAAAATGAAGTCATTCCAGGTGTCAAAGTCGCTCAGTTGAACGGACTGCAAGTTTTCATCCTGTTCATGGCCAAACAGTAATTTGGCCTCAGAACTTCGCAGGATGCCTTCGTAATCCCCACTTTCGAGCTTCTCGATGGAATGTGCGACCTGCGTTGCGACTTCTTCTGGTAAGCTTGATCGAAAGTGTCGCAGCAGAGCGTCAGCCATCTTGGAAGTCGCGATATAAGTTGGGGATGACCAGGAAATTCACGTCTGCGGTCGTTCGTTGCTGGCGATATTTTTTGATGACCAAGTCACAGCCCCACCCCTGCTGAGAGTGGCGGCTCGTACCGCGAAAGCGAGATGCCATTTCCTTCTTCGTGCTTCTCTCCTGTCAACATCTTCTGCCACCATAATGTCAACAGTCATCTTCTCCAGATCATCACGGTCAAGTACGCATTTCGGATGTGATAGAAGGCACCTTTCTCCTCGCTGGGCCCGGCCGATGAAGCTGACAGCAGATCCGGCGTGCACCACGCAGCTCGGCCTGAGCGACCTCAGCCCACGTACTGAATCTGCACGCCCAAGGACCACTTTCCTTCCAGATATAGCTTTACGAAGCCTTCAAGCTTTCTCACTCTGAGCTTGAGTGAAGAGAAGCATCCAACATCGCTCAGCCATCTCGGCTGTCTATTTTAGCTGCCACGAGGCGAAGCCATGCTGTGCAACAATCCTTCGACACCAAAGTCTGACCTCAGCCCGCTCCTGACCCATTGTCGCTTCCTTTGGCCCCATATGGACTTTCAAGCAAGTGGATTAGCGAAGTAGAACTACGCCACGTGTGGAAAATATAGCTTGGGATGGTGAGCCTCGTTGCGTTGGTCTGCTTGTCACAACAGGTTAAGAAGAAGTACCACTCATAGTTCCTGTCGCAATTTCTCTCATCACTCATTCAGACGAGCGCAAGTATTTATTTCCACCTCTTATCTCTCTTGCGTTCACGCGAACATTTCATCTGAAGCGCATCTCCTTGTGGAAAGCATCAATACTCTCACATCGGAAACACCAACCGCCTCCAACCATGGCCTCTCCACCACTCGCCCTCAAAATCTCCCTCGGCCTTTTGATGCTCGATTCCCTCATCGAAACAGCCTTTGTTTCCTCCATGGTCCGATGGCTGCACACCCGAGCAGGCCGCGACTTCCTCTTCACCTCATCCAACAGCACCCACCCCCTCCACGGCAAACCCCTCAACCTCCTCATCGACCAAGGCCACACCTCCAACGGAGCCGCAGGCACAGCCTTCGTCCTCATCAGCCTAGGCGGAATCCTCTCTCTCAAACTCCGCCACCACGCAACCTCACACCCACACAACACCCGCTCCAGCACATCAACCTTCTCCAAAATCATCCACACAACCTGGTTAATTTTTACTTTCCTCTCCATGCTTCTCTCCCTCGGAGCCCTAATCTACACCTTCACTCTCACATCCTCGCATACCGACCAACACATCGACACCACTCTCGCCGCATCACTCAACAATCAACCCTATCCAAATCAAGTCCCATACCCAAAAGATTCCTGGACACCAGAGAATTGGTTCAAAGCAGTTCTCGAAATTCCTCTCGTCAGTAAAAGTGACAGAGACACCATAAATTTCCATCTCCGAATCATGCAAGCCTGGCGCTGGAATTTAATTCCCATGTTCATTCTCGGATTGGCAGTTTTCGTGTGCGCAACAATTGACGCAGTGGCTCAGTGGAAAAAAGATCGACAAGTGCGGAGTTTTATGCGCGAGGGAAAGAGGCTTTCGGTGTAGTTGATCAGAGATATCAGAGATGTAGGCGAATTCGTTAGCATTGAAAGAGGCGTAGCTAGCAAGCGAGCATTACGGAGCGGAACTGTGTCAAAGTTCTTCGAATTCACTGTACATAGTTTTCGTCGTTTCATTATATTACCAACACACACACACAAAGTCCCACACAAAGCTCCCGCGCCTTTTCGAAGCCACTTTGCCCCGGAAAGTCCTTAGATGAATAACCAAGAGAGCGACTTGCGCCTTACTAAAAAGGCTCAACCGTAGTTCGCGCCCACCCTGTGCTGTTTGTGCTTTTTATCAATATCAAAAAGGAATCTTTGCGCTTTGGTTGACGAAGTTTTGGTCACATCTCCAGATTTCATCAATCCATCCCAAACACAACGCCTCCAATGCATAATTGTTCACACGCTTCTGCTGCGTCTCCATTTCAACGCCATCAGTCTGAAATGCTTGTCGTTCTACATGGAAGCAAGTTCAATGTCGATTTGAGCATCGAGGAAAGCCCTCTTCTCGCCGACCAATTGACATTGCAACTTTTGCTCGGTCAAAGCCTTGAGTTGCTTCTTGGTCACGCTGTCCATGTCGACCTCACCGAGGCACTCGCGGATGGCCATCGTGATGGCCTCGTTCGTCGGGCCTTGCGTCTGGAAGCCGTGCAGAGATTGTGGGTTGGTGCTGCCAGGTCGGCTGCCAAAAGGCCCGGCACCAGGGACAGGCGACCGCCCGCCGTGCGAGTACAGCGGAGGTGATTGCATGTTGCCCATAAGATTGTCGGTTGATTGGTGCTGTGGGCTGTACTGTGGTCGGTAGTGGTCGCTCATGCCGCCCATCGACATCAGACGCTGCTGCGACTCGTTCGGCGTAGCCTGATCGTGGTAGCGGCCAGTCATTGCCGAGAAAGTCGAGTTGCGTCCAAGTGCATTGTATGGGCCAGGCGATTGCGGCGGCCGGAAAGACTGGTTCTGTGGGAAGCCCGTAAGGATAGTGGAAGCCGGCTTCACACTAGAATATACCGAGCGGATGTCATCCATCTCGTAACCACCTGCATCGTACATGTGCATGTCCTTCTCCTCAAACATGGTACGGCGTCCAGGAAGATTGTTGGCAGTAGCATAGTCGTCCCATCGTTGGAGGGGAATGCTTCGAGGGTCGAAACCCTCATCGTCAACAGCAACGACTCGCTTGTCACCCTTCTCTCCAACCACGACACGCGTGTTACCCCACGAGAAATCATCTTGCTTCCAGAAAGAATACACTGGCAGGACGAAAGACCAGATCGGATATGCCAGAATGTAGATGATCATCCATCCAATGTGTTGCCACTGTCGCTTGACCAAGAAGATGATAGCCTGCAGACCGTACACAGCTGCAAGCATAACAATGGAGATCAGCGGGAATTGTCCGGTTCCGGTAGCTACCACATAAACCAAGTAGACCAGGTATGCGCAGGTTGCCGGGAGGATGAGGGTACCAAAAAGATCGATGAAGACCACAAATCTCATGCTGAAACAGCAGAAGCCACAAAGGTCTACCTGCATCATCTCAGCCAGATTGTGGATGGTCGAGTTGATCCAACGACGACGTTGCGAGAGCAGCACACTCCATTGCGCAGGTGCTTCAGTGAGCGCATAAGCATCAGGAAGGAATTTGTAGGACATCGACGGGAAGTGTTTGGTCATGATAGTCGTCAAGTAACGATCCTCACCGAGAGAGAACAAATTCTTCTTGTGGAGGGTATCGATGTTGTTGTCCGCGTATTCAGCAATGACCTTGTCGGCGATGATAAGCGGGCGTCCTTTGTCGGATGTGCGTAGTCGGTACATGCAGAAACTGTATCAAAAAGTCAGCTACCAGCTACGTTTCATTGCGAAGGGCTTCACTCACCATCCAGGCAAACACGTCACGCTACCGAACAAGCTCTCGAAAGCCTTGGCCAGGTGATGGGAAATGTAGTATTCGTACACTTGAATCATAGTCCACCAAGACCGTTCCTCGTTCTCCAGGGATGTTTCTCCACAGATACCAGCAATCTTTGCATCGTTGGCACAAGCAGAGATCAGTCGATTGAGTGAATCTTCCTTGACCTTGGTATCGGCGTCGACCATGAAAAGATATTCGTAGAGCTCCGGGTCAACACCAATAATGTTGTTGATTTGATGGAACATCTCCAACTCCAGTGGGTTCATGGCGGATCGGTGGTGCACGCGGTTCAAGAAGCTCATCAGCATGATCTGCGAGTCACGCTTGCCACGATTGCCAGGTTTCGACTTTTGCTGCTCAGATTCCTTGCCGACTTTCACAACGACAATGTAGGGAACAACATTGCCTTCGTATTCGTACAAGCCGGAGTATACCTTACCATAGTTCAGCTGCTCGCCACCGAGACCAAGCGACTTGAATGGCAAAGCAGGAGGATCAATCTTGGGATCGACACCAAGAATGTCGAGCACGATCTTTGGCGTAGGGCGGTCATTGCCGCCTCCGACAATCATTCCATCGCAGATAACGCAGATTAGTTTCCTTTTGTTGTCATAGGCCAGAGCAGTCAGAGAGTCGAGGCCCTTTCTCAAGGAATCTTCACCTTCCGTGTATGCTGGAACCTGGCAGATGACGAACTTGTCCTGTTGAGATGGCCTCTTCTTGGAGCCGAGCTGGAGAGCTGCCAGGAACTTGATGGCAATGACAGCGCAGAGGATGATGGTGAAACCCAACAGGATGTAGCCATTAACCTGGCAGCGAGCAGACTGGCGGAAGTCGGTATCACCAATGTAGAACATGTTATTGAGACAGTTCATGCTGTTCGTGCGGGTCGTGAAGTTCAATTTGTTGTTCCAGTCCTCAGTGATGTCCGAACCAGGATTATTTTGTACCAGTTCCTCAACGTCATCTGCGAAGAAGCTGTAACTCGGGAGATCATTCTGCTGCTTGAGTGTGTAGAAGTAGTCTGTAAGGTCGTAGACTCTGTCATCGATGATGAACCATTTGCGACTGTACTTTTGGCCGTCACTTGTCACGGCAGACCTCTTGTACACGAGTTGACCCTTGTAGTATTCCTTCATGCGTGGCAGGAAGTCGTCGACATACCAGTTGATGTTGTTGAGCTTAGTCGTCCTGTCGGGCTGGAATTGCGGTCCCGACTTGTGCTCTCCGTTGGGGTACAGGAGGGTGTTATTGCTCTGAAGCTGGATCGAAGTAGAGGTGACGAGGCCAGGGCAGGCGACGGTGAGCGGAGGTACGATGTATGGAGTCACATCAGTGCCGGCGAAGGGCTGCATGTTCTCTTCCGTGGTATCGATATTCGTGTCAGAGTGCTGCAGCTTCCAGAACTTGCTGAGATCGTAGACACCGCCCCGGAAAGAAACGAAGAAATCGTCGTCTCCTTGGTGGTAGGACACTTCCTTGCGATTCCACGCCTTGTCACGATTCGGACATAACAGGTTTCCAAAGGCGACGATGTAGAAGACGATGGTGAAGTTCAAAACCAGAATCAGGAAACACAAGGCGAACTTCTCTCGCCAGGCCTGTCGCACATCTCTGCGCTTCATTCTGCCGATTGCGGAAAGCATGAAAGAAGGAATCCAGAAGGTGAGAGCCCAGACGAGGGCAACCCACATCCTGCGGCCTTTGGTGACCTTCTGGACGACCAACTCCTTCCCTGCGGCCTGCTCTGCATCGATCTCGCCTTCGAATCCGATCCAGTTTCGCTTGTCGTCTCCTTTGAAGCCTAGGCCATAGTCACCACCACTAGTGCTGCGCATGGTATGGGCTACTGTTGGAGCGAGCGACTTCGCGCCCAATCTGCTTGGGGCTACTTGACTTGGGTTGTGGGCGTGCATCGTCTCGCGATTGGGGTCTTCGAAGAAACCGCTATTCATGCCGGGGCCCTGGTTGTAGCTCTCCATACCAGCTGCGCCGACCATTCCACCAAGCATTCCGGGTGCGGACATGTCGTCAGCTGGCTTCATGTCGAGCATACTCTCGGCTTCCCAGTAGGCACTCTCACGCATCCAGATGCGTTCGTGGCCAACAACGACCTCGCCGTTGCTCCAGCCGCGTTCCAGAATCCAGCTCTCGACTCCTTCACGGCCATCATGACATCCGAGGCGGCGGTAGCGTTCGACGAATTCTTCCACATCAAAGTCCGCGGTGAAGTCAAGCTGCTTGGTCCTGTAGTTTGCCCACTCGGCCAGTCGCCAGCTTCGGATTTGACTGGAGACGCTTCCTGCAGACCACGGCACGCTTCCCGGAGCTACGTTAGCGAATCTCTCCGGAGGCTCGTCGCTTGGGTGCAGGCACAATTGGAACCACACTCTGCTGCTGCCAAGCGTGTTCATCAGGTTGAATCGACCGTTCGAACCGAGCACGATTCCCTGGCCGGAAACGGGGTACAGCATTTGGCGCAAGAAGCTCTCGTCTTCTGTTTCTACGCCAATCTTCTCGAGTGTACCTTGGCGGCGGTCGAGCCAGACCTCTCGCTCCTTTAGAGATGTGCCTTGAATGCCCAAATCTGCTTCTGACTTTTGGACAGCTGCGTCCATTTCCTTGATTACAGATGCGCCTGTAGGTTGGATTGGCAAGCCATCTTCTTTCATCTCGAGATTGATTCCGACTCGGTCATCGAAGACTGTTTTCAGGCTGACAGCCTTGCCGAGATGTTGGGCAGGGATCTCAATGACAGTAATGCTCACGCTGTCGATATCGTCCGCGCTCGGCGGAGTCATGGCACCATCGCTGCCACTGCTGGAGCCTAGGGCCCGACCAGTGCGAATATCATGTCTGATTGCCTCGTTGGCTTGTGCAATAACCCAGTCCACGAGAGCTTCGTATAGTGCTCCGATCAGAATCTCTCGCTCTTCCGTAACACACTTCTTGAGGAGCACCTCCTCGTCAATGTCAAGGAGACCTGCCACTTCCTCGCATGCTGCAATCAGCTCTTCCTGTTCGATAAGGTACCCTGTGGCGTCTCCAAGTCGAAGTATGGCGGAGACGACTGCGAGGAGACTTCTGAGGCTCCTTCCCTTGACACCGATGGCCTTGAGCGACTCTCGGAAGTCCTCTGCAGCTGCTGCATCATCGGCGGCGGGCAGAAATGCGGGAGGACCGTAGGTGTCAGTCTTTCGAAGAAGGGCATATTCATGTGGCTGTTTCAATGACAGTGCCTCGCGCTCTTGCTCCGATTGTGCATGGAGGAGATAGTAGAAGACGTCGAAGGCCCTGTAGCCGGGTTGTGCTGGAATATGAGTAAGTCCCCCCTCCGTGTCGATGCCGGATGTTGAGAGGGCGATGGAGGCGCCGGTCAGCTCGCCAGTCAGGGCGAGCGTGAATGTTGCAGAAAGTGCTGAATATCGCGGTAGAGATGGATTAAATGGTGTAACTGTGCGCAAGAAAGGCTTCAGGGCATCCAATGCGGTGTAAAATGTGCCCGGCACGCTGAGAGGCAGGGCGGAGACGAAGGGTGCGAATAGTGATGGCGTGGATTGATGGAGAGAGCTGTAGCGATTGTCAGTCGTGCCTGCACCTGTGTTTTGCTGCGGGATGGACATACCCAAGAACAATGCATGCGTCCTCAGCTCTCCTTCGAGCATGCTCCCATGTCCGCCTGGCTAGCTCCGCGTCCACAGCGCCGCCGTATCGGCCATCAGGGCCAGTGCTACATCCCGTCTGCCATGTGTTGACGACCAGGCTGGTGCTCGATTCGAGCGCATAGGGCGTACCCTCCTTGAAGCAGCTGTGCAAGGCATTGAGCAGTGTTGTGGTCGAGACCTGGGACGAGGAGGGCTGATTGTGGTTTTGCATCGTGTTGGTCCGCGATGCGCTCGAGTATGTCGACAGCCGATATCCATGTTGCGCCATGGCTGGCCGAGAAGTGTGCCCGCGAGGGCGTAAACGCGTGCGGAGAGCGCAGTTGAGATGGTCGCCGGCGGGCGTGCGGCTGTATCGAGTTGTGCCTTCCCAGCTTTGTGGTGCTCCTCGACGCGACTTCGGAAGGTCCGGGACAACGGCGAACGAACGTTGGTTAGCGGATCAGAAGCGAATGTGGTGGGCGAGAAGCGAAGGTGAGGTTTCAGCGGGCGTATGAAGCAGGAGTCGTCGGCGCCTGGTGAGGGCAGATGGCGAACGAGGACACGGAGGTGGTGGTGGTGGTGTTGTGCCTCGAAGTCCACAGGCAATCCACAGCTCGACGGGCGGCGCTCGATCGGATGGGGAGGCTCGCTTGTCACACAAGCTCAAGACAAACAAGGGGCGCAACCTTCCAGGGCGGACGGCAGAGCGCTGATCACGCCAACCCAGAAATGCAGCAGAATTCGGAGAAATAGTGCACAACAACCACAACCACACGGCGCTCTCACCACTCTCGTGCCATGCTGGCCTATTCGCCTCAATTATTCTATTACAGTCCGCCGCCAGACACCTATCTGCTGCCCACAACTGCGCTGTGGCTCGTATTCAACTGGATCGGCAGGCCGGGTTCTGCCATTTGCGAGACAGTGGTGGCGAGTGCAGCCTCTATTTTTGGGGGGTCCTTCGAATACACTACAGCATGCATGAACGTCAACAGCGCAGCGAGCTCCCAGCTTTCGCCCAGCTTTGAGCTGCGTCTGACGCGTCCTCCAATGCACACGCCCGGCTGACGCTCAATCCACAGCTCACCGTCGCCGCACACGAAGTGGCAATGGATAGAGCGTCAGCATCATCGATACTATAGCTTCTACCGACCGTTGTTCTCGACGCCGCACTGAGCGGGTCTGACCAGGGTGGGCCTGTCGCGCTGCTGTGTAGGCGATCGCGCCGCTTCGTCCACACGAATCTGCACAGCGCGCTAGCGCGTTGGGTAAAGTTTTTGTTGGCGTCGAAACCGTGCTGCAGGACATGCTGCCGTGCGCCACCCGGCTGCGCGTCGATGCAAAACGCGTCGCTGTCGTGTGGTAGGGAAGCACAACGCAGATGCCGTGTACAAGGGCAGTCTCGTGGCCAGCGTTGCATGCCGTCTGTGAGCGGTGGTGCGGGTGGCGGCGTCGAGGTTCGCGGCGCGGTGTGCTGCAGAAATCACGATGGCGACGAGGGGAACGATGGGGCGGCTGCCGGAGTGCTAAAACTGAATTGCCCAGGCCGGCTAGCCCAATCCACCAGCCGCAGTGTTCCTTTGCTCTCAGCACTCAGGAGAGGCCATGCAGGCAGGGATCTCGCTGTGCTGTGGGCGACTGTGGACATGCTGCTCGAGTGTATGCGTGTGCGTGCCGGTGATCCATCTTCCATCTCACCACCACTTCTCTCACCGTCGCCGTTGTCGTTGTGATCATCTGTTTGTGCCTTCCCATACACTCGCTTTTCGACACGCTCGCTGGCCAAGACGAGCAGGAGCCGCACGCGACGTGCCATCGCTTCCGCCCACAACAACAAAGTCGCAGCCTCCTTCTCCCGCGGGGCCTGCGCTCCAACATTCGCTGTCACCACACCCATCGTCCGCCTCACGAGGCATTAATCCGCCGATAGTGCAGTTTCAACATTAATACAGGCCCGCGCGGCCATCACCGCCGACATGGCCGTCAATCAGCAGAACCTGGCGGCGCTGCCAGCCCATTCGATGTCGGATACAAACATCACCTCGCACATCGCCTCCCGATTCCATCAGCACCTGCCCATCACGACATTGTCGTCGCAGGGCTACATTTCTGTCAACACATACAACTCCGCCGCTAAGGGCCCCAATGGCGGCAAGGAAGGGAGCGCCATGGGCGCCGCTGAGGAGCTCGCCAGTCGCATGTGGACAAGATTGGGAGCGCGACAGGAGAACCAGGCTGCTGTCTTTCTGTAAGTGCACACTGGTGGACATCGCCGAGCGGTGACCCGAGCATTCATGTGTAGCGACCTGAAACGTGAATGGCAAGCTGACTTGCACACAGCGGAGAATCTGGTACAGGCAAAACCACAATCAGATCACATCTGCTCAGCAACCTCCTACAATACAGCAGCACACCACTCTCCAAAAAGCTGTCATTTGCCGCCTTCGTTTTCGACTCGCTCACGACGACCAAGTCCATCACAACACCTACCGCATCCAAGGCAGGTCTATTCTTCGAGCTTCAATATGATACCACCTCTTCCATCCACCCTACACTCATTGGTGGTAAAGTCCTGGACCACAGACTGGAACGCAGCCGAGTGGCAGTGGTGCCACCTGGAGAGCGTAACTTCCACATTCTCTACTACCTTCTCGCAGGCACCAGCCCTGCGGAGAAAGAGCACCTCGGACTCGACCTCAATGGCAGCACTCCAGCGGGCGTAGGCAACAGGACCTCGATGGGCAATGGCAGCAAGCGATGGCGATATCTCGGACACCCTTCTCAAATGAAAGTGGGCATCAATGACGCGGAAGGGTTCCAACATTTCAAGACTGCTCTGCGCAAGTTGGAATTCCCTCGCGAGGAGATCGCTCACATGTGTGAGGTCCTCGCAGCCATTCTTCACATTGGTCAGCTTGAATTCATGACCACGCAATCCACCACACCCGCACCTGATGAGAGCGGTGGCTATGGTGCCGAAGGTGGCGAGGACATCACCGTTGTTAAGAACAAGGACACTCTTGCCACAATTGCGGCCTTCCTTGGCGTGGGTGAGCGGACGCTTGAGCAATCTTTGGGTTACAGGACCAAGATTTTGCACCGCGAGCGAGTCACCGTCATGCTGGATCCGAAGGGTGCCCGCGAGAACGCTGATGAGCTGGCAAGGACTCTGTACAGCTTGTTGGTAGCGTTGGTCATGGAGAAGATCAACCAGCGGCTTTGCGCCGTGGAGGACCAAATTGCCAACACAATTGCAATTGTGGACTTCCCTGGCTTTGCACAAGCAGCGTCCACCGGCAGCGTGCTGGATCAGCTCCTCATCAATGCCGCCAACGAGTCGCTGTACAACTTCTGTCTCCAAAGTTTCTTCGAGCGCAAGGCAGAGCTCTTGGAGACGGAAGAAGTGCCGGTGCCCGCTACTAGCTACTTCGACAACACTGACGCCGTTAAGGGCCTACTCAAGCCCGGCAATGGAGTGCTCAGCATCCTCGACGATCAAATGAGGCGTGGCAAGACCGACATCCAGCTGCTGGAATCTTTGCACAGACGTTTCAAGGGCAAGAACCCGGCCATTGAGGTCGCCAGTCCCACTGTCGTTCTCCCAGGCACTAACTTCCAGACACCGAACCAGTACCCCAAGTTCACCATCAAGCACTTTGCTGGTGAGGTGGAGTACCCAGTGGAAGGCTTGCTTGAGGAGAATGGAGAGGTCATCTCTGGCGACTTGATGAACCTCGTCAGCACAACCTCGAGTCCCTTCGTTTCTGAGCTCTTCGGACAAGAGGCTTTGAACAAGACCCTGCATCCGCAAGATCGCACTGCTATCACACAGGCTTCTGTGGCTTCCAAGCCATCTCGAATGCCCAGCACCGTGCGCAGAAAGGGCAGCCGTCCAGCACGCCTCCAGCAGCGTGAGGAGGACAATGGAAGCGATGAGGGAAGGACGAAGAGCTTTTCGCGCTCGAATAACGGTCCTGCTGCGGAGGCACAACAAGGCGCTGCTGCACAATTCCTGGCTTCACTCGACATCATCAACAGGGCGCTGAGTGCCCCGAACACCAACCCCTACTTCTTCTTCTGCCTCAAGCCCAACGACCGCAGAATCGCAAATCAGTTCGACAGTAAATGCGTTCGAACGCAGATTCAGGTGCTTGGTCTTGCTGAGATCGGACAGCGCCTGAAGAATGCCGACTTCAGCATTTTCATGCCATTCAGCGAATTCCTCGGATCTGCAGAGGGAGAGGTCTCCATTGTTGGCTCAGAGCGCGAGAAAGCAGAGCTTATCCTTGATGATAAGAGTTGGCCTAGCAATGAGGCGCGAGTAGGCACTACCGGTGTCTTCCTCAGCGAGCGTTGCTGGCGACAGATATCAAATGTGCCAGAGCTCGGAGAAGCTCCTCCCGCTGGGCCCTACGGTGATGAATCTTATGCTAACTCCGGGGTTCTCACTCCGGACGCCAAGCGAGGATTCGGCGAGTCCAAGGTGCAGTTGCTACAAACTCCTGGTTCTGGCTATCTGGACGACAAGGCAGCCGGGTACTTTGGTAGCAGAGATCTGGACGTCAAGTCTGAAGCTGGTGCATCTGCTTTCCGCGAGGGAGACATGTTCCGTAACCTGGAAACGCGATCTCAAATGGCGGAGAAGGGGAACGAAGTGAAGGCTGCCGAGATTGAGGAGCGTCCAGCTTCAGGCAGTCGCATTCGCTGGCTCGTCTTGGTATACATCTTCACCTGGTGGTGTCCAGACTTCCTCATCCGGACCATCGGTCGCATGCCTCGAAAGGACGTCCGGATGGCTTGGAGAGAGAAGTTGGCCATCAACATGATGATTTGGCTCTCCTGCGCATTCGTTGTCTTCTTCATGGTTGGCTTTCCCATCCTCATTTGCCCGACGCAGCACGTTTACAGTCTGGAGGAACTGACAAGCTACAACGGAAAGGACGGTGCGCAGTCGTACATTGCGATTCGCGGTGTCGTGTTCGACCTTGATGCTTTCATGCCGGCGCACTATCCTTCCATTGTGCCTCAATCTGCCCTAAAAAAGTATGCCGGAACGGAAGCAACAAATCTCTTCCCTGTTCAAGTCTCGGCCATGTGCCAAGGCGTCAACGAGTCTGGCATTGACCCAGCTGTCCAGCTGAGCTTCGTGACATACAACTACAGCGGCTCGACCGCAGCGATTGGTGCTCAAGATACCAATGCGCAGTACCACGACTTCCGCTGGGCCACCAATGACTCTCGGCCGGCCTGGTTCATCGAGCAGATGATCATGCTTTCGGGACACTACTGGAAGGGCAACATTGGCTACTCACCACAGTATCTCAAAACTCTCGCATCCAAGCAGAATTATGTCGCCTACATTGACGGCCGCGTCTACGACTTCACCGATTACATCGCCGGCGGCAGAGCACCACAATATCCTTCCGACACTGACAGACCCTCTACTCCGCCCAACTCGAACTTCATGGACGACAGAGTGGTTGATCTGTTCCAACAGCGTTCCGGCCAAGACGTGACCAAGTACTGGGAAGGTCTCAATCTTGATCAGGGTCTGAGAAACCGCATGCGCACTTGCATGGACAATCTCTTCTATGTCGGTAACCTTGATACGCGAAGCAGTCCGCAGTGTCAATTCGCAAAATACATCCTGCTGGCGATTTCGCTGCTGCTGGTGTCTGTCATCTGCTTCAAGTTTTTGGCTGCCCTGCAGTTTGGAAAGAAGAACGTTCCGGAAAACCTTGACAAATTCGTTATTTGCACAGTGCCCGCATACACGGAAGACGAAGACTCTTTGCGCCGTGCTATTGATTCTGCTGCGCGTATGAGGTACGACGACAAGCGCAAACTACTGTTCATCATCTGCGACGGTATGATTATTGGTCAAGGCAACGACAGACCAACTCCACGCATTGTCCTGGACATCTTGGGCGTGCCAGAGACTGTCGATCCAGTACCCCTCAGCTTCGAATCGCTCGGAGAAGGCATGAAACAACACAACATGGGCAAGATCTATTCTGGTCTCTACGAAGTGCAGGGTCACATTGTGCCTTTTATCGTCGTCGTCAAGGTCGGAAAACCATCCGAAGTCAGCCGTCCTGGTAACCGTGGCAAGCGCGATTCCCAGATGATCCTGATGCGCTTCCTCAACCGAGTCCATTACAACCAGCCTATGACACCCCTCGAGCTGGAGCTGCACCACCAGATTCGTAATGTGATCGGAGTTAATCCTACCTTCTACGAGTTCCTGCTGCAAATCGATGCAGATACAGTCGTAGCTCCAGACTCTGCGACGCGCTTCGTTTCTGCGTTCGTCAACGATACCAAGCTCATCGCTGTGTGCGGTGAGACTGCGCTCACGAATGCCAAGGCATCGTTCATCACCATGATGCAGGTGTACGAGTATTACATCTCGCACAACCTGACCAAGGCCTTCGAATCGCTCTTTGGATCCGTCACTTGTTTGCCCGGTTGTTTCACCATGTACCGCATTCGAGCTGCCGAAACTGGAAAGCCTCTCTTCGTGTCCCGAGAGATCGTCACAGATTACTCTGAGGTTCGCGTCGACACGCTTCACATGAAGAACTTGCTACACTTGGGAGAAGACAGATACCTCACCACACTTCTCATGAAGTACCACTCGAAGTACAAGACCAAGTACATCATGCGCGCTCATGCCTGGACAATCGCGCCCGACAGCTGGGCGGTGTTTATGTCGCAACGTCGTCGATGGATCAACAGTACCGTCCACAACCTGATCGAAGTCATCCCTCTTCAGCAGCTCTGTGGTTTCTGCTGTTTCAGTATGCGTTTTGTCGTCTTCTTGGATCTTCTCTCCACTATTGTTCAGCCCGTCATTGTCGGATACATCGTGTATCTGATTGTCACGGTTGCGAAGAACCCAAGCACTGTTCCGGTCACCGCTTTCATTCTTCTGGGAGCAATCTATGGTCTTCAAGCAATCATCTTCATCGTGCGCCGCAAGTGGGAAATGGTTGGTTGGATGATCATCTACATGGTTGCGACTCCGATTTTCTCCTTTGCTCTTCCTCTCCTTGCTTTCTGGCACATGGACGACTTCTCCTGGGGTAACACACGTATGGTTACTGGTGAGAAGGGCAAGCAGATCATCGTTTCCGACGAGGGCAAGTTCGATCCGGACAGTATTCCAAAGAAGAAGTGGGAAGAATACCAAGCCGAACTCTGGGATGCACAAACACGAGATGATGCCCGCTCTGAGATCAGTGGCATTAGCTACGCTACGAAGAGCTGGCATCCTGCCGCTTCCGAGTTTGGATACCAGCAACCAGGCCACAACAGTCAATTGTCTATCCCTGTGATGCCTCACAATGCGTCGCACATGTCCCTCGCATACTCGGACAACGGGATGCCAATGGGCATGGGCGCGAGGTCAGAGTACGGTGACATCTCATCGGACATGCCATCTGATGACGCTATTCTGGCTGAAATTCGCGAGATCCTCCGTACTGCAGATCTCATGACCGTCACCAAGAAGAGCATCAAGGCCGAGCTTGAGCGACGATTCCAGGTACCAATGGACTCAAAGAGACAGTACATCGGCAGTGCCACCGAGGCGATCCTCAGCGGACAGCTTTAGGAATGTGACCCCTTGATCGCGTCTGAGCTCTGTCATCGGCTGCGCGCTCGGGCGGAAAGTGATGAGTTTTGCTCTCTTGTACAGCACACTATACAGCGACCGGCCAGGCTGAGGCTTCGGGGTGGCGGCAATGCCCCAAGCAAACTCAAGGAAAAAGCGAAGAAGTTGGCGCGGCGATCAAAGCGTGAAAAGCTAGAACAAGCCCAGAACCAAGAGCCGCCACGACCTTCCCACGGCAGCTCTGCAATCGCTCGATCGGTCCCTCGCATTTGCGATCGTTTGTCTTGCCGTCAGGCAGGCAGAATATTGTCCGCTATAGGCTGGCGTGAGTTGCCTGGGGCAGTGTGATATGCCCCATCATATACAATATCCAGAACCGCGCGAAGAGCAGCTTGAAGAGCCTTTCCCGGAAGACTTGGAATATGCTCGAACACAGAATCTTATTCCGCACCGTGGTGGGCCCGCTGCGGGTCTGGGCATTCGCTCTATGGAATTCCATGAGTCCTCGAGGCGTTACGACGCTCAGCGTGAGCCTGTGGGGGACGAGCCTATTGGTGTCGAGCCTGTGGACATGCAGTACGTGTTCCCATCGACTGCGGACGAGTACACGGTTGAGCCCTCTGCTTATCCCTCTCGGACTGTGAGCCCTGTCTCCTCAGCAGGCTCTTTACCCACTTCAGAAGTCAGCGCACTAGTTGAAGACGATCAGAACTTGCAACACCGCGACACCGCAGATGAACCTGAAAGTCGGAGCACCCATGATTGAGAGAAGCATTACACTCATTGTCTTATTACCATCGTGATGGAGGTTTGAATGCATTGGTTTGGAGGACCACCTGCATGGCGGAATACGGCGTCTTACTTGGGGAACTTTTCATCGCACACACGGTTTACAACACAATAATGAAGTGAAATGCAACAACAACAACAAACAGCAGGAACACCAACTTTCACTGAGTTGGAAGAAGAAGAAGAAAAAGCGAGTGGCGCAATGGCGTTTCTGTGAGCAGGAATGATATGTCAGTCAGTCTTTTGGAAAGGGAAGGGATTGGAATGTACAGAACAGAATCAGTGACTTGGATTGTAAAAGACTTTAGTGTGGTAATTATTCTTGGAAAAGAAAAGAAAGACGTAGAAATGAGTTTCTTGTGCCTGTTGCTCGATGGTCGTGTTGTCTATCTGATAAACTGCTTGGTGAAGTTACATCGTACTTCATCGTGGTCTATGTGTAAGTCTCACATCTCGCCATCGATTGCACGAATAGTGGTCGACGCGAATGGATAAGCTAGTTTTTGGCCAAGGGAGTAACAGCCGGTCTCCTTTGTGCAACTACGCAGATGTCCTCTTCTCTGCGCCATTTCTGCGGAAGGAAGTACTGGGGTCGAAGCCGTCTGCTCTCATCCTGCTGCCAGTGCAGCCAACTTTCGATATGACGAGTTTGCATATCGGACCGCCATCTTTCCAGAAGAAAATATGCCGGAATCTCAGCAACAATAGCAGCTCTAGATGCTGGTTGTTCCGTCCAAATCGTCATGGTCAGCAACGTATCTTTGTGGGATGGATATCTCGGCGGTGAGGACTCTGATACAAGACGTGAAGAGTACTGAAAAAATGCGGAAGGATCTTTTGAGTTGCCCTTGATGGTATCAAGGTTAGACTAATCATGCGCGTGCGATGATCCTTTCGAGCTTGCTGCCTACGGCGAAGAGCTGTGATGAAGCAGCTCTTTGAGTCCCGAGGACAAACACTTCAATAATCCTTCATGTCATCACATCCCGTTGTTCGAGCAGCCAGCAATATACCTCGCACCTCCTCCATCACTCCGTAGAGATCTTGCAATCGTGCAGCATGCTCTTCTCATGGCTGCTGATCCTCGTATTACTCTTTACCGACCCTTGCTCAGCCGTGCAGTATCCTTTGAGGTTGGCAGATGGCTGGAAGTATGATGATAGCTACCCAGAGCCAAGTGTCTCGCGGAAAGGGTTTGTATGTCATGGAGGATGCGATTCCATCTCGATGTGCTCGCTAATTTAGTCCAGACACTAAGACACGTTTACCATCGCGGAACCCACGACTATCCCTCGATGCATCGATATCATGATATATCAATAAAGCTTCGAGTCCTCGAAACCCTACCTGTTGTTCATGCAGTACCCGTGCACATAGAACGCTTAGTCGACCGCCGACAGGAATATATCGACTCGCTCCTGGCAACCGCTCGGTCTCACGGTCAAGCGGAACGTCTCTCTCCGGATGCTTGGACCATTGCTGCACTACTAGGTCCAAACACAACTGATAAGTCCACGGTAATCGCATTGGCAAAGATGGCCTACGATGCCTACGTGCCAGATCCATCAAGTAAAGAGTGGAAATCAATCGGTCCTGGCAACCACTCTATCTTCAACCACTCGTCGTCCTTTGGCTGGGACTCTGATGGCCTGAGAGGGCATGTGTTTCTGGACGAGACGAATAGTACGATGGTCATTAGCCTGAAGGGGACTTCGATGGCATTATTCGACGGAGAAGGGTCCACTCGCAAGGACAAGCTGAATGACAACCTCTTCGCATCCTGTTGTTGCGGTCAAGGTGGTCATTACGGTTGGAAGGTCGTGTGTGATTGTATGACTTCGGCTTTCACATGCAATAACACTTGTTTGGCATCTTCGCTGGAAACAAAGGATCACTACTACAACGCCGGACGAGAGTTATACGGAAACATCACTGCCCGATACCCACAGATATCAAACGTCTGGTTGACTGGTCACTCGCTAGGCGGCGTTGTCGCTTCTTTATTGGGCATGACATATGGTGTTCCTGTGATGACTTATGAGGCATTTCCAGACGCTTTGGCAGCATCACGTTTGGGCTTACCGACACCGCCTGGATATCATATTGGCCAGTCACGATTCAGCGATACAGGGATTTACCATTATGGCCACACTGCTGACCCTGTCTTCATGGGTACCTGCAACTCATTATTATCGGGCTGTACGTTGGTAGGATATGCATTCCAGAGCATGTGTCATACCGGAAAGACGTGTATCTATGACACGGTCAAGGACCTGGGATGGCGGTCTAGTGTTAGCTCTCATCGAATTGTGAGCGTCATATCGGATGTGCTCGAGGCGTATGACCAAGTTCCTGTCTGCGAGGTGACGAGCGACTGTGAAGACTGTTTCAATTGGAAGTTTTATGAAAGCGACGGGTCTGAGAACTCCACCGAGGAATATCTGCCTAGGTCAACGATACGCGATCTGGCATAGTGGCTCGATGATTCTGCGCCGTAAATGACTGTTACGTCGATACCAGACTTCCTACTTCATTCTTGTTGCAAAGAGGGATACAGCCACCGAAAGACATCCTTTGGACACAGCTCTCTAGCCAAATTGGACCTTGTGGTATGCTCCCAACTCCCATCTTCATTCCTTTTCGCAACACTAAACTCTCTTTCGACGAACATGGGATACTCTGGGACATTGTTTTGGCCGGCCTTGCCCCAGTTCACAGCTGTTTCGCTTCTATCGCTGAGAGTCAATCCAGTGATGGCGGCTGGCTTCCAGCCTGGAACTCGCGCACGACGATATCGCACCATGGGATGAGTGAACTCACGGGTGTCGTCGGAATAAGCGCCAGGGGTTCTAATTTGCTGTCCAAGAATGCGAAAGAAGGTTCCCGACAGTCCAGCAAAATTATCGACGATTTTACCGCAGCCCCAGCTAGAAGGATCTCCATTTTGCACCAGGGCTGCAGTATGTTGCGAGATCAAAAGGTCAATTGCCTCGGCTTCGAATGTGAGAATTGTGCCAATGTTATCAATCTGAAGACGCAAGTCAGTAATTGCCCGCAGCCGACGGCTATCCACAAAGTACTTGCCATCCAAGCCAATGTGTTGGCCGCAATTTCTCCTCGGTCGCCGTCTTCGACTGGGTCATCTGCTTGCCCGCCAACATTACTATGCACACCGGGAAACCAGCATTGCTCAAGGCGCTGCTCTCTGCTGGCTGTTTGATGCCACATCGTTGGTGGGAACGTGATGCGCTTTTCGTCTAGTGCAAGCGCCTGGAAGCCGTGCTGGATGTCTTCATACAATTTCAGGTTAGTATGAATCGGCAAACTGTTCAGCAGCGGACATACTTCTCGGAAGACTGGTATCATGAAACGCATACTTCTGATTGAGAGGAATGCCAACAGCCTGCAGAGCTGTCACACCAGGCCACTGTGGAACACCCTGCAGAACGATTAGTACAGCATTTCTGACAGGTCTTCGAGTATCTTAGGCTCACCAGAGCTCCCACCGTGTCCCAAACACCGACGACTTTCACTTGGACCGTCCTGATCTTAAGCCGCTCACTGTTGTCTCGATACCATTTACTTTCCTCAAACGGTGACTTGCTGCTTCTCGCTCGATACGCTTTCCACATATCGGCAAAAGAGCCCATATTCACCGCAGACAAGATTCCGATCTCGGAGACAAGGCACGCTGCTGATCGGACCGTGAATGCTCCTCTACTGAAGCCCAGGAAAAAGAGCTCGTCTCCAAGCTCATAGTTGTTGCTGATGAAATCGTAGACTTGAGTCACTTCGACATCAAGACCCCATCCTAGACCCCCTGGAAGCTAGTGAGCATAATGTCGGACGATGAAGTCATGCTGCTTGTTCGACAGAGTATTCGGTACTTACCCTCAATTGCTTTCGCAAACGGGAGACTGGTGCTTCCCAATCCGGCATTGTACGACACCACTTGTGTAACGATCTTGCCATCAACCACAGCATGTGGTGCTATCGCTCTGGCAATCTTGGCCACGTTCGATGGCGTGGAAGCATCGCCAGTGTTCGCAGCCATCCAAGTGCCGTCGCAACAGACGATGATTCGTTTGTAGTTCGCCACTTCAGGCATGTTGCACAGACGAAGAAGACAAAGGAAGCTTGCAGAGGTTCGGCGTATGTGTCAACTGAGACTTGCCAGACAAAGGACGTCGCAGCCCATGTTATCCCTCTTGTCCAAGACGCATTTCAGCTCCAGCTAAATACAGAAAGCTCAAGGCGAGCTGACTCCCAGCAGAGTACCTTGTCACATGCAGATGCGCATCTTGCCCGAACGCCCGTCAGCTGTGGTCTAAATTGCATTCAGGCCGCATTCGCATTCAAGCAGCCGGAGCAATGATGTGATCCAATGACTTTGGCCTTCTTCCTTTCACATGAAATAAAATATGCAGATACGCCATAGAAAGAGACGCCATGCCAACATGTGAAGACCAGTCAGTGGCGAGAAAAAGCCAATAAGCAACCACGGCCAGACGTCCAAGAAGATTCAATACACATACGATGCACGGTTGTAGCACGAAGCAGCTTACAGCTCAAGCTTGCAGTCGGAATGAGCTCTTGGCCCTGTACGAATCCCTGACGGCAGTTTCGAAGGGTCATGCTTGCAATGAGTGGCGAACGTGATTCGATGGTTCCTGCGTTAAATTTCATGCAGAAGGGATGAGACGGGGCAGTCGCTCAGCTATTCGGGTTCCAGTGAATGCTCGATTGACCAGTCACTACGTCAGCTTATCGCAACGATGAATTAGATGCATACATGTAGCTTATGCCCCAGAAGTGTAAAGAGCAAGGTGGAAAGATTGGCTATTGTGCGAATGGTTCTCCAAATGCGATGTATAAGGATCGATGTACATGACCTTCTTCGCGACGAGTGACTGTCATTGAGCATCGCTGTTTGACAAAACATCTCCGGCCCAATTGATGCACAACGCGTGAATGCTTCTCAGCTCTTTACGCTCGGGTATCTGCGCGAAGGCCAAAGCCCCAGCCGTCCTGCATCAGCAAGCCGCGAGTCTCAGCTCTTGTGCAGCCCAAGTGCCTGCACGACAGCGCCTCTCCGCCGTCCCGCGCATCTAGCATTGTTTCGCAGCAGCGCTCGTTCCATAGCAGTTACCCGCCTCTCCACTGTTCGAAGCCGTGCAGCCACTTGGCTGGTCGAAGCTCGTGGCTTGACCGCACCTCTGACAAAGTTGACGATATCCAGCCGTACAGTAGTACTAATGGCAAGCAGAATGTGTCAGTCTTCGGCAAGCTTCAGCTCTGCGCAGTGGAATTCGTTCCATACCAAGTTCGCTGCCGCGTCGCAGTAGTACCTAGAGAAGTGCAAAGCCAACGTCAGTGATCGTGGCTGGGATGAGATCTGGACTCCGGAATGGGAGCTACTCAGATTGACTTACCCATTGCCGCCTGGAACGTCGTTGCAGCTCTGTCTCGTTGGGGCGTTGAAGAACTTGCTTTCTCCAAGATTGAAGCCTTGGGGGGCAGGCTTCGCTGCTGCGAGCATAGCGACGCTCGCGAAAAGGAGAGATGTAGAAGTAAATTGCATCTTGCAGAATTGCGCAGCGTTGTGATTGTCGGTGTGATAAGGGTGTAGCAGTGAGCCTCGAGAGGGTGGATGTTCGCCGTGTTATACGCTTCAGTGTGGTGTGGTGAGGAAGGGCCAACAAAGTACCTTGTGTTCCATTCGAGCCCGCTTCCTCTTCCTTGCGCGAGCTTCTACCTTGTCGCAATCTCGTATAATCTCCAAAACTATCAAGATGTGACCCTAAGTCGGAGAATGGCGAGCGTTCAAGGCCAGATTGGGAGCTGCTCGACACGTTCTGAACAATGCACTCGTCCTCGATAATGAACAACGGGCATATGCCGACCGAACACGAAGACCATGGCCATCCTGAAGTTGCTGTTTGGAGTTTCTACCGACCGAATGTGATATAACGAGCTCCCCCCGGGCTCGATCGAAGTTAGAACGCGAGGCAAAGCGACCTTTGCGAGTAGTCGAGACTCTTTCTACGGCAAGAGCTATATTCTTCAGCTTGTTCCCTGCGCTTGCTAATTTTAAACGAGGCTGTAGAGGGGAGGAAGTCAACTTGAAGACGTGGGTGCCTCGTATGGAAACTTTATTACTCGCGTACATGTCCAGAGTGGTGCCAGTCCAAGTCTGCTTCCGACGGCTTTGATGCGAACCCTCGTGCCCGTCCATTTATGCAGCACATGCCGCGCTACAGTCGCGAGAGAGCATGAAGTGTAGGCCATAATTCTTGATTATTGGCTGTCTCGCATCGACCCCTGGTTGTTCTGGTGCTTTGTTGTAACGGTCAGGCCCGAAGCTGTGTAACGTGGTTGCTTCAAGCTCATTCCAAGACGCTCGGGCCGGAGCCCTGGAAGTGCAAGTCTAATTCGGGACTTTTGAGCAGCGTAGCCTTGCAGCATGGCAGAAGGTCCAACTTAGGTCGTACGCGGCGTCCGTGCTGCGTAAAGTTAAGGTACGCGTGGCCGACCAGAGGGTTGGTAAATTGCACTGAAACCCGCGGACCCCGCGTGGTCAATTCATGATCCTAGCTTTGTCTGCACATATTGCCACTGCGATGATGCGGTTAATAAGATGACTGACTATAGCAACGCCACTCAAGGTGCGTCAGCGCCCTCATAGGCGTAGGGGAGTTTGTTGGTCCCTTACATCTTGAAGAACTTTGTGGCGGGCCATGATGTGAAAGCTCCAGATGCTCCACAGCCAGAAACAGTCTTCTCAAATATGCTCGCAGCGTCCCAGGTGCGTTCAAAGTGAGGCTCTTCGTAGCGTGAATGCTGAAGTCTCTATGTTTTGGCAGCGTCAGCGTCAGCGTCAGCAACATGCACCGCCTATGCTTCTCTTTTCTGAGGCTAAGTGTTTCTGGTAAGGGCGCCACGAATGCACTATCGCCGGCCTCCAAATGGATTCAGGCCGCGTCGGTGATGAGGTTCCCCTGCCTGCACCAAGTGAGTGAACTTGATCAGAACGTTGGTTATCGCGGTGCGTGAGGGTAAGCTATACCTTGAATATGAATGGTAAGCACACATCGTTTGGAATAGCTACCTTGCACTCGTAAGCTTGGCTGAGTTCTCTCTTCGAAGATGAGCTTGTTGACCACATCTATGCACTCCAGTAAGAGACGCAGGAAAGGCTTCACGAGAACGAATATGCCGCAGACCGGCCACAGCAACTGCAAAAAGTGTGGACTAGAACTTTGGGCAGTCCCAGTGCTCCTGAGGGACGCTATTCGCCACGGCGTTGCTTATGGAGTTGCCTCCTGGTATTCCCTGCTCCAAGGTATGAAAATGCGAGTTCTCGTGTTTCACTCGACTACACGTGATACTTGACTGTGCCCTGGGACGACAGCAGATACTGAACAGCTGCGCGGCTATTTGGGGATAGAGCTTTGCAGCGCGGATATGTGCTTGTATGAAACGGTATCGGTTCTGTGGTCACTATCTTCAACATCAGGTGAGGGCGATAGTCCCAACGAGTAGATTCTGAGAGTGATTGGATGCAAAGGCCAGACTTGAGGTCGTCTTTGGGCGTGAAATTGATGTGGTGCTGTCGACTTTCTGCCTTACAATGGTCGAGACAGAACTTTTAGAACGGTCGACCCTGATAGACTAGCGCAATGCTCCCTTCTGGAGCGTGAGACGACACAGACGCGTACGCATTGGTAGCCGACATGCCCACGAGGCGCGCCCCCTGCGCGATAGTGTTCCAGATGAACTGCCGGACCTGTCCTTGTTCCGTGATTTGTAGAAATCCCATTGGCAGTCGACTGCGTTGGAGTGCTGCTCGTACACCTGCTGTAGCTGGTTTGGACGACACCAGGAATGCCATGACTCCATCTCCTCTCCAGCCTGCCGGAGCCCCAACATATGCACCTTCCAACTCTCTTACATTGCATGGTTGAGCAGTGCTGAGCTTACATTGTATCAGCACTCTGAGAACTCGTGCACCGGCTGATTCTCTCCCTGCTTCCGTATCCTGAGGGAGCGACCACTGGCCGAGCAAATCTATGCCAAGATCGTTCGCCTTTCCTGTGCGATGCAAATCGAAGTGGTAGGCGCTGAGAGCCTGCCGAACCATGTACTCGAAGTTTGTCCCTCTGAACACGGTAGATGCTTGATTGAGATTGCGAGCTGCTGCGTATGCTTGAAAGGTCGCGAGATCGTGGTGCTTGGTCTGATCAGCGCGCAGGGCTACGCGGGGCGGAGAAGAGGCGGTGGTGGACGAGCGCCTCGTTTTTCGTGTGCGCGATGCTGTCACGGCAGCAGCTGACCCGCCCTTCGCTGTCTTCGTCTGGCCTGGCTCTCTTCTCTTTCTTTCTCGTCTCTCCGGCAACACCTTTCCTTCTGTCTCTGCGGCAACATGGTGCTTTGTTCGGGCACGAGCGAGTTGTGCGAGATGCTGCTGGAGCGAGACAGGCTTCGGCTGGGACTCAGCAGGTGATATTTCCGGTGCTGGCTGTGGCGCGAAATGATGAAAGAAGGAGTTCAGCCCATCGTTGGTCTGCTCGGTCCTGGTCCTCGTCGAAGGTCGGCGCGACTTGGGAGAAACGGTCGACACGCGACGCAGCTCTGGGAGTTTCAAGCGCTGTCGAAGGAGGACATGACGAGCCAGCATGAGCGTGTTCCGACGGCACTCATGCTGCTGCCAATGCACGATGGTGGGTCGGAATGCAAAGTGAATGAATATCGCATGTGACAGACGGAGCTGGCGCGCAGGGGAAAGGCGAACGCGAAACTTCCGCGCAGGGTCTTGGCGTGGAGTTCCGTTCATAGGCCCGCTGGTCGCGACTTGACCACTTCTTGCACCGCATCGAGACATGTAGCAGTCGTGCACCGGCATCATGGCAGACCGGCTCACTCAGCTCCAAGACTGCCTGGATGATCTCCTCAACCAGATGTACGCTTCTCTGCACTACATCCACAACCGCCATCCGTATGGCACCATCGAGGGTCAGCCGCAAGGACCACACTTCCGCCTCGCCGGCGACGACGACGACAAGGAGGACAAGAAGGACAAGAAGAAAGGCTCCGCCGCGGCCGTGATCAATGGTGACAATGATGCGAAGCCCGAGGTCACCACTCCTGAGCAAGAGGACCCGGACAAGTTCAACACAGGCTTGAGAGAACTCGCACAGGATCTGGTGCTTAAGGAGCAGCAGATTGAGTACATTGTGAACTCACTGCCGGGCCTGGGCAATAGTGAGCAGAGTCAGGAGCAGAGGATGAAAGAGTTGGAGCGCGAACTGCGAGAGGTCGAGCTGGAGCGGGAGAAGAAGGAAGCGGACAAGCAGGAGCTCGTCGCTGTACTGGGCGAAGTCATTGGGAAGGTGAAGAGGGTGCCGTGAATGCATCTCACGCACTATCATCACTATTCACTATATGCGTCGGGATGCGGTACAAAGTATCGTGTCGGACCTGCAGCACACCAGCGCACTTCTTCCCTACGAGCCTTCACTTGCAGCTGCGACTTACCCGTGGCATCTGTGGCAGCACTGTCGTACGGGAGGTCCATCTTCCGTGCAGCTTTTGCGGCAAACACAAGCGCTATCGGAGGCAATTGTTGCACAAACAATCCTGCATTATTGGTGCCATTGAGTCGCACACAAGCATACTTTATCTTCCCCCGGAGGCCGCTGCAGCATCGGTCGTCAGTGCCGCCACTTTCACGATGACGGGCGGGAGCAAAATATGGGCTGAACAACGGCAGCAATCACCCACTTTCGTGAACTCGAGTGGCAGGCTGTACCCTGTTAGTCAACCGAAGAGTTCTTGCTTGAAGAACGATTTTTCGATTCAAGATTCGAAAGAGCGGTTTGCGAGAGAAATCGAAGCATCCTCCTCCTGCGATCTGCGAAACTCTCCTCATCACAGTCTCTCGACACCGCATCCAATATCAACACCTTCCGCGAGATCATTCATCGGCGAGCAGGAGCAAAGCTCAGCTACCCGCAATCATTCTTCGAAAATGGACATGGCTCCAGATCATTTTGCGTACACAGATCCACAAATTGAGTCCTCTACGGAAGCAACAGCGCGCCTGCGATGCCAGCAACCGCCCCTCGGCGCCGATCTCTCACGAGACTACTTCCCGACCTCGAACTACACCACTTCCAGCAAGCGTGCAGACTCGAAACTGAGCGAAGACATCAGTTCTTCCACACATGGATCTGAAGGAGTGTCATCCGAACCCACCAACTGGCATATTGATCTCGACAACTCCTCCCTTCATAGCGATCAGTCTTTCGACCTGGGCTACAAGAGTCGACCCGCTCCGCCATGTCTATACAAACAGCACACGAGGGTCTGGAATTCGCAGTATACCAGGCCACTGAAGGACATGTTGACCGAAATCCTGGAAGTGCGCTATCCGCAGCGTGAAGCAGGCATCGCTACGGAGAGGACGGCGTTGCTCGGGGTCGGAGATAGGAGTACCAGTCAGAAGGAGAGGTGCTCGTTGATGTCGTGGTTTCCATACTTTGCTACTATGATCAGGGGCTGATTCGGGTCAAGACAAGATCAGGCCTCAGAATTGATATCAAAGTCGGATGGGATAGTCCTCGAGTGTCATTCAGCTCGAATCACATCATCAATGGTTGGTAGCACCTCGATCCGTGTTGTATTTCGTCCCAAAGTTTGAAGTGCTTCCCTCTCGTCAATGTAGCTCACTAGACATCTTTTTGACACGCAGACGTCAGTGGAAGTACAAGTACATTCTCCATGCTGCCTGTGGGTGCGTATGCCGCCGCTGCTTCCCAACCAGGCCTCGTGGAATTCTCGCAGCCTTATCTTCGTTCGATACAACTAAATGACCCTGTGCAGCAGAGCCGAACCTTTTCCGCATCGCCGATGCTTGGGCCATCAAGAACGCGCCGGGAACCATTCTGGGCGTTTGTATACCCATGCTTTGGTAGCTGCATCACCCGACTGGCTCTCTTCAGCTCCATGCAGCGCTTCACAAAGTCATGGGTTGAGGTTATAGTTATCGAGTGACCTCCGAGAATGCCTCTCCCCCTCATGACCATCAATTCGAGCTTCTTCCTTGAGCACCTCGATGAAGGAGAGTATGGCAAAATACGTGACCAGTGCCCACTATTTGCTTGCTATACGACGCTAGGGTAGCAAGATTCGGTGATGATGTTCAAGTTGATCGGTCTCGAGAATCATGTCGCTCTCCGCTCTGGCCCCTCGGACCACCGGTGCCTCAAGCTAATGCTTGAATGACCACAGAGAACCATGATTAGATTGTCCTGCTAGGGAATGATCCGACTTCCAGTCTCAAATTAATGTGGATAGTCCCATTTCGTTACTACTGGGCGGACTGGATGCACTCGACAATGGAAACATGTTCTTGAGCGCTCTCAAACGTTTGGCAGCGCCTGATGTCGCACACGACTGTGTCTGATTTGATCACTTCCATCTTATCGCGTTGCCTGGGTGCATAGAATGTGGGCATTTTTGTGACACTCATTGCCCCTACCAAGTTCTCTCGCGGCTGCGGTGTTGCTAACGTGACTGTACTAGATGCGGTGGTTCTGATAGGCACTCCGAGCCCAATAATAGTGCACAAAATCTAAGTCGTCAAGAGACGCATACCGACATCCACCTCCCTTCTTTCCAAGATGCAAGCACTGCTCCACCTCTTGTCCGGTAGTCACGAAAACTTTCTAGATTTGTGATGGACGTCCTCTCTCGCCTGGAGGCGGCAGGTGAATCTACTACAATCCCATTGCGGTCGCTGAGAAACTTGAGACGAACATCAAAGTTCTCAGATACGGAAAATTCATCGGAAGTGATAAGACCGCTTTATTGGTGACTTGTCTGGCTGTGCGAAATAGGGGAGACAGAACATGGTCAAGATTGACGGCCTCTCCGTTGATGAGGACTGGTTCGGTGTTTCATAAACCCAATGCAGCTGGCGGCGATAGTTTGAGCCGTCACGGACGACAGGGCAGTAGGGAGCACTAGAAGCTCCATCTCTGCTGATGCTGATCGACAGGCCAGAGTGTCGACGAGCAGACGCTTTGGATCTCCTGGTATTGAACCGCAGGAGAGGTTTTGGAAAGCCTTCCGTTATCTGAAAGCGTACAGCATTCGAAGCCAGCAACGAGCTGAACTTTGCGAATACATAGTCTTACTGCAAGCCAAGATGAGGCTCACGTGCAGATGAAAGGCATTCCAGGTAGAAAGGCAAATCCAATCAATTCATGCGCGATTCGATACAAATTTGGCATGAACGGCTTGAAGGTGCATGGAATCTCCTCTCGTACACGTATTCGAGCATATGTGTGATAGCTTTCGTGTATCACGCCAGTCCGATTTATGGCTTTTAGACCATTGGTTGTAATATTCTAACGAAAGTACAAACAGCCATTCGGCCTCGGTGCTACACAGTAATGACCGCTACATTGACGTTTGCTTTCCTGTAGAGCTTACGCTCGAAGGAACCCAGACACATCGCGTTATCTAGTGACTCTCCCGTCCTTTTGTGCAAGCTCTCTTTTAGTCTAGCCAGACTAGGTCGGACCTCGTACTTGTAGTGCCCAGCCAGAGTACACAGCTTCTTGCAAAATGATGCAGAGAGTTGCAGTCCCTGGGTTATCCCAGATAGCGCCCGGGTCGGCAGCAGGGACAATAAACTCGTGGACCCGAAAAGGGGTCGAAGTAAGGGGATTGTCCGTCGATCTAAACTGCTCTAGAATAACCGTATGTCGCTGAAAGTTCCTGTTTCTGAGCGTCAGAGTGACTAGTCGGCCAGAGTTCGGGTTGTGCAGAGAAGCCACGGCCCTAATGTCGAAATCGATGCTGGGCATCCCTCCTTCAGTGAAATGTCGACTATTCAACGGGTTGTTGATAGTGTTTATGTTGGATGTAACAACGACGCGGCCGTTCGTATTCAGCGTCGGTGGTTTGAGGAAGCTGAAGACGGTACAGTGAGGATTTCCGGCTGGAGCTTGGAGGGACAGGGTCGCCATCGATATCTTGAGAAAGACCAAGAGGACCTTCCGCTATGTTTAGTGTGCCATATTGAGTGTATAGTACAGCGGTGGCACATAATTACCTTGGAGAACTTGGTAAAAAGCATTGTTGGTAGCTCAGAACTCTGTGTCTGGACCGCGTTATGATAATCTGCTGAGAGCAAGAGAAAGGGTGATCGATATAGGCCGTCGGGAGAGAGTCGTAGCTTGAAACTCTTTTAGACTGTGTGCGAGTGTGGCACTGGGCGAAGCTGCAATCGAGCAGTATGTGTCTTTATAGTACGACACCATCCTCGCAGGATCTAGAGCGAGCCCAGAGCGGACACGGCAAAGTCGGGCGAGAACATCTGTCTGTGCTAATTCAGGAGCACGCATTACCCCGAATCCTGTATGCTGAACTGTCGGATGGTATGGAAAGCATGAGATCAGGGAAGCAGCATTGTGTGAGGGCTGCAGCCAACGACTGACGGATGGTATGAAACTTTGTCATCTGGGAAGCAGCATTGTCGAGAGCTGCCGCAAACGATTGTTGGATGGTATGAAACTTTGACATCAGGGAAGAGGCGTTGTCGCGAACTGCCGCGAACGGCTGCCGCACGGTAAGGAAATCTGACATCAGGGAAGCAGGATTATACGAGAGCGGCAGCAAACAGCAGGTGTAGTCCAGGGGCATTCGCCCGTTAGCAGGACTCTACGGACGAGCCGTTGATGAGTCTTGCTTACATGTTCTGATTATCCATCATCGCTCGCACGAACTGCTTACTGCTGACTGATCATTGATCATGCACTAGAAGCACGCGACGGCTTCTAGGGTCACCAAGCGTTGGTAAACTATACATAGCGGGGAGAACCATCGAACCGCTCTCGATTTCGGACACGTTTGGGTCTAGACCGCCGAGCAGCGTTCTCGGGAATCGGACGGCCAGCACGCACACCGTGAGAGTTTGGGCAATTCCAAATGGTTTTCTGCATTGGAGGGCTACCGGAACCCGCATGAGTCAATCTTGCAGTCGTGTTTCGAGCAGCTGGCCGGCTGGATCGTGTCAGGCTCGAGCAGGCGGGTCCAAGAATGAAAGGTCCAGCGACATGAGCCTTCAGAGACTAGCTTTGCACAGTGTCCATCCAATGTCGAGACGATACAGTACGCGATGGCGCAAAAGAGCACTCAGCTCGACGTCAAGTCGACCATGACGCCGCAGGCAGCTTTCGATTCCATACACTTCCCTGTCTTGCTGGGGAGACCATGGAGGCGGTTACTGTCGCTCGAGAGGGCCATGTTATTCTCGCAACAGCGTATCCTCATATAAATCTTGATGGATACAGCCCAGTCCCAGTCCTGCAGGACCCTGAGTAATGTCCATGGTGGTGATTCCCTGCTCCACCTCCTGTGGTATCCGCACTCCGGCTTCGTCCGACAGACTGCTGGAGTTTAGGACAGTTTAGCGCACCGGATCTGGGAATATCGGTATCTGGGAACCATAATCCTGTTGTTCTCGTTTGCGAGAATGCAAGTGCATCCGATGATGCCGTTGAAGAGACTCAAGCCGCTCACAGCTGACGAGAAGTGCTTGCCGCCCAGCGGTGGGCCACTATACCTTGTTCCCTCTCGATGCTAGGTACTGTTCTAGTTTCTCGCAGCGTTCCGGACCGGAAAACATCTTCAGTGTCGGCGGCGACATCGGCCTGTCGTGGTCCGCTGGAACGTACGAGGAAGATCACGTCGTATGGGCTGATTTGAGACCAACATATCTGCTTTCATGGCGATCGCGGAATCAACTATCTCTGCAGAGAGGCGTCGAAAGCGTTGCTTCAAGGGTCCAAGGGTCTAGGAGCGCTGCGGTGCGAATATTGTGGGGTGAAAGGTTGCGTGAAGTGAAGTGAAGTCAGAAGTCCCAGCACAAGCTGCGCCAAGACTTCGAGAGCCAAAAGTCGTGGCCGCTGTGACTCTCCCTCGCACCGCCATCCAACGCCACTTCACTTCATTTCTATCTCTTCATCAAAATGTCAACCCAAGATCCAGCGCAGGACAATGGACATGGCGAAAGCTACGAGGAAGAGCATGTGCACACCGTCTACGAGCAGATTGCCTCCCACTTCTCGTCTACCCGCTACAAGGTGAGCACCGCAATTTCCGCAATTGCCCAATCGGTCCAAAAGAACTAATTCTCGCTCTTAGCCTTGGCCCATCATAGAACGCTTTCTCAAGTCTCTTTCACCAGGCTCAATTGGTCTCGACATTGGCTGCGGCAACGGCAAGTACCTAGCCGTCAATCCGGAAATTTTCATCATAGGCTCTGATCGGTCTGTCACCACCCAAACCTTCCAAGCCGCAAAACAAAGAGCATCTATACACTTGAATATTTGATGTATGGCTTGTAGAACATTAGCTGATACGGTAAGTCTCTGTCCTCTTCAGGTCCTCCAACCTCATCTCTATCGCCCGCCAACACCAGCCCCATTCTGTCTGCATCTCCGACATTCTATCCCTACCTCATCAATCCAAGCACTTCGACTTCGCAATCAGCATAGCCGTCATCCATCATCTTTCCACTCCCGAGCGGCGCATCGAAGCCGTGCAAGCTATTCTCAAAACATTGAGACCTGGCGGACAAGCTTTGTTGTACTGCTGGGCACTAGAGCAAGACGGCAGTCGAAGAGGGTGGAAAGAGGGCATGGATCAGGACGTCATGGTGCCGTGGGTGAAGAAGACGAAAGGTGTGAAAGAAGATGAGACATTCTTGAGGTATTATCATTTGTATCGCAAAGGGGAGTTGGAGGGCGATGTGGTTGCCGCGGGTGGCAAAGTGGTGGAGGCTGGGTATGAGAAGGATAACTGGTGGGTTGTGGCGGAGAGGGCTTGAAGTATCGGAACGATATTCAGTGCCCAGGGTGAGGGCTCGAGAGCGGCGGAGGGGAGTCCGGTCCATGCATCTCGACTATGCGGCGCTGACTGCTTTCCCAACTGAGCGCAATCATGAAGTTACAAGGATCTTGTGTCTGAAGCGGGTCGCTGCTGATACATACTGCTGCCCGCTTGGTCATTGTCCCACTGACATTTCGCAGCACGCTGAGACAGCTTGGAGCGAACGCGGCTCCAACAGGACAGATTGCACGCACTGTTCTTCTCCCGACGTCGACGCATTGGATCAAACTGTACTCTTGCCACGGCGACCTTTCCGATCCGCATTCTTGATAGCTCACGACGATATTGCGCGGCCTTCCTCCCTCTTGGAAGAATATCGAATTGAGACATGTGTAGGCTTGTGTCTTGCACCAATCAGGCCTGAGGCGATTCCCATATGGGCCGTCTTGCGGCGTTTGACCTGCGGCACTGAGAAAACACTCTTTCGTCTCATCCTTCGATACGAGTTTCGCCTTTCTGGACTCAAGTGACGCTCCTTGTTTGCTCCAAACGCCACTTGTGTGAGACCCCAAATTGGTAAATTCTGCGATTGACAAGGCTATAAAGTCGTCTCTCACTGACCATAACCAACCGCAGACACACAGCACAAGATCTTCACTCGCTTTCCAACGATACAATTTCGATAACCATAACGCATCACTCACGAACACGATCACGCACTTCCCAAGACTTGAAGTTTTCTCCCTTCAAGTTCACAACATCAGCCTCTAAAACACTCAAATCAGAAGCACAACTTCTACGACATCCACAAGCTTGCACCACCGGCACAAGACCACATATCCCCCACATCAGCCCAGAGTGGATACCCGAGCAGAGAGCCAGCTCTTCTTTCACCGTCCATCGCCAGTGATGGCACTTCCTACACGCCGAGACTACATGTCCAGCATGGCGCGGGCCGACTGTGGCATATGTCTCCAGCCACTGACACAGTCGACCTCCACCACTTGCCGCCATTACTTTTGTCGCGGATGCATCCGGGCCTGGCTCCGCTCAAACAATACCTGTCCTACGTGCCGAGCAGAACTGTTCAGCGACGGTGCTCAGCGCCCTCGAGCACGGGAGCGACTTCGTCAGGAACAGCCGCGCAGGGAGCTCAATGAGAGCGTCCCAGTTGTCGACGGCCAACATGGACAGATGCAGACACTTAGCGAGATACGTGAAATGTTGCGTGGCGCTGGTCTGGAAGAAGGGGAATTAGAGATGCAGGAAGACTTATGGAATGAGGTACAACGACCGACGCCGTCGCATGACAGGCGAAGATCGGTGGCCAACCATGCGACTGGGCAGGCAGTTCGCTCATCACAACCAATCTTCGGACGCAATAGTACGCCACGCGACGTCGCACTCCCAGAACCTGGTCATCGACACCAAGTACAATCGCCAGGTGAGTCCACGGCAACGACGTCCAGCCTCCACAGTACCGAAATGCCGTCTCACACTCTGGGAAACACCGTTGAGGATCAAGGTGACCTACAGCCTTCTGCCTTGGGGAGACAGACAGCGACTAGTTGCGGACACAATGGACAACGCGTCGAGGCCAACAGTGAACTCACCTATGATGAGATTTCTGCACTCTCCGCTCAGCTTGGAATGAGCAGATCCCAGACCTTCGTTTGCAACTCCGCAGCCATGGATCGCCTCATGCGCCGCCTACAGTCTGAACAGGATGCGCAGCCTGAGTGGCATACAGAGATTAAAGACCGCGATGTGCTCTACACTTTCAAACTCAGAAACGCCATGTTCGCATTCTATTGGATCAGCTTCGACGCACCTTCGTGGTGTGCTCGTTTGCCAAGTGGTCAAGAGCGCAGCGACTTCTCGGAATCACTCTACGACCATCATCGCAAGTGGAGGAGAAATTTCGATAGCTACTTCCTCCACGTGGCCCCCAACTTATTGGATAGAGAAGTCCGATATCTGATGCAGGAGGAGTCTGCAAACCCACTGGAAGAGCATTTGATATTTGTTTGAGCAAGGGACGAGATCCATCGTTTTGGTAGACAATGTTGCGGTGGCGAGAGGTGGCGAGAGTGTTGTCGACTGGCAGACGTCAGATGTCCGACAAAATACAGCGAAGGCTCCATAGCCTGACATCTATGATCAAGTCCCTGTAGTGCGTGTAGTGCTCGTTGATTGGGACTGACAGCGAACGATGCAGTATTCTGGTTGCAGGATGGACAAACGACATTCTGAGTATCGCCTTGGGGCCAAACTGGGCACTGTTTGCGGACAGATATGGGTAAGTTGCGCCGCTGGCAATCAAAGTCATGCGGCACACGGGGCCTGGAATTAGTCGTCCATAGTACAGTGGAGTTCTCAACCACAAGAGCTATGGAATCGATCAAAGGCGGCCTTTGTCTCAAGTTTCTTTTTTGTGTCTTCTCTACTGACCACCTTCGTCGCAGGTCTTTTGTTTCACCGCCCGAAGACCAGAACTTCAGTAGATCAACACGGTGAGTCACGAAATTGGTACTTTCAAAGTCAGCCGGGGGCTTCAACTATTGAGATGAATGATCCATGCACCTGCTACAGCATCTAACCCTCTCACACCGAGCTTTAAAGCGACAAATTCTTCAGCTTTCTATCCAACCCAACCCGACCATTGTCATCTTACAACAAAGGCAACTCAAGCTTCAGCTACTGCGTCAATCACGCCTCCACAATACTGAAGGCCACTCTACGTCAGATGTGGCTCGATACGCCTAGAACTGAATCGGGCCCAGCTACAATACCCACACAGATACCGTCTCCTCGCTACACTCGAAACATGTCGTGACCTCGAAGAGGAAAGACATCCAGGCTTACGCCTGATGACCAAGGAAGCTTACCCACCGCGCGATCACTACATCGCCGATTATTGTTTGGACTTATAATACTGTCCCATCATTTCTCTTACATACCTGGTGTAGCCCTCTAGCCGACCAAGCAGACTCTACCCTAGCATCTGTATCAAGATAGTGAATGGGATCGTAACATTTCGGGAAATCACCTGATTGAGCCAATCACCTATCTCAAGGTCTATTCACCAGCCCGGGCACCTTTCCGCCTACTAGAACCTGTCTTTTTTCTCAACTAGTACTCCGACCACAACCACTCGAGTCCCAGCTATTTCACCAGAAACGATCCACCGGCTCGAGAATATCGCAACGACAGCCCTGGGAGGTGTCGATGAACATCGAGTCCTGCTGAATTTGCTCTACTTCACGTCCACAAAATGTCTCTGCTTTCTCGCAGGGACTACATGTCGCAGCTGGCCATAGAGGACTGCGTGAGTGTCTCCAGCTAGCAAAAGGCGCGTTCAAGGTCCTACAGTTCTGTGTACTGACTGTTTTCGACAGGACATCTGCCACGAGCCCATGAGCGACCCAGCTCGCACCGACTGCCGCCACTTCTTCTGTTTCGAATGTCTGAAGGCTTGGCTGGAGTCAAACAACACCTGTGTAAGTCCATCCTCCATCGGACAACGTGAGTTGGCGAAAAACTTCTCTCAAGTATCAATGAACATCCACTGACCGCTTTTGATAGCCAACATGCCGAACTCAGCTGTTCGAGGAGACTGAGCCAAACACTGCGCAAGATGCCGAGCGACAAGGTGATACAACACAGGCCGTCCTTGACATACCTGTTGGGCAGCGTATGGCAATAGTGCGCGACCTCAACGAGATGATGGCACGCCTGAGGGTCCTAGAAGCAAACGTCTCTAGACTTGGAGAAGCTCAGACGCCACCACTGGTGGTCGATAGAGCCACCGAGCAAGCGGCTGATCGACCTCAAACGACCAGAGAGACGGACGGGTTGCATGGCAACGATCGAGCTGCAGAGCCCGCCTACGGGGAAGGAGAACTGAGTTACGACGCACTTGTCGCTTACTCGCACGAATTGCAACCCCGCCCAGAGGAATTGCTGCCTATGGTCACCTTCGACGGCGCTGCGATGACCCGTCTATTGGACCGGCTACTACCTGAGCAGCGCGCACGACCCGACTGGTACGAGCAGTTGAGGACTCGCGCAGTACGCTACACATTCACTATTGACGGTGCGGTCGCCCGTCTCCATCGCGCCAGCTGCGACTTTCTCTCATTGAGTCCTGGTAGCGGCACGCCGTTCGACGAAACGAATAGGAGGATCAGGAGTGCTTACAGTACGCGCCAAAGCCAGTGGTTCGACAAGGTGCTTGACTTGCTCAGAGACGTGTCAGTCGACGCATTGTCCAGTGAAGTCCGTAGGCTCATGCAGGAGGAGGTCCATCGTCCGCTCGAAGAGCTAAGTATGCCACTACTTCGCTACTATTGAGGCATGAGAGCGAGACTGGGCAGCCAATAGCCGGCAATGACCGAAAAAGCGCGGATCTGACGCAGGAACCGGCAGAAATGACACCAAGATGGCTGAAGGATGCGAAGGCTTCTACGGACAGACCGGCAACCAAAAAGGAAACTGCGCCATACCTTAACTATGGATGTCTTACGTCTATTTATGAACGGGATCCCACTGTAGTTGGGGCTCTTTGTAGCACGGATGGGGTACTTTATACGGATGAGGCGATCATGGACAACATGGAGGTATTACAGATTCAGGCTACACAGCATGCCCACGATAGCTGGTAGGTTATGGCCGTAACAGAATGAGAGTAGGTGTTTTGTAGATGTCCTGGGCAGAGGTCGTACAGGACAGGGCTATGGAAAACAGGATCGAGATGGCGGACTCGTACTGCCAAGTAAAACTGCGGCAAGGACTCAGAGCAGTCCTTCGTAGATCTCATGTACTTCACAAAGTCTTCCGAACAGATTCACACCTGCGGTAGTTATCACGAATGATGCCTGTTGCAAGTCAACCTCCGAAAATGTGTGACCTCCTGAGTTCCATGTGCCAGTTTGAGACGTGTCTTATAGGAATCACTCAGGCGAATGCGATGCATCGTCGCCTCAGGACCAGATGTCTGTGATAATTGTTTTGCGAGCCCTACTCGGTATTCTGTCTTGTGCTAAATGGGCTGATACAATGTTCGAGACCAAGTTCTACTCACAGCTTTGAAACACGCTCTTGCAGCAATGCGAAGATAGTCTTAGATGATAGACAGTCATGTCTCTCAGAAGCCACTTTAGTGAGACCTTGTCTCTTTTGATGGAACACAGATGCCATCCCTCAGGCTATATAGTCTCTCTGCTTCTATCGGTAATCCTTAACAGAACTCGAGAAACTTGCTTCCAAGCGCATCCATCAGAGATTTACAGCATCTGCGCTTCAAACAGACCTGGCCAGTTTTCAGACCTTTGATTTCTTTCGTTTCGCCAACAAGAGACTACAGCACACGATCATCACTACCACAAGATCCCAAGGCGGAGGTTCTGAGCACACAAGCGACTCACAGCATCACAAGCGCCTCACAGCAACACATATAAAGTCAAGCCAAGACCCGTCAGCCCATCCTCTCCTTGATCAAGTCTAGAATCAACGATGAAGTGTTGGAAATGCATCGCCAACTCGGATACCCCTCGTTGTGACCAATGTTCGCAAGCTCTGGATCTTGGTCTGCCATCCCCTTGTGGACATCGAATTTGTTGCGGATGTGTCAGGGTCTGGATCTGGCTCATGGGGGAGAAGACATGTCTTACGTGCAGAGCACCGCTGCATGGCCACTATGGGCATAATCTCGCATGAGAAATGCTGCGAATCGGTTGAGATGTCAGAGGTGTCTCGGCGATAATGATGAACGCACGATCGCGGAATATTGGGACTGCGATAGCTCCAAGTAAACCTTGAGGGGCATATGGTGGCATCGAATCGGCAGAATGCTTAAACACTCATTTCTGCGAGCAACATTTAGGCGAATTTGTTGGCAGTCCGACTTTAACGGAGGAGGAGGAGGAGGAGAGGCTTGTCATTGGTAGCCGCTGGATGGCTGCAAAGACTCGAGCTGATAGTGTATAACATCCCCGTTGAAAAGCACGACCGAAAAGCCTGGAGAATATGAACAGCGCTTTGTGTATTTCACTATACTCAATGTTGCCGTCCGGCCAAATCTTGGTCAGGTTCCTGTACGGTTTGCTGAGCTCAGTGATTTGTGCACGTTGCAGAACGTGACCTACGACTCCAATGACATGTATTACTTGATCCTGCCGGTACCGTGTGCGAACGCGTTGAGTGAAAAGATATTGATGTGGTGATGTACATGCTCAGGGGCTCCAGTCAAAATTTGAAGTTCATTTAATTAGTCGAGACATGCTTCCGACCAATAGATCTTCCCCAGGCAATTTAGGAGCGCCTGAAGGACGTTTTGAAACAATTGGCAGCTACTATTCACGCTTGGTTCCTGGTGGCTTGAACCAAGACATTTGCTGCCTCGTGCAGATACCCGTTGGAGATATGGTCCAGAAGTGGGCCTTTTGAGAGGTTCCGCTGGCGACAGAGAGTATCCCAGGATGTAGCTAAGTGCGGGAGCCTGAGCCTCGTGCGTGGACGTTGGGATGTCAGAGGTCAAGGCTAAGCTTCACTTCGACAATTTTGGAGCATTTGGCCTCCCCCAAATTGGTCCACGCGCTGGTATCGATCAAGTCGTCTCTGTGAAAGTCGAAGGACCATGTTCCTATTGTCCCGAGCATCGATACACGTTGGTGAACGGGAGCGATGTCACGTTCTTTGGGGCCGGTCACGCTGCGGTTCACTGGCCGTCAAATTTTAGTCTTCTAAAGGTCATATAGGACTGCGCAGCCTTGATCAACAACATCTTCCGTGTCACCATCCTGACCGCCGCGCTTGACCTCGTCGATGCGGTCAGTCAACAGTCAAAAGCCATTGTTGCTCCTCCTCTCCGCTCTCACCATCGTCGTCAACAGCTGCGCGCCGTCAGCACCATCATCATTACAACAACACGAGAACTTTCTCCTTCTCATCACAACACCTGCGAACACTCGCGCCTCGCCCACACGACTACCGAACTTCCCTCATCCCCCAGACTTCGACCGAACTTGAATCAAACCTGGTGGCTGAAACGGACACCATCTCACCACTCCGCAATGGCGGTTCCGACGCGCGAGGAATACATGTCCAGGCTAGGCCAGGAGACTTGTGACATCTGCTACGAACCGATGGAGACGCCCACGCGCACTACCTGTCGACACTATTACTGTCTCGAGTGTTTGACGACGTGGCTCGAAACGAACAACACATGCCCTTCATGCCGCACCAAGCTGTTCGACGACCCCGATATCGATGAAAGCGACGATTCAAGTGACGAGGAGGATTCAAGCGACGAGGAAGATTCGGAAGATGAAGAGGAGGAGGAAGGAATGGACATCGAGACAGGCAACGGCCAGGCTGCACCTGCCGACGAGGATTACTACAACGCATTTCGCGCTAGAGCTGCTGCTGAACACCACGGTCCCCCTTTCATGGGCGTGGAGGATGCAGTCCGCCCCGACAGGCAAGCAGTACAAGAAGAGCTCCGCAGAATAACTCGCACTGCCGTGTCACATGAACCCGCCCAGCGACAACAAGAGGAGCTCGCGAGCCGGGATATCGAGACTGTGCGCAATGGATACAACTTGATCCCGCCGCTGCGTCTGAACCCCATCTCTGTCACTCGCTTGCTCTTGGCATTGGTATCGAAGCATCAGCCGTTACCGCAATGGTTTCCTGAGATACCTGATTGGGAAGTGGTATACGTGTTCGAGTGGCTTGGTAGCGTTTCTCGCTGGTGGTTCGTTCGTATAGAGTACAACGATCCCCCGAGCTTTGCTACTATGAGCACCTACAGACGAGTGTTGAAGGGAATCGATAATCGGAACGATCACCAGGAATGGGTGGAGAGAGTGTCTGCTTTCTTCTTCTCTGTGAATCGCAACGATCTATCCGAAGTAGTGGAAGAGTTGAGAGTCGAGCAAGGGCATGCTTCGCTTCCCCCGCGACAGCATGTGAGCTTCGGGCTACAAGTTTGATCGAAGGGGAGATATAGAGCGCAGCGCAGGGGCAGTCAGGCATAGGATGAATGGAGGCAACACATTTTGCAGAGAGATGCATTCGCACATGCGTTTGACTGTGCTTTCCATTTGGCGGTAGACATTGGGTACGCTCGCACTAGCGATATAAGGTCGCTAAGTTACATCCCATACCGACGAAGTAATTCTGCAATGGCTGAGCGGTGATGAATGATAGCACCTTGACACTTCCAATACTTGCAAGACTTCCTTTTTACACTGTGATATGTTGGTAGACAGCACAACCAGTCAGGCTCATCACCCGACTTGCTGTCCGACTCTCTTCGACACAACCTTGCCCGGAGCCATTAGTAGAAGACGTCTCGACTACAGAACGGCGAGCTGCCATCTCGAGGCTGGACGATGAAGCAGGGATCACCCCATCTGGTCCACGTGAGCTGCATCTGCCGACACGTTTCTCTGCAAGCACCCGCTCACCGTTTGACTTCAGCAAACGCCATAAGCTAGGAAGTCTTTGACCATTCAAAGGAAGGTGCGTTTGCTTTCGATTGCTCTGAGGCTACACCTTCCGGACTACGAACCTTTATTCAATTCGATGCAACATAGCAAACATCGGCAGCTCAAGCACTGTTATACTTTCTCCGTGTCAACATCTACATCTCATCAGTACAACGTTCGTCGTCAAGCACCCGTTTAAGCACGACATCTCAAAGTCGTTACACACACATCTTGCCACAAAAAATCGACTCGATACAAGGACTCAAGGCGAATCAATCACTCAGATATGGCCTTACCAACTCGTGCTGAATTTCTGTCCGGCTTAGGTGCGAAGACGTGCGACATCTGCTACGATGACATGACAGGGCCGGCCAAGACTCCATGTGGCCATGTTTATTGCTTGGAGTGTCTGCTGTCCTGGCTCAAGCAGCACAATACGTGTCCTACATGCAGAAGCATACTGTTCGAGAATCCGACCAACGACGACGAAAATGCCATCGACGGTGAAGACGACACGGAAGAACAACCAAACGGCAATGCCGTCGAGAACCACGAAGAAGCTGGCGTACCACCATTCGGAAGCACAGAAAGACTCCAATATGAGATGACAGCAGTCCTTAACGAGGTCGAGGCTGAGTTGGACGCCAACCCAGAGCCACGAATTGCAACTTTTGACGCATCAGCCATGGCTCAAGTCGTGGCGGCATTTCGAATCGACCAGCGCTTGCGCGATGCATGGATGGACGAGATCAAAAGCTGGGATGTAATGTACACTTTCGTCGACCGAGACAACAGCCACGTTTGGACTTTCGATCACATCAGCTACGATCCTCCTTCTGGTCCGGATACATCGGGCTCCTCTCTCGGCGAGCAGAGAGGTCTAGTTACTAATCGCCATGTCATGTGGGCGAAGAAACTGTCAAGACATTTGAGCAGCATTCCTGCCAACGAATTGTCCAATCGGGTCCGCGTCGTCAGAGTACTTGTGTCTTATAAGCCGGAATTGACTGAGCGGGAGGTTGTGGCATCTCCACTAGATTGAGCTTCACGATGAGACAAGGAGGATAGTTGGATGGCAAGGAAGGAATGGAGACTGAGGAGGTGCGTTGCATGGTGCGATGGAAACTGAACATACCAAAAAAAACCGCAGAGTCAAAGCGAGTATGGTTGGAACACCCAACATGATCTCTGCTTGCATATGCTGACTCATAAGGAAGTTGGTCAGCAGTTAATGCTGCTGGAAGAAACTTGTTGGCAGAGTATGTAGCTGGATTGCAGAGATACGCTTCTCAGCTGTGACTTACGAACTCTTGGTATCACCAGCACTTCTCGCAGGCTTTTAGTGGATGAGTGATCAGTAAGAACTTGCAGCGAGAGAAGATGAGGACTCAGCTGAAGTGAGGAAGGCCGATCGATAGTTTGCCGGGCCCTTTTAGCGTAGATCATCCCTCACTCATCACTACCTTTTGACTGTTGTTTGTTGCAGCCTTGACAAAATGACTTCACGGTGACCCTGGCTAGGCTGGAGGCTTGCAACTGTTGATCAGGTCACGGATACTGGCTGCACACTCTGACCCCGCAATGATGATTTTTTAGAACTCCTGCGTTGCTAGCGGGTCCCATGTGAAACCAGGTTGAGTAATCGTACAGTGTGTTCGTCCATGCTGAGCAAATCTGGTCAATTCTGATCACTATAGTGACTAGAGTATGTGAACCCAGCAAGGGTTCCAATATGCACCAGAAGGACGCATAAACCCTACAGCCCGGGCCGTATCGTCAGGAAGCACAGGGCTTGTTGGCTCTGCTCAGACTATAAAGCGGCAATCTGCCATCATCGATTTTTGTTGAGAACCCAGCAGTACTATCAGCACTCCCGCAATGAAGTCCACTACATTTGCCGTCGTCTTATGCCTCGTTGGTTCAGTTATGGCAACGTTCCCGGAGGGATTCCCATACGAGTGGTGCAATAATGGTGAGCTACACGGGCTGTCACTCAGTCACCCACCTCTGCTTACGGTTATGATAGGTTGGGGTGATCCCAATCTAGTCTGCGAGAACGCTAAATATGGTGCTGTCTGCGTAAGTATCTCACTTGAGAAACAAATTCTGTGCCCGTTCGGGATCAAATGTTTTGGCAGGATACTAACTTGATACCTCCATTCGTAGTGTCATCCAACGATCCAGAATTCATTCTATCACAGACATCTCCCAGTCAATCTAACCTCTATTATGCCGGCGCACGGGCTGGTAACCCAGCCTGTGGAGGTAATGGGCATCTACGGTGTTCGAGATAGGATGTCCGCAGTAAAATACAACGTAGAACTCTCAAGATTGGTCCACTTCTTCACCTACCGTTACGGTCCATGCTACGCTGCCTCAGTGAACAGAAAAATCCCGATGTCTCTAGCAACGGCTCACCTGACTTCTTTGTCATTGACCTTTCGACAAACTTTGCCCCATTCAAACTACAAATTCTTCTCCCTCCCATCACAGTTCATCGTCCAACGACTTATCTCCAGCGCCCTGACTAGAGCGCCCACTGACACCTGAAACAGTCTTAATCAGGGAACGCTCACTTCGAGAACGACATTGCATAATCAACAGCCAGATATTTGACCTACAGCAATCAGGTCACTCCAGATCGCGCAATTCCCTGTCACAACATGGCATTGCCATCGCGGGGCGAGTTCCTCTCAAACCTGGAGTCAGATCAGTGCGACATCTGCTATGATGCCATGGTCGAGCCAGCTCACACACCATGCGGACATGTCTATTGCTTGGAATGCCTACTTACTTGGCTGGACGAGAACAACACCTGCCCGACGTGCCGAACAAAGCTCTTTGAGCAAGACACTGATGACGAGAGTGATGATGAGATGGAGGCAGACGACGAAGAAGATGGTGATGATGAGCTTGAAAACACTGCTGGCGATACCAACCGAAACGCCGAGAACGAGGAGAACGCGAACGAGTACATTGAACGCTTCGCAAACGAAATTACCGCCAGAGTGATCGAGCTCGATACCGGCATGCAGAGGCCAGCTCCGCACCGTATCGCCAGAACTGTAACATTCGACTGGTCCGGACTGGCTACATTGATGGCCACACTGGAAATCGAGCGGCGAGAGTGGGCTGAACTGTACGATGAGCTCAATACAAGGGACGTCAGGTATACGTTCACGGTTCGTGTGGGAGTCCTCCAGCACGAGATCGAAACCTGGAAGTTCGATTATATCAGCTACCCTAACCTTTACGAGCCTGATACAGCAATGTCCATTGTTCGAGAAGAGGCAGTAGCCCAAGCCATGGCTCATGTTCAATGGGCACGAAAAATATCCAGCTACCTCTACCGCATACCAGCCAGTGAAATTGCAAGTGCTTACCAGGCGCAGCTTCGACAGGGCGCGGTCTCAGAATACAGGCTCATTGCTTACCCACGGGAGGACAATTTTTGATGGACGATGGAGCTCGACTGACTCTGAATGAAGGCCAAAACGCGAAGACAAAGAGAATTCTGCGGGCTGTAGGATATGCTAGGACGTTGCATGGAGTCTGGTTAGCGGTACGAGACTTCCCCTGGGTTGCTGCCAGAGTCATAGTGATCTTAGGGTCAAGGGAGCTAGCTTCTGATAGCTAGAAATGTGCGCCCTCTGGGATCGATGAAGCATTCTATGCCATTCAGTGTGCTCAGAGGCATGATAGAGTAGCAGAGAATTGTCCGGAGTTCATTTGCACATGTACTATGGGATCTTTTTCACAATCAGCTTCTGCCTTGTATCGGTGAATGCGAGCGAAGACCCACATATTCGAGTCTGTCACTCACAAGATATTCATTCACCCAGTCGCAAGCTTTTCTTCTATTAGAAGCAATATCAACCTTTTCATAAACCTCCAACCTTTTTATTGCAACAACCAGAGCCCGAACTCACCACTGCGGCAATCATTTGGCTTCCAGTCTCGTACGCACTGCGCCGGGACTGGAGCATCGCACCGTATTTACATCGCACAAGATCGACGAACCACCGCCCACCATCACCATGGCACAGGCCTCTCGGCGCGATTATATGTCAAGTCTTGTCCACGACGACTGCGACATCTGTTATCAGCCCATGACCGAGCCAACACGCCTCTCTTGTCGCCATTACTTTTGCCTCGAATGCTTTCGGAGCTGGCTGGACGGAAACAATACCTGTCCATCCTGTCGGGCCCAACTTTTCGAGGAACCTGGAGAGCCAAACGATGGCCAGACAGCAGCAGAAGGCGCGCCAGCGCAGTTGACCATCGTTAGTGAGTCCAACCACACCACTCGAGTCGAGATCCGCGCCGAAAGAATTAAACCAGAGACTCTCGAAGAATACTTGAACCGTGTGGATGGGATCAGAGCCACCACTCGTAGGATTCCGAGAACTAACAGACCACAAACGGTCACTCTCGAGTCCACGGCGATGTCTCTGATCCTGGCATCTCTGCAGTCCGAGGAGCATGCTCGGCCAAACTGCAACGATGACCTAGGAGACTGTGATGTACAGTACACATTTACCACGACGGAGGGCGATGATGTTTTGTGGACATTCGACCACACGAGCTACATCTCTCATTCTCGATCGAGGGCCACCACTGCGGCTGAAGCCGAACAGCATAGAGTGTATGCCGAGAATCAGGAAGAGTGGACGCGATTGGTGTCAAGGTACCTGCTCAGCGTCGACGCCCACAAGCTGGACAAGTTGGTTGAATTTCTTAGGCGAGCAGACATCGGGCGTTTGCCGCAGGCCCGCCGGCTCGTGGTATCTGTTCGGTATTGATGATTGGAGGGCAAGATGAGGCAGAAGAGTACATCCCAGGAGGATGAAGCGCTAGGTTTCCTAGCTCCGGTATGCTTCAGAGCTGAGCGAGAGGGCGAGCGGAGCAGATTGACAAAAGACCGCCACGCGAGAGCTTGCCAAAAGCATCCGGGGCTTTCAGTGCAAAGAAGCTGTATTCTCTCAGAGACCTGCATCAGCAGAATGAAGCTGGGGCTGAAACGAGTTCCAGCAAAGGAGGACTATCGTGCATGCACCTGCCACAGCTACATTAGCAAAGGGACGACGTTGATATACACGCACGTTCTTCTACCATGCTCAGACCATTCCTCCACTCCAAGATCCATGAACTACTTGTCAATGCTTCGATCGATTTTCATTGAGCTGTAGCAATGTTTTCGAGTCGCTCCTTATATTCGCTCATCTTTCCCCTTGGCACGCAAATCTGAAAATGCTCAGTCGGACTCCGCGTGTAGCTGGTCGAACACCGGCAGACATATTCGAGGTCCATAGGCGCAAGCAGCACTGTCCGTCGACATCCATGGCAGATACGCAACTTGGCGTCGGTCTGCTCGGCTTCCATCAAGGAGTCATTCAGTCGATCAAGATACTTCCAAACCAGAGTCCTATCTTTCTCGACCAGTTCGCGAAAGGCCGGGAGTCTCAGCAGGTCGCGCAGAAACGTGCTCTCAAGGTCCTGGGCTTGCTGAATCACATTGGGCAGGAGTGTGTTCTGTCGAATGCGCATAATGGTTTCGAAGACATCCTCCGTTCTGGAGGTGGCGGTGGCACCTTTGGTAAACTTTTCTGTTGCGGCCTTCGCCAGATCTGTCACAAGGTACTACGGAATTGTCAGCGGGTCGCACACGATAGTTAGAAGGGCACGCACCTTTTGTGCAGCATTGGCGATCTGCAGTTGTAGTTTCCAGTTGCTGTCTTGGTCGGTATGGTGGTTGCCGGAGTAGAGATATCGCAATACATGTTCCACTGCATCCGGATCGTCCTCTTTGAGCTCGATGACTTTTCGGGAGCTTTCCTGTATGCGCATCAGCTCTGCAACGCAAGTCAGTATTGGAAGCAACTCACACTGAACGCACTTTCCGATCCACAGAGCATTCTGAAGTACTCTGATTTGGTACATAGGATCAGCTTGTGGCAGTGAACACTTCTGCCGCTGAAGCTGATCGTGATGTCCGAGTACGCCGGGTTATCGTACAGATCTGAGGTTGAGAGTGACATGCTCGTAACGACTTGAGGCAGAGATACGTCGCGTTTTCTCACTCTGAGGTCGTTCGTGCCAGATTAATGGAGGCAAAAGCTTTGACAGCTGCGCGTGAAGTGTGAACACGACGCGACCTGGCCGCGGATTTCCCGAACCCTGAACCCTGAACCATGATTCATCAAAGCGCGACGAACCGACGAACCGTGTCCGTGTTTCACGTGTCGATGGGATGGTTATTCAATTATCCACATCAACCTTCATGTTCTGAGATCATGAAGCCATTGCAAAACAACACCGTTGGTAAATGCCGACAGTCGCTCACAATGACTGCAAAATGGCGCTGGCGCGAATCCCACGCTGGCGGAGCTTTGCAAGCCGGGTTTCAGATCGCACATGTACAACTCAGCACTCCCTGGCTCCCTTTTAGTTCACTTGCTTCGATTGACAGACCCAGGAATTGTATCGAACATCAGGAGCCGTACGGCATGATCTGACTTTTGTACGTAGTCAATTGGTCCTTTGGCACCCAGACTTTAAGGCGTTTGTAGTCTCTCTCGTTGAGCTCCGATCGACATGAGCACTTCGAAGCTTTCTCATTGCGTGCAAGCAGTCTTCGTTTTGGGCACCGACGGCAAACTTGAATGTCAGCACTCCTGCGTTCTGAAAACTTGGCGTTCAAATGGTCAAGATGCTTCCAAAGCAGAGTCCTGTCCTGATCGACGACCTCACGGTATGCTTCCAGGTTGAGAAGATTATGCAAATGCTTCTGCTCGATTCTATCAGCCACTTTAAGTGCCTTAGGCAAGAGGGTGCTCTTCCGGATGTGCATTATCGTATCAAAGGCCTCTCTTGTGTCGTGTATATCGCTCGTTATGTCCCTGACGAGATGAAGAGCGTCGTCTGCGAGATCATTCAGAAGATACTGGGGAGTAGTTAGTCGGGATCGAAGGCTGGGCAGACGAGCCACTCGCCTTGTGTGCAGCATTGGCAACTTGCAGTTGCAGCTTCCAATCCTCATTACGGGCTGCATCCTCATCGCTGTCGAACGAATATAGATACTCCAGTATGAACTCCACTGCATCAGGGTCGTCTTCCTTCAGCTCAATCTCTCTCCGACCGCTCTCCTGTCACTGACTAAGCACAGTGAACGGCTCCGAGAGCGGTCAACTTGCAGCAAACCCGCTGTGGGGCCTCACTAGCCTCTTGAAATACTCCGAGCTGGTACTTAGAACAACCTTGTGACAGTAGATGCTTCTACCGCTGAAGCTGATAGTGACATCGGAGTACTCAGGCTGGTTGTATAGAGGTGCGGTGTCGAAGGACATGGTTGTGAGATAGTCTTAAGTCTTGGATGCACTGAGGTAGTTGGCTTGGGCAAAGTCACTCACTGCGGCGACGCGAGTGAGGCTCGCTGCGATGTTCTGTAGGACCGAAAAAACGAAGACATTCGCTGCAAGCTCGAGTGAAGTGCATATGGCGACGCGACGCGACGGACAAACTGGGCACGGGCTCATTTCGCAGAGTTCCGGAGTCACGACCGGGGCTTTTTATCGCAGGGGCGCAACATGGGGATGTGATCGCTGTCTTCTGCAACGACTTGAGGCATCGTCTTTGTGATCATCCAAGGAAAAGTTATGCGCACAGCCGGCTCCAGATCAGATAGTGGGTGTTGTTTGTTGTCAAATGGAACTGGAAAGAGGACAGAGGGCACCGGGCCGATACCACCAATGCCAAGACATTGTCGGCACGTGTCGGTACGACCTTCAACCTGGATGAAAACATCGGCAAAAGTCAACCAGTGGGCATTCTTTTCTCCTGGAACGGCCCAAGTATGGCCAAGAGCGACACGCCCTCCAAGTGGCTCTGCCATAGGATGTCACGCCCACAGTACGCAGGGACGCCCCATGGGTCACTCCACGACACTACGGGATGTGGAGAGCAGCTGTCGGCATCAAGGTAGGGTTCTTCAACAGCTTCGCTCATCGTTCACAGCTTTCTTTCAGCCATCTATCTTCAAGACGACTGACAGCAGCAATGGGTGATATTGGAGTCGATTCTGAGCGGAGGCCAGACTGGGCCAATCTCTCTGTCCTTCACCGGAACACCTTGGCGCCGCGTTCTAACTTTTTTCTGTACAACAACGAGCAAGATGCTCTATCAAGAGACACGTTGAAAGCGAAAGCCGTTTCACTGTCTGGGCCCTGGAAGTTCCATCTCTCAAATTCTCCTCTCGAAGCACCAGCTGGATTCGAGGCAGCCACCTTTGACAGCTCAAAATGGTCCGATATCGCCGTGCCAGGCATGTGGCAGCTTCAAGGCTTCGGACGAGGACCGCAGTACACAAATGTGCAATACCCATTCTTCGTAGACCCACCATATCCACCATACACCGACAACGAGACTGGCTCGTATCTCACCACATTCCAAGTACCCAAAGCCATCCAAGATCACCAACTGAGGCTCCGGTTTGAGGGCGTGGATTCTGGCTTCCATGTCTACGTCAACGGCAAGGAAGTCGGATACAGCCAAGGAGCCCGCAACCCATCCGAGTTCGACATTACCGATTTCGTGAAGCTCGGAGAAGAGAACAGTCTTGCTGTCCGCGTTTACCAATTTACAGACGGGTCTTACATCGAAGATCAAGACCAGTGGTGGCTTTCAGGAATCTTCAGAGATGTCTTCCTATTGGGCTTTCCTAAGGAGGCTCGGATCGAAGATCTCTCAGTACAAACGCCGCTCGACAAGGAATACCGCGATGCCACTCTCGAGGTGCAGGCGATTGTCACTGGCAGCGGAGAGCTCACGTTCAATTTGTCTGACGCATCAGGCAAAGCCGTCGCTTCGAAGTCAGTGGCCAAAGAGGACAAAGCAACGGGGACAGTTTCGGTATCCATACCTGTACAGAATCCTCGCAAATGGACCGCGGAAACGCCATACCTCTACAATCTGACGGTCTCACTTGCCGGGCAGCACATTGTTCAACGAGTCGGTTTCAGGCAAGTAGAGCACAAGGACGGGTTGATCAAGGTCAACGGCAAGAGAGTTGTGTTCAAGGGCGCAAACAGACACGAACATCATTATCTGTCTGGCCGCACTGTGCCTTACGAGTTCATGAAGCAGGATCTCCTGCTGATGAAAACTCACAATCTCAATGCCATAAGAACATCTCATCAGCCCAGTGATGTCAGGCTATACGATCTATGCGATGAGCTTGGTCTGTGGGTCATGGATGAGGCTGACCTGGAGTGCCACGGCTTTGAGACAATTGCCGACGCAGCTCTCGCCCCAGCAGAGCAAGCTCTACCATTCTTTGAACGACAGAGTTTAACCAGAGGCGAAGCAGCAAAGTGGACCTCAGACAACCCGGTCTGGCAAGAAGCCTATCTCGATCGCGCTCAGCACCTTGTTCATCGCGATAAGCTACATCCTTCTGTCATTATCTGGAGTCTGGGCAACGAGGCATTCTATGGTCAGAATCACACAGCAATGACCGAGTGGATCCACAACTACGACCCTACCCGACTTGTGCACTACGAGCCAGATCTGGAAGCCAAGCACGTTGACATGCACTCTCGCATGTACCCGGAAATCTCTGATATCATCAAGTTCGCCGAGGATAAAAAGACAGACAAGCCGCTAGTGCTGTGTGAGTATATCCACGCCATGGGCACGGGACCTGGCAACATCAAAGAGTACATTGATGCTTTCTACAAGTATCATGCGCTTCAAGGTGGCTGGGTCTGGGAGTGGGCGAATCATGGCCTGTTGACCAAGACCAAAGATGGCAAAGAGTTCTACGGATATGGCGGTGACTTTGGCGACTTCCCGAACGACTACAACTTTGTCATGGATGGCGTTCTCGACTCGGACCATGAGCCACGCAGTGCTTTGATTGAGTATAAGAAGGCTCTGGAGCCAGTTCAGATTGTTTCAGCTTCTCTCGATGAGGTCGAGATCATCAACCGCCTTGATTTCACCACCCTGGACCAGTTTCATGTGACCTGGGCGGAGGTCGATGAGACTGGCAAGAAGCTGCAGACTGGAAACCTTGAGCTGCCACAGTGTGTACAGCCGTACACGACTTGCAAGCTCGCACTGCCAGCCAAGGCAACGGATCCCTCGCGCGAGACTTTTATCAATCTGAGTTTCGAGCTTAAGGAATCTACTACCTGGGCTGAGAAGGGCCATGAGGTAGCATTGCTGCAAGTGCCACTCTCTGGGCCACGTCCTGTCAGTGTAGGCACAAAAGGCAATGCGGCGCTGAAAGCAGAGGGGACTGCCACCTCGCTTTCGATCACAGCTCAACATGCCAAGTGGAACGTCGACTTGCTTCGTGGTCGATTGCAATCGTGGCAAAAGAACGGAGAAGAGCTTATCGCCCAGCCACTGGAGCCAACATTTTATCGCGCGGTCACGGACAACGATGCCCCTCGTGATGGAAGAGACTGGAAAGACAGACTGCTCCATCTTGCACGACTCCACACTCGCGAAGCCAAGTGGCACCAGACTGAAGACGGCAGTGTCGTTGTCGATCTGGCGCAAAAATTCGCTCCTCCAGTCCTGTCATGGAGCATCGACTTGCAAACTCAATACACCTTCTCACCTTCGGGAACTGTCAAGTTGAACGTCAAAGGCAATCCAACAGGCCAAAACCTGCCCAAGACTCTCCCGCGCATCGGAGTCACCCTCGGCTTACCAGAAGCCTTTGACGACGTCCAATGGTTCGGCCGTGGCCCAGGCGAAAGCTACAAAGACATGAAGCTCTCGCAGACGGTCGATAGATACTCCTCTAACGTTGCATGCCTCTGGGCCGCACCAGATTTCCCACAAGAGTGCTCAAATCGCACAGACACTCGATGGGTGAAACTCTCTTCTCCGAAGACCAATTTGACAGCACAATTCGTAAAGTCAAAAGATGGCGACGAGAGACACTTGTTCGACTTCCAGGCATCGCATTATGATGTCAAAGATATCGATGAGGCACAGCATCCTAATGAGTTGGACAGCAAGAAGAAGGACTACGTGATTTTGAGACTAGATGCTGACCATCATGGTTTGGGTACCGGATCTTGTGGACCCAGAACATTGGAGCAGTATGCGCTGAAGACTGAGCCTTTTGAGTTTACGGTGATCCTGAGCTGAAGATGCTCCAAGTGGTTGTTTCGTGAATAGACTAGAAAGCATCATATGAAAAGCCCATTGTATGTCCTCAGCCTCGGCACAGGAGTCCAGCGTCGAGCCGATCGGTAATCGGAATCCGTGCCTTGCGCGGTCGCGTCTATTCATGTCCACGATCCCATGTCTAGTGCTCCACGTCGAAGGCACGAATCGATAAACTAAGCAGAAAAGGGTATGAAAAGTTCGCGTCACTTTCGCGTTTGACCAGGGAGCCGCAACCGAGCCAATGGCACGACCATCGTGAAATGACCAACGACCTCATTTCTACGCCCTGCAGCGTTCAGGCACCAAAGTACCAGTCAATCGGTACCTTTGGAAGCAAGAAATAATCGGAAATATTCATCTTCACAACTCCGCAACAACCAAGATCCTGAGTTCAACCTTCTCCGCGAAGAAGCATTGACACCATCCAAAAACACGACCGCAATGGACGTCATTCGACCTGCAAGCAAGTTCCATTCACTTCACCAGCACATTAAGATAATGAAACTCGCGACGATTGCAACAACAAACAGAATAGCTGACTGGCTTCCTCAGGCCTCAATGAAAAACGCTGCATAGTCCGCGAATACCTCTCCCTCTACAACAACATCATCACAATAGGAACCTACTCCGGCCCTTCTCAAATAACCTCAGCCACAGCAATCAAAGCCCTCAAGCGCTGCACAATTCAACATCCCGCCTTGAGCACTACAATCCGCTACCAGCCGACCGAGAAATTCGAACTCGTGCGTCCAGCAAAAGTCGATATTTCCCAACATCTCCAGATCGTAGACGACATCGGCGAAGGAAATGCCTTCCTGCAAAACATCCTCGACCGTCTCCATAACGACCCCATTGTCGAGGATGACTCCATCCCGCAGTGGAAAGCTGTAGTAGTGAGGTTAGAAACAGGATTCCATCTGGCGTTTTCCTGTTCGCATGGACTTGCGGATGGGAGATCAGGTCAAGCATTCCATGCCACTTTCTTGGAGACTTTGCAGAATTTGTCCTCTTATGATCAAGATATTGATGAGGATACGATTCTACCGACTACGAAACAATGGAATCCGGTGCCTCCGATGGAGAAAGTCGGGAATTTAACGATTTCGTGGAAATTTTTGCTTGGGCCGCTGGCGAATGAGTATTTTCCGAAGGCTGTGACGAGGTTTCTAGGATTGGCGGAGGAGCAGGTGGAGGATTTGTGGTTGGGGGCGAAGGAAAAGCCTGCGTTGCCGGAGGAAGGGGAGTTGCTGGCTACGGGTGTCAGAGTTGTTTCGGTTTCGGCGGAGGTACTGGAGCTCGTCCTTGCGAGGGCGAGGATGCATGACGCGAAATTGACAGGTTTGGTGAGCTTTTTGATTGCGAGAGCACTGGCTCGCTCCTTGCAGAGGAGGGAACAGAACTACTCGTCCTTCCTCGCCGCTCTGCCGATTGATATGCGGCGAGCCCTCGGAAAAGGCCAAGGACAAATTGCTAACTATGTGTCGAACATCGTGGAGACGGTGACGATCCCATCTGCGAGGATATCAGATCAAGACCTGAGCGATTTCGAGTGGCTTCAAGTTCGAAACACCACTGCGCGACTGCTTACCGCTTCCGGAACGCTTGCAGACCAGCCTGTCGGCTTGCTGAAGTACCTGATGAACTTCCGAGAGTACACCCTCAAGAAAGCAAAAGCTCCCGCTACCGAATCGTTCGAAGTCAGCAATGCGGGTGTGTTCAACGGCATTAGACCCGCCGAAAGCATGTCATCTCAATGGCGGGTAGACCAGATGCTCTTCTCACAGTCGGCGAATGCTGGTGGCCCGCCGCTCAACTACAATCTTGCCAGTGCGAAAGGCGGCGATTTGACAATCACTGCCACTTGGTGGAGGGAAATGCTTGGAGTCAGAGACGAAGACGCATTCGTGCAGGAAGTGTGCGATGCCGTGGTTGCCGACATGGACCATCTGGGGTCTTGTTGAGCTCTGGGGTGTGTGCTTACCTCAATTTGACGAATTGCTCAGCAGGTGGTAGCAGTCGCATCTACGAATATGGAACATCAGAATTGGACGATCTGGCAAGCTGAAGAATTTGACCTCACAGCGACGACTCTCGATGCCGATCACCGGTTTACTCCAAGCTGATGCCTGTTGCGGCAATCGACCAGCTGCGAGCCGGCGGACACTCCTCAGCCCTGGCAATGTGCGAACAAGGCACATCTACTGTGGACATCGCCCTGGCAATGTGCGAACAAGGCACATCTACTGTGGACATCGCCCTGAGATCATGATTCGCCACATTCTCAGCTCAAGCTGATCCTTCGCTGCGTTTTCCACTACAACTTGGCAGAAGCATTCGCCACCTTGACTCGGCCCACAACTTTCATCTTCGCACGACCATTGCTGAGACATACTTTTCCGCCCTTCACCTGAGTGACGAAGCGGATGCTCTGAAAGCCATCGGAGTCCTCATCGCCAAGCGCCCATATCTTGGTCACCAGCGTGTCTCTGGCAACGTGCGTCAGTACAAAATGCGCATGACAAACCCACTCATTACCTCAAGTGGTAGAAACGGAATCGGAGACCTACCCAGCCTTGACCGGACTCGCGAATCTCGCCGCAAACTCCTTCAAATTCTTTGGATCACTGCCACCCAAGACCTTCAACAGGACAAGAGCCGCGACATTAAAGCTGTAAAGTCCATGCATGATGGCTCCACCGAATCCCATAGCTTTGCCGGGCTCTGGGGTCGCATGAAGCGGATTGTAATCTCCGTTCAATCGATAGAGATGCGCTTGCTCTGGCGTAACGATGGACTCATACGACGCCGTCTCAGGTTTCCCTTCTGGAGGAGGATAACTCTGACTCTTGGGACCTGATGGCCCACCCCATTCACCTTGACCGATGAAGAAAGCTGATCCACGGACGCGAGTGTAGACTTCTCCCGTTTCGGCGTCGACGAGGTCGTCCTGTGATTCCAGGACCGAGCCGGTTTTGCCTTTGTCGTAGACACCGAGGGTCTTGGAACGAATCTGGAATTTCTTGCCATCTGACGTTTTGGGCAGAGGCTTGAAGAAGGTCATGTGGCGCTCTCCATCTATCACACGTTTGAAATCCAGGTCAGGCACGCCGGGGATCTTGGGACGGCCACTGTTCTGAGCGGCGTAGAAATCGACCACATCGTGGGCTGTTCCTTTGAATGGCAGCACGATGGGAAAGGTTGGAAAGGCAGTGAAGTTGGGATGCAGTTCCTTGAGGGCAGTCAGTCCACGTTCATTTCTCACACGAAGCAGTTCGGTGCGACTCTGAACTTGATGCACTCACATAAATCAAATGCAGCTCATCGACTGTGGCGCCAATACTGTGCGCAAATAACAGAAGATCCCGCGTCGTCCACGAAACGTCCTTGGGTTTGGGTTCGTGTCCTGCGCCGGCTCCACTCATGTTGCTCGATAACTCAGGTTCTCAGTGCTTCGGCAACCAGTAGATCTCGAGCAGTATGCTTCTCTGGATGTTTGGAAAGCAGCTACAAAGCAGAAGTGTGGTTGAGAGTAAGATTTGAGGCAACACTTCTCATGCCGAGGCTGATCAGCGATGCTTCCATCTCGTCCGTTGCAGGCTGATCCTCTTGCGCACGAAAGTTGAGGTTGCGAGTACTTCTATCACTAATCATCCTCCAACATCCGGATTGGCTTTCCCCGCAAAATCTTTGTCAGCTCCGAGCTGTGGTGAGCATAGAGTTTGACTCCTAATTATGTGGTTAAAATTAATCAATGAATCGAATCAAAACTGATTTTGATTACTAAGAAATAGCCTAGGGACCGTATCTAAGCTCTGTCTATAACCTAGATACTTTACGCTAAGACTTACTCTTAGCGTTATTCGTATTAAGATTAGCCTAGCATCGATGACGTATTTGACTACTAATTACACTGATTTTGACTATAATTATAGCCGAGTTGATTTGATTATTCAGTAGTCAAACTCTATGGTGGTGAGACTACACAATAAGGAATTTTGAAGGCTAAAGACGCTACACTACTGCATCCTCCGTCAAGACCTGCGAAGTACGAAAGATATGAGTTTCAAGTTCCGAGTTCCTAACTTCAAACTTTTCAAACCCACTTTCTCGTCTGCGCATCGAGAGCTTGTGCCATGACCCTTCTCCTAGGCGAACGGACCTGAGGAGAACTCACAATGCTCCGATTCTATACCAAGAAGCCCAAAGGGCGCTAGATCTTCTTCAGAAAGCACAAGGCCCAGACCAAGGCTCCAGGTTTCGCCCGTTTTCACATCTTGTATCCAACTCTCTTTCTGCTGAGGATCGCCCCAGAAGATGATCAACCTGGCAGCCACGGCTGGAGTTTGTTTGTACAATCGTAGGCCTTGTATCCAACATATGCAGAACATACCGGTATCTAATGGGAAAGGGGGATTGCGCTCGCGCCACTGCGGATCAACATGCATATCTTTCTCGAAAGCCCTCCGCTGGTCGTAAGACATGTCGGAAGGGAAGTACAGCGTTCGAAGCTCGCCATATCCACTGAAGAAAGGGTTTCGTCTTCTACGCACTTTGGGTAGGGTACAAAACTCTGTCGAGGATCTTAACAGGCATCCAGGAGCTATCTCATCGAGGTATTGTGCCAGATCAGCGGCATATCTTCCTTCGCAGTAAGCCTTGTAAATCTCCTTGCTCGGCCATTCTGTTACACTGCTCAGTACGTTTTCACTCTCAAAGCGTTCTGATGCTCACGATGAATAAGCCACAGCTTTACAGGAGTTTCCTGCGTCACGCCCCACATGGTTGCAAGTCGACCGTCGATCGCGCTAGGTCGATCAGTCTCAATGTGATCGTGAGGCGCCCAGATCAAGTCTCGAAGCTTGAGCATCTCTGAACCATCAAGTCTCCTGATTGTGGCACAAGTTAAGCTCGTCAATACTTTGATGCTTGTGTAGCCTGGTGGGTCTATCAAAGGCCAGCTCAGCAATGTATCTCTGGATGTGTTGTCGGGAGCGGGCAGTAGTGGAGATGGCGTCTCAAACATGTTGTAAATATAACGAGTGGCGCTGCGTGCGAAGATCTTGCATGTGAGGCGCACATTTCGAATATCGGAAATAGTGTCCCGTAACTGATAGATGACCAGGTCAACCAGCTCTGCGGGGAGATGGAAGCGGCGACCACTGACTTCGAAATCCATGGTGGATGACTTGCGCGTAGAACTTTGTCAGGAGATGCTGACGAAGGGCGATTTGGTTTGGTTGTTGGAGGTTGTCTGCTCCTAGGATATGGAGTGGGCAGTAAAGAGGCACAGCAGGCGCTTAATCCACGAATGGCCTGGCAGCCTTGGCGGTGTTGATGGCATGCTGCCGGGCTTCCTTGGAGCTAGAAGTCAGCAACAATGTCAGTGCAAAGGATTAGGCAGCAGATCTTCTGAGCCTGTGTGTCAATGTGCCACACACGATTGATTTTAAGTTCTCGCCTGGGAGGCACGAGTTGGCGGGACTTTCAGTGGACAGTAGATCGAGCTTGGCGGGGTTTGAATGAAGACCGTGTGGTGCAGTGCGGCCAATGACATGTACGCATACTCTGCGAACAACATAGCGTTTGGTCTCTGTCTTGATGAATATCGCCGAGAGACTGGAAAGGTGCAATCACTGGATCAGATCACAGCTTACAGCCGGAGTGGCTGATTCAACTCAATCTGCACTCCGACCGAAAGTTGAGGGACTTGCTTATAATTGCTTCCTCTCAGCTCTCTCCTCGTCTCCTGAAGAGTTTCAATATACGACGGATTCGGATTGCGCTTCATCGTCTCCAGAAACGCCCAAGTCATTGCGCCGCAGTTTCTCCCTGCAATGTAAGCATCCTAGTCCTCACGATCAGCCGAATGTACGTCCAAAGTAGCTCTACGAAACACAAAGATAGAGGAAAAGAATTTTACTTACCGCACTCGTCTCCTCGTCTCTACAACCCGAATACATCGTAACGAACTTATTCTCCCGACTCCAATCTCGTCCCGTGGTATCAGCTTCCAGCCCGGTTGAGCCGTGATGATGCGAATGTTTGAAGCCTTGAAAAAAGCTGTTGGCGTCGCCGAGCATGTGTTTCGCTGCTGCAACGCTGTTGAGCCCATAATCTCCATTCAACAACGCATTCGCTTCCATGACTAAATTGACTCCAGCTTTAATATTGTTCATAACTGAAATATTGCCTTCGTCATCGGTGCGGTAGACGTATGGCAGTTCAACTGCAGAGCCAGAGTGACAGCAATCCAGTACGATGAATAATGTGCTGTTCGGAGGTAAAGCGGAAACGAGAATTTGATGAAGAAGAGTACTGTTGATTTGACCTGCGCGCTCGAAATCGACTGGACAGATAGTGTCGTCGTAGCCTGTCGTTCTATTGTCGTCAGGTTCTTGTCCGCCGTGTCCGGAGTAATGCAAGAAGTTCGTTGTGCCTGGGGTCGAGACAAGCCAGTTCAGTGCGCGGAGCATGTTGGCGTGAGATGGATATGCGGGTCCGGAATGGTCGTCGCGGAGGACCACTTGGTTTTCCTTCCGGTACCCTCAATACGAGAGGAACTCAGCCATGTTTTCGATGTCGCTGTGACAGCCTCGAAGTTCATGTTTGCTGCCGGTGTAATTTATCCCGATGAGGAGGGATTTCTTGAGAGGTTCTCGATCCATGGTGGCAGGTTCGAGCCACTGGAGGGGGCGGTTGGAGAGCTTATAGCAGTTACCCTCAGCAGAGGATGGTTGTCAGTGTACGTTGAAGAAAGCAAAGTTGTGATTGGAACACGGGACGCGTCACAGCTGTGGTCGATGGCTGAGGCTAGATCTCAAACTCGAAATAGGCTTTCGCAAGAACCATTAAGCCGGATCTCTCTGAGCTTGATAACGCTAGGAGGTAAGCTTATTTCCAAGCAGTGATGCAGCCTGGGACAATCTCTAACCATTGTGATGTCAATGAATCGTGGCCTCCAAAGCTGACGGCATCGAGCTTTGCATAAGTACGAGGAGGCTGCATAGATAAGAGGAGCAACACTTCGTTGAAAACGTGCTGGCGCAAACCTGCAGTTCCCGCCGTCTTTACCTTTGAAGGACAAAATTACTATTCGCACGCCGATCACAGAGGGGTTTCTTCGCTTCTGGGCTTGTTGAAGCGACACGCAGTATCGCATTGAGCCAGTGAAAATTCCTTACCATTCGTGTCGATCACGTCCGTGTACGTCAACAGTATGTGAGAACCTCGTGATGTATCCTCAGGAATAAAGCCACAGCCAGATGACAAAAGCCAGCGGGGCTGAATAAGAAGGAAAGCAACTTCGTCCATCTTGCATCCTCGGTAGACGTCGCACCTCATGGAAAGGGAGGCGAACGCATATGCTTGATTGGATGCTGTTCAAGGCGAGATATGATCGTTCAAGGACCAATAAAGTGACTGAAAGACCTGTGAGAAGTAGAATCGCTCGCTCGTTGATATCGTGTCAGCTGTGCTGTGACCCAGCAATATCTCAAAGGGAAGTACCTCGCCGCAGTTGTTCCCCAAACGCCTCGCTAAATCCATTCCGGTAGCCCAAATGTCATGCCATGGGCATTCGTGCTATGCAGCTTCTCACCTGAGCCACTTCAAGACAAAGTAGACGAAGATAACGAAGATGACCACTCCTCCCCAGAAGATCCACTTGTCCTGCTTGGCTCTTCTGCTCACCATACGAATTGTATCGCCGCTGATGCCGAGCGTCGTCCCAATGTCGTACAGTTTCCTCTGCGTGCCTTTGAGCATCTCTCTTTGATCTCCCAAATCGCCCAGGACAGCCCTGCCGCGTTCCAGATACTCATCCAGTGTCGCATTTGCCGTGCCGAAGAAGTTGTTCTCTCTCAATGCATGCTCTTCTCGCCCCTGATTCGCCCCAAGCCCGTATGGACTTTGATAGGAACTGTAGCTGTTTCCTTGCTGTCCAGGTACAAAGTTCGGGTTGTTCGTTCGAAATAACGGATTGACGTTCTCTCCTCTACCGCTCATTGCGCTTGCGGCGACATTCTTGTCCGAATACGGGTTCTCTGGCGTCTCGCTCCCTCCGCCAGTATACCCCCTCCGGCCAAAGAGCTCAGATCTCTGCTCGACATGTTGTTGCTGTTCGCGCTCGGCTTTGAGTTCAGCAAATCGGGCTTTGAATTCGAGGAGATCGGAGCGGAAGTTTGCGATTCGTTCACGGCCCTTCTCCGCCTTCTCCGGAATGAGCTCGCTATCGAGGGATTTTTGGTAGTCGTCTAATGTGCGCGTGAAGCTGGTGAGGAGCGTTGTAATCTGGCCTTGGAGCGCAGCGGAGTTGGGTGCCGAGTTGGAGGCGAGAGTGTCTAGGTTGGCACGAAGAGATTTGGATTGGCGAAGGGCATTGTTGTAAAGGGCCGACATAGTGGAAAGACGAGGTGGTGCTGTGGTTACATAGTGGAGTTGTTGGGGTTGTTTGGTGCGGCATAAATTTTGGCAAGAAGACGTGGCAGGATCGGCGCGGTGTCACGTGCTCTTGAATTTCACTTCACGTTGAGATCTCGTTGCCCTTTGCTATCGCCAGCACCAGTCAACATATGTACACTGGATTTCATTTCCTGGTGATTCTGCTTCCTATGTGGCGGCCTCTCCTCCTCCGCTGCGACCATCCGATCCTGAGCGCCGCCTTCTCCTTTGTTGCCGTAAAAGTTCCCCAAAATCAAGAGCATTTCTGGGCGATCGTGCCATCTTGAGCACCGCGTCAGGAGCTCATTCAATTGTACCTAGAGAGGACAAGGATAGCGTACGTATCAGATGCTGGCAAAGATCTTGCAAAAGATGCGAACGACGGACTGCCGCTTCCAGCTTGTTGAGGATTCTGGTCTATGCAGAGGCAAACGTTACGAATACAGACCGATAGTTCTCGCAATCACCCACGAACATGCATCTAATAGAGTTCATTCCGGGTGGTCATGACTTTCAGTCCCCCGCTTCATCTTTGCTCGCAGCCCTTTCACGTGAGTGGTATCGCCGCATACCTTAGGTCCGATCTGCATGAGTGCTTACAGATGCCAAGGAGAGCACTGGACGGTCAGGAGCCCGAAACAGGTCACAGCATCCGTTGTTGATTGAGCATGCAGAATTAATACTCTGCTGCACGACCACTTGCCGCCGGATGCCGTTCTCGTCCCTCGTTACAAGGACATGTGTGAAGGACTACATTTCCCGAAGAGGACATTGGTCGACACATTGGCGTGCAATCTTGACCATTTGCATTTCGATGCACGGAAAGAATCGAGAAGATTGTCCTCCGCCCGTCGTTTACCGTCCCGCGCAGCTCGAACTCAGATCTAACAGAGCCAAGCCCCAATCCCATATAGACACGGGAAGTCTAATAGCCAAACAAATCTGGACTGACAGGGTCCGGCTCTTAGGGCTGTGGGCTTAAACCTTTCAACGGGCTATGCTCTCGTGTTCATGATCGGCATGATACAATCGCGGCATAGAAGGGAGGAGGGACTGTCTTCAAGCCGCAGATCGGACAGCCAACGAGCTCAATCGAGCTGACTTCGGCTTCAAAAGCCTTGATATCGATCTCGCCGAACAGGCAATGCTCCTGTACTCTGTTGCAACACTGACCAGAATGCGTGTCAGAAGAGAAGGACGCCATGTCTCTCAACCGTGTGTGTGCAAGCGGTGCTTCTAGCTCATGGGATGGGACTGATCCTATAAGAACGATGCCATTGCGATTCTATTGCTCGTTACTAAAACATTGCACAGTCACAAGCATCCAGCTGTCGACACCCATCAGCCTTATACTTCGACCAATCAGTATTCAAAATGCGTCTCTTCGCTCTCCTGGCTCTTCTGTCGGCACTTGCCATGGCACAAAATAAAGCTCATGCGCCAAAGAACGCGCTAGCAGGCGAGAACGCGGTTGCAACCGAGGGAGAGGGCTCTTTTAACGATCAAGAGGATGCAAGAGGTAGTGGACAGGCAAAAGGAAAGGCCAAGGAGCACTGCTATCTCGTAGAAGTTTGCAGCGCTGATAAGTCCGCGGACGTGTTGTATCAGGCAAGCATCTACATCTTTCCACCTTGACCCCGCACTGAATAGGATGCTGACCATACACCAGGATTGCATCGGCGCACACCATTGCAACGCGAAAGCCAAGCTCCCCGAAATCAAAGGAGGCACATCATGCGATACAAAGAATGGCGAGTATTGCAAGATGGGAAAATGTGTAAGTGCATCTGCGCGGAATGTACAAAGGGTCGAAATTAATCGGCACGCAGCTACCGTATGATGATAACGGAAAGAAAGCTATCAGATGCTACAATCGATGCTGCAAGAAGCTAAGCTGAAGACCACCTGACTCTTTGAGAGATGCAACAACTCATGGGCAAATATACGTGTAAGCTACTCACATTCGACGTTAAGCCACAACGCCATTTGCTGACCAAAGAGGCATTCGCGCGCACAGTCACTTCAAGAGCGCCAAGACTATGGTCGCTGTTCCCACTCAGGCAGCAATGATCTTTTCTTCAAGTATCGAAGTTTAATGTCAAGAGAGTTCTGAGGCCACCACGTCCTTAAACCCAGTCTCTCCTTGCGATAAATACTACTACATACTCCCACCATTTCATCCTTGGCCAGACACTGATTTCACGCATCACAGCTCTACTAAATCTCGCGTAGATCACTCTGACCAATCACAAACTCGACGTCGACACCCCCGGCGAACCACAATGCCTGACCAGCGTGTGCCCGCGGCCGAGACTGCGGCCTCGCAGGTCTTCGCGACGCCAGAAATCCTCGGGGCGATCCTAGGACACCTCCATCCTGTTGAGTTCGCTCAGGTACAGCTAGCTCACCCTTACTGTCTGGATGTAGCCAAGAACTTTCCGCATCTCCGTCACCAGTTCTTCCTTGAGCAGGAGCCCGGAGCGATTGACGGCGGCTTTCAGCTCAATCCGATCTTCGAGATGGTGTTCCGCATCTTTGGATGGAGCATGGGCCCGACCGAGCTCGTGCGTCGGTACCCAGAAGAGGCAATTCTGCGGTATCGCCCCAGCTTTCTTCATCTTTGCCCAGATTGGAAGGACGAGTTCCGTTGCTCTATCAGGAAATCTTACAAGCGTATACTACTAGACGAAAACGCATGGCGTTTCGTTCTCGATCTGCGGCCTCTGTTGCAGCAGACATTATTTGCCAAGGCAAGCCATCCGGTCTCGATCTTTCCGATTTGCGACCGCGATCGCGACCTCGTTCCTTATGGCTACGTGGACGTTGTGGAAGGTGCGAACTCTGTCTTGGACGTGTTGAGGATGGTGCTTGAGCAGGAAATATCTGACAGGGTGGTATACAAAGCCGCAGTGCCACGTCGTGAGAATCATGACCGACATTTGAAACATGCGCTTCATGATGCTCGGAGAGGACTTGGAGATCTTGCAGCTGCTGTGTACCGCCTTTGGCAGTGAGGGGGCCTGCAAAAAAGAGAGAACAGAAAACAGGTTGTGTGAGGAAGGTCTTTGGCCTGGCACTGGGATATCGACCTTTTCCTAACAATACTAGATGTGAAAGAAGCCGACAACACGATCAAAGGTTCACAGCCGGAGTATTGACCATCACCCCGAATACTGCCTGCTACATTGAGAGGACTACTTACGTACTCTATCGATAGAACAAAGTTTTGGCGGGTCTGTAAGTTGTTTTAGCTCGTAGAAACGCAAATCGTGTAATAATACTTAGATCGCTTTCCCAATCCGCAGGTCCTGAAGTGTTCTAAGAGAGCTCCTGTAGTACGAACTCCCCTGCCTCAAATAACGCCAGAAGTAATGGCGGAAGTCGCAGTCACACCCAAAAGGTGTTTACATTACATGGGAAGAGAGAAAGCACCAAGCATAGGCATTACGTCACTCGAGGGCAAGGCACTTGGAAGCGTCTGGGAAGGAGGTAGGGCGCGCCTTGCTTTGCTCTCTCTCTCACACACACACACACACACACCCGGCACATGCTGCGCCAGCGCAAGCACAGTACAGTGTATCGTACCAGATCCGACACGCGAATCCCGGTTCGACAAGACACTATACGAGCCGGAAGAAAGATCCACGGCGACAAGGCTCAAGACAGGAACAGTACAGACCGAGAGCATCGCGAACTCATGCCCAACAGCTCGAATCCTGAGCAACTCACGCTAAGGCGACCACAAAAAAAGGACTGGTTCCACACGGCACACACCAATCCGCCATTGCTCTCAGACATGAGGGTACATTCGAGAAATTGATCAAGTCAAGGAGAACTCGCGGTTGAAGATAATCAGATACGGGAAGTCCAGCGACAGCCCTAGAACATTGAGAGCGAGCAAGATCAAGCTGGAGGTGACGACTGGCCAGTCGGCCAGCAACAAGACAACTACCCCTCCGCGCATCAGCTTCAAAACGACGCAGACGACAGGCGACAATAAGGCTGCCTCTGTTCCTGCGGCTACTACGCAGTACCACGAGGGTGCAATCCGCTGGACACCGATCGAAATCTCGTCTGTACTCAGCTTCGTCCCTATCCCCAGTGCCGCCAGCAGAGCCACCGCAGTTATTACACTACCTGTTCAGGCACCACTTGACAACGGAAGTCCCCTCAGCAATAGACTATAGCAACACTTGTGAAGTCGGCCACGGCGCATACCAGGTCATTCCATGCATGAAGCGTGTGAGACACAAACACAATCAACATTGATTGCTGACCGGCAGCCCGCAGGCGCCCAGCCGAAGTCGAAGGATTCTGAAAGTCTGGGCTGCGGGTGTCCCGTCGACCGACCGCAAATACCGAGAGCTGAGGTTCGCATCTTCAGAGCAGCGTCGTATCCTGTTCGTCAGTGACAGAAGCTAGTTTGTCCAGCGCATGTGCTTTAGCGCGGGAGCATCCGTGTTGCCACAACGACCACGAGTGCGAGATTGTCCGAAATTCCCACTGCTGTGTGCTCCGGAACACCCATCTTGCACTGCGAAAAATCCCTTTGCAGTGCAACTCGTGGGCCGGAGTTGCCGCGGTAGCATCTTCGGCGAAAACTTGCAGAACCTGGCTCGGCCGCTTTGGCTTTAATTCAGAATAGTACATGCGATCCTCTGGGATCCCCGCGGACCACACTTTGTTCAAGCTTGTCGTGGATGACGGAATCCAGGAATGACAGAGGAACCACGCGAAGCCAATCAACATACTACTGCGCAACATACGCCGCTCGACACACGCTGTACTTGACACGAGTCGAGTTTGACTCAGGAAACCTTCCACTCAGCCCGAAGAACGACCAGTAAAAAAGGGGGTCTTCTATGATCACTCCAGCATTGACCTGTGAGCAGGTTCTCGGAAAACTTTGTGCCAGAATTTGTGTCAGCTCCGTCCTCGGGACACAAAGTTTCAACTTGGCCCGTGGAGTACCACGGTAAAGCGATTGTACTCCCTCAGATTTGAGGGCGATCGTACTTCGTCAGACTTTGAGGCCACGGAGACACCACAAATTACTTAAACCACAGCCTGCTGACTCCATTGAACGTTGGATTCCCTACCTCCCTCTTTCTTTTGATCTGACATCTCTCTTCAGAGACGGAACAACAAGGACGGACTAGCTACCAGACTGGCCCGTATGCAGCGCAGCCTGTCCTACTTCCGCTCGCATCGTCACTCAAGAGCGAATACTGAGCGCCAGTCTATCTTCAAGATGATTTCATCAACTTCTGTTCCAGAACCCTCCGCCGGATCAGCAGCCCACGAGGTCTTTTCTACCCCTGAAATATTGGCATCGATCTTAGGCCACCTTGGTGCCGAAGAATTCGCCTACGCTTATCTCGCACACCAAAACGTTCTCAAAGTGGCAAAGCAGTATCCAGAACTTCGACGTCAGTTCTTCCTCGAACAAGAGCATGGACACATTACAGACGGCTGTAGAGTCAACCCGCTCTTCGCAATGGTATAGCAGATCTTTCATTGGCGATTCTTCAAGGTCTTCAACGATCCCACCGTATTTGCCGACCCAGGCTTCCAGTTCGTGATCGACAAAACCATCTTCCGAACACCCCCGACAGACGCTGAATGGTCCCTGCTCGACAATCTACGACCACTATTGCAAGAGATGCTATTCGCTCAAGCCACCGGTCCTCTGGAAGTCTGGCCACGAACCGGACCTCTCAATGTCGAGCCGAAAAGCGATTACGGCCGGGACTCCATCACATTCCCGCCCATTTACGTTCCTGAGAATGAGAAATCCGTTTGGGATGTGTTAAGCACTATCCTCGAATTGGAGTTGCAGTCCAGAGTGAAATACAAGATTGCATGGCAGGAGGACAATCTTGATTATGTTCTTCATAATGGACGCATCGGGCTTGCGAACCTTGCAGATGCTGTGGACTACGTGTGGAAGCATCGACTGCACGGCATTGCGGCTCCAAGCAAAGCGTGGTACATCCCACCTCGTGACGAAGATTTCTTGAAGGGTATTTATCGGGACCCTGCTGAGGATTATACAGCAGAAGCCATACTACACAGAGGTCATGCGGATTCGAAAGTGGACAACTGTGAGCTTTGTGCTAAAGGGGTTGGAGTTTGATATCGATACGATGCATAGACGTCTGAGAGTGTCGCTGCTATGCGAAAGCAAGAATTATGTGTGAAGGCTTGACGACTGAAGAATACTTTGATGACTTGCGAGGAATAGGAAATTAGTAGCCTCAATATGCTTACAGACTGAGGGTATGACAGAATCCAAGCACTTTCGCCACCTAGAGATTGACAACACAGTATGCAATTTCGAGCAGAGAGTCTTGCCGAAATCTCAGTCAGTGAAATTTCATCGCTCTTCGTCCGTCAAGCTTGGAAGCGGCGAGATGTTCTGAACTAGCGGCCACTTCTTTATTGCAATACGTATCGCCGCGGGCTTGGAGGACGAGGCTCGGGTGTAGTCATGAGTGTTCGGGCTTCATTGCCTTTCCAATCCGATCGAGCCTTTCAGCCCAAAACGGTGCGGTTCTCCGCGGAACATCCCTCGCCCATTCAGAGCTGGCACATCAGTCCGGCTTCTGCAAACCGCCACCACAAACATTCTTCTCTACTGCCACAGATCTAGTCGGCGACTGGCGGCGATCGATCCTTGTCTCAGCTGATGGAAACCTTCGGCTGTCACATCCTCATCCACTCCTCTCCATACCAAGACTACTCCGAAGCTCTGACAGCCCAGATGACGAAGGTTGTTCCCGCCTCCAGATGGGGTCGTTAGTCAAATCTGGGGAAGCCTTGGCTTTCGCATGGTCATAGCCGGGCTGTCTTTGCGGAGTAAACTGCCTTGAAACATACTCTACAATGGCCACGAGCGGGGTGTGGCGTTCAGGCATTGGCAACATTTGCCTGCCACGATGTCGGTCGACTAGGACTTAAATACGACCAGGGAGTCCAGATGTTTGGTGCTCTTTGCATTTTCAAGCACTCCCGACCATCTTAATCCTGGGACTGGATCAACGCTCTCGTTTGCTGCACGGTTGCTACTCACTTTCGTGGCATATTCTTCAAGCCAGCATATCCTCGCATGCTGAGACACCATGGCTACTCACGATGAGAAGAAAGTGCAGCAATGGACCACAGAAGAGCAGATTGAAGACCTGAAGGACCGTGAGACGTTCGATGAGATCACGGCGCTCTCTGGCATCGAAGCCACTGCGGCATCAAGAGCCGCATGGCTCATATCGATCACTGTCTCTCTAGGTGGTTTCCTCTTCGGTACGTCTAAAATTATTCCAGAGTTCAGTCTGGGCCGAGTACTGACACCAGGGTGACTTAGGTTACGATACCGGCTACATCTCCTCCGTCCTCGTCAGCATTGGCACATCCCTCGGCCATGAGCTTTCCTCCAGCGAACAGGAACTCGTCACATCCCTCACCTCAGGCGGCGCCCTTGTGGGCGCTGTCTTTGCCGGACTCGCAGCTGACAAGCATGGCCGCAAATGGCCCGTTTGGGGAGCCTGCATTGTCTTCGTCATTGGTACAGTTCTGCAAACAGCCGCCTACTCTGTTGCCCAATTCGCAGTCGGAAGATTTGTCGTTGGATTGGGAGTCGGTTCCGCAGCGATGATCGTGCCTGTCTACATCGGAGAACTTGCACCTGCCAAGTACCGTGGCAGAATGATCGCTTTCAACAATATGAGTGTCACGTTTGGCCAGCTGGTTGCCAGTGCGATTGGTGCAGGACTCGCGGAAGTTCCAGGAGAAGGATGGCGAGGCACAGTCGGGATTGGAGCCTTCCCAGCAGTCGCACTTGCAATCATGCTGTTCTGGTGTCCGGAATCACCTCGTCAACTTGTCGCCCACGGCAAGACGGATGCTGCTGAAGCAGTTCTTCTTCGGTTGTATCCGACTTCAACGCACGAGCAACGTATCGCAAAGATACGTTCCATTGAGGTGTCCATCGAGGAGGCTACTTCGAGCTTGGTACCAGAATCTCTGTGGACGGTCTTCAAGCGTATCTTCAACACACCTGCCACCGCGCGAGCCGTTCTCACTGCATGTTTGATCATGGGTATTTCCCAGCTCGGCGGTTTCAACACTCTCATGTACTACTCTGCCACGCTCTTTGCCATAGTCGGCTTCAAGAACGCCACAGCAGTCGCCATAGTCGTGTCCGGCACAAACTGGATTTTCTCCGGAGTAAATCTGGTCTTGGTAGACAGATTCGGTCGCCGCATCCTTCTGGTTGTATCAGTCGCAGGCATGTCGATTTGCATGATGATCGCTGCAATCGCATTCCACTACATTCCAATCAACCTCAGCACTCTCGAGCTAGAAACCGATGACGCAGGCTGGGCAGGAATCGTGGTCCTTGTGACGATTATCTGCTACGTAGGATTTTACTCATCTGGTGTTGCTACCATTGCCTGGATCGGGACGGAGTTGATTCCGTTGGAAGTTCGTGCTCTTGGAACCATGTTGAATACGGTCACTTGCTGGTCCACGAATATCATCATTGCCTCGACTTTCTTGTCCATGATGAAGGGGATCACACCTTCGGGAGCATTTGGATTCTACGCGGGTATTTGCTTCTTTGGCTGGCTCTTCATCGTGTTCTGCTATCCAGATGTGAAGGGCATGCCGCTCGAGACTATTAGACATGTCTTCGAGCATGGCTTTGGTTTGAAATACTCGAGGCAGTGGCAGAAGGACAACAAGCATCTGGCTAAGGCCAGCCAGGCGACTTTTGGTCACTAAGTAAACGGCTTATGCAAATCTGCATCTTCTTATTCGAAAGCGTCAGTTGCGCTCCGTGACTATCAGCTGTCTTTCCATTGCCAGACATATTATGCATCAGGTAAAGTGAACTGCCCGCTGTCTAGGCCGCCTTTCCATACTCCGAAGCAGTAGCCATGATGCGCCTATGTGTCTTCTACATCTGACACAGGGAGATTATGCTGGCTGCGAGATGTAACAACAGTGGAAACACCTCAAAAGCACACAGCACGGTCGAGGCTACAAATGAAGAGATCTGGTAGCAGCATCCTACGCCGTACAGCTGTCGGCACTACTGCAACGCGCTCGAGCTACTCGCGATAGATGTGATCCAGCTGCCTCACCATCGGTAAAACGAAGGCTTTTTCAATCCAACTTGGGCGATCGTGTGCTGGAACCGCAAGATGCAAGCCATTTGAAAGACCTGAATTTAGTAAAAAGTGTCACCAAGAATCATCGCAAATGTATAATTGGCGGGTATCAATCTCAGGGTATCATAAAGCGCATATCCATTCCTCATCACTCATCCATTACCTCATATTCTCATTCCATCTTCCCATCATCATCCATTTTCAACTTCCCCATTCCCATCTCCTTTTCGTGCTCCTCTAAAGCGGCCCCTCCGCACACCCACAAACACTCCTCGGCTTCCTACACCTCATACACAGACTTCCTCCTCCTGCTGGCGGCGCAACCGGCGGAGGCGAATGTTCCTTCTCCTTCTTCTTGCCCTTCTTCCCACCAAAACAGAAGGCCCAACAACACCCCAGCAACAACCCCAACAGTATCAAAATCACAAGTACAAGAATGACAATCGCCCACCATGGTGTGTCATTTATCTCAACTCGTATTGCCTCGTTTATGGGAGAGGAACGATTATTAAATTCATCCCCGAAGAAATTTATGATTGTACCGCTGATTGTGCGGTTGAGGTAGTTGAGGTCGGTGGTGTTGAGAGTTATTGTGGTGTTGAGGTTTAAGGTGGAGTTTGAGCCTGAGAAGAAGTTTTGGAGGTCGAGACGGAGACGATTGGAGATTGTTTCGGTGATGTTGGTGAGGGAGCGGTCGATGAGGGAGAGGTAGGTTGTTTCGAGGTAGTCCACGATCAGGTTGTAGGTGTTTGTGCCGTTGTTGCCGCCTCCTCCACCGCCGCCGCCGCCGCCACCGCCTGTGCCGTTGCAGCAGATGTATTGTGTGTCGTTTGATGGGAGGTAGATTGTGACGGTTTGACCGGGTTCGGTGATGGTGGTGATTGATGGGTAGAAGGAGGTGATTGTTGCTGTTCCTCCTGGGACGTAGACTGTGTCTGTGACGTTGCCATCGCCTGCGGTCACGGTGACTATGCTTGGGAAGTATTGCGTCACAGTTGATCCGGGATTCGTGGTGGTGCTCACGCTCGAGATGTAGTAGGTTGTCGTCAATGTGCCGCTCGGGATGTATTGCGTCTCTGTGGATCCAGCATTCGTCGTCGTGCTCACGCTCAACAGATATGAAGTGATCGTTGCGGTGCCGCTCGGAAAGTACCGAGTCCCTGTCACCGTGCCGTTTCCTGCTGTCACCGTTGTCACGCTCGGCAGGTAGACGAGAGAAATATCTGTCACAGTATTGGTCGTTGCGGAAAGGGTGGTAAAAGTGACAGTCTGGGTGGCTACTGTAGTAGTCGAAGTTGTCGTTTCCGAGTATAGTGTAGATGTGACAGTCGTGTTGGCCAAAGTTCTTGTGGTAAGAATAGTGATTGTAGCATTGTATTTGTTGATGTATGTTGTTCCACCTCCGCAGATCGGTGCTCCTGTCGTGATCGTTCGATCGCTGTAGATTGCCGAAACTTCGAATTTCGTGACTGTTGCAGGCGGCTGCGTGATATAGCTGGTACTTGTGATTGTTCCTCCAGAAGTCACTGTCAAAGTATTTGTGACTGTACCACCAGGTTGCGTGATATAGCTAGTGCTGGTTACTGTACTGCCAGCCGTCACAGTCAAAGTGCTGGGATGGCATGGCTTGTCGGGATAGACCGTGGTTGTATATGGCTTTCCATGTTTCTCCTTGTAGACAGTAGTTGTCAGAGGATGACATTGCGGATGCTCGGTGACCGTGGCTGTCGTCGGATGATAATACTTCTGTCCTTCTGTTATAGTGACTTTTGTGGCGATCGTAGATGTGATTGTCACGGTAATGTGCTTTGGACGACCCGTCTTCGTCACAGTGTACGTTGGACACTCGGGACTGGCTGGATAGGTAGGCGGAGGGCCGTATTCGTGCCCGGCATGACTTGTTGCTGCTGGCGTTTCATGCCCATCTTGGCCGTATTCTGGCGCATAGTTGTCGTCGTGATAGCCAGCTGGAGGATGATTGCCAGCTGACACTAAAGCAGCAGCGCACCACAAGCCGACGAACACAGTATACATTGTGCTCAAGTCCACACGCTCCCTCAGCACGCGTACTCAGATCAGAAACGCATCGCCAACCTTCTGCGCCCGACAAGCGCGCCAGACGCACATTTCAACTCAACTCGCGTCAAAAGCAACAGGCTCGCATTTCGCATCACGTCGAAGGCGCGAGGTGCTGACAACGCATTTCAATCGCGTCCTGCGTTTGTCCATCGGGCTCCTCACCCGGCGAACACGCGTGTGATGGGTCCTGCATTGGTTCCTGCAGGCCATGTGCTGTGACATCGGGCAGGTGAAAGCGAAGCCATTGGCGAGAATGGATGGCTGGGAGCTGCATAAATGAGCAAAATTACAACCACTCTGAGTTCGAGATGAGAGCAATTGCTGGAAGTGGAAGTTGTTGTTTTTGCTTGGCAGGCGGCGGTGACAGAATCGTGCTTCGACGTGGCGTTGTGGCTCGAGCTTCTTGTTCCTGCTTGAGAACTGACTTGACCGTGTCGATCTTGTGATAGTGCGATCCTTTTGGATGTGTTGTCAACATGATGTCCAATGTATCGTGCCTGCTGAGTAGTGCAAGTCAATGCGCATCGAAGATTGCTTTACTGGACCCTCTGTTCGTCTGTCATCATCAGTTCGGTCTTCAGCCAGCCACAGCACTGCAAGACGAGCGCCATGCGTCCACCCAGTGTCGGTGGGCTGAAATCTTCTCAGCTGAGCTTTACCAAACTTCGAGACTTTGCTCCAGCAAGATAGCCACGATGTGCGCTGTATCGGAGGCTGACGCTTATGTTGGTGCGAGACCGACAAATGCTTTCACTTCTTGGTGCACTGGCGAGATCGCTGTTGTGCGCAGTGCTGCGGGTGCGCTCTCTCCCAGATGTCCCATGCTTCGCGAACACTTCTCGAGACATAGCCTGAAAGCTGAGCAAGCTGTCCGCGCAAGGGTTGGAGGTGGCTGACGTGCGAGTTGCGAGGTTTGTGCTGCAGGCGAAGCCATGTGCATAGCTTGAAAGCTCTAAGCATTGTGCGACTCGGCAAAGCTCTACTTGACCATGCTTACATCTAGACCATTGACAGGTCCTGTGTCCCAAAGCTCGTTCACCGCGGTTCTGTCTTATAACCCGCCATCCTGACCGGTGTACACCATTACGGTCCTCCCTGTTTCATGTATGCCTCTTCGCGCCCATACTCATCTATTTCATATCCTTCGTATCTTCATTCTCTCAGTCCCCCACTCTTCTGCGCTTTACTGCTTATTCAACCCATTCGGATCCCCCTCCTGCGCAGCCTTCTGCAGCTGAGCCGTCGTCATGGTCGAATTCGTATTCTGAAGCTTTTGCTTTGCAGAGGCCGGAGCAGGAGCGATGGCAGTGTCTGGAAGATTTGGTGCATTCTTCTTCAGAGCTGGATCGAAGGTGCTGCGGAAATGCGTGCCCAGTCCTGTCAAGTCGGATGGCTCGGGTTCGTGAGTGGGATCCAAGGCTTCGACGGCCTGGGGGTGGGTCAGTTCAGGAAATACTTCGGGATCATCTGGAGTGATGTTGTGGGGTTTCTTACGGTCTTGGACTCGACGGTTTGTGCGAGTTCTTCTTCTGAAGGCATTTTGGCTGTGAGTCTCCGGATTTCTGTGACTCTTGTCTGTCGTGAGGTTCCGTCGAATGTGTTTGGGAAACGACCTTGGAGGCATTGGAGGTGTCTTGGCAGGGCTCCCGCACGATGACATCACTCCACGCGTCTTCCCCTTTCTTCACTCCTCGACACGACTTCACTCCATGTCTGCCAACAGATCATCGCTCATTTGCACCAATGACCTTCATCCGGACGCGCGATATCGTGGAGGCCTCTCGGGGATTATCGAATTGCAAGCCTGCGAGATCAGATATGGCAATGATGAGCATTGCTGCAGTGGGAAGCATAGTTGTTAACCACCTGCTGTCCAGCATCCACGATAGCCTCCCTCGGCAGAAGGAAATGAACGAAGAAGCAGAGAAGACACCATGTCCCACTCATATCTCGGCGATTGCCCTTTCGCGGTACTGGACGAGGTCTGCTTACGTGGCTGTCTGAACGGCGTGGCCAGAACCAGTGGATTATCACACGAAGAGCCAAGCACTTCTCGAAGCCGACAGCCATCTGTACATCACGATGCACGCGTGGTTCGGCTGGGAGACACGACGCCATCAGCGATCGAGGCCTGGCCGTATCTATGCCGACCACGAACCGTTCGTTCAACGGCAACGGTCGGCCAGCCGCGTGGCTACGGGAGATTGCGCCATGAAGTTCCCGCCAACCACTCCACATTTCACTTGGCTTCACCTTTCCCTACAGGATCCGACGGCGTATGCGCCACCTACGATGAATGCCTGACTTCAGCATCTCGACTGACTGCTCACCGACGAATGTGACGCGCGGACGATGAACCAATGACAGTAAGTTGGCGCGATGAATCTACTCGTAGGTCGACACGTTGGACGTTGCCTGCGTTATTGCCCTCCCCCAGCAACGATACATGCGACAACGTCCGCCAGAGCCATCGCAATACGCGCCGTCGGCGACGAGGAGCCTTTTCGCCTGCCATCTCACGTCATTTGTACTCACGTGTGCTGACCCAAAGGCATTCCCAAGATCTTCACCACGATCGTTATGGCCCTGCATGGAGCCTCACCAACGGTTTTGCCCAGTCTGTCTCTCTGTGAGATCTCGGCTCTCCATGTTCATGGTATTGGGATGCCATCGCTCGATGACAAGACTTCGCAGCGTATCTTCGAGCCAGGCAAAGTACGAGGCTCTGGATCTCTGCGTCACTTGATATTACAGCCCCAACGTTTGTTGTGCTCTTGAATATATGGCGTGCAGCCGCTGCGATTCCTTGAAAACCTGCCATCTACATTGTCCTCCTCCATCACAGCCTCCCGCCCAGAACAGTCCGCCTGCCACTTCGTCTGCCACATCTTCAGAGTCAAACATAACACATAAAAGCAGGCTTCACTACACCAGATCGTCAGTACAATCATTCTATCATCTTGACTGCGCATGCTAACAATGCACAAATATCTGTCATTACCACTGCTACTCTTACTGCCTTGGTCAAACCCAGCAGGAGCAGTACCATTATTTGTTCGCGATGAACCATGGACAGGCAATCAAACATCCTTAGGCAATTCAACACTAGCAGGCAACGAAACACTCACAGGCACCGAGACTTTCAAAAGCAACGAAACAACCACACCTGAAGTCTTGGTCCGCGACTACAACACACTCAACGCAACCACTTGGAACGGACAAGAAGTCCCACGATTTCTTCTGGGCGGCAATGTCAGGACCGTAGGACAGTATGCTAACGGCACGACATATGTCATCGAAACCCCTTCCAGGAATAACAACACCGGCAACACGACTTTAACAAGCGGGACTGGACGTCTGATACCTTTTCCACCTCCGAGACTGCTGGCATCGGCGAACAGCACACGCACGAACAGGACACAACTTCCAGCAGATGCTGATGAGCTATCGAAGGCAGCAGCAAATGGAGTGCTGACTCTCAGCATCGTAAACAAGTGGCCAAGCGAGAACTTACTCGTCTACGTCTCCGGTCTGGACACCAAAGGTGCTCTCGTTATGCTTGGCCAGGACGGCAAATGGATGAACCCGACCACCAGTTCAGCAACGCCTGAGCCGGTGAAGGGGTCCATTGCCATTCCTCTAGGCAAGCCCAATTCAACATTGACACTGACGCTTCCCGGCTACATTGAGAGCTCCCGAGTCTGGATTGTTGACGGCAAATTGGACTTTTTCGTCGTCGCGACACCCAACGGACCAGGTCTCGTCGAGCCAGCCGCAGTCAATGCCGCCGACCCGAACTCTCAGAGGAACTACGCCTTCGCAGAGCTTTCTTGGGCAGCAGCGTACGGCCTCTACGCCGATATCACCGCAGTCGACTTCGTCGGCCTACCCCTCGGCATCGAACTCGAAGAAGCCAACAACGCCAAACGCTCCATCCTCGGCACTCCCTCCAACGCAGCCGACCACCTCTGCGACGTTCTCAAGACACAAGCTAGCAAGGACAAACAACCCTGGGATCAACTCTGCTACCGCGACTCCAAAAACAAACTCGTCCGCGTTCTTGCCCCATCAAACCTCATCTCCCAGAAGCCAGACGCATTCAAAGGCTACTACGACCGCTACGTCGAAAATGCCTGGACCAAATACGCAAACGAAGACCTCATCATCGAAACCCAAACCGATGCCGGAAAAGTCCCTTGCCGCGTCAAAGATAATCTCCTCCAATGCAAAGGCGACAACCGCCCCTACGCCAAACCCACCGCATCGGATATCATGGGCTGCAACACCGGTCCCTTTGGAATTCAATCCGGCGACAACGGTGTCCATCTCGCTGTCGTCCCACGATTATGCGCCGCTTTCCATCGAAGCACACTGTTCCTCAAGGGTGGGAACGTGCAACCTGGACTAAGTCCGAAGGATTATTACAGGACGCCTAAAAGTGGACCGAATTCGAACAATCCGCCGAAGAATTATTATTCGAAATTTGTGCATGAGATTGAACATGAGGGACGGGGGTACGCTTTTGCTTATGATGATGTTACGCTCAAGGGCGAGTGGGATCAGAGTGGGTTGGTTGCTAGTCCGCAGCCGAGGTTGTTGAGGATTATTGTTGGGGGAACGTAATATGAAGCTTAAAGGATGCAAGTGATGATGGTGTTGAGTTCTGATTGTAATGAGTTCATGATTTTTATGATGTTGATGAGATTAATGATTGGGATGGTACATAGGGAACAGGTTTCTGGGTTGATTGCATTGGTACAGGAGGTTTTGGTCTGAGGCATGGGATACATTTATAGAATGAATATGGATGAACTTTGATCGATTCATATCCCAGGCCATCATCGCCACAGCTTGTCGTGCACACACACAGCTAGTGATCGCGATCAATCAGGTAAGTTCAATCTGTTGGTCAATCGTGTTCAACCGCAATCGGATAACACATTCTAATTGGTTGCAACCATTTGCCCAAGGGGATAAACAGTCGCAATAATAGAATAGGATTGATTGAAAGGAGGCTTAGCAACCTCGTTGAGTATATAGTTTGATAATAAATGCCTGCAATATCGATTTAAATGGCCTCTAGCTTCTTAGTAGCCGCGGAGGTGTCCGTACGGTGTCCGTAAGGTATATAGATTGATGCCTCCGCGGCTCTCGACCATATAACTAGGTATCCGCAGGCTCTGCCTCATCTTTCCGCCGTCTCCAATGAATATCGCTGATCAAAACCCAGGCTTTTCACATTCTTTTTGCCTGTGGGGAACCTTGATTTTGATTCATTTTCTTGGTTGCACCACCCTTGGTTGCAACCACTGGCCTTGGCAATCTGTCCGGAGCCTCTGATTGATTGCAACTGGTTGATAGCGATCACTGCACACAGCTGCACCTATAGACGGCTCGTTGTGTGTGGATTCTCAGTGGCGGCTGTTTCGCTTTATTGTCTTTTGTACGTTCGGTACCATGACTTTGTGCTCGCACCAGCCCTTTGTCCCGTTTCATTCTACTGAGACTGTGCCATTATCCTCGTCCTCAGAGTTGTTCTGTTTACACAATGCTCGCTTGGGTACATTAAAGCTTCGATGAGCACGCATCAACGTGAGACTCTTCCAAAAACAATCTACTGCATCGAAACGAGACTGATTCCAAAACAACCTACCGCAGTACACTCACGACCAACAACGAATTCACCCGCCAGCTGCTGGACAGCCGGCACAAGAACTCAAACCGTCAAGATGGACTCTTTCCCCAGCAACATCTTCACCGTGCTTCCGTTTCACGACCACAACGCCGTCATCAAGCCCAGCCGACCTCGTGGAGATGCTGATCACATTGAAAAGCATCGTGCCGCCATTGCCAACAAAGACGCAAAGACAACAATCCAGAGTCTACCAGCAGAGCTGATGCTCGGGATCGTATCCCATCTTCCACCGCGAGAAATTCAACGCTGTCGCGGCGTGTCTTCATCTTTCCGTGGTGTGATCGACGACAACCAGAAATCTCTCCTCAAAGCCGCTCCAGCGCAATGTCAAGCCATAGTGGACGCGCAATACTACAATGGTACTCCACAAGAACCAAGCTTTTGCAAGTTCCTCTTCTGGTACCTATCCAAGCGCGGCATCTGGAAAGACCCCAAGTACATTCGCCGCAGCACAAAGAGATGCCTTTTCCAATGGCTCGTCAACTGGGCCCCTGAAATCGGGGCTGCAATCAAATACTTCCCAGAAAGCGAACGCCCGGCTAACCAACTGAACGTCACCTGGAAAGAATACCCCGATGCTTTGATCAACATTCTGCAAACCATCGCTGAAGCACTCGTCCAGACTTATATCGACACTCGTATCTGGGAGCTGTCTACACATGACTTTTACTCGCCAAAATTGTGCGATGTCAGCACGGTCAAGAAGTTCATGGAGATTGTCGATTGTGCGGATCCGTATCTTGTCGGATCGGAGTTCGATCTTACAGCTACGCTTGCGAAATTTGGACTCCCATTGAGCAGAGAAGAACTTCGTCAAAACTACCTCGATATCAAAGCCCGTAAGGAACCGGCCTTACCCGCGTTTCCTCCTTCTTTGGCTGCAAGAGACAGTGAGAACAGCAACGGCTTTCTGACCAATTTGGTCACAAAAGAAAAGGACGGCAATGAGCTTCTCCACATTCCAGAAGTTGTGAACAAGCGCCATGCGTTTCCGAAATTGTACCTCACGAGTTTGGAGTTCCACCCTGGTGCCTGGAAACTCGGACATTTCGTTTTCAAGGAACTTCGCGCGTTTCTGGACGTACATTTGCCGTATGTCCGTGATGATTTGGCGTATCGCGTTCGATCGACTTGGGCTTTTGATTTGCTTTGGGAGGCTAAGAAACGGGGGAGGGTTTTGACTGAGTGGGAAAAGGCTGCTGTTTTGGAGGAGTTGTATGTTTGTTAGAGGGGAAGGGTTTTGTTGCGACTATTATGCAGAAAGGTTGCTTGATGGGTCCTGCTGGGTAGCAGGATAGAAAATAGAAATTCGATTTTCCAAAACCTAGAGTGAATTATCCTTTCAAATAACTGCAGCGTGCTTTTCACGCTAATCCAGGGAGTCTTGTCTATCGAGGCGAAAAGGGTTAAGATTTAGAGTCGCGATGAAGAAACGATAAGTGGCAGTGTTAGGTGAATTTGCACTATTCGTCTATAGGTTTATGGCTGCTTCTTCGTCGATGCGGCTCAGAGGCTCGTCGAAGGGGCTGACGATAACCGTAGGACCAGCGCCGATAATGAAGTTCCCTACAATAGCTCTACATCCATGGATAACACGTGTTGGATGCTGCGCACTCGGGTAGCTTTGGTTTCTCTGTCTGTCTAGATGATGGAGGCCCGGTCTGCCCCCCGAAGATGGGAGATATCTATTGCATGAGAACTGTGAAAACAGTAGAATTAGGGAGAACGATGGAAAAGAATAAGTGAGTACTTTCCGGTTTCGAGAGACACAGGTGTATGAGGCAACTTTGATATTCTTACAAGATGGCAGATGCGTCTCCAGATTCGTACATGGCGACGGGGTCAAACAATTTTTTCCCGTCTTCTATGCTGGGTTTCTCATCGATACTTCGCAGCACTGTCGCCCATTGCCTGTCTAACACGCGTAAAGGCTAAAGATCTGCCTTCTTAGGGATTTCTTCACCCTACCCAAAGAAAGTAATCTCATGCCCCTCACCCAAATCGCGTCCGTCCCTGAACCATCTTGTGGCGTCGGCTCTCATCATATCGTGGCATTCCGGAAGGTTGAAGAACTGCCGCAACTGCTCTGCCATCGGACCCAGAGGACGTTCTGTTGTAGAGAGGAGGTCAGCGAGCTCTCGGTTCGCCGACAGATGGTTGAAGCCGTAAGCCCTGGCCTTATGCCGCCAGATGAATGTGTAACGAATGTCGTGCACCAGGAGGTCGTCGAAGAAGTCTGGAGGTACTGGGACCGGAAAGGGGTCTTCGTCCATATCGGCAAAAGACTCGTTGAGCTCCCACGACAATCGGGCATGTGCACGGACGGTTCCGTGCAGGACAGCACCGCTAATAGTTATAGGCCCTCGGTCGGCGGGGATGATTGCTCTAATATCGTCGTCGGTCATACCGGCGAAGATTAGATCATCTTCACGGATTGCGGCGATATTTTCGTTAGAGAACTCGTCAAATTCGACGAACCCTGTTCGTGCAATTTCAGCAATTATGTCGTCGAGATTTGCCTGGGGGACTGGAGGAGGTTCTTGGTACAACCTTGCTCTACAGCCGGGACAGGAGTTATTGTGTTGCAACCAGGGCAGAATGCAGTCTTAGCAATAAGTGTGGCGACATCTGGTGGGCATCTGCACTGGCGTCTGAATGTCCAAATAACAGATATCGCATGTCAGGGGTTTCAGATCCGCAAGAAAGTCCGCTTTGGTCGGGAGAGCCATGGTCTTTGTTGTGGTTGTGTTTGGAGATTGGATGCTGTCTGATGCAGCTGATGTGGTGAATGGCCCGTTAGATGCTGTTGAGTTATCGAGGTTTGTGATGGTCCTGTTGGTTTGTGGGTAGCTCAATTTTTTGATCTGGGGCATCTCCGACAGAAGGTGAAGGCGATACTTATAGACTAGTAGCACTGGTAGGTAGAAACAGTTGCTCAATACCACTATTGTCTGTACACAAAGCAATAGTGAATACAAGAGCATTTACGGGCCGATCTGTCGAGAACGAAGAGGGGAACCAGTATCGTAGCGTTGAACATACATCGGGTTTGTGTTCGGCTGGAAATACCGCGTATGAATATCAGAAACGAGAGTTGATTACGTTCGAACACGAGTGTATTGCTGGCTCCTTGTCTGAGAGTAGCGAGTGTACTATGAAGTGCGCAAAGTGAGTGATCCTGACGATCGATCAACGCCCCCTCAGCGAAAGTTGGCTGGCTCATCGCTGCCATTTCGGCGGCCCGTAAATTCCAGCTGTATCCGTTACTCCGTCGCATGCCCTTCAATATTGGCCATAGAACAGTGCGCCAAGCTCATCTCTCCGAGAAAGACATGGTGCCATTGATTTGCTCAATTCATAGCGCTCAGCGCCTGTCCTGGCCATGCTATATCAACATGATCGGCTGATCACGGCGCATCCAGTCAGAGTAAGTCTGACATTCATCTCCCTCTCGTGCCTCTTGGACCACCTTGTTTGTCAAATCGACATTGTTGACTGCATTGAAAAACGTCTTCACAGCATCCGTGAATGGCTGCAAAGCATGTGGCACGTCATCCGTGGGCCGGCCATCAGGTAGAATGACGCCAAAGAGCTTGAATGATCGCGTCACTTGACACCACTTGAAGCTGTAGCCAGCGTCGAGCTGTGAGAGCTGGTCCATGAAGTCTGGTTCGTCTGGAATTGCGAACGGGAGGTGGCGAGGTGCTTCGACGAATAAGAAGAACCTGTTCAGCCGAGCCATCGAGTCGATCTCGTAACCTAGCTGTCTGTGCATGACTTGGCCCGGAAGAATAACATCTGGGATATAGACGTCGCAAAATGGGGAAGCAGGCGGCTCAGGCGCGTGGGTCATCTTGACCTGAGACGCCTCTGCTCTGTCAGGGTCGAGAGCGAGTCTTGCGAATCCTTTGCCAGGAAAGCGGATGCCGAACTCCTCATGCTCGCTCATTGCCGCGTGATTGGCTACTGTGACCAATTGATTCGTGAATGTTTCGTTATCCACTGCATTGAAGAAGTTCCGCAATTGGTCCGAGAGTACGTTCAGAAGATGAACCACAGCTCGAACAGGGAGGTCAAGAGCGATATCTCCGTTGACGGAAAGGTGATCGAAGCCGTAAATCTGTGTCGCGGAACGCCAACTGAAAGTGCAGCGCACGTTGTGGTCCAACAAGCGGTCAACGAAACTTGGAACGTCTGGGATGTACCACAATGGCGACAGAGGGTTCTCGTTGACAAGATGATCGTTTCTCATGCGATGTAAGAGTATGTAGTCACATAGCTCTTTGTGGAGGGTCGCACCGCTGAGTATGATAGGTCCATGATCGATGCTCCGAAGTCCTAAGGTGACCAGCTCATTGTTCTCCTGAACCGCCTGATACAATTCGGTTCTACAGTGCGGGCAGTTGCTTTGGTCTCGAAGCCATCTGTGTATGCATTCGTAGCAAAATATGTGGCGACATTGAGTCTGCGTTGGCTTCGCGGCTTGAGACATTAGCTCGAGGCATATGCCCTACCAAAGGCAGTCAGTGAAAATGTCGAGTATTGGAGATGCCTTCCCGCGACCACACTTACGCATTCGTTCTCGTCCAATGGCCGAAGGTCTGCCAGATATTCTGCCTTAGTCGGAAGCGCCATGTCGTTGATCCCGAGTCGTGAGGGAGAAGGAGTCTGATCTTCTGCGGGTGTCGGCAATGGTGCCGGATGTCAACAATTGAGCTTGAGTGAGCCCACGGGTGCGCTGCAACCTGGTTGAGTGCGGCGTGGCGTCGCGCAGAAGTCGCTGTCAGGCTCGAGCTGCCAATGCTTGCGCTGTAGCGATGCTTATGTTCCTGTCTGAACAAATCCGAGGGAAGAGACGAAGCTGGACGGAAAAGAAGCTGGCGAACGGCAGCTGAAGAGGTAGCCCGCAATGCCTGTGGTGAATGGCGGATGACGAGCGACGGACGGATGAGTGGCAACCGCCGACCCGCCCACCTTTTCCTGAATCTTGCCCTGCGAAGTGGGCTACAGCTAGGAAAGTGCCATAGACCGTACCTGGAGGTTGGATTGCAGCTGAACTTCCCTCGCAGTCGACCAATAGACCGCTGAACATTGGCATAGCTTTGAGACACGATTATGGCGTTGCTTCCGAATGGAGCTATTGCTCAAGTTCCGCCAACACTTCTAAGAGCGTATTCCACGAAGTATCTCAACGAGCAGAGGCCGGACAACGATGCAACGACTTATGTTACTGAGAGCTATCGTAGTCTGAGACAAGTGAACTTATTTTGAGAACGTATCAGATTGCTTTATTCTTGGCTCGACTTCACACCTATCTTCGTAGAGAGGGATTGAGACCGCCTCTGCGAACCAGAGTCTACCGCCCAGCGACCAGCTGCCTGCGCTGGACCGACGCTTGTCAATTTCTAAACTTGTACGCTGCTCATCACCCTACTTTACCACTCCTCGTCGTCCTCCTCATCATCCTCCAGATACAGCCATCTTTTCCATCCGTTGGAGGACTGTATCCATCTGGTCTCCGCAAAGCGCTGAGCAATCTCGAGCATTTCCGCTTCCATGTTAGCTTCGCACAGCCACCACGACTGACCATTGGCATCAGTGACCTTTTTCGTCCAGCCTTTGTAGTCCTCGTCCAACCATCTCTCCCACATTTCCTCCTCTGTCTCGTGAAGGCGCTCTGGCGCGATCTTGTACATCTCTTCGAACTCTTGAGCTATGAAGAGCTGATCCTGCCGCTTTTTCAACTCGAAACTGACGCCGGTAGTTGTGGAAGTCCTTCCTTTGACAAGATTCTTGTTCCAGTTGTGGTCTCTCACTGTCGGGTCATCGAAAACTCTCTCCCCATTCTCATCTACGCGGTTGAATCCCTGGAGTTTCTCCTTGGCAGCAGTAAGAATTGTGTGAGCTTCGCTTTGCTTGCCCTCTTTTCGAAGCTCGTGAGCATGGGCGCCCGCTGCTTTGAACTCGCGCACAAGTTTGGCTCGGATCCAACCTCGCTGAAGCTTTGGTGGTAGCCTGTTGTAAATTACGGCTTCAGCACGGGCAGCTTTCAGCTTCTCTCTCGCGTCAAATATTCTGATCCGGAGGGTTTCGGGGCCTTCATGGATTGCCAGAGGTTCCGGTGTGAGCTCAAGCAGCTCATCGCTGTTGAGTAGAGCTTCTTTGGCTGTCTCGAGCTTTTGAAATAGGCGGACGTGGAGCTCAGATTGACCTGCATCTTGGCACTTGTCCGGATGTAGGATGAGGGCGAGCTTGCGGAAGGCGACGATGATGTCCTTCTCTGTGACGTTAGCTTGGTAATAGAGACCCAGGATCGATAGGGGATCGTCGAAGCCGTCGACTTGAAGCATGGCACGGATGTGCATGGCTGAGTTGGTATCGTAGGGCGACATCTTTGGAAGGGCTCCGCCAGCGGAGATATTGATAGTGCTCATGGTTGCTGGTACAGACAAAGTTTCGAGTTCGGTTCGACGTGACTTTTCGCTCTGTGGGTTTTCGGGTCTTTCGTGCTAGTGAGGTGGTCTTCGAGTAAGTGTCTTAGTTTGGGGAGATTTCGAAAGTAGAAGAGAAGACGGGCACTACTGTTATACTTGCGAGAATTGCCATCAACACAAGTAGATTGACGAATAGCGCTGGGCGACGAGTGAACAAACTTCTTTGACAAGGGTCGCACAATTGCATTGTCCAGCTTTGGGCTTGATCGATATACTAACACAATGAGCTTGCCGTTGCCGCATGGAGAGGCTCCCATCAAGACGACCGTGTAGTGACAACCATTTTGTCCGAACGCGCAAAGTACTCGTAGCTGCCTGACTCGGGCACGGGCAAAATTGTGGTACAGAAACATCTATGCAGCACATCGAATTGAGAATGTCAGGTCACCGAGATTCGCCGGCAAGTGCTTAAGCAAAAAGAACCTGCTCCCGATTGTGGAAGCGAAGGTATCGATTGATGGACAATTGTGTCGTTCTCGGGCATTATGCACCGTGTCGTATCACCCAAACATACCCTACTTCAACTTGGTTGACGGAAGGTATCTTTTATTCTTGAATCTAGCACAGAGGCCTGAGCAAACTGAGATGCCAAATGACCAACGTACTTAGCGGATAGCATTAGGAATCAATACTGTAACAAGCGATAAGCGAAGTGTGACATCGAGAGCCACATGGGTGCAGGAGAATTTGCGATCGACAATGGTCGATGAGGGTAGCTGAACAATTTCTTTGGATTTATTCACCTAAAAAAGAGCGCGCCAGAGCCCGCCTGATCCTTGAGACCTCGCCAGCGATGTCACGGGGCGGCACGTTCGCGCTAGGTGCCGCAGACTGTCATAAATTCCCAGAGTACTTTATCAGAGGTCGGTCAATCACAACAATCTTGTGAACGGGCCAGGCCTGCTAAGAGTCCTTCTTAGACGTTTGCCGAGCCCTTAAACAAACTTCACCTCGTACTCGCCGTCCTCCTGCAAACCACGTCGCATTGCAGTCGCCAACAAGTTTGTCAGAAACTCCCCGCTTGGCTCTTCATCGAACCAGTCTTCCACCTCGTCCGCCCACATCTGCCGCATTGGCCCCGGAAGCGGACCAGCCATCTCGGGGGTCATGCTGCATCCGCGGTAGGCATACTCCATTCTGCTGCAGAACTGCGTGAACTTGTATCGAATGTCATGGAGCGGGATCTGCTCGATGAAACGAGGGAGTTGCAGTGGAGGGTTTGTTTGCAGAGGAATCAACTCTCGCAAGAGGCTGTAGAGAGTAGAGCCGGAGAGAACTATGGGTTCGAGCCGGAAGGGAAAATCACCTTCGTCGAACGCTGATGACTCGTCTTCGCTGTTGGAGTCGACGTCACAGATGCTGTGGAGGCTATCGTCGCTCAGTCGGACCCCGCCCTCGGTCGCGTCGTCGTTATCGTCAGCACGAGTGTCAGGCAGTGCAAGTCGGGCAAGTGTCTGGGCATCGATTCGAACATCGTACTCTCGGCCCCAAATTTCTGGGACTGGTGCTGCGGACCTCGCTCGGTTGACAATGCTGGTTGCTATCGGCCCATTCCTAGGAGTGTTGAAGAAGCTGGACACTTGGTGCGCCAAGATGGTCATAGGATGATTTGAAATGTCCAAGTGCGTGACGGCACGGCCGTAAGTTCTCACAGACATGTGTTCGTAGCGGAACTCTGAAGTTCCACGACGTCGAGAGAACGTATAGCGAGCGTTGCGGGTCAACACTTCCTCACAAAACACTGGTATTGAAACGGTATTGTCAGCGCTAGCCGATCGAATGTAATCGCAGACGTAGTAGTAGACAGCATGACCGTCGAGGATTATGCGGTTGGCATCGGGGTTAGATCTGTCTCGAGGTTCTGGAAAGAGCGTCCCGTTGCCGTCAATCGTGACATACGTGCCTATACCAGGCACATATGTGCCCTCGCCAAGATCCGGAATTGGTCCCGCGATCTCCAAAGGCCTAGCTCTTGGAAGCATTGTGCGAGCGTTGTCGGGGATAAAGTGTCGTGTCCTGCACGATGGGCGAATGTCAATGGGGTCTGTAATCCAGCTTTGTAAGCACTCATAGCAGAGTCTGTGTCCACACATCGTCTGGGCGATCTCAACCATGGGTTCGTGGCAAAACTCGCAGTATTCGCTGTCTTCTGGGTTTTCCAAGCGCAGCCTCTCGAGCGAGGCCGCCAAAGGCGTCAGGTCGCGAAGGAGCGACATCTTTTTTGCTGGATTCGTTGAAATCGTTGTTGCGTTCGAATAGTTCTGTGCTTGTGCTGCAGGACTGGGTTGGACTTTATGATCTGATCAATTTCAGCCTTGGAGGAGAAGTCGGGGCCAAAGATATAGATCTCGCAGAGGCCGTCAGAAGACAAAGCTGAAAGAAGTAAGTGCTGAACACCAGGAAGTTGGACAAAGCTTGAGCACCAAGGCCATGTCTACAGATGGACAAAGGAAGTGCGAATCACATACTTGGTACAATGCCTTTGTCTTAGGCATGTATGGAGAGAGGTGCACTTCCTAGAATATTGTACGAGGGTGTACCGTTCAAGGTCAATCAGCGATTGGTGGCGTGGAGAACTTATTGGGAAAGTGGAAGACTTATTCTGGACATGAATGATACCTTGTAATAGATATCCTGATGCTAAACTACCCATGGAGTGCTGTGATCAGCGTAAGACGGGATCTGAGGCTTGTGAACGAGTGCGAGGAAGCCATTCATTGCTTGGGTTGCCGAAGCTCTTATTCGTCTTCGATGTCGAATAGCCATCAATATGCCGTCTGTCTGGGCCATGCTGCTTGTCGCAAAATTCAGTTCAGGTTCGAACGACTCAGTGGGGTAGCCAATGCGTCGTCATCCCGTTGAGCTGGAGGAGAGCTGGCCTTCTATTCTGTAGGCTGTTAAACCGTAGGTGATGCGGGTCCTAGACCAGGGAAGCGGAAATCAAACTCCTCATTCATACCTTCGGCGCGACGGCGGACTGAGAAAGCAATGGTCGTGATGATACCCTCACACTCCGGAGAGTTGAAATCGCTTCGGGCTTTCTGCGCAAGTATGTTCAGCGGGTGTGCAGGGCTGTTCTGAGCATCCTCGCCCGCGAGCTGTCCACGGACTGAGAGGCGGTCGAACTGGTATGTGAGTCCAGCGTCATGGCATGAGAAGCTGCAGCGAGCATTATAGTCCAGCATTTCTTGAACAAAGGCTGGTAGTTCCGGCAACGGTTCCGGGTCGATTGGTATCTCTGCGAGGACACACCACTCGTTGAATTCATGAAGCATTCGGATTTCGTCGATGAGCCTGTCCCAAAGGTAGTCGGCCTCGAGGATGACGGGAGGATACGCATCACCTTCGGCAGCAGTGCGCTCGGCTCCATGCTCACTGGCCTGCGGGACATTGCTTTGGATGCTGTGTGCTTCAAGAGAGCGTTCAAGATCCAGATGATGGTGCCCGACACGATCTTCACCGAACTCCAGGAGGGCCATTGCTTCTTCAATCACCTCTATCGTCCCCATGGCCTCAATGGGAAAATCGACAAAGTCTTCAGCGCCCGAACCCGGCTCATACAGCTCTTTGCGGCATGTAGGGCAGCTAGAGTGCTCCTGATTCCAGCTGAGCAAGCAATCATAGCAGAATTTGTGTTCACAACCCGTCTCCACAATTTGAGTCGACGGTTCGTCTTCGTATGGCACCCTGCATATCGGACACTCAGCGTCTTCTCCGTCGTCCACATTCGGTGGCTGGAATGGGAGGGCTAATGGCACGAGACCTCGAAGGTACTCGGCTCTCGTAGGAAGCGACATTTTTCGAGTCTGCGAATGATTGTCGCAGCGACTTGGATAGGTTTTTGCAGTGCAATTCTTGTTGAAAGCTGGAGCGTTTCATGCACGGGTGTTGTGTCTTTCGCTGCAAGAGAAGGGGAAGCCAAAGTAATAAGCGCTGCACGACAGTCACAATCTGAAGCAGAGAAAGTGAATGTCCGACATCCGGTCAGCACGTTCAAACGACATGCTTCAGTGAACAAAGCCATGGTCAACATGCAGCATGACACGTGATGCCATTGTTTCAGGTGAATATAGACAGAGACTGTTGTTATATAATCTTGAGAGTGAGGGTCTAGGTCCGAGACTGAATTAGCAATCTGTGATACAAAAATCTACTTGATTGGGGCGTGTCTTACACAGCAGAAGAATTGAGACCAGTTATGAATTCATTCGTGAACTGCGTCTACTTGTAAAGATTATACCCTTTACAGGATGGCGCCGGAGCTCGTGCCACGGGAGTCCCGAGAAGCAGCGTGTTCGGATCAGATTCGAAGGCCCAGCTTGGTTCAGTAGAAATGAAATCTTGGTGTCTATGGCGCAGTCGATTGACGGTGGGGATCCTCAAGGATGGAGCGTGTTGACGAAGAACGGCGACGACCTTGGGCGCGTAGAGCGATTCCAGCTCATCTCATGCGCTCAATCTCGTTGGTCGACACAAAACCGTCTTGCCAGCCGGAGATTCGATGGCCTGTGAAGTCATCCCCAACATCCTCGCCCGTCTGCTTTGCCAGCCCGCAAATTCTCGTCGTGAACGCCTCGTTCCCTGAAGCGTTGAAGAAAACCCAGAGTTTCTGGGCGAACAGCTCCAGAGCCTGCCGGGAAGCAGCCGCAGAAACACCAACGTGAGCATCGGTGTAGATGCAGTCGAAATTGTAGCCAGGTGTGTAGTAGCAGTCTTCGAAGCAATAGAAGGCGTCGTAGGCTCGGAACTTCTCGATCAAGGCCGGTATCTCCGAGTCCAGAAGAGTGGGCATGTTCTCCGGGTAGTGTTCGGTGCGTACGAAGGTGGTCAGATCGCGAGGCGTTTGGACACATTCCTTGAGAAGTCTGTGGAGGGCTGTGCCGTGGATTACAACATCTGCAAGGATCGGCGGCTCTGCATCACCAACGAATTCGATCGGTGTTGCTTCGTTCTCAGCGGTCCCGTCTTCGCTCGTGATTTCTGCAGAGTCTTCTCCGGTGAATCGAACCTGGAAGTCTTCGTCCAAAACCTGGTGTTCACGCCAGGCTCTCAAGATCACACTTGTTGTCGGGCGTCCATGTCTCAAGAGATTGAAGAAGGCCCGCAATTGTCGTGCGAACATGTTCAAGGGGTGTATCGCGGCATCCAAAGGTAACTCGTCAGCTACGTCTTGGGTCGTGGTCATGTAATCGAAACTATATGCGAGAAATGAACCCTTCCATGAGAACGTATAACGTGCTTGATGCTCCAACAACTGCTCGAAACAGCCCGGTATTTCTGGTACCGGGTAGGGTAAGGCTCGAGTTCCAGCGCGTTCCTGTAGCTCGTTGGCTTCGCGGTTCCATTGGACTTCGCCGATGAGCTAATTGTAGAGGGTAGAGCCTTCGAGGATGATGATAGGAAAGTGGGCTTCCCCAGCATCGTTCGAGTCAGCTTCAGCTTCGTCCCCGTCAAGCGCAATGCCTGCCATTGCCGCAAGCTCATCGAAAATCTCATCGGTGAAATCCTCAGTATCTGCTTCGTCCGGCTCTGGCTCATATAGCTCTTTGCGACATGTCGGGCAAGTATTAGCGGTCTGCACCCAAGCCACAATGCAATCGTGGCAGAAAGTGTGCCGACATTCCGCCAATTGTGTCGGCTCTTGCATCGGCTCCTCTTTACAGATCGAGCAGAATGAACTCTTGGCTAGAGGCGTAAGGTCCGAGAGGTACTGCTGCTTGGTAGGGAGGTCCATTGTAGGGGTAGATTTTGGGTTCGAATTGCAGGTGAGTCTGTCGTGCAGATGTTGTGAATGTTGTCCAAGTGTCGTGTGTTTGGTCTTCGGGTTTCTGAAGTTCAGCACAGTGTGAGAAGTGGAAGTGGAAGATATAAGCTTCGCACACTCGCCGGTAGTCATGCTTAAAGTCACTGTCGGGAAGGTGGTGAATGCGAACGTCAATCACTTCATCGTGTGAATGAGGGTCCGATACAGGGCTCCTAGCACGATTTTCTGTGCTCGCAGTGCATAGTTCGAGTGGCATAGTGTTGGCGAACGTTGTGTATAGTGTAGAATTGTCCTGCTCAGTATCAATGTAGGTTGCAGGAGCTGTTTGCAACGATGATCAGATTCAAAGTGAGTCCTCCCTCAGCCCGTGCATCATGCTGTATAAACATTCGTGCACAGCTCCTCTGTCGCTGTTGGATAGAAGGGAACATCCAATGCTGAAGCGCCAAAGTGAGCTGTTGATGAACGCGTGTCGAGATGCCGCATCAGCTGCCTCAGAAGACTGGTCTGAGCACCATGATACTCACGAGCGACAGCTAATGGCTCGAAATATTGGACATCGCGGTGTTGATCCAAACGCGAGTGGACAACATTCCTGACCTTATGCTCGCCTCTCTGATCTTGGTTCAGTAACCCCATGTTCATAACACAGAGATTCTGGAGTCTGAGGTTTGAAGTACCACGCTGCCTGCACAGACTCGTTCTTGTCTTCGCTTGGTGATGAAGACTCGCCTGCTCGGCGAAAGAGAGCCAAGGGCGAAAATTGCTGCCAAGAAGCTAATAACAGTTTTGTGAAATACCGCGAATGAACGGACCCAAGTGTGGATATCGGACCAGGGATGCAGAAAATAGAACATCAGTTCCTCACTCTTGTAGTGTCCAGCTCAAAAATTCCAGTAGGCTGGCATTTTGGTGGTGCTCATCTCCACTGAGGGCCCAGATCGAAATCGAGGTGAACGTAAAAGTGGACAATCAGCGACCTCTTACTACATGTTCATGGTAAGGAGCGCCACTTGTGCGACGTCGGACAAGTCGTCCGGTCAGCCTTGTAGCCGAGACAGCAATCTTACTTCCGCGTTGGCACAGGCAGTGATGCCATCCGTTTGCAACATGCAGCTTTCCGTCATCCGTTCCTGGCATAAGAAATGAATGCATGGCGGGCAGATCATAACAATGATGAGCGTTCATAGCAACCAAAAATCGTCCGCCTGAGGGTGCAGGTCTCAAGCAGTTCGTTTCCGATACTCAGCCAGCCGGTCCAGCACATTGACATTGTTCCACAGCTCCGCTTGGTCGTCCGTAGCAGACGACAGGATGGGCATTCCGACCTGCTCGATTGTGAAACTTGCAGCAACGCTGCCCCACCGTGCAGCTTCAACAACATCAAAACCTGTTCGCACCAGACCGACGGCGAGACCGCCGAGAAAGCCATTGCCACCTCCCGTTGGATCGATGACACGGCTCGAATCAGAATGGTAAGCAGGTAACCATCGTTTCTGAGACGACGTGAGCACGAAGCAGCCTTCCGCTCCAGCTCGAACCACAACGGCACCTTGCTTCTGCGGGCCGATGCCTGAGTCTAGCAATCGTTGGGCATGTTCTTCGATGACATCTTTTAACGGCTGGTCAGGGTGCGTGTAGGAGAAGATCGCAGCGAGCTCTTCATGATTAGGGCTGATTAAATCGACGTGGTGGAGGGCTTCAAGCGTGTTCTGCAGTTCTTCTGGGGTGCAGAGATCGGGCACTGGTTCCCATATGAAGATTGGTCTTGACTGTGATACGAATGATTCCGATGTGATGTTGTTCGAAGGGGTGGACTTGGCATCCGCCATAGTTCCGGGTTCCTTGTGCTTTGCAAGAATTCCTTTGACCTGGTCAATAGCCCGGAGCGGACTGCAGATCAGATGAAAGGACTTCGCTGCAGCGAGGGTATCGGTAAGGTCATCCGCAGTGAGCCGCTTCTTCTCAGTCAGGTACTTGAAGGCCCGGTGTTGGTTACCCGAATATCCATTCCAGCCGCGTGTGGTCGGCGCTGGCCTTGGTCTGATGACGACGCCGGTATCCCACGACGTGACAATGTTGGTCAGTTCATCGGGGAAGTCTGTACCAGCATCGACGATCCATCCCACCGAACGTGATTTGGGCGGCGGTGAGAAGAGGCGTGCACCAATTGCGCTGTAAGTACCCGCTCCGCCGATGACATTCAGTTTCGGGTCTTGGTCCGTACCCTGGGGAGGATAAATGTCGTCGATGATGAACATGCCGAGAGTGCAGAAGTCGGTACCCAGAGCCGATGCAATTTTTCCAGAGCCCCCCATGTTTGCAGAGAAATCACAACCAATGTGCTGCTGTGGAGATGTCTCGGCCGTGTGCTGAGCTTTGGCGGACTTAAGATTGATCAGTAAAGCTGGTCTGATATTGTGTTTACCGGGGTTGTGCAACGCTGATTGACTGCGACATGCATGGACATTGAAGGGTACAAGTATCCCGGGTATCTCTTAAGAGAGCAGCATGTGAAGTTGCTCCTCATGCGTTGGTTCTGGCCATGGCTGAAGGTATATAGTTCCAATGTGTGCTCGTCAACTTGGCTTTCCTTTAATTCTTCTCTGGGCGGATTGTCCACTGCTGCCACATCCTCTGACCAGCGAACGCGTCAAGTTGTACACAGCGGCCTTTGAGTGAGATATCTGGTTGATATTGACTTTTTCCCAGACTGCTGCAGAAGATAAGAAGATGATGTAGTAGCGGACTTCGGAATCCGGCTCGGGAGCATTGGGACTAGCAGGGAGGATCGGCACGTGGCCTGTGCCTTTCCACAAAGGCGCGTTCCACGCTGAGACCGGGGACGGCGAGACGTCGACGCTCCTTCTGGAACATTGTTGGCAAAGTTACTTCGCATCTGCCTTGCGCGCACCGCTCCTCCTCTGCAGACCACCGCCGACCTCCGCCACTCCGCCCCGCCGCCGCGACTCCACTCCGCCCCTGGCAAGCGTGTGGACTGCACCTGCCCGCACTTGGGTAGGAGATCCTTGTCCTCCAGCGTTTCTCTGGTTGGCTACCAGCAGCCAGCAGTCACCATGGCAGCTCCGGCACATGGGATGCACAACCTGACCACGCTGATCAAACGGTATGCCTCACTCATCACCCTCACCTCGACCCCCAAGTGAAGCATGTCGGCCGCTATGGACGGCAAGGCAAAGAGTCGCTACGGCTCGGCTACCAGCCCCGTCTCCATTGTCCCATCTGACAACCCGCTGAACTTGCTTCTCCGCAGGCTGGAGGCCGCAACCTCGCGCCTAGAAGATATTGCTTCGTCCGCACAAATACCCTACGACAACGACTTTCCCCAACAAAATGTCGCCCGCGATGGCCCAACTGCCGCGGGCACCAAGCCTTCCTCCAGCGCTCCTGAGCTCCCCATCGTCACTCCATCCTCCTCGCAGCAGACTGTCAAGGCAGCAGAGCCTCTTCCGCCCCGCATCAGCGACATGGACGAGCTGATCAGCAGCGAGGTGAATGCATTTCTAGAGGCAGCTAAAGGGCTGGATCCTTTGGTTGAAGAGCAGGCAGCAGCAGTCGCAAAGGGCTTTGCTGATCAGAGGAGATTCTTGTTGGTGACCACCAAGGCGAAGCGGCCGGATCCGCAATCGCAGACCTTCATGGACCTGCTCAAAGACCTTCAGCAAGATCTGGGCACGGCAGGAGACATCAAGGATAGCAATCGTGGTTCGCCTATGAAAGAGCACCTGGCCATGATCGCAGAAGGCATCAGCACATTGCAGTGGCTCGTCATGGATGGCAAGCCGGCAGATGTCGTCGCTGAGATGATTGGAGGCGCTCAGATGTACGGCAACAGGATTCTCAAGACACACAAGGAGGGAGATCAGGCACATGTGACGTTTGTGCGCTCATACTATGCGCTGCTGAATGCGCTCAAGGAGTACATCAAAAAGCACTACCCCACAGGTGTGACATGGAATGCTGCAGGTATCGATCCAGCACAGGCGATGCGCGAGGTCGATGAGCGACCAACAACGAATGGCACCGCTGCTCCTCCTGCTCCAGGAGGCGGACCAGCCCCTCCGCCGCCTCCACCCCCTCTGCCAAACTTCGACAATGTGCATCCTCCGCCTCCGCCGCCAGGAGGTGCGCCCGCGCCCGCAAAGAGTGGTGGAGATATGGGCGCAGTGTTTGAGCAGCTGAACCGAGGCGAGTCGGTGACAGCAGGTCTGAAGAAGGTGGACCGAAGCCAGATGACACACAAGAACCCATCATTACGCGCAAGCTCTGCTGTGCCTGGCGAGGTCGCTCGGGCTAAGAGCCCTGGTCCTGAGATCAAGCCCAAGCCGGGCTCCTTGCGACAGAACAGCACTTCCTCCGCCAAGGCCGCACCGAAGCAAGGCAAGAAAGAACTGGACGGGAACAAGTGGTTGGTCGAGAACTTCGACTCTCCATCTGCGCCGATCGAGATCGAAGTCAGCATGACCCAGTCCATTCTGATTAGCAAGTGCAAAAACGCCACCATCATCTTGAAGGGCAAGGCAAATGCCGTGTCTATCGACAATTGCCCACGATTGCAAATTCTGGCCGACACGCTCGTCTCCTCCGTGGACGTAATCAAGTGTCCCAACTTTGCTCTCCAGATCACCAACACGGTTCCTACAATCCAACTTGATCAGGTCGACGGCGCGAGCATCTACCTTGGTGCGGAGAGCTTGGCGACAGAGGTGTACACCAGCAAGTGCAGCTCTGTCAACGTTGTTCTGCCGCCTAAGGGAGACGAGGACGATAGCACCGAGGCTCCTCTGCCCGAGCAGATTCGCAGTTATGTCAAGGATGGGAAATTGGTCAGTGAGATCGTCGAGCATGCGGGGTAGATTTGGATTGGAAGCATTCGTGATGTGTTGTTATAGATATATAGATGCTTGCGGTTGCGGAATTGTGGGTGCTGTTCCTGTAAGATGAGACGGTCTAGGATAGGCGTCGCCATATCATGTACTCGTACGTACGGTGGAAGTGTATTCGAAGAAATTGAGATGGATTGTGATCCTCGCCTCTAATTCTCTGGTCTACATGAAGTGGTTGTCTCGTCAGCTCAATGTCAGTTCCTTCGAATTCGTTCTGTGATTCTCAGAGGTGGGAGAAGTATTGTAGCTCTCCGACATGGTGGCGTATACCAATGTCAACGTGGAAGTGAGCGACTCGGCTCTTAGGTGACCGTGTAAATAGCTGAGAGCGGGCTTGGCTCCGGCGCGAAGTGAAGCAACCTCGAGCTGTGCGCCAAAAAAGTTCACGACATCATACACCCCAGCAACTATCTACTTCGTGGCCTGCTGAAGCAAGCATCGTCCCGTACATGATTTTCTTATCATATTCGACCTGAGACCGTCACATTGGCTTCCACATCGCACCCGCTCCGGCGAATTACGAGTTTGACGACTTCACGATTCGCATCTGCTTCGCCGTACTCCCCGCGCTACTACGCTCGATACAATCCTCCCCGTCCGCATAAAACTTCTCAAACCCACCGAACCGCACTCGATCCAGAAGTTGCTCAGGCACGTTCAAAGGTTGTCTCGGCGCTGAATGACCCTTTAGCTGGTCACACCTCGACTCACAAAACTCCACTCGATCCAGAAGTCGCTCAAGCACGACCAGCGGTTGTTTCAGCACTGAACGAGCTCCTTACGGGTCACATACCGCCCCCGAAGCGGAACACACACGCACCCGCACCCGCACAGACTACACGTGATGAGACTCTTGTAACCGAATTCGAGCCCAAATACCGAAGCTTCGACCCCGACGACACACCCACCGGTCGCTGGCGAAAGAGGCATTCGCTAGGCGCGAGAACAAACGCCTCAGATCATGACAGACAGGAGTCAGAAAGCACAAGTGGCAGAATCAAACTTGGAAGAGTCGTACCAGAAGCTGTCATAGTCTTTCGCTCTCATCATAAAGAGAACTTGAAAGCGCCAACGCGAATTGGACACTCGATTCTTGCCAGATCGGATTGGGTCCGGGCCAACAGAATGGGGAAATCACATGTACAGATTCTCACTACGCCCACGGCTGATACGCCAGGCACCACGCTGCTTCTGCACTTCGACAATAAGCGCTACCTGATTGGGAGCCTTGCGGAAGGAACACAGAGAGCATGTGTACAGATGGGCGCGAGGTTGATCAAGGTCTCGGAATGTTTCCTCACTGGAAGGACGGAGTGGACGAATACTGGAGGCATGATTGGTATGATTTTGACCTTGGCAGACTCGTTGTCGTCGAGTGCTCAGTATACGCTGGAGGAGTCGCTGAGGAAACTTCGATCGAAGGCTGAACAGATAAAAGCTGCGGAGGGCGAAGATAAGTTGGCAGAGCTTGAGGCTGAAGCGCAGGCGAAGAAGGATCTGGGAGGCTCATTGACGATTTTTGGCCCACCTAACCTTAATCACACGCTTGCCACTGCCAGGCGATTCGTGTTTCGGAAAGGTATGCCGATCAATATTCACGAGATCCGGGACAATGGTCTTCCGCAGCAGGATGGGAAAGAGGCTGAGTGGCAGCCGTTCTGGGCAGATGACAATGTCAAGGTCTGGTCCATGTCGATATCACCCAGCTCGGAGGCGAACAAAAGCCGGTCGTCGTCCATCAGCCCTCTTAAGCGAAGCTTTGATGAGATGCGTGCAGGAGAAGATGGAAACATGGTGCAAATTACTGGAGACCTGACACAAGAGGATCGCGACTATCTTACTGTCAAGGCAGTTGTGGGAGACATGTTCAACTCGTCATGGCGACTCGATACACTCTATGAAACTCCTCTTGCTCAAGTCAAACTTCCTGCGACAATTTTCGTTCGTGATCCCGAGACGAACAAGATCAAGAAGTATACTGGACCACTACCTGGAGACAAAGAGAACCCACTTCCGAATCCCGAGTTGAAGGTCCTGGTTCGGAAGCCTTGGCCGGGTGCTCTCATCAACAACTTGCCAGATGTGAAGCCTGCCAAGCAAGCAATCAGCTACATCTTCCGCAACCACATGCAGCGTGGCAAGTTTCATCCTGAGCGTGCCATTGCGAGAGGCGTCAAGCCTGGGCATAACTTCAGTAAGCTCGCGCAGGGAGAAGAGGTTCAGAATGATAAAGGGGAGTGGGTGAAGCCGGAAGAGGTCATGGATCCGCCTCGAGTGGGTGGTGGTGTTGCTGTCATTGATCTGCCTGGTCCTGAGTATATCGACAATCTCATCGCACGACCAGAGTGGCGAGAGCAAAAAGTTATGGAGGGTGTAGGAGCAGTGATGTGGATGTGCGGGAAGGATGTGGCCAGCGATGAGAGATTACATGCTTTCATGAACGAGTTCTCGGATCTGGAGCATATTGTGTCCTCCGCAGACTACTGCCCGAACCATATTGCAATGGAAGGGGTCGCAGGTACTACAGCAAGGCTGAAAAGAGTCGACCCTGACCGGTACAGAGTGCCTGTTCATGACGTGGAGGGCGATGCTCCGCAGCAATATGGTGGTAATGCTGATTTTGCCGAAACAAGGAAGATTCGACCACTCCCGGAGAAAGCACATATCGCCGTACGTGGGCAGAGGCTACAGCTGATACCCTCGGTCGAGTTTAAGCCTGAGGAGGCCTTAACTCCTTTGAACGTTGAAGAGGCTGCCGCGGAGGTACCAGAAGAGGTGATGCAAGAGGCCAGAAAAGCTCAGGAGGCTGCGAAGAACCCTGGCGCTGATGCTCTGGAATGGATGAAGACGTTACCTTCGGGAGCAGACAAAGCGGAGGTCATCACGCTTGGAACTGGGTCAGCGCTGCCATCGAAGTACCGTAACGTGTCATCAACACTTGTCCTAGTGCCTGGCTGGGGTAATATAATGTTTGATGCTGGAGAGAACACTCTGGGTCAACTGAAGCGCGTCTTTGATGCCGCAGAACTGAAGCAAGTTCTGCGTGATCTCCGACTGCTGGTAATCAGTCATATGCACGCGGATCATCAACTTGGAACGACCAGCGTCATCAAAGCATGGTACCAAGAAATGCACAACAGCAAACCTGGAGAGCGCGTATCTCAAACCGATAGCTGGGAAGACATTCTTGCCCCTCGCGACCGGCTGGCAGTCATTTCGGAGGCCGCTATGCAGCAATGGCTATATGAATACAGTCAATTGGAAGACTACGGCTACTCTCGCATCGCACCTCTATCCCTCAAGACTGGGGATCCGCAAAAGCGTTGGCCCAGCAGATTGTCCTGGTTCCTTCCGCCTGTTCAATTGAGCAATCTGAGCACAGCAGATTATCAGGATAAACTCGAAGCTCACACCGTTCCTGCAGAAGCTTTGCAGTTGAGCGAGCTTGAGGCTGTTGCGGTGAAGCATTGTCATGGCGCGAGAGCTGTGAGTGTCACACTTCCATCTGGTTTCAAGGTCTCGTACTCGGGCGATTGTCGACCCAGCGAAGGTTTCGCTCGCATCGGAAAGGGTAGCACGGTCTGCATCCACGAAGCTACTTTCGACGACGAATTGCAAGGTGACGCGGAAGCGAAGAATCACAGCACAACTTCTGAAGCTCTGGATATCGCGCAGAAAATGAACGCAAGAGCTTGCATTTTGACGCATTTCAGTCAACGATACCAGAAATTCCCAATTCTGGAGCGAGTGGAAGCGAGTACAGCTGATGGAGACGTGATGGACACGAACACCGCTGCAGACGCCCTCGCGGACGAAGTAGTCAACGACCCCGAAGACGAAATGGCTTCCGGACCTCTTGAAGACGCCGCAGCTACATTTCCCGATCAAACCACTGCCGAAGGCGACACAGGAAAACAATACGACCTCCCTCGCGTTAGGAAGGTTCATGGCGATGATGGCTCGCTTGTGGATGAAAAACCTAAAGCTGTCAAGTTTAAGTTGCAGTCGGACATGAAGGTTGCGGTTGCGTTTGATTATATGCGGATCAAGGTGGGGGATGTTTGGCAGATGGAGAACTTTACGCCGGCGTTTTTGAAGTTGTTGGAGGTGGAGGAGAATAAGAAGGAGGAGGGTGGGGATGGTGGTGGGGCGAATGGTGGTGCTGATGGTGGTGGGAAGGCGGGGAAAAAGAAGGCGAAGGGAAATGGACAGCAGGGGAATAAAGGGAAAGGAAAGGGCGAGAAGACGAGGAGGAATTGAGTGGATGATCGCCAACTCTGCTTGTCGTAAATCCCTGGTCGTAGAAGATCCTGGATCGAAAAATTCTTCTCCAAAATTGCCATTCTTCTTGCAAGTCGCCTTGGGCTTTCAATTGCGTCCTCTTGGCTCGGTGTCTCGCTCCGACTTGATAGACTCGGGACATACTTCGGTCATGAGGCCCAAGTCTGTGAAACCAAGAGTCGGGTGCTAGAATGGATTGTCAGCGAGCGCATTATTAGCTGTGAGAAGTATTGTGCAAATACCTGAGTTGCAAAGAGCCCCGTGATGACAGTATGATCCACCATTGGAAGCTTTGTGAATTTGATTTCCGGTCTCCAGCTCGGTTCATCTTCCTCTCCTGACTCATTCTCCTCTTCATCTCGGGGCACGAACGAGAATCTACGACCCAATGTAGTCTTGATCTGCGGAGGGAAGGGGTTAGCATACACAGGAGTCTCAGGCCGCAAGGATGCTGTGCACAAATCGGAACATACTTGCAGAGCCCACAACACATCTGGGTCTACCTCTTGGTCCTCATCATGATCCCAAGGTGGCCCAAAACTAACCGAGATAGATTCAATGCGCTCGCCCGCTCTGCCATCGATTGAACATCGCTCCCATTCATCCGTTGTGGTGTCTTCATGTCGGCCCAGGCAGTGCCGAAGCGCGATTGGGGCACCGTCGGCATATTCAAACTCGATGTGGTTGATACTTTGCCGTCTGCGTACCCAGACAGCGGTCAAGTACTTGAGATGTTTGCCCTCTGGTCCGCCAAAATGGCCCCAGTAGATGGGTCGAAATCCCAATGGTAGACGAGCATGCCGCGGGAGGAGATGCAAGTCAGGTGGTGGCGGGCCCGGATACCATGTTGCACTTCTACGAAGGTCGACGATGCCTCTCTTGTTCCGGGGGTCTACAATGCGTTTATTGTCAAGAAGCAGGTTATTAGAGTCCCGAGCATTGACAACTTGAAATCTAGTAATTTTGAATGCCTGGGCACTCTTGTCAGCGAAACGGCTATAAATACAGAACAAGAGCAATCTCACGTCAAAACCGATGCGTAGTTGTAGGAGAGGATCGATGCTGGCAAGTCGGTGTGTAATTGGGACGTCCGTCGGATCTCCGAGCCAAGGAGACTTCCAGCCCGACTTAAGTAGAATACGAATTGCATGTAGTCCCCTGGAGCCTATAGCTACCAAAAAGCCGGTGACTTCCGAGTCGATTGTACATGACAATTGTTCTGGGAACATATATCCCGTGCAGATTGACGATCCATCTTTCGTGGTGAGCTGGAATCCGGATATATACTTGTCCCCACCTGTATCAGCTAGCGAGACGGCCAGGCGGACGACTTCTTTAGGCCATGCCATCCTTCGATATGTGGTGGTATAGCAGCCTCTGGAACTTGCCGTGGGAGATGTGGGCAATAGCCCTACACATTGCTGGGTTTCAATCGACGATGAAATGCCAAGTGGTGGATTACTGGTGGGTGGAGTGATGCGTGTGTCGATCAGTGGGACGATCGTCCTTACGATGGACCAGATACGCGCTCTGTTGAATAAGGAATTCTTCATTTGGTTGGCAGTCGCTTTCCACAAGGCTCTGAGGCAATACTTGTTCTTAAACCCGAGAACTTCGAAGAAGAAGCCGCGATCGTTTCCAGACCAGTATCGTGATACCCAGAATCGTTTGCTCTCGAACATTGGCAGGAAACTTCGCACAGCGCTCTGTAGGTTGAGCATTTCTTGCGTATTTAGTAGCACGGCGATCATTTCTCGCAGCTCGAACGGGAGTTGGGCGAAGCAGTCCGATACAAGTGCATCTTCTGTTGGGCCCTTTGGAGGGTCGTTCACGACAGCCTTAGACAGCGGCACGAGATCAATACTCCACGGGTCAGCTTGGACATACTGCTGAGCCGGGAATTGTGGCACTTCGCTCAAGTCTGCAGCTCGGTACTTCTCCTCCCAAGGAAAGCTAAATTGATCATCTCTCTTGATGAGACCCCCATAGCAGTGGTCCCATGTCAGTCCACGGCACTCCGCGGAATACGGCACCGAGCGACAGAGCTCGAACAAGCGGTCAATATCCAGTTCCTGGTCAACATATCTTGCAAGCAACTCGAAGCAGACATCGTGAAGTAGATAGCCGTGAGCACGCAGGTCTGGCTCTTGGCTCATAACTGGGATGGTCACAATCATGTCTCCAAGTTCGGGGTTGCGCCACGTTTCCTCTGGGTCGATTGGAGCGGTGTATAGAGCAAGATTGGCATGCAAATGGACGCCGACGCCGGTGAATCCAGGTTTCTTCATACAGGAATAGACTGGGGACGTCAGCAAAATACTTCTTGGGAGACTGGCTGGGGCTGTATGATACTGGTCCGGAATTCATTCAGCCATGTCACAACATTCTCGTCTTCAGCTGCATCAACGAAGAGGCCGCAAATGACGCATCTGAATCCGTGCCCGTCCATAGCTTCTGCGAAATGCGCCTCCGGCCGTGATCGTGTTCGGGTTCCGGGTGTTGTTTCGCGAAGTTCGTGTTGCGATGCTGTTTCTTCACTATGGATGCGAAGTAGTGCCGTTCCTCAGGTCCAGGCTACGTTGATGGCCAGATCACACATCAGGTTGAGTCGGAAGAGGCTCGGCAGTGCGATATTGCTGTATCGTCCTTGGAAAGAGATACGCTTGACTACAAAGACACGCTTCGACGCGTCGCGTTCACGTTGCCCCTCGGATGCGGAGAGAGGGTTCGGGGAAGAACTTGGCAAAGAAAGGACATCCTTGCGACCCATGGAGCGCCGAAGTCATTTGTGCTTGACGACAGCGAGAATTGAAGACTTTGTTGGACAAGTCAGTGCAATGGGCCATGTAGCACAACTTTGAAAAGTTGGAGGAGGATGCACACTCGCTTCGCAGAAGCCCACGGGTGGGAACCTGAGGCACAAAAACGCCCGAAGGAAGGAAGCTGTCACTTCTTGATATCGCATAATAACCTTTCCGTATGTTCTCTTCTTGGGTTTTTCCTAGAAGCTGATGTAGCACGTGTCATCTATGCCAACTCGGAGCGGCGAGTCTTCCCCGGACACCATCATCATTGCACTTCCACACAGACAGCATTTCGATCCGACGTTTGCCAAGGGACATTTTAGTGATCATCGCGAAGACCACGGTGCCTGCATAGGGTTCATGAGCAGCAGCAGGGGAGGAGAAGATCCCTTGTACATCTCACCTCATCCACTACCCAATGTTTCACCTTACGCGAAAGTCCATGGCATGACTTTTGTGTATGTAGCGTGGCCACCACGTGCAGCGAGGACGCCGAGTCAACAAACTCATCACACCACTCAAACTCATGTCCTGACAACAAAGCGAAACCTTCCCCTGGGGTATCACAAGTCTATCCACGGTATCCGAGTCATCTGTACAATTCATGTCCTTTCCGCTGGCTCCTTCACGACCTGGTGACTCCCAGACGTGCTTGGAGATTCGCTCCTCGCAATTCCAATGCTATCCGTTGCAGTCCTAATCCCGTCAATCGCAATCCCAATGCCGTCCGGATCAATGCCGTCCTCAGCCTGTATAGAATCATGCCGTTGCTCTGAAGTTTTGCCATTCTTACTCTGCTCACCAGGAGCCGCGGAACATTGCAACAGTGTCACCTGCTTCTCCTCTTCCGGACTGGCTGTTCGGACGTTTCTACTGGGATCACGCCTTCGCGGGAAACGCATGCCAGGTTTCCTCAAATCGCCTTCGCTCCTGGTGATACGTACCACGGATTGTGGCGCCGCGAGTCCTTGATCGTAGTACTGAACGACAGGAGGTTGTTTCGCAAATGGGTCGCCTGGAAGTAATCCCGTCATGCTGTCCTTCCTATTAAATGCTTGCTGTTCCTTTTTGCGACCTTTACTGCCATAGGACATAGGGGGTGACAAGTCTGTCAATTGGTCCCGGAGCTCATCATGGTGATATGGATCCCAAGAGGTGAAAGTATCCAGTCCATGGACATTCTCGTCTTCGCCGTCTGGTGCTTGCATGCCAAAGACGAGACTTTGTCGGGTCAGCGCATAGACGAGTACGTCGAGCCAGCCATTACTCGTCATCATGACTCCTACAAAGGTGAGTTCAGCATAGCCGACGCTATGCCCAGTCATGTCACGCAACCGGGCCACGACAGCTGGCAGCGTGCAAATAACATATACCACGGGGTAGATGATGACCGAGCGAGCGGCGGATTCAGCTCGCATCTGATGTTGGGATGAGACGTAGAAGAAATCCTTGATTCTGCGCTGCAGGACGATGAACATTGTCGTGTACAGTCCGACGACAGCGAATTCGGCTGCGAAAGAGGTCAGACAGGTGAGTATCATGGACGGCAGAAGATCACTCACTGAACAAGATCCAGACATAGTGTAACCACAGACGCTCATGCATATATTCTTCGTTGATCCAGCACCTGCACGCGAGATGATCAGTCATCTATGATTGATAAGATTGCCGAGATGGTGCGGTGCAAGAACTCACCACATCCCAGCACGCATGTAGAAATCGTGAGGATGCATTATTATGCCTGAGATAGTCAGCTCTATTCGAGCTCGGCAGTAGCTGATCGGCACATACCAATAGTTGCGAGAAAGAGTGAAAATGTCCAGATCCCGGCAATGGAGATAAGAAAAGGTATGCGGCTGAGGCGGTAGTCGAAAATAATGTCACCAAACAGGTGGCATGCCATTGCGAGCGTGGACACACAACTGCTGACGTCGCCGGTGTTGAGGAACCACGCTTGAGTCCAGCATGATGGAGTGAGGGCGAAGATGCCATTGTCTGCAAGCCACTGTAGACTGAGGACGAATCCAAGAGCTTGCTGAAGGTCGGCGAAGAGGAGGTTGATTAGAAGAATCAGATACTGGTGAAAGCGGGGGAAGGTCGATTTGTCCCGGCGAAATAGGCGATAGACGAGATGTATAAACAGAACGGCGGTCGACAGCAGTGACAGCAGACCGAATGCGGTGATGGCTGACAGGCCTCGGTGAATGACGGGAGGAAGTGGCGAGAGGCTCTTGGCTCCATTGGGCGCGTGTATGGCATCGGTCGCCATGGTCGTGTATTGAATTGATGGGGTCGATGTCCTAAAAAGAGCGTGAAGCAGAGATTAAAAGATTAATACGAAGTTTGATCATTGCCGGCCTGCGAACAAAGATCAGATGATGTGGAATTTTCGCCCTTGTTGATCGAGGTACAGCGACTTCCTTCCCAGAGGGATGGATGAGGACATCTTATGTGCATGCATCTCGGACGCATTGACAGTTGTGCGTACCACAGTGGCGGGCTCAGCACTACGCGTTTTCTGGTCAAGAGCTCTGTGGCTCGCGCTAAATGTGCTAGGGATATGAGCTGGAGAGGAGGATTTTCTGACGAGTAGCAGAAGCTTGACGAGGGTGCACCTGGCCGAAGGCAGCAGTTGAGCTCTCGCGACCAGCATGAGCTACCGAACGGTACAGTTGACGTCGCCTGCTCAAGCATCATGGCAGCATGTCGGCAGCTCGTTTGGGCTAAACCTTCCAGTTCGATTGAGGACTTGTGGCTCGCGCGAATACCACAACAGTCTTGCAAATGTGAATGAGAGCAGAGATCCAATATGGAAAGTAATGATCTGCGGCGCATGCGTGTAACGTGCTGAAGACCCGACCGAAGCATTGCAATGTGGGCACCGAGGGCGACTAGCAGCATGATCTGCGATAGACGACAGAAGACTTGTTCAAAATTCGGATAAGCTCTGCTTTTCGCGCTTCAGCGAGACGCGGAACCTGTCAATTGTGCAGTTGTGCAGCAGTCGTCGCCGAAACGAAGGGGATGGGATCCTGGACCTTGGGTGCGTTGGAATTAGCACAATCCCGGAGATGCTGGGGCACTTATGCAGCCTGGTCCTGGTATCCGGCACGTGAGCGTCCACGCCTGTTCGTACGGCATCATTGCCTAAGACGTTCGGCATTGCCTCAGAACGGCCAGAAAGACGACACTCTGCCCGTAAGGGTCAAATCGAGATGATTCACGGCGAATGGCGATGAAGAGCTTCACGGTATGGCGTTGCCGATGGCGGATGATGAGAAGCAGAAGAGGAAGACGAGTAGGAGGTGGCGTGAGCGGATGTCGCGTGCACGGCCACTGCCGCCAGATCCACAATTGCAATTGCATTTCCACTTTCTTCTTCACACAACGAACAAGTCACATCTCCTCCGCCGCCGCTCTCCCAGATGAGCCTGGCATGACTTTGGGTATCAATGTGCCAGATTCATTTCTGCCAGTCTCCACGAAACACGTCCAATCGAAGACCAGAAGAATCGCGGAGTAGCGAGAAAGCGTCAGCAGCTTGCGACATGAGAAACAACAACACGACATCCATGGACATTCAAGCTGAACTTGTGAACTTTCCTCCTCACCGACGGACCGATCTCTGAATATTGCCCGGTCGTATCAGAAGAGTGCCTGTACGATGGCCATGCCCCACAACCTTCCATTTATTAGACCTGGTACTGTCCGGCGGCCAGCATTTAGATCATAGACATGCTGGGATTGGAACTTGCGGTGGCTGTTGTTTTGCTTCCTCGCTTGAAAACTCCTGGAGCGGCTGCCTCTGCGTTGCTCACGTGTCTGACGATGTCTGGCGAGGTAATGGGCGGAACTGCTGTCAGAGCCCTGCTATCCGGCTAGCCACACCAATGAGGCTCATGTGAGAATGATTGAGGCCTCGTAGGTTTGCCTTAGGCTTGAGGGTTGTCAGTCTGCCTCTGTCCTTGGTGCCTGATCATCCAGACAGTGTCTCCGCCTGGTAGCTACGAAGAATGTAGAGTGAAGACTGACGTGGAGTGATGTCGCTTGCTCTCAGGCCTGGAGCTGAAGGTCGTAGGACCCGCTCGGATGTTCGGAGATATCTGGAGCTATTCGAAACCAGCTACAAGACGCACTCTCCGAGGTCGAATGCGAGATTGACATGTCCATACAACGTACTCCCGGACGACACTGATCTGTAGGAGACATGCATCTCTCACTGCACTGGTCCATGAAATTTCGGGGAAGGCTCAGCGTCGAGGGCTCTTCCTGGGAGAAGCCTGATGTCAAAGTCTTTCTGTGTTGCAGAGTGTGATGTTGCGCGGCCAGCAATATTTGGGGACTTGCATGGACTCATACTTATGCGTCAAAAGCTCCGTCGGTCGGTGCACCGAGGTGACTATGACGTGCCCGGGCTGTATCAGAGCGTTAGCCCTACAATAGGGCTTCTATAGGGCTTCTACTCTGCAGATTTGCGCCACTATTGAGTGAAGGGTAGGCGTGAGGGCTGCCAGGATATTACTACCTTCTACCCATTGCTGCTCCAAACGCATACCGCTGCTCCGGCGAAGCTTACAAGTCCTGCAGTGCAGAAACGCCAATGAGCTGCTCTGTTCCCTTTACGAAGTCCCGGCAAGCAGAGCCGGTGTTCTCTGAGCGCTATATCCAGGAACTATGATGGATCTACTTCGCCTCTACCGCCGTCACTGCGTCAAATAAGCCAACACAAGCTCGCTGTCGAACCATGAAAGGGATTTACTCTTTGACATGCAGGAGCCTTGTTGGTATCTGCACTCCACATGACGCCTGTCTTCTCGGACCGCCATCCCCTCAGCTCTAGGTGAAAATAAGATAGCGATCGGGATTCTTGCGTCTACTGAGCGAGCCTTGGGCCCAGAGCACGACCAGATGTACCAGCGCAGAAGTGAAGGCAAGTCAGGAGAGCTCATAGGCTCATGTTCACGGTGTGTCGCGGCATCTTCGTCGTTGTGCCGGGATATTAGGTAACGATCAACACTTTGAAAATCCTAGACAGAAGTTTCCGTGCAGCTCCAGAGGTCAGCGACTGCATGTCAGCTCTAGCAAACCATGTCTTTAACCCCTCACATGCGGACTTGTATATATGTAGACATCTGCGACCTTTGCTACTCCGTTCGTTCCTTAAGCTCACCTACACATCAAGCTACTCATCCAATTCAACTCAACCACGATGAAATTTCTATTGCTCGCTACCGCCGCCCTCGCTGGCCTCGTCTGCGCCTTGCCAACAGCAGACAAAGTCGTAGCCAGGCAGCTGGAGAAGAGAGAGCCGCCATGTTGCGACTCGGACAAGAATGGAAACCCAATCTATGTCGGAGGCTGCGAGTGGTGCGGCTTCGGGCCCCCTCCCAAGAGCTAAGATTGGTACTTTGAATAGCGTCGGGCGCTTTACTGGTATGTTGAAGGAGACTATTTCCTTCCGAACCCGTGAAATTTCGAAGAGCAACGCAAATACCAGAGCCCAGTCTCTGACTCTAGCCTGATTTGCTGCAAAAAGGACGACTACGCAATGAACAACGACGTTTCTCGTGTTACTGGAGAGCCAACCCCTGCCTCTGGTTTGGATATCGTTTTCAGAGGAGGAGAAGGACAATCTTAATCCTTTATGCAAAGCATTCGTTGGAACATCAAAAAGCCTGCCAACTTTTGCTCGGGACCCCTATTGCGAGCCGGTACCGCTGCTTCTTTTTTCCTTTTGGCGACTCAGCTTTTCTGAGTCGCCCTTGATTGTCGAATGAAATGTCGCAGTAATGGTTACCAGCCATCATTGACGACTTCCATGCCTGACATAATCAAGTAGTTTGACTGCATTAGCAGGATCGACTGATTTGGCGACGGAACTCGAAGGTACTTGTCTCGCATTGACATTTCTCGGTAAGGTAGAAGGCTCATTGTTCGTCATCGATCATACCCATTTTGAATTCATGCTCAGCACTGGCCCAAACAATGGAGAATAGGGTTGAGCGAAAGCCCTTCTGTGCCGTATTTATCGTAGGGCTATATGCGGAAGGGTCTCTGACCATGTTCACGGTGTCTCGCGGCACCATCGTTGATTCGTTACTGTTCCAAGGTGCAATCGACTGTTTGGGTATTTCCGAAAAGGAGCAGTCTTAGTGGCAATGAATCCATGTTTCATCGAAGCACACCGTGGTTTTAATCCCTCACTCACGGCGCGATTGCATATAGTGATCCATCCTTTATGGCCTCCAGTCCTCCATTTCTCACCTCCTAGACTCACCTCTTCGACGGCTTCTCGATCTAATTCATTTCAGCATAAAACCCCAAACTCAACACTCCGAAAATGCGATTCCTTCTACTGGCTGTCACGACTCTCATCGGCCTCGTTTGCGCCATTCCAACCGCGAACAATCTCATCGTCGAAGATCTAGAGATGAGACAGACCCCGCCGTGTTGTGCGCAGGACAAGAACGGCAACTATATCCGAGTCAATGGCTGCGTTCCGTGCTACACCGGCCCTTTCCATCAATAGATTGGCGTTCAGAAGGCCGTCGGGGGTCTAAGAACTGGTATGTCGCAGAGATATCACTTGAGCCCGAACCCATTCGCCTTCAGAGGCTTATGCGAAGGTCAGATCCCTGCCTTCAACTCTGGCCTAGACTCGCTACCACGCCAAGGGCCACTGCCATGCAACACAACGTCTTCCGCGCAACTTGAACAGCTATCTAAGCGTGCTGGATGTGCGACTGCTGTGCAGCGCTGCAGATTATCATTTTGTTTTTTTTTTCGAGAGAGAAGGACAGGAATGTTCAATAATCTCTGTGCATAGCATTCATAGAGACGTCGAGAATCAGCTCGATTGCTGCTTCCAACGCCATTCCTATCGTGTAACATTATTTTTTGCCATGTGAGATAAGCACATGAGGATAGTCTGTAGTTTTTCCTGACTAAACAGACCGCTTCGTGGCACATCCGGCTCGGTCCACGAGGACTCTGTCGTAAGGCTTGCAGTTGTCCGATCATAAATGACTACGGCCGTTGACCAGATTGCCAAGGCTAGTGGTTGCAACTCAGGTCGACTTTCTATTAAACAATTGCACTGGATCCCTCTGCTGCTAAGCAAAGCCGGCCTGCCTAGACAATTTGTGTACCTCACTCCCTCAAGATCTTTCCTCCGAACGTATTCTCTGGGCATTCAAAGTGTCTAGAACGCGTGTGTTTCTACAATGCCTACAGTCGAAACTATCTCAATCAATTGCTACGTGCAACCTAGTGATGGTCGATCAACAACTCGATCATCCTGTTAACGATTGTTAGTTGGCTGCAGTCATTGCCTCAAACGATTCGGCCTGAGCCGGACGACCGCAACTCCTGCAACAGTGCCATCCTAGGCCCAAGAGATCACAAGCGGCTTATGTCATTCCTACTCTGGCCTCTCGAATCTCCGACTGACCCAACGCCAATTTTCACTAGCCTCAACGTGAAGGCTAGTCCTGCAAAGATCAGTAATCCGCGTTCAAGGCATCTCGCGATATCGTCGGCCATTGCGTCGTCAAGACAAAGTCTTAGTCTTGGGATCCGAGATAGAACTCTGTTAGCAATCCCCAGCAGAACTCATTTCACGTTCCCGTATGTCTCAAAGCACTCATATATATAGATATAGAGCTGCTTTTGTTTTTTGCTACCCACCATCAACCGCTCGACTCGTCTACCTACCTGCTACTTTCTCAGCCAAACATACCAGACCACGGTCTCTCCTGCCCAAAAATGAGGTTCCTCTTCATCGCCACAACCCTCATCGGCCTCGTTTGCGCCATGCCGGCTGGCGAGATCCTCGTTGCCAAAGATCTGGATACGAGAGGAACACTACCGTGTTGCGAGGGTGATTCTGATCCCAGCTGTGTCATCTGCTACAACTAGGAGCGTCTTTCACTCTTCTATTGTTCCTGGATCCTGTCAAGAAAGAATGCGTTGCGCATTCGGTTATTGGTATGTCGATGGAATGCTTGTTACCAAGGCATCAGAGTTCCCATACTAATAGCTGTAGCATATCTATACCTTGAAGTACGAATCGATCTGCTTTGACCAACGATTATCTTCGATGCAAGGCGGTGGGCTCCCTGGAGTGTGAGGAGTGCCGTCCGAGTCCTTCATAGATACCTTCTGCTGTGGGACAGAGTGATGTTGCAATACTATTCGAAAGACAAAGGGGAGGAAGCAAAACAATTGGCTCTGTACATAGCCTCAAACTGCAATCGCAGTAACACCCTGTTCTTCGACCTGCAAAGTACTTTCTGGCAAAAATCTCGATCGGCTTGATGCCGACACTTTGCAGTTGCGTGCGGCATCGTGCGTCGCAAATTACAACACGCTTTTCTCGAGAAAGGAAGTGTAACATTGTGGTGTTGCTTTATATTCTCCTACGGCAGTGCCATGCCTGGACAGTTTGCTGCACAACAGGTCGTGTCAGCTCAAGAGTCTCTGGCGAGGTCATTCGAAGTAGCCCAACACACGTGCGGAACAGCTGATGTCGTGAAAGCAACAAGTTCGAATGAGCCGACAATGAGTCCGGGAAACTTGTCTAGCAACTCAGCAACGGGTCATCATTGTCTTGATGCGTAGCCAAGAAATGAGAGTGTGGTGCTCTTGTTGTCTCTACGGTAGAATTGAATAGTCTCCGGGCAACAGAGCGGATGTTATGGGAAAAACCGGTTTTTAGACGTTATAACTATCATATTGGTAACAGAGTATATCTCCTTCAATATCTAAAATGTCAGCGACCGTCACATTCCTCGCAAGATCTTTGGAAGGGATAATATCGTCTTTTCTTGCGGGTGCATCTGTGTTCAATGTATAATAACCAGCGTAATCTGTTCCGTGTCCGGGGGCAGCTTTCTGCCATATCGCCCACAATCTATCGATTTGACCATGGTGAAGATAAAAGATGGAATCTGCTACTAAGGTCAGCTCACACGTTGTACATGGCAAAACTTGTAACTTGACTCGCCTGCCGGAGAATACACGGTCGGAAGAACCCCACCAATATACCCATGTATGGTATCATGAGGCCCCCGCTCAAACGCCCTCGTGAAATTCCAAAACGTTGCCTCTTGCAACACACCTCGCAAAAAGTCCTTTCTCAGCTTATCTCCATGAGCACCATGCTTCCACCCAAACTCCCTACTCAAACAATGTTCCTCACCAGGACTCGCCTCTGGAAATTTCGGAATCATCATATTCGCAAACGGCCCCGTGGTCACACAACTCCCATTCAATATTGTAGATTCCCGCGTCGGGTTCCCATCACCTCCAAAGCCAAACGTTTCATCAAACACTGGTGATCTTCCCGGATCGTTCCAATCCAAACTCCAATCCCAATAAGGCATCGAACCTTCATACTCGCATTCGTCTCTCAGACTCTGCTCAAATAACGCGAGAAGCCATCGATGCCAAGGCAGGCATCCTGCAGCGTGGTGCATTCCAAAAAGGTTCTCGTAGTGCGCGTATACGAAATCCATGTATCGACTGATATCTCCCCTGTCAGGGAAGAAGTGTGATTGGGAATTTCGTAAGCATTGAATGGCAGAGATATAGTTGATTTGCTCTCCTTCAGTCAAAGTCCGCCATTCACGACGTATTGTTGGGACATTGCCGTTACTGCAGCGATTAATTGGAACGCCAAATGTCGATGGGAGAGTCTTGATGGTCGGCCAGGCCCAGAGAGCCGCGGCAAGGGAAACTGCCAGGAGTGTCAAGATGGCCAGAGGGACGTATACTTGGCTGCGGGTTGCATCCGTACTCGTGGCATTCTTGTCTTCACTTGAGCCACTCTCGACTTCATCCTCAGACAGATCCTCGCTAGGCAGTTTCTCGTAGGATCTTGTGATGCTGAAGAATCGCTTGATACTGAACTTGTTTCGTGTCTCTTCAATCATGTCCCTGAACTTCCTGAAGATCAAGATCCTGGCCAGTATTGGTGATGTTAGTAATGGTGATCGATTAAGAGGCAAGCTGAGATCTAAGCTTACGCAGATAGACCAAGTGAGATTTCGACGATCCGATCATGATAGTCGAGACTCCCCTTCATGACTTAGCTTCTCTTAGTTGGCTCTCGTAGCCAGGATAAAAAAAAAATCGCAATGACAGTGATCACTCATCTTGCGAATGCCCATGCTTAGTGTAATCAAAGGTTTCACTTCACTACTTCGGCCGATCCTAATCCCGTCAGCACGATTAGCAGGGCGGGACGACGCAATTTCAAGGGCAAGCCGTAGGGCAAAGTCGAATATCTCACCACGATACTTCTGGTCACCGCACAAAGCACATTCATCGTTCTGATCATCATTCGTATCCATGTTGAATTCGTGCATAGGCTGACCTGTCCCTCAAACCATATATCTGAAGTCCGGATGCCGATAACCCAGGTCTGCAATCTCCTCTTCACTCAGCCCATTCAGTCGACTGTTCCGGCCGCCACGTGCTCGTACCCGGTTTTCGTACAGACAGTAGAGCATACCACCGATCGCCAAGAAGAGGACAACCACCTGCGCAGACAAGTTGATTGTGTGTCCAGTCGGAAACTTGGGCCCGTCTGTTGCCAAATATGTCCATGTTGCGACAATGCCGCCCAACGTGCCTAGAGTCACGATCCACCCGCCTGAGACTGCTCGTACAGCGGGACCTGGGAGACTGATTAGTAATTGACTTGTGCTACCAGAAGTGATTGGACTTACCAGCCGCATTATTCAAGCCCCACGAGAGGAAACCAGGGCCTCCGGGGAAAGCGCCCAATGCACAGAGATATACGGCACCATAGCGAACATTGGCCGACATATCCGCGCGAAGCAGCGCAAATCCTGTGATACCCAAAGTGGTGAACGCAGCCAAGTACAGACCTCTTTGCCTAGTCTTGTCACTGATGAAAGCGATCAGAATGGCGATTGCAGATGCCGATACATAGACTGGCACGCTGTACAGCTGCGCCCTCGTTGCCGTCCAGCCCAGATCGCGCAGAATGGTAGGCATAAAGACCGAGAGACCTTGAACAGTGATGTTAATGCAGAAGAACCCAGCGGCACAGATGTAGTTGTTGATGTTGAGCAGAGCACGCTTGATGTGGTGCGGCTTCACGACCTGGTTCGCATTTGCTCGGTGTTCGATTCGTAGTCTCTCGGAGGCGATGAATTTCTCCCGCTCAGTCAACCAGGTCGATGTCTCCGGGCTTTGCGGCAGAATCAAAGGTGCCAGACCTCCAATAATCATTGTGAGCAGACCTTCGAAGAAGAAAATATTCCGCCATGTATGGATTGGTGCCGATTCGACTCCCCATCGAGGGATCTTGGCGAGTCCTGCAGCGAGCAGACCTCCAAAAGCACCAGCCATGGATGCTGCGCTCACGTATATTCCTACACGGAAGTATAGTTCCTTGCGCTTGTAGAATGCAGATAGAAAAAAGGCGATTCCAGGCATTGTGCCTCCTTCGAAGACGCCCAAGAATGCGCGGGCAACACACAATTGGTTGAATGTGTTTACCCATGCTGTGCACATGGATACAAGCCCGAAGCCGACGACGAGGAGCGGAATGTAGAACCTGGGCCCGACTCTCTTGAGGATGATGTTCGATGGTACTTCGACCAGGCAGTATACGATGTAGAAGACACTGAGGGCCCAGTTGAAGCGGACTCCGTAGAGATTGAGGTCGCGTTCCATGCCTTGAATCCTGCAAGGCAGTGAATCAGTAAAAATTCAGGAAAGCAATCTTCGAGCATTGGAAGTTTTGCGAAAGAGTAATGCGTACCGAGCATTTCCAATATTGGCACGATCGAGGAAGCAGAGGAGGTACAGCACTGTCACCTGTGGACTTTATCAGCTCGTGCAATCATGTATATCGCACCTTGTCGCACTTACCATCGGCACAATCTGAAGATCCAGCTTCCGTCTCACCCTCGTCTCCTCCTCTTCCGTCCATGTGATATTGTCCTGCGAATACGGATCAACCTTCAACGGCACATCCTCAACCAGGTCGGAAGCTTCCTTGTGGTCCGCCATGTTGAAAGTCCTGCAGAAACAGCAGTCGACGGAATAGACTGCACCAGACAGCAGAGCAAAAGAGAAAAGAAAGCGAGACTCTCGACGCAAAGATCGACAGTGCACTTTCAACTTATTAAAACCGGTTCCATTTGGAGCAAGCGAGTGACCACTCCATTCTCCACGCCGCCAAAAATACCCCGGCATTCCAACCCTACGAGATGCCCCAGTTCTGCCGGAGCAGCTGCTTACTCCTAACGGCAGCAGGTTTCGCGTGGCGAATGACGGATGCCCGAGGCAAGCGATAAACGGCAATCAACATCCTGCACTGCCCAAGACACTGCCAAGTGTACCCAATATGCTGTACGATGGATACAAAGGGACACACATGTCGCTTACCACGTGTTTGAGTCGTGCAGAGAACTTCGCGTGGACTTTAGCGTGGCAGGTGGCGGCTTGGCATTGCGGAGAGAGGACCACTTCGCGTTCGCTTAGCTGGATTTTTCCCCGGCTAATGTGGAGAGCTCTCCCTTCTCCCTGCCTTGTCTGGCTGTGGTTGTTGGGTTGGAGAGGTAGGGCTTCGCGATTCGAACTGCCGTTCCGACGTGGCGTCGAGGTTACAGATGCCCAGCTTTCTTGTTACCACCTCACCCTCATTTTCGCAGGATAACCGACCGGCAACCGTGCACGGGTTTTGAAGGAGGTTGATTATTCATCTGGGTTTCTGAGTGGTCGTTTCGCGAGACCGGAGCTTGCTACGAGGACATGGGTATTTGCTGTGTTTGATCCACATCGGTACGGTTGATGGACTATTTCCTCGTTCCCCGGTCGTGCACACAGGATGTAGTGCGGATGAGAAGATCTGTTTATTGATCATGAGCGCTGTTCTCAAAGGAATTGGATCTTATATCTCTGGCACTTCATGTCGAGCCTTGTTACAGCGTGTAGGTATCTCGCGCATCCATCTCAGCATCTCAGAGCGTGTGGCGGTCGCAGTGCTGTCTGTGTCGAGATGCCCCTTCAAAGGGGCTTAAAAGGGGCCTGCAGTTGTGTAGAAGATATTGCAGAGGGCAGTCGAGTAGAAGTCATGACGGCAGGTGTCGATGGTGCTGTGTGGTGCCTCAGGCCAAAACTCCGAGGTTCAGAAACGACAGTTCCCGACTGCACGCCGTTTTCCTACAACACTTCTCAACCAAAGTCAACCATTCTCAACTGCCAAGGCATAGGACAGAGCCAAAAGTCCGAGGGCAGTGAAATCCAGCTCGCCTTCTTGTGCAATGTGCTACGACCTATCTGAGCACGTCGCTTGGCCCGAAATTGAGCGCGATGTCCAACTCAATGGCTAAATAGCAAAAACCTCATGGCCAGTGGTGTTCCCTACCCCACAACGGCCGAGCGCAATTTCGACAAAACTCTGATCGCAGGAGCCGCACTACGCCTGCAGTTTCAGCACTCACGGCGCATCTCCAAAACTAGAAACCCATGGTGCATCCTTTTCCACGATCGCCAAGAGCTTCAACAACTTCCGATGCGTCATTTGTGGCTACTATATCTGCCATGCTGAACGTTGGGTTAAAGAGTCTTGGGTGCAGGAATTCCGAACGGGTATCACAGACGCCGTGCGAGTTTGGTGCGGCAACCTGCTGACGTCTTTAGTCTACTGGGAGGATGGCGAGCCCCATGTCACTGGTATCGGCCTCTGCGTGCTCAATAACAATGACGAAGATGAAACCCTTCTCGCTGCGCCTAGTAATCCGGTTAAGATATGGCATAGCGTCGAATTAGAAGAGGAATCAGTCACAATGCCGGTGATGACACAGAAGCCAGACGACGGCGCACACGGCTATGCCCTCCACGCTGCCTGTTGGTCGCTGCTTGAAACATATGTCGCGCCACAGAAGATAGACATCGCTCGTTTGCTTGAGGTGTGTGGCTCGGTACCATATTATTCCAATTGTGGTGGCTTGGCCTGGGAGCATTGTTACGAGGGGTTTCTCAGCAGGGACAATGAGATCGAATTTCCTTGGGGCAGAGACTACGGAACAACATCTTCATCGCCACGTGCGGATTTTCGGCTCATGCAAGCTTCCTATGCCGATGCTGATCCCGACCATCCCATGATCACGTACCCGGATGGTTATGTTCCTCCGCAACCTCCTCAATGGCCCAGAGGAAATGGCTCCGTGGCAGACAGCTTTGCTCAGTTTCCGCTAGAGCTGCTAGAGATGATCGCTATCTTGCTGCCCACAAAAGCCGTTTTTCATCTGCGAAGCGCCTCACGTAGCTTCTTGCCCATATTCGAAAGCAAGACATTTTGGAAGTCCCGCTTCCAGAAAGAAGGCGATCGCGGCTTTATTTTCGACTTGCTCGAGCAACCAGAGAAGGTCGACTTGAGAGCGCTGTGGCGGTCTAGCGCGAAATACCTCCGGCTATCGAACAGTCGGCGTATATGGTCGATTCTGCAAAGCGTTGTCCCTTTGATGGACATGCGAATCTCCGTCGTGGAGGCGAAAAGTGGTTCTCACCCACTAAAGGAAGATCAACTCATCGCAGTCTCTGCCAACATTCAGCAACAGACATCCTTTCCGCCACGATGCATTGTTTGGCCTCACGGCTGTACCGAATTTGGCTTCCAGCAAATAACATGGCCTCAGGGTGTCGTGCGCATATCAGTGTCGACGGTGGATATCGGTGATATGAGATACATTTCCGGCCTGAAACTCAACAAAAAGAACAGGTCATCTGTCAGTATAGGTTACATGTCAAGACATCTTGAGTCCTTTGAAGTCGATGCCGAAGTCACAGGCTTCGTAATAGCCATGGGCGCGAGAGGCCTCAATGGCATACGTGTCTTGACCGCCGCACAAAAGGCCTCACCCTGGCTAGGGAATCCAACTGGCACACCGATCACGGGACGACTTCTTAACGTTCGGCCCATCTCCCATCTTGGCATTCAATTTGACGTGAGCCACCTGTTCTCACACTTCAGACTACCGCACTAACAACATGAATAGGGCTTCAAGATCATCTCTCTATATGTGAGAAGCGGCAAAGCTATTGACGCACTCTCGGGAGGATCAGACAGCATCGACCTTCGGAAGCAGGCTATATGGTATCCGAGAGTGCCACAGCCTAGCCTTCACGTTCAAGACCAATATCAAAGATATCCTCCCGACTTTCGACCGATTTTCTGGACTCAATTTGGTGGAGCTCGTGGCATCCTGCTCAAACATCTGACTTCGGTCTCGATATCAAGGCAGAACAGCATACGCGGCATCTCATTCGACTATGCCAACACGGCGCCAGCTACGACTCGGGTTGCGATGCTAGGATATCCTCCTGCCGAATCCAGCTCCCGCACGAAGCGATTCTCAATCGACGGGCCCGCTGGCGAGCGTATCATATCCATCACTGCTGGAATCGGGCAATGCCGTGGCCAAGATGTTTTGTGGTCTTTGAAAGTGAGACAGATACCTTACTGCAATACAGGATCGTAACAAGACCACAGAATTACCCGCTAACATTCGCTTCTAGATCACGACCTCAAAGGATAGAGAAATCATCTGCGAGCCAGAGACACGACCTGCTCATGAAGCAACCACCTCCGTTCGGCCAGCCGCAAGCGACGCGGAAGCTTATCGACAATACCTTGGCTACCCAGATTGCAGCTACCCAGATCCCGATGATCCGTACGCCTACGACGGGTTGCCTTCCGACGATGAATCTGACTCTCTGTCAACTAGCGATTCAGACGCCCACGATTTCAATTTTAATCACTTTGCGCCTGGACCTATGGAGTGGCAAGAGCCTCAGGTCCCGCCGGGCGATGACGCCGCTATAACGGGAGTATATGTGATTCAGGTACTTGTGGCACCCACGACTGCTTCGTGTGGTCAGTTAGCTGATTTATCCAGGACCCCGTTGTTGGTTTCACAAAGTTGGGTATCATCTCTGAGACTGCCGAGTTCGATGACTAGGAGCGCGGCCACCTCGCATCTACATCGGAAAATCGGGAGTTGGCGCTTCAAGTCTTATGGGAACTGACTTCTGCATCGTTCTCAATCAACTCCCACCATACCTATCTGGCAGATGAGCAACCTGGAAGCTTGGGTCAAGTCTCTGGTTTGAATGACCTTGTGCTTGGGTCTTTGAAACGTCCTAGACATTGTCAGACTGGAATGCCGTTTCCGTAGAGGGCCCGCGCATCTTGGTCAATCAACCGCTTTGAGTCAACATGAACACCATGTGGTGAAGACAGATGTAAGGGAATCTGAGCAGCATGTGAAGTCGGGCTTGTCAACCTTGGACACAGAACAGGACCACGGAGGTCAGCAAGTAAGATTGAGCTGTCCTCACTTTGTGTCATCCTATCCTTGTCTACCCAACAAGAGCAGCTTCAGGCCCAGGATACTTCCCCTCAGGCCCGTCTAGATGCGCATCCAGAATCGCGCACACGCCACTCTGCACAGCGGCCACGGCCTCGGGAAGAAGTTTCTTCAGTTGCTCAGCGTTGCCGGCCACACCGGCCCATGCTTTGTGTCCCGAAGCGGCCTTGGCAATTCCGGAGTAGTCGGGAGTTGGAGCGAAAGAGATGTTCAATGCTTTGTTGTCGACTTTTGAGCCTTCGCCTTCGGGATGGACGAGAAGCATCGACTTGCGTGGTGCATTCCAGCCTGGGAAAGAGGATCGTTAGCACACAAACACTTCTGAAAGTCATACAAAGTTTCAGGCAATGAAGCTCACTTACCCTGGTTGTTTAAGACAATCGTCAGCACGGGAATATTGTATCGTTGTGCAATCCAATACACCGACCCAGGAACCGAGAAGAGATACGTGCCATCTCCCACGATCTGGCAGACGAACTTGCCCTTATTCGTCCCACCGTTCTCGAAATCTGTTGCTAGCTTGATGCCGAGGGCACCTCCACCACTCCAACCCAGACCTCCGCCTCCACAGTTGATCCATGAGTTGGGCAACGTCGCTTGGATTTGATCGTTCACAAATGCTGCGTTTGTTACAGCTTCAACAGCCCATATCGTGTCTGGTGGGCACGCATCGCGAACTTGTCGGATCAAGTAAGGGCATCCGAAGTGGCCTTCTTCCGATAAGACAGCTTGCGCTGCGATTGTGTCTAGTCTTGCTTGATGCGAGGCTTTCCGTGCTTCTGCCAGTTCTGAGAATCTTGGTGATGAGATTTTGTCCTTCATACTGTAGTTGATGTAGGCTGTGATTTGTGTGAGGGCTGTCTCGGCGTCGACTCGATATCGGGCGATGGCATTGATGTAGAAGACTGGCATTTGCTGCTTCAGTGTGTCGACATCGATGTGGAAGATTTTGGCGTCATCTCGAGGTCTGCATTGGGTTGGTATCCAGGGTACGTCGACGTCCAACAACACGATGACATCTGCTGTTTTTATGCTTTCGTCGACGCCGTATCGTAGTCCCAGCCAGGCAGGATGATTTGCTGGGAAACACATGTCGCTTCCGCCAGTATCCAGTACTCTCAAACCCTTCACTGTGTCTGCCAGCGCAACGAGCGCTTCCACAGCAGCTGAATTTCTCCCACTGTATCCTGTGATGACCAACGGCTCTTTCGCCCCCACCAGTGCCTCGCTCACAGCCCTCAATTGCTTCGTACTTAGCCCTCCCAGTTCCACTGGTGTCCAATGTTTCGGATCGAGCGTGTAAGGCTCAATCTCCTCTTCCATTGCCTCTCGCGCGCCATACAGATATACTGGCCCCCTTGGCTCACTGACCGCAAAGCTCAGCGCCCTGTTCACCAACTCTTTCACATTCTTCCCGCGTTTGATCTCCCCAGTATATCGACAATACTGGCTCACAATCTGTTTCTGATCCGGCACGTCCTGGATCCAATGAATGTACTCTGTCCTCGACCCTCTGTACTCTCCGTTTATGGTATATGGACTCAGGCCCGCAAATATGAGAACTGGTGCTCTTCCGCAAGAGGCGTTGTGGACTGCGGCCCCGAGGCCTTGAGTACCCACGTCGACGTGCACGATTACGCATTGAGGTTTGTTGGTCAGGCGTGCGTAGCCGTCGGCCATGGAGAGAGCGACCATTTCATTCGGACAGGTAATGATGCGGGGGAACTGGGCTTTCTTTTCATTTTGGCCTTTGACGATGGCTTCGATTATGGAAGGGTGGTCGCTGCCGAGATTGACGAAGACGTGGGTGATGCCGGCCTAAGAAGGTGGAGTTGTCAATAAGATGTGATCTTTCGTCGTGGAAGTCTGTTTTGAGGATTATCATGGTCGGGAGTTGCTTACTTACTTCCCATAGTGCCTCGAAGAAGGCGAACGATGCTGTGTACATGTTTGCAGATCTGTTGTACAATCTCTCTCCAGGCGAATAGATGTGTGCAGAGAAGGTTCAAGGAGTTCAAGTAAGGAGAAGACAACAGCTCATGACTTCCACACGAACGTGCTTTCTGGGGCAGCTTTCGTTCATACTGCCGATGCAACGGCCGACGTCGCCAATGCCCCGCAAGAGCTCACTGATCCCTCCACATTGTTGTATTGCCGCCACTATCCGAGCGAAGGCCTTGGATGAATCTCATCGTCCGTGAGTTCATGCGATCGCCAACTGAAGACGTCCTTCTGGAGGAGTCGCATGCAGGCAAGATGCCATGAAGGTGCTGTGCTGTTGGTGAAGGTGGGAGGAGGTATCGTTGTAGACAAATTCCGTCCGACGTTTGCCGTGTCGAAATGCAGACTGATTGGTGCGGACAGCGCGGACGCTAGTGGGTGGCTTCCGTCTAGAATATCGTCACAGCCATCGTGACAGAAGGATTTGCACAGCCCAATCGCTTAGACTGACGCGTCTGGTCAGACGGACGCCTCAGCTTAGGCGTCCGGGTCCCACAGCGGAGGACAGATGTCCAGCTGCGCAATGCAGTGTCCATCAGCTTATGCTGCATCTCGACCGCAGCAAGGCTGACCCCGGCTGATGAGGTCTTTCGCACCAGTCCCATGGACTCGTTGCACAGCTACGCAGTCCTCGGCCGGACGTAATATTGGTCCTCTCACATCTGACTGCTAGCCGCTCATCCAGCTGAACACCTGTATAACTACCGGACTCGGCATAAGCGGTTCCGTGCGTCTTCTTATGCGCATCGAGCGAGCTGAAGGCACACAAGGTATGTTGGCTCGGCTGTGAAAGACTGCCCTGACAAAGGATCATCCGTCTCGTTGCGGGCAATGATCAGGTTGGGAACTATTTTTGCTCCGCCGGTAAGACGTGGGCAGTGCTTTGCGTACACTCCGCACAATGGACTCCACTTGTGCATGAAGTTTTCAGCTTCTTGAACAGTCCATCTCCTCAAATACAGGCACAGTCCGATGTCACGCACAGCACTAACCACAATACTTTCAAACTACCTGCTTCACACACCATGCGCTACTTGCACATTACTGCACTCCTCGCGGGAGTCTCTCGACCAACTTCACCTCGACTGGGAACGTCTGCGATGGCGGACCACTTTTCTTCTCGCGAAACTACACAACCAACAGCGTCAACGGCACATTTGACATTTACAAGGGCAAAGATGACTCGGGAGACCGCATTGGCCAATGTGAATACATGGAAGCAGAGATGTTCGAGAGCAAGCGGAGATGCTCGCGGCTACTGGGCACGATGTTTTATATCGCGGAGTACAGGCGCAATACTACCGCATGTGGAGGCGATAGCTCAGCCACGTCTTCACAGTCCACTACTTCTGTATCTCTGACGACGTCTTCCTCCTCGACAGCCTCCTCCTTGGCGACTTCTTTATCGACGACATCCTCTTCTGCAATAACATCATCATCTTCTCCAAGTCCTGCTTCGACGAGCGGCTTCTCAACAATGACGAGACCATGAATCATTGGCCTGGTCGCACTCGCGTGAACAGTTTGGATCAGCCTTGCAAAAGAATGTCATCTGGAACTTTCTCGGCATCCGGCACTTATACTCAGGCAGATCTGCTGCGGTTAAGCGATGGCAGGATTTATTGCTTGCAGACAGGTCAAAGTACGCGAAAGCGAGGCAGGCCAATGATGTTGAGCGGAGAAAGCGATCTCAACGCACCTGGAATATTCGCGGGGACTAGTGGGACGTTATTCAAACTTTGACGGCAACGGACCACGATCTACGACTGTTTTACCAGCACAGTGGTACCTGGTAATATATCATGCTGGCGGGGCACTGCATCGCACTGCACTGCACGACGAAAATGCCTCATGTATGACAGGGACGAATGTGACAGTCTGGACTTGTTCTCCAGCATGCCCGCCCGGTCCATGCCACCCTGGAGCAGCCACGATAAGTCATGGAACATCTTTGCACGAGAGCGTCGCATGTCAAACACAGTTATGATCTAACCTTGCTGCATGGAATCATTGGGCACGATTATTGCCGACTGCAAGCTTTGCAATCAGCAACCATTCGAGTCCTCGGTCAATGGGAGACTTGGTATCGATAACAAGCCGTGCGCATGCGCTGACTCGTGACCACCGGGCCAAGGGCGACTTGGTCTCTGCACAGTCGAGCTCCACGCCTTACCAGCTGGCCTTAGCCAAGCGACAACAAGCAATTGGCAGCCGTTGACTGTTGAATCATGATACTTCTCGACACCTAGCGTAGCAGAGTGTTTAGCTGCGTGCCTTGGCAGCAACCTTACACACCATACAGGCAAGCAATGATTTGTCGATGCCGCGATCGCGTCTGGATTGAACGTCATACCACTCCCGCAGCATCTCGAGACACGATTTCCAAATTCGAAGAGATGGCATACTGGCATGGTTTCACTGTCTCATGCAAACTGACCGGTAGATCGGGTTCCGAGACCTAACTCATCAATAAGGCGCCGCATTAAGCTTCTCGCCACTCCCTGTCTGCCATGAAGTTGGTTGTTAGTGATAACAGCTGGCGATGTCACAGTTGAGTGGGATGACGAGTGCATACACTAGGGGCATACTGGTTTCTTCAGTGCTTGACTTCAAGCCAAACATGCTATCCTTGCCCAGACCAGCCTATCACAGTGCCACTTGACTCTGGTCTGGTTCCGGATTGGGTCACCAAACGACTCAACTCAGCTCTCGGACGACACCATGGCCAGAGTGTCGGCTTCCCGATCAGCGTGGTGAACGCCGCAGAGATTGCACGTGGAAGGCTTCATAAGCTCCGACCGCCGATACTCTACTCGCTGCTACCCTGAGAAGTGTTCATAGTAGGCTATGGCGTAGCCGCTTTTGGACGAGCCGCCTTTTAGTCTATACCATAAGACTACCACCAACGAACGCCTAGTCAACCACGGTGCAAGAAACCTCTTGCGAAATGTCGAAGAGAATTTGTCTGGTCATCGGCGGCACTGGAGGTATCGGACAAGCCATCGCAGAACATCTTGCGCAACGAAAGTACACCGTGATTGTCGCAGCTCGCAACGTTAGCAAAGGCAACGAAATCATCGAACGAATTAAGTCAGCGGAAGGGAAAGCGACATTCATACCTTGCGACTTGTCAAACGAATTCTCAATCCGCGAACTGCACGCCGAAGTCTTACTGCTGCACGGACGGGTCGATGTTGCGATCAATGCGGCTGGAATATCGATGCCCTCGGGCAAAATCGCAGATGCTCCCGTCGCTACCTTCCAAGCGATCATGGATATCAACGTCACGGCGGTCTTCATCTCGATGCAGGAACAACTTCGCATCATGCTGGGTCAAACGCCGCGGAAGGGTCACATCATCAATATTGCTTCGATATGGGGCTCGGCTGGTTTACCATTCAACGCGAACTTTTGTGCATCAAAGCACGCCCTTATTGGACTTACCAAGACTGCGGCATTGGAGTACGCCTCGGACAATATCTCCGTCTGCGCAGTGGCGCCTGGTGCCATTCCTACAGGCATGACAGAGAAGTGCCATAGGCAAGGAGCAAAGCTTGGTTATGAGTGGGCGAAGGTTGTTGAAGACATGCCCAGGCAGTATCCTGCGGGAAAGTATGGTTCGCCTCAGGATGTCGCGAAGGCAGTGGCTTATCTCATCGAGAGCGACTGGAGTACGGGCACGATATTGACAATCGACGGAGGGTGGAGTGCTGGGTCCAGTCTGCAACACCCGTTGCCAACGTAACGCTTTCTTTGAATATCTCTCAATTGATACCCTGCCAACCTGCTGAGTGGTTGGGCCGACTTTCATCGATCATCGATTTTTCTCTTCTTTGCGTCCCGTCGAGACCTCACCCAGGCAGCCTGAGTGTCTTCTTCTAGTTACGCATACATTCGGATCAACGAGGCTCCTGAAGCTACGCCTGAAGCACTGGGACGATGCAAGGTTGCCATTCGCTGTATTGCTGCCAATGACCCGGATCGAAAAGTTCTTGAGACAGCAAATTGAACGCTTCTTGAAGGTTGTTCCTTTGGAGACGATTTCTAGACCTCGAAGGAGCACTTCGGATCTTCAATGGGTCTCGTCGTGTTTCACCCTTGCTCATCTCTGCAAGAGACCTTCGCAAGAACATCGTCGATGCATTGGGTTGCTACATACCGCTGATACAGCTAACGATGTATTAGACGGCGATAAGCTGACTGCGTTGAACTGGACGCAAGAGAACGGCGATACGGGCAAGATACGTCAACTGATCGGAGAAGTGGTGGTTCCAACTGGGTCACATCGGGAGCAACAAGCCTGAGCATAATTTCATATGCTCTCAGCTCACTTTAGACTATAGCTAATCACAAAGCAGCCCTTCCACGAGAACTGACATACATACACAAAGCTCAAAGGCTGGCCTGCTTGAACAACATTTACCTTCCAATATATCTATTGCCGCCAAGCCTTTCAGCTCAACCTTCGGTAACCGGCCCGGTGGCCGGTTGATAGGTCAAGCCGTGAGTAACAACGACCTCCTACAACATTCTCTCGTAATATGTCAGCATCAATACTCACGAGACAAATTCTGTGGACTCAACCACTTCGATCTTGCGCAAGATTCCACATGACAAGAACAATGGGTTCCGCGCCGCCAAAAGCACAAGTCCTCCTTGTGGGCACAGGCGGCGTCGGCGCAATGGCCGCTTATGCCTTGGAAAAAGGAGGCCAAGCAGAAGTCACAGCAATCTGCCGCTCAAATTATGAAGCCGTCAAGACCAATGGCTTTACCATCGACTCCATGGAACATGGCCATAATATCGCCGGTTTCAGACCTTCGATCTTGCGAAACACAGTACCAGACGTTCAGAAAGAAGGACTAAAATACGATTATCTTGTGGCTTCGACGAAGAACATCCCGGATATCAAACCGACTCTACTGGATATTATCTCACCTGCTGTTACGGAGGGGCATACGACAATTTTGTTACTGCAGAATGGATTGCATATTGAGAAGCCGGTCATTGAGCGATTTCCGAGGAATGTTGTGCTTTCTGGTGTTTCGCTTATTGGAGCTACGGAAGTGGAACATGGTGTCATACGACATGACGATTCGGATTCTACGAAGTGTGGACCTTTTGAAGAGCAGAGCGTCGCGCCTGAAAGAGCCGTTGCCGAAGCGAATCGGCTTATTGAAATGTATAATGCTTGTGGCAAAGTGAAGTGGTCTTTTGATGAGGATGTGAGGTTCACGAGGTGGAGGAAATTGGTGTACAATTCCTCGTACAATAGTGTTTCGGCGATTGTAGGGATGGACACGCCCAGAATGAGGATGAGTGTTAGTGTTATTGATGATTTGGTGAGGCCTGCCATGTTGGAGATTATTGCGATTGCGAAGGCTGCTGGGGTGAATTTGCCGAAGGGAGTGGAAGAGGAAATCATTAGAGTTGATCCGACGGGTACGGAGTTCTGGCCTAGTATGGGCCAAGACGTTGCGAAGGTATGCGCCTGGCTTCTCTCTACTTACATTGTATTGATCTATGATACCCGAGAGAACACGGCTGAACAGGCAACAGGGCAACTTCATCGAAGTCGAAAATATCGTTGGTGAGCCAGTACGAGAAGCGGAACGACTTGGTGTGCCTGCACCTATTCTCAAGACCATCTGGGGGATACTGAAGGCGATTCAATTGAGGACCAGAGAAAAGAAAGGACTGTGGAAGCCAAAATTCGAGAAAGGCAATCCTTACGCATGAGCTTACAGATAGAAATGTGGCAGGTCTCGTTCGAACGTGTCTATGATACGCGGCGGTCGGTAGCGGTCCTCCTGCTGGTCATGAATTTCTGCGATCGACAAGCTATCCCGGAGAAGCTAATCCAGAAGTGCGCGGGAGTCAGCAGCATACTGGAAACAGTGGTGAAGGTGAAGTTGGGTGATAGTATAGGAGACGGCGTAGGAATGATCGTCAATACCGATTCGGGCGAGGAACTTGAGAGCGATGGCGGGCCTGATCATTCACTCGCTGACGACTTTGACGAGGGCATTGCAACTCTAGACAGGTGTCCGTTTGTAGCTTCGAAGTACGATGCTCCGTGTTAGAGATGCATATATGCAGCCGCACAAAGGCACGCCACGCCCTCAAACCGGATCCCTTTTCGCTCGCTCGCTATTGACCCAGATTGTTGTTGCAGGTACGGCCTGAACCATCCCAGAAATTGCACGTCATTGGAGGACAACATGACTGCCCCTTATCACACTTTTCTGGAGGATTTTAGTGTGGCACTACCGACTAGTAGACGCTTAACTTACTCCCTAACGTTTGACAATGGTGACAATGATATTTCTGCTCTCCCCCTTGTTCAGCACAGAATAAGCCATCGGCAGAGCAACACTTGTCCTTTCTCGGATTGCAGACGGCTGTGCGGTAACAGTCAGATCTAAGTCTGAAAGGAGCTGCTATATGACGGACCATTGAAGCCAAGACATGTGTCAGCTTTGCCGACCAGTGCGAAGACTTCCCCAGTTAGTACTAACGGGATCATAACGGTAGATGGACGCATGATTCTGATAAGGAGTGGAAAGATGTGCAGCAGAGTGATTTTTGCAGATACTAGCTCCTTCCCTTCATTTATATATGTTGTACACTTTTGAGACTGCTCCGGAATCTATTCTTGCAAGAGCTCTCGTGTAATGTTCATGAGCGACGTCGGAACGTTGATTAGTAGGTTACATCTTTTCGAACTGCCTCGAGGCCTATTCTTGCAATACCTCTCGTGTAAAGCTATATTGGGGCATTGATTAGTAGAACACATCTCACTTCCTCGGTATTTGCAACCTTAGTAGCAGCCATTTCAGGGAAGCTTATCTCGGCAGAAGAGTCTTGAAAGGCCTTGAGTTTGAGCTTGTATTCTTGAATTCGTATATGCCGGTTAAAACGGAGTGTATGCTAGAGCAAGCTTCTCGTACGGACGCGGAAACGTCCTCGGCATTGCAACGTAAGCGGAGCTCAATGTAGCATATCCTTGCAGCTGCATGAACACGATGCGTTAAAAGATCTAAGACCGCCTTTCCAATACGCAGAGAGACCGGGTACTCGAGGACCAACGGAAGCTCCACGCAGTATTCCGGATAATGTCAGACTCGCGAAGGAAACAAGCAAGGAGAAGCTTGCGGGTGCCACATGAGTGACGGCTGGAAGCTGGAGAGGATACCTGAGCTCACCACGGGGAAAGAGCGAGATCGGTAGAGACATGAGCGGATGTCGGCGGAATCAAGTAGAGATGTTGTTGTTCCGTCTGAAAACCCAAGACTTAGGAGTAGGATCTCGACAGCTACGAGCTGAAGTGGGATAAGCAACCATTTCTACCCGTTTGGTATTCGCACCTACCCAATCACAACTTCAACCAATTCCCCACGCCACTCCAAGTCTCTGCCAGGACAGCCTCCAAGCTTCCGTCCACAATCTTGTCTTCCACAATGTACGTTCCCGTGGACTTTCTCACCCACTTAGGTGCCTTGGCCCACTTGGCATCGATTTTGATACCCTTTGGGGTATCTTCTCCCGCAGCAATATACGTCCAATCTGCCAGTGGTTTCGGCGCGTATGCGCCCTCTCCCAATTTCGCTTCCGGATCACTCGATGGCTGACGACCACCATTGTGCATGCGATAGCGTACTGAAGGGTGAATAAATTCGCGAGTGTTGAGTAGTGGCTTGCCAGGCATTTGTTCGCCTGTTTTGGGATCTGTGAGGAGATATTCGCCCGGCGTTCGAGCTTTTCTCCCTAGAATGGTGTTCAAGAGACCACCATCTGAGGCTTTGATGAGTCCCAAGCCATAGCCTCTTCCTTCCTCTTCTGTCTTCTTCTCGATGTAGAAGTCTCCGTTCTGCTTGCGTTGTCGGAGCAGATAGCCTTCGTCAAACGCCAAGAATTGCGAGAGTTGTGTAAGCACCCATGCCAAAGTGATGTCGGAGATATTCGTGTCTTGAAAGCCACCTCCAACTGTTGTATGAACGCCAGGGAACCAGCATTGTTTGAGTTCTTTGAGCATGTGAGAGCTGGAGTCGCGTGGTGATTCCCAGACTGTGGGTGCGAAGGCGTATCGTTGCTCGTCGAGAGCGAGGGCTTGGTAGGCGTTCTCGACATTTGGTGCTACTTGCGTGTTGACAAAAGAGTATTCGGTTTTGGCACTGTTGTAGAGGCTGATGCCGAATGGTCGTACGTCTGGAACGCCGAGGGTGCCGACGGTATCTGAAGACTTTCGTTAGCTGACATACACCCATGTATTCGCAGACCAAATGTCGCCTCACCGAACACAGCAATCGCCTTGATAGGGATATTTAGTCTTGTCAACTTCTTGCCAGCAAGTTGCTCATTGTATGCTTTGTCTCCAAACTTGGGTCTCCCAGCGATCGGCCAAGCCGCACTTTCGTAGCCAGGCTCATACGAAGCAATATTCTGATTCTCCCAGTCCTTGAAGATGGGGTAGAAAGACTCCAAACCAGCTTTGGTTAAGAGGCCGACCTCGGCGATCAAAGAGCCAACAGATCGTGCAGTGAAAGCGCCACGAGAGAAGCCGACCAAAAAGATCTCATCGCCTTCCTCGTAGTTCATGGCAAGGAAGGAGTAGGCCTCGCGGATAGCTTCATCAATGCCGCTGCCAAGGTAGCCGCCGACGACAAATGAGTACGCATTGGCGTCGCTGCCGAGTCCTCCTTGGTAGTAGACGAGCTGTTGTACGCCGCTTGGGGATCGTGGGAGGACAGCTCGGCAGATGCGCGTGACATTCGAGGGCGATGCCAGTCTGCCTTTGGCTCCGGGTCCGGACATAGATGCATTGTAGCCATTATCGCTGTTGACCCAGGTGCCATCTATGGCGAGGACGAGAGGCTTGCCCATGGTGGAAATATGACTGCGTTGAAGTTTGAAGGTAGCTGGTCTGTAATGTGTATAGGACTGAACTCGACTCGTTCGAAGAGTGCTCAAACTGCAACAGGATCCAGTCAACTTCCCAGAAAGATATCTCGCTCGAAAAGAGAACATACCCTGATCCCCTCAGCCCAGCCCAAGCTACCTATATACCCATCCCCTCAACAACCCCTCCAATGCCCACCTTTCCACCGCCCCATTCTCGCAGCAGACTGGCGTGCAGCATTACGAGTCTCGAACCTCAAGTATCACGCCAGTCGCGCGAGACGAGAGCTCGACAAACGCCATCTGCACGTGGCATCCACGAGTCTTTGGCCGCACGTTCCAATCCAACCAGTGACACGTGCAGATGGCGGGCGCCACGGCCCCCGGACTCCCCGTTGTGGCGTTTTCGAGACATCTCAGCTGATTCTCATTGCTGCTTTGAGCTAGAGGACCGGATTTGGGGAATGCAAGGCGAATTTGAGCTGTGATTTTTAGAGGTTCGGAAACATGGTGAAGGGCGATGAGAGGTGGGCGATGTAAGCTGTGGGAAGGAAAGCTGAGGTGACTGATGATGGCATGGCCTTGGCACGCCAAGTGTGAGTGGACTTCGCCATGCATTCAGATCATTGTATCACGTTTCGTGTGGACAATCTGACCGTAGGAAAGATGATAAGAATCATAGAATCAAGCATAGATTGCTGAGTTTGTTGAGAAGTATTCGCAGTTGTCACCTCGAGCGGCTAGCATAAAATGGCCATTCGCCATCACTTGGTATCTAATGTATATCTCGCTCCCACATGTCAGTATGCACAATCGATGCCCGAAACGCCCACGCTGGAAGCAATGCTCAAATCTTTGATGATCGCGACGTGCATTGTCATTGCAAGTCGGCTAGTCTCTTCTTCCGCCTCTCAACATCACGCATTTCCTCGAGCATGTCGCGATTAAATTGTTCGTATCCATCAAGGTAGACATGATGCCCGGCTTTTCTCGTGATAATAACTTTGTAATCGCCGTTCTCCAGCTTTCGTTCTTTCTCAGTCGCGTTCTCCAGAGCTTTCTTCTTCTCCGCGTTCAGCTTCTCGACAGATTCGTGTCCGCCCTTGACGTCCATCCAGTCGTTCTCGCCATACATGAAAGTGATAGGCACTCCCGTTTCACGAACTCGTGCCGCGGCGGCATCTGCACCTACTGCCGCATTGGAAGATGGGTCCCGTGATGATGCGTTGTCAGGAGCCGGAGTGGCATGAGGTTCGAGGTATTGTCGCCCTACACCTTGAATGCGGCGGATCAATGGAGATCGTGCGAAGGCTCCTGGTGCAAGAACATGCGCTAGAGCGTATTCACCAGATCCTCGTTGACGGAAGAGGGAGTATGAGTAGTCGTGGAGTGCTTGAGCTTCATCTTCTGGAAGATGTGCGAATCTTCGGCTCGTCCAACCAGAAACTAATCGTGGCCCAAGTGGCCCGGATAATCGAACAATCGAGAATGGCGAAATATTGGCATCCCATAATGAGGTGAGCCACCACGGCATCTTGCGCTTTGGCGGCGCGGGTTGGCTTCGTGAAGCAGACTCTCCCTGAGCCTGTGTGAATTCGTTTTGCATCGTGCTTGCCTGCGGTTCCACTTCCTCGCTGACAGCGTAAGGATCTTCGGGTATCCCTACGGGACTGGCCAAGATCAACTTGTTCAAATGTCCTGGATACTTCAGCGCGTAGCACACAGCCATGTATCCTCCCAAGCTGTGACCCATCAATGTCATCTTGTCGATGCCCTTCTTCACACGCCACTCCTCCAGTGCATCCACGAACCATGATTCTGCTTCACGAGCTTTGCCTTCGCGATCCTTTGCCTTGACCACGCTGAATGGCGGCCGACTTGATCGACCCATTCCCAGCATGTCCAACGCGTACAACTTCCAACCTGCCAATCGCGACAGTCCCTCAAAATTCTTGTAGAAGAACCCAAGTCCAGCTCCGTATCCGTGTATCATAACGAGATTATTGTCAACCTTTTCGCCTATCCTTTCCACACTGAACTCATTCAGATAGCGATCTTTGCCCTTGAGTTGCACCATTTCACTTTGCCATTTCCGCGGTCCATATGGATCTTTGGAGCTTACGGTACGCTGCATGGACCCGTCGTCCACGCTCGAGGTCGGTTGATCGCTCAAGTTCATTGCACTCGGGTTCTTGCTCGTTGGAGCGCTTCCAGACGGCGACGCGACAGTCGGCGGGCTTTGCAGATAGGGAATGAACGACATGACCTTGTGCTCGGTCACTGCTGGCGTGAGCGACGCCCACCATTGTGAATACGCCTCTTTGTATCCGAGAGGGAAGTATGAGGCCTTCGCTGGAACAGCAGTGCCGTTCATCTCAGCTTCCTGTTTGGCGCGTTGACGCGCGAGAATCGGCTTGGGGAGGTTGCCTGTGGGTGCGGTCGGGGGCTGGTAGGAAGAACGATCGTCGTCGGCCGAGGACGCTGTAGCCATGGTGGAGTTCTGTCTGCGCGCAAGGGCTATCGGTGGCGATATTAAACGGGACAAAGCGAGTTTCGGAAGCGTTGAGTGGATAGGTGCAGGCCAGGCGAGGAGATATGCTCCTGCTGCGGTCCGTCGGGCGACTGCAGCCACTTTTGTCTGCTCGTCACAGTCGCCTGTTCACGCGCCTCGGGGTATTTCAATCGTGTCGTGCAGGCAGCAGCATTGAAGTGAAGTGACACCAAACGCGCAAGTTGTCTTCTGTTTGGTGAGCCGGCGGCGAATGACGAAGCATTCCTCCCCCACGGACAGCGGTCGGCGGAGTTAAGACGGCGGCGAGGACGGGCCGAGTGGTTGTTCCGGTCTCCGCTCCGGCGTGCCCAGCCACGTGCAGAGCAGCACAGAAGGCACATGCTTCACCGAAGCGCAGTCCAGCTGCTGCTACGCCTGCACTCCACTTCTAGCCTCCTCACCACAAGCCCGAGCGGTGAGCAACCAGCCCACGCACATCAGAGGATCACAGCACCAAATTCACCTCTTCTTTCCCAACACCCGTACCTTCAGTTACACATCGGCCCACCTGTGAAGCACAATCACTTCGAAAGTGCTGCATTCAATCCAGAAGGACACTCCAAGACCAGCCCAAGCTCAGACCATGTCATTATGTCCGACCCGATAGACCGCATCGTCAAAGGTGCTCCGCCACCAGACGTCTCAGCCGAACAGCTTGCTGCCAATGCTCGAGCATCATCTTCCAAGCGAAATTCTGTCACAGCACCCATTCCTCCAGAGATCAACCATCCAACATACAGCAATGACCCCAGAGATGCACTTCCCAGTAGTCCGCCTCAGATTTACCTCAATCTACTTATCCTGGAAAGTAGTCTCCGGCTGCAGTATATCAGTCTACGGACCAGGCTGAGGTTGCATTTGCTCTTGTTTGTCGGTCTGGTAGCTTGGACTGTCACCTTTACTTATCTACTCTTCTTCCGGCCGCGAGAAGATGGCAGCGGTGTGGGTGGAAGTGTCTACTGGGTTCTCGAGACTGGTGAGAAAATGGGTTGGTGTTCGGGCTGCGTGACCTTGCTGCTGTTCTGGGGGACTGGCATGTATGAGCGAGGTGTACGGTGGCCGCGAAAGTTTATCAGCACGACAAATCGTGGCCTGCGAGGTTTCAACCTCAAAGTCGTTGTTGTGAGAGGTGGTTTGCTTCGCGAGATGGTCTCATGGCTTGCTTTGCTAGATCCTGCTGGCTGGTTTCGCGAGGAAAGAGTCAATTTTCAAATTGTCCCGCGGGACATTGAAAGCTTGGCCGGTCAAGGGAACGGCAAAGAAACGCTGCATTGGAATGCGCATGCGGCAAAGTATGGCCTGTTGGAAGAAGACATTGCTCCAGCCGGTGACGTCTTGCGAGTGCTCCTACTGCCAAAGCCGTTCTCGCCCGACTTCCGTGAAGGCTGGGACACCTTCAGAATGGAGTACTGGGAACGTGAAAATGCACGGCGATCACAGCTGAGGGCTGTTGTGCGAGCGAGGAAGCGGGAAGTGGCGAAGAGAGAAGGTGGATGGTTCTGGTGGACTGGGTGGCGAGGCTGGCACAATGTCACCATGAACCCCTTCAGTCGGCGGAAAACAAGGCGACAGCAAGAACTCGAACGATTGGCTTTGCGGGAAAAGATCGCCACGGAAGCGCTCAGACCAAGGATCGGAGGCGAACGACGAAGAAAAGAATCACTTCTACACGGCGGACTTCCAGGATCGAGGAGCGCATCCAACAGCAGAAACACGTCTCGCGCTTCGACCCCCGGTCCCGATGGCGATTCTCGGCCATCCACTGCCACGAAAGAGGGCCGATCGAGACGAGGAAGCTCAGCCAGCAGTGTTGGTGGTCGACGACCAAAGAAACTCTCTTCTCTCAATGAGCCTTCTCGTCTCTCCGCAACAGAGACCCTCCTCTACGATGAACATGGCCGAGATATCTTGCAAGAAAACTTAGATCGTCCAGGCCCCTCTCCCAGATCATCTTTGCGACATTCTTCGAAACGAGACAGCACGATCAGCACTGGAAGCTCAGACTGGGGCGAATCGAGAGAGAATAGCTTCGATATGAGATCTACGGACACGCTGAGTCCGCCTGCTGCGACGAGACATTCGCCTAGGCAGAGAGAACGAGAGCAGCAGCAGCAGCAGCAGTCGATTCTCGGAGAAGAGATCAAGCAGGAGCCAGATGAGGAATGATGAAATACGAGTCGAAGGGGTGTTGTTGTTAGTATATAGGAATGAAATATCAATGACTCGTACGATCTCAGACCTCGCGTTAAATCTGGTGCAGAATTACATCTAAAGAAGCAACAAACAGCTGTCTACAAGCCCGTGCTATCTGCTGGTCTCCTTGAGCACAGCCCACAGCAAAGAAGCAAGCTGGGTGAATTACAGCCATGTCAGCGTGTCTTAGCTTGCAACTCGAATATGATGGTCCTATGTAGCACTATTGGTAGGGGCTTCATTTTTTGATCTCCCAGAAAGCTCACTACAATGCTATGGCGCCTCTTCTGGGGCTAAAGAGCGGAGATTTCCTAGCCTTCTCCGGAGGCAGAGCTGGTGATTCGCGATTACTATAAATCAAGATGGTTCCTTCTCCAAGCATTTTCTGACAGTACGGTCTCCGCTGTAGCTAAGTTCGTGAGCTAAGAAGTTTCTATCTTCTTGGAGAAAAGTCTGATTGTTCTCGATGAATCCAGCAACCTGTTCTTTGCTTGAGTACATTGTGGATGGTTCTGTGCTTTTGAAGAGCTGCCAGGGTCATCTCTGGCATTCAGATTGCCTTGCGCAGCCAGTCGACTGTACTGAATTAACGAACGTCTCCGTCACCTGTACGAGGTGGAGGTACTTATATCGTCCCCGGAAACTGCTTCCCCTTATTCCTCTCCCACCAATCTTCCTCATGCGCTGCAATCAATTCACATTCTTCACCCGTTGCCGCATCAAATTCTCGTAGTCGTTTAATACTCTCCGCCGCTTGCTTCTTATCTACATGAATACACAGTGTTGATCCTTCGGGAGATTCCCAAGTCCCGATATCTTTCTCTCCGGTCAATAGGCGTCTATCGTGGTATGCATCTCCGCAGAGCAGTTTCCACTTCGATGGCCCGGTGCGGCAAAGGAGGTTGAGATGTCCCGGAAGGTGGCCTGGGGTTGAAATTAGGTAGACTGTGCCATCGGAGAATAAGTCGAGAGTTGAAGGGAAGGGCCCGAGAGGTTTCCATTCGGATGATCCTTCTGGGTTCGATAATTCGATCGTTCGTTCAGAAGGAAATGTAGTTGCATCGAAGTGTTGGTGACTTCCCATTCCTTTGAGGCCGTTTTCCAGGACATCTTTGGCGCCGTGGCCGATCAGAAAATTCGCTTTGAGAAAGTCTTCTGGGTCGCCGTGGTGGTCGTAGTGCACGTGGCTCAAGATTACGAGATCGATGGAGGAGGGATCGAGACCTCCGGATGAGAGCTGAGCTGCCACGCCGGGGGAGAGATTGTAAGGTCTTCGGCCTTCGATGTGAGTCTGAAGGGCCGGTGGATAGAGGGTTGGTGATTTGCGGAGGCCGAGGTCGAACATGATGTGAATTGGTTTGTCATTCTGTGTTGAGTTGGGGGAAAGTTGTGGACATGATGTTCCTGGAGGATTCGGATGGCTTATGAGAAATGTAAGGGATGGTACTGTGCGTTTGGCGCCTGGTTCGGCAGGCGAAACAAAGAAGTGGTCTGAGAGAGTGATGAAGCCTCCAGCAATGGGAGACACAGTCACGTAGGTCTGATCAGGTGAGTCTTGAGGAAGAGGTGAAGTTGCAGTAGGCATATTTGCTGTTCCCGTGTCGTCCTCGAACGCTTGTACTCGTTGAGCCCGGTCTATTTCTGTCGTGTGAAATGGATTCGACCCTGTTTGATCATGAGCATATCAGTGAACCCAACTTACAGCTAAACAGGCCTTGATTGCTGTAAACAAGACAGCTAGATCCTACTACAATTAGCTTGCCGAGCTAATGGTGCTGCTTCCCCGCTATCCATATATCAGCGAAGTCTTGTTCATAGTCAAGAGTAAGCTATGACGATGGCAGTGTGAAGCTACTCCAAATGTTGGAGTGGACGAGCGGGCACAGCTCCTGCTGAAGCTTGTTCCGACATCGCAGCTAGAGCTGCAGAGCTCTGGCATGGATCTCTAAAGGCACGAGAGCACTGATGATGTAGCTTCTGCTGTCAACGAGATTCATTGCTTTCTTCTGCATTGCATATTGCCATTTAGCCGTGTACATCGAAGTCGTCAGTGCCCTCAAGACCTGTACACACATTTCGTCAGCTCCCACGAAAGCATTCTTGTACCAAAAGCTTCATAGCATCTCTTGATCCTCCGAAATCATTAGCGACAATGGCGTCTTCCAAGTACAGCGCCGAAGATGTTAAGCGTGCCCATGAGATTTTGTACAGCGAAGGCATCAAGATGCGGTACCAGGTTGCTGGAAAGGAATACGTCGACAAGTCTCTAGCGGCAGCGAACAATCCATTCGCGAAAGCCATGCAAGAAGTAAGACACAACTGACTTATTCGCGCGATGGTTGCATCCTTGCTAATCCTTGATACCAGTACGTCTCGGAATCCTGCTGGGGCAGCATCTGGACGCGCCCAGGGCTGGAACTGAAGACACGATCGTTCTTGAACATTGCCATGCTGTGCTGTCAGAATCGCGGAACGGAATTGGCAACGCATGTGAAGGGCGCTTTGAACAATGGTGCGAGTGAAGAGGAGATCCGAGAAGTGATATTGCAGGCTGCATGTTATTGTGGAATGCCGGCGGGAATTGAAGGCTTTCGGGTTGCGTGGAAAGCGGTGGAGGAGTGGAGGGCGCAGAACCCGGGCAAGCAGAGGAGTGGAGGGGATGCGGCCGAGGGAGCGGAGGACAGGCATGTGGATCTGGATCTGGCGAGTCGCGCGAAGGAGGAATAGAAGGCCACACTCTTTCATACCTATATTGATATCAATGCACCTCATGGCGCCACCGTGACTCCAGACTCCGTCGTCCCCATGTCTCCGCTCTTCCATGTCAATGCAAAGAGGGTCATGTTCTCATTCAAAGTCTTGGGCATTGCGATCAATCAGCCCCTACACAAAGCTCGTCAACACTTCAACTTCTGTGTGTCACAGTCGCTCATTGGCCGTCACGTGCCTTCCTCCAGTTCTCCTCCTGCTCCTGCTGCACTTCACTCAAATTCTTGAGCGTCTCTTCCAAGATCTCTGCCGCGCGTCGATGGTATTCTTCCTGTGCCTTGGCCAGCTCGACCAAGTTTCTCAATGGCTCGGGCGTGTCCAGGACATTCCGCATGATGCTCGTGGCCTCATCGACCTTTTCTACAAATGTGTCCTCGGCGGCTTCAATAGCATTGCGCTGCGCTTCGGTGTAGTTCTCCTCGTGCTTGCCGCCAGCGGAAGCTTTGGACTTAACAGCATCCAGGTTCAACCGGGCATTCTGCACCGCGGTCCGGGCCTTGTCCGCTGCCTTGATCGACTGGTTGAGGGTCGTGCTCCAGCCCGCAAGGAACTTGCCCTGGATCTTCTCGTCCTGATCCAGACGAGCCTCTCCCACCTTTTCTGAAGCGATTGCTAGCTTCTCCAGCCCTTGCGCGAGCGGGTCTGGCTCCGTGCTGCCTTGGGGTGTGGCAGTCGATACAGTCTGTGAGCCGAAGAGGCAGGCGCGAGCAATGGCGTGGGAGAAGGTCTTTGGCTGGGGTTTGGCGGAAGGAGGCGCAGTGAGTGCGGCTTGCGCTTCGGCGGCGGTGCCGGCTTTGGAGAGGAGGTTGACCTGTGAAAATGCGGATCAGCGACCTGTGGGACAGTGGCAGACTGGACAATAGGGAGTGCTGTACCTTCTCGCTGATGCTCTTGCCCAAGTCCTGGAAGCTCTCCTTCACGTTGGGAGGGTAGTCGTAGGCCTCGTTGGCGTATTGGCTGGTTGCCGCCAGCAGGCGCTGGTGTGTCAGCTTGAGCGCATCGATGCGCGTCTCGAGCTCAACGTAGTCGTGTGGCAGCTCCGTCTTCTCGCCCGCATTGCCCGTCTGTTCTTTGATCCATTGCTGGCTGCGTGTCGCAAACGGCGTCACCGTCGACCCGATCGTGTTGGTGAAGGCGCGGAATTTGTCCATGTTCGATTGCGACTCGGTGGTTTCGTTACGCAGAGATCAGTGAACAAGGGGATTAAGGGAGGAGTATGCGAGAGTGGTGCTGTCGTCTTGTCTACTTTGTTGAGGCCAAACAGCTAAGCCAGGGTCCAGGCAACCAGATGTGGCTGAGCACGTGACTGCCGAAGTGAACCCTAAATATGCTCTCCCACTCATCTCGACTACTCCACACAAGGCAAGTGCACTTCCTGATCGCTTCTTTTGCACGACTCAGATCCGCCTTTGCATACAGACCAACTGTGCGACACAAACATTCAAGATCTGATTCGCAGGACATGCGGTGGCATCCCATCATGTTGTGGACCCGTAGGTTTCGTGGACAAACGTCCACTGCCATGAACATATGGCGTCACTGGCTGCGTTCCAGTGTACATGTTGAAGGCTGTTGATCTGCTTCTTCACCGACCTCATGCTGTCAGGCGGCCTCACATACGGCTGCACACCCAAATGCTCGATAAGCACTTCTGGCCAAGATGAACAGTGACGGTGAAGGACTTCCTCTTGTCAAAGACCTGGAACTATTGACAGTCTTTCCAACGCGAGCAGATGTTGTTGACAAAGTTTCTACTGCTTCATGGAGCTCACAATGTCGGCAGATCAAGCTTGGGGCCAGCCATGGCCAGACATCCAGACGAGACTTCGAAAGTCGCGTGGAGGTCGCATTTGCGGCGCTGTTATGGGCTTTCACTAGCGACGCAACAATCACGTTCACAGCGGCTGAGCTTGTTCATGGGTCTATGAAGAATTCCGCATTTCACGTATACGATATTGGCAAGGGTGATTCTACGCGTGGACCATCCGCGTCCATCACACATCGAACGCGAATATCGACGACCACAGTAGCGAGCGGCGGATCTCTCCTTCTTCACCTGTCTGCTGAGAGCGCAGATGATCCTTCAACCCAGGCCTCAGTCGAGCCGATAAATCTTGAGCGAACACCGCTTCGAGTGGCCTGCGGTCAGACTCCCAATAACGATACGATAACAGTCCTGATGTGCTTCGATCAAAACTCCCTCGCTGCTTTCCTTGTGGAGGCGTATTCCCGACACTTCGCCGAACATCTCAGGCTAGCTTTCCATGGGTCGAGCATCGGAAGTTTGCACGTTCCGTACCATCTGGTGCCCCAGGACAAATTGCTCATCCAGAGCTGGGGTTCGGATCCACATGACCTTATCTCTCAATGCATCCATGATTGCATATCCGAAATGGCCCATCGAGACAGCAACAGAATCGCGGTCGAAGCTTGGGATGGCTCATTAACACGCGGCGAGCTTGAGAGAGCAGCAAACGATCTCGCTACGACTCTTTTGCAAGCCGCAGTCTTACCCCGAAGTACCATAGGGATCATGATGGACAAGTCAATATGGGGCGTAGTTGCTATGCTCGCGGTGTGCAAAGCTGGAGCAGCTTTTGTGTTGCTGGATCCCTCACTTCCAATGGCGCGCCTCAGGGCCATGACCGACAAGCTCTCCGCAACACATCTGATCACTTCAAGATCGCGTGCTCGTGCCGCACATGCGCTTGTCTCTCGAGTCATCGTCAACATCAGTAAGGGTGAATTCTCACTGGCGCGGACTGGGTTGCCAGAAGTGCAGGTCTCCTGCTCTGCGCCACCAGTGGTGAAACCCTCTGACACAGCACTATATATATTCACATCAGGGAGCTCGGGCAGTCCCAAGGCCATCGCTATCTCACATGAAGCCTGGGCGACAAGATGCGCAGGATGTTGTGAATATGGCGTTACTGATATGACGAGAGTGCTGCAATATGCCTCATGCAGTTTCCTTGTTGCTGTCGCGGACACTCTAGGAACACTGATTGCCGGCGGGACGGTGACCATTCTGAGCTCTGAAGAACGCATGAATGACTTACACGGTGCGATGAGGCGTCTTCAGCCGAACTACGCATCCATAACGCCGTCCGTGGCAAAGGCGCTAGAGCTGAGCGAAGTACCTAGCATTCAGAGCCTCCTACTTGTTGGAGAGCCAATCCCACGCTCCTTGGCTGAAAGATTGCTTCACTCCAGGATCAAGCTTCTCAATGGCTACGGGCAGAGCGAAATATGTGGCCTCAACAGCGTTGCCGATTTGCGACAGGCCGACACGAGCTGTCGCAACATCGGACGAAGCAAGTTGCAGAACTACTGGATCGTCGACCCCAACGACCATGAGCGCTTGATGCCTGTGGGCGGCCTGGGTGAGCTCGTGGTCGAAGGGTATGCAATCAGCCAAGGCTATGTAAGTGAACCATCTCAGCAGGCTGCGGCAGCTTATATATCTGCTCCCAATTGGGCTGCAAGCTTTACGGCTCCAACAGACAAGTCCTGGAGCTGGTATAAAACAGGTGATTTGGTGCAGTATCAGGCCAACGGGGATCTGTACCTGTTCGGACGGAAAGACACGCAGCTGAAAGTCCGTGGCCAACGTGTCGAAGCGGCAGAAGTTGAGCACCACATTACGCACAGCTTCAAGCAAGAGATAGAACACGTTGTGGTTGACAAGACTGGAACAGAGGAGAAGCTCACAGCCTTCGTCGTGCTGAGGCAAAGTCACGCGCAACGTACTGCTTCGAGTCTCAAAGCTGAAATGAATCGTGCATTATGTACCATCGTTCCAGCGTGGATGGTTCCTGAGAAAGTTGTTCTTACTCGGGCCATGCCCTTGACAGCGACAGGAAAATTGGACAGACGAGCGTTGAGACGTGGTCATGGCCTGACGGTTGCAGTCTCTGATCCTGAAGACACTATGAAGGCCGATCAACAGCACTCTTTTCATGCAGGCGACGATTGCCGCCACTTTGAGTTACTTGCCTCGCTTTGTCACAAGATTCTCGGAGTTGATGTGAAAGCCATCTCGACGAAGAGCGATTGGTACTCTCTCGGAGGTGATTCACTGTCGGCAATGCGCCTGGTCAAAGAGGTCAGAACAGCTGGCTTGCGTCTAAGGACGAACGACCTAATGACCGGGCGCGCGCTCGCGGATATCTGCGCTACCTTGGAGCCTATGGAACCAGACTTCGATAACGCACCAATGCATCAGAGCTGCTCCTCGACAGAACTTTTGCCAATGACTGATTTTCAAGAGCAATATGCCCCTTCGGCAGACGGCTCTGATCGAGGAGAGCTTTACAAATACCACATCGCCTTCCGTGGAAATTTTGACATTGAGAGACTGGGCCAGGCATTGCATCTATGGGTTCAGTCCCACGAGGCTTTGCGTATCTCCTTCGAGAGGGCTGCCTCTGGATGCTTGTCGCAGCGTGTCCTACCGGAAGCCGGGCAGGAATGGCGATCACGAGTCGTTCTACTTTCGGCAGAGGAGCATGACATGAGGCTTTCGGTAAAACATGATTACATGAAACATCCCGTGTTGATACTGCTGCATCGATCGAGCGACAAAGACAGACGAGAAGGTCCTCAGCTCACCTTGCACATATGCCACAGTGTCTTTGACGGCATGTCAATTAACCACTTGTGGCATGATTTGGTGAAATGCTATACATTTCTTGATGCAAGACCACGACCCAGCTTCGCGCAGTACTTGAGCGAGAAATTGTTGACCCGCACTGGAGATTCAGTGGCATATTGGACCCAGCTGCTTGATGGCTCTTCACCTACATACCTTCGAAGTAACATGGCTGAAGTCGGGGCCACCGAGTCTACGCGAGGCGTGAGACACGCTGCATACTTTAACGGGAGACATACGTCCTCCTTTTCTGTATCAACATTGGTCTATGCCGCGTGGTCACTCGTTCTAAGCGTCCTAGCCAACAAAAACCATATCGTCTTCCTCTACCTCGTCCATGGTCGAGATGAGGATTATGAAGGAAGTAGCGAAATCGTCGGCTGCTGCGTGAGCGAAATTCCCTGCAGGGTCAGACTGCAGGATGATATGTCTCCCGGGGACCTTTTGCGTTCAGTGCAGCATCAGATGTTGGAATCTACGTCTCATGCTCACCTCGGCGCAAGAATTATTGCTTCGCGCTGTACGAGCTGGCCTCAGAGCGAGCAACGCTACGATCTGAGTACCATGCTGTGGAACGAGGGCGTTGCAAATGAGGATTCTTTTGCTGTCGGCGATGCTGGATACATGCATGTGAGTGAACCGATTGTGGAGCGGAGGATTTGCAATGATTTCGATATTGGTTTCAGCTCTGCGTGTCTGGCCGAGGTTTGCTTCGAGTTTCGGTGTCGCGCTGCTCTATACAGTGAGGAGGAAGTTCATGCTGTGGCTAAGGCGTTTCTGGAAGCTATGCAGATGCTGTCCGAGGATGCGAACCATGATTCTGTAAGGGCTGTTATTGCGGATCTTCAAGCGTCGAATGATCTTCCGATCGTGGACCAAGGCACTACGGATCTTCAGACGCAGACCAGATGCACGAACATGATTTTGAGTTGAGGATCTCTTGCATCAGATTGTATCAGACGAGACTGATGAGATGGAATCGCCGCAGACGCTCCCAATGCCTGGCTTTTTACCTCCCCGGGCGAGATCTCTCGACTTGCGTTGTTCGTCTCTGCCTGGAGTGATGGCCAGCAGAGCTCCCTCAACCGTCTGATCAAATATGACCGCAACACTGCGCGTGGTGTTTACAGCGGAGAAGTATAGTCCGCACCTCATACGGAGAATGTGCAACCACCAACCAAGAGTGATGTAGCTATGCAATGCCCCGATTCACTCATATCAAAGCTTTCCCCGCCTGTTGTGTTGCAAAGATGACACGAAAGTGGCTCGAATCTGCGGTTGGCTGTGAGCTACAGCATGGGACCCACTTTGTTTACAGCATTATCTGTTGACTGCCATGCGACCAAAGACGGGCGACCAGCTCATACACAGCGTCGTGTTCAGCAAGCCCCTCTCTCTTCAGCAAGGCCGAGCTTTACGCATGAATCGTGAGGCGTGGTGCAACAGAATGGAAACAGATAAAATGCTGCCACTTCGCTGCTTGGACCTCTCGTCCACACTTCCAACCATTTGATACCTCTTCCAAAGCAAATCGAAATAGCAACAAGCTCTTTGTCAACATGAACACTGTCGACTACGGCGACCTCAGGGTCGGTATGACCACTACCCTGGACTGGGTTTGGGATGACAAGAATACGGGAGCAAACCGGGACGCATCCATCTACAATCCAAGACCAGAAGGAGATCTGCTTCCTATCGGCTCTATTGGATTTAACAAGCGAGGCAGCGACAATAGCGGCTCTTGGGGTGTGCTCCTCGTAGGCAATGTTCCGGGCAGTAAAAGTCCTGCATGCAGGCACCCCACCGATTACAACAAGACGTGGAACGACGGTGGAGGAGGAGGCAAATGGGACCTGACCATGTGGCGACCAGTCGCCCCCGAAGGCTACGTTGCCATGGGCGAGTACTGTACTGGCAACTACAAGAAGCCCTTGCTCGAAGCTGTCTGGTGCATCCGACAGGACTATGTCGCCGACGCGTCGTTCCCATCTTCTTGGTGGGACGATCGCGGCAGCGGAGCTACTGACAATGCCAGTTGCTGGAGTCCAAAACCACAGAGCATGAGCTTGCACGGTGACGCTTATATTCCCATCCGGACTGATACTTTCTACGCGAAAGGCGGAACCCACACGGTTCCTCCTCCGGAGTCCCTGGCCAAGACGCTGCGTTTGTACGTAGGATCGACCAGCTTCAGAGAGTTTGCCGCTCCGCTGCCAACTTTCACAACTCGTACAATGCCCAAAGCCGGTGATGGAATGTATGGCGATGTACAAGGGTCCGTGACACTGCCTTACACAGCGTTCTTCGATCCCAGAGACGAGGCAAGCCGCAACAAGATAGCAGATCCCTTTGTCACTATCTCAAGATCATCATGCTGGTACGTGGCTGGAGTGTGGAAGAATGATACAGCAGATCCCTTTGAGATGTCTCAAGTCGTTGAGTATGGTATCACAAAAGAGCAATCGGATCCATTGAGACAAAGCACAGGCATTTCTGTGACCTCCGACGGAGTGGTGTCAGCTGGATTGGCCGCCGAGAAGATCTCTATGAGTCTTAATCGCCAATTGACCGGTTTGACTCCGCCGCCCCTCGAGGAGTTCTACCCAAGATCCGTCACGGAGAAAGTCACTGTTCCAGCAATGACTGCTGTGGTTCTCTTTACTCGGAGGATCTATTACAGAGCTGCCCGCTCAGACGGCAGCGAACTCGCTGCTGATCTGAGTTTCAATGCCTCCAACGAGGTCCATCTAGCACGATACAGGATCTCAATTGAGTTCGAGAGTAGCGGGAGAGGGCTGGGATTGCTGCAGTCTCAATTAGAGCAGAATAGCCGAGGACAAGGACCACATTCCGCGATCTCATATGTATGTCTACTGAATTTTGGGCTTCACACAGTCAAAGTTCATCGATCGCCGCGCCTCGTTGAATGAAGGTCACGTGGACAGGCTATCCGACTTCACTCTTTCTTCGGCTCCACTTTTTGCGTACATGTAATGTTCGAGATCGTCACTGGGCAGCCATGTGTCCTCCACATTCTCGTATTCTTAGTCTCGGCTATGTGCAAGGCAGCTTTGCCTAAAAGGGTGAATGATCTATCCTGCCAAGCGAATAGCTTCACGCTATCTCGAGATCTACACCTTATCTTTGGGCGGAACCAATTCTCCGGCATTATTGGCAGGTTGGAGCAGATTTGGAGATGCGACAGAAAGTTCTTCCGTGCAATGACGGCACATGAGCGCAGATCGACGAGTTGCGTCTGCATTGTGGGCATATATAATGTACCTGGTTCAGTGGTACACGACAACACTATCGAACACAGCATACCACTCCTGTGAGACACGTTGAAAAATATTATCATAGTGACCACCACACAGAAATGTCTCGAGTTGCGACACTAGCACTCGCCGTGCTGCCAGCAGCTCTGGCTATTGAGCGCCCCGATGGCGTTGGAAAACTACCAGCCTTGGGCTGGAATTCATGGGTGAGTGACAAAGCATCAGTTCGATGGCCTTGCACTAACACGAAGAAATCTACAGAATGCCTACTTCTGCGACGTGGACGAGGCGAAGATTCTGCAAGCTGCCAATGCAATGGTTGACCTCGGTTTCAAAAATGCTGGCTACGAATACGTTGTCCTTGACGACTGTTGGGCAGTCAAAGAAGGTCGTGATCCTGTCACGAATCGAATAATGCCAGATCTCAACAAATTTCCGGACGGAATGAAAGGACTTGCAGACAAGGTGCATGCACTCGGATTCAAGTATGGCATGTACTCCAGTGCAGGGACTCAGACTTGTGCTAGCTATCCTGCATCCTTGGGAAACGAACTTCTCGATGCTGAGACGTTTGCTGAGTGGGGTGTTGATTACTTAAAAGTATGCATTTGAAATATTTGATGTAGTTGACCATCGCTGACAGCTTACAGTACGACAATTGCTATCCCACAGCTGAGTCCCTCGACGACTGCGTCGCCTGTAACGCCGATCCGAATTTCGACAGTATTGGCAAAGTCAACGGCACTTGCACTGCTGAGACACCACAGACCAGATTCTACCAGTGGCCGGAGACTAGGCCTTTTTGTGCCAATGAATTTCCCGAGGACGGGGTAGATTACTCTACAAGCAAGACTGCAGGAAGATACAACGCGATGCGAGATGCTCTGGCACAGCAGAATCGAACCATTCTTTACAGCTTGTGCAACTGGGGTATGTTGGAAAGAATTGACGTTCATTATACAATTCTCTGCTAACACGTCGATACGTGTAGGTCAAAATCAGGTATGGACCTGGGGTAATGAGACTGGTAGCTCTTGGAGAACTACCAACGATATCGGTTTCGGCAATCGTAAGTCGCTTACATGCGTCGACATGTACGAAGGGAAATGTGCTGACCGAACAACTCCAGCCGACTGGAATCGTGTCACTGAGATCCTGAACGTGAACTCGTTCCTTTCGGACTACACCGATTTCTGGGGTCGTAATGATCCAGACATGCTCGAGGTAAGAAACTATTCCCAACGGCTGAGGTCATACAAAGACCTTCTGGCTGACAATTGTTAGATTGGCAACGGCTTCTCTTCCGCCGAGGAACGTACTCACTTCGCTCTATGGGCCATCATCAAAGGTCCTCTCCTCATCGGTACCGACATCACGAAACTCACCCGCGAGCAGATCGGCTTGCTACAGAATTCTTACCTGCTGGACTTCAACCAAGATCCAGTTGTTGGTAAGCCGGCGAAGCCATACAAGTGGGGCATCAATCCCGATTGGACTTTCAACAGCACTGTGCCTGCAATGTTCTGGTCTGGTGCGTCAAGCAAGGGAACGATTGTTGCAACGTATAATGCTCTGACGACGAATATGGAAATGGAGGCTGTTTGGGCCGAGGTGCCGGAGCTTAGCGGTGAGAGGTACAACGTTGTTGATGTGTGGACTGGAGAGGATCTGGGATGTAGGGAGGGAGGTGTTACAAAGGATCTGGTGGGACATGATACAGCAGTTTACCTCATTACTGGAGAGTGCTAGAGGACTTGAAGGAAACGCATCTGCCTTATCGCATGTTTCTCGGTCTGCAGGGTTGGGCTCTTGAGCGATGAATCATTGTTTCTGCTTCCATTGCAATGTTTAGACGTGCAGAAATAGTGAACATGCAGGCCAGATCCGGAGTTCAAAAGTGGCGCTGTGTTTTGTGGATCTACTTCAGGTATTCGCTATCAGTAATCGTACAATTCGTTAATTTTCTTCCCTCCGTCCGGCAGCTGGACTCTCACGATAGCACCTGGATGAAGTCTCAGATCCGTCCCGTTGTTCCAGTCTGGCTGGAAAGGCAGCTGGTTGATATTGAGGTACAAGTACCCATCTTCGCCCACACTGCCTCCATCTGGCCACAAAATTCTGGGGTCTCTCACAAATGGCTTAGTCAGTCCGTCCGTGGGGTTGAAGTAGTAGACTGCGTTTTGCTCTGGCATCAATTGGTAGATCTTTCCATTCGAGTCGCCTTCAAAACCGTTCGCGTTGCCGCCGCGAGCGCCGTGGGAGGAGACGTTAGCGTGTGCGAAGACCTCGGCGGAGGCGCATTCGGAGTCTCTGACTCGAAGGTTGGCTGTAGGGATGGACCAGAGATAGTTGGTTGAAAGTGGCGAGTAGTACATGCGCTCCCCATCTGGGCTGAGCTGGAGTCCATCGAGACCTTCTTTCTGCCATGTTATGGCTTGGCCTTTTTGGACGATGTACTTGGGGATGCCTTGATAGGATGGCAAGGCATTGAAGCCTCGCAGTACCGAGACGTCTTGGTCGAGTCGACGCCAGGAGTCTCCGGTGCCGAGGTCAACCATGATGAAGCCTGGCCGGCCCTCGTTGCTGCTGTCGACCAAGTAGGCAATGCCTTGGCCAGAGGTGCCCGACAGATCAGGATCAAAGTCGAAGCGAAGATCATTGAGATAGCTATCTGGGTAGTGTACATCGGCTGGAAATGTGTACGTCCGATATATGGTATTGTTGTCGAGCGAGATTGCGACCAGCTTTGGGCCGCCTGGCTGAGCATACGGCATGCTTGGCTCGCCCTGTGCATTGTGTACTGTGGGTCGACCTGTGTCAATAGCCCAGAGTGTCTCGGGACGGCCGCTTCCAGCAGAAGTAATGTAGATTGCTTGTACAGATATGAAGGCCGAGGCATTGCCGGATCCGAAAGGAATGCCATTCCATGTGGTGTTGAGCTGGTCTGGAGGAAGGTTCAGTTCCGTGGAAGGATAAGGCTCTTCCGCGGTCTCATTCACAACCACGCCTAGCGTATATTCGTAGTCGCCACGAGTGTATGTCGCAAAGAGGCGGCCATCGGAAGCCAGTGCGATGCCAATTGGCCACTGGTCGTAGTAGTAGTGGACTTCTTCCACTTCTGGCCCGTACGTGCCGTTGTCGACGCGCAGTCTGGTCGGAAAGCTGCCTGCTGGCGTCTCAAAAGTGGCATTTTGAGCCTGCGCGATGCCCGAGAGCAGCAGAAACGAGATTCCTGTTGTCAGCATCATGATGGTGAGGGAGGAGCAAGGTGATTGATCAAGAACAGGCCAGGAATTAGTTTTGGAGCAGAAGTATCACTCCTTACATCGCATCCGGCAACACGGCCGTGTTGTGCTACACGCGTAGAAGTGCTGAGGTCATCGCGTTGAATATCGATGCAGGAGGGAGAGTTCGAAGATGACTGGTGACGTTGTTGTGCCGTGGAGAAGGCGGGGCGGGCCAAGCTGCGCCCATGCCGACAAGCTTTTCCTGTATGAAGCGATGCAAGGAGTTGGACTTGTCTGGGGAGAAGAGGGCGATCAAAACGCGCTGGATGTGGGAAATGAGGTGCACGTGGTCCGGCCCGTGCGATGCTTCATCCGCGATCGTCGACATCAGCTGCCAACTTCCAACTCTTCCTTCCATACACAACACTCATACGGCGCCTACCACGAAGCTTTTGGCGATATAGCAGCCCCGAAGATGCGAGGATTGGTCGCGTGGCCCTCCCTCAAAGCTGAGCTACTACCTCAGGCCTCTACGGCGCCTTCCGCAGCACGCCGCTCTGTGGCGTACTCATGCTGCGGCATCTTATCTAGCCAACACCCAGATCTTGCACCATCTTCGACCATGATATCAATGCCGTGACACCAGGCAATTCGATATCGTAGAGGCTCATGCATGGAACCAGACTCCAAGCGACCAGAACTACCAGATCATGCCGGAGGAGAGGAGCACCATTGGTACGCGTTCCAACAAACACCGAGCTGATGGAAGTCTGGACGTAGGGCGTATTGGACATAGCGAGCACGATGCGGGGAATCTGGACAATCATCGCCCTGGTCTTTGGAGCATTCATGATACTGGCCCCCACGATTTCCTGCGACGCCGCAGCTCTGGAGTTGGATCCTCTGCACTCAAGTGGAAGCGTATTGATTCGCAGCAAAAGGTTGAAGGCACTCGATCAAAAGCATCTTGGAAGTCGCGTCCGCCGTCATGGAATGATGACGACGAGCCAACTTGGTGGTTCGCCAGTACGGCAATTCCACTATTAGCAGCAACTCTCGGACCACTCGCAAATGTACTCTCCATCGCAGCACTGGTGACGTACTGGAGAATGTGCCTAGTCAAAGGCGTGGACGAGAATGACGCCTCTGAATGCGCATGGGACAGACTTAGCGCCTCACTCGTGCCTGAGCTCAATGGCCAAGAATTTGCAGATCCAAGATGGTGCTACAACCTCAACATTGTGTCCCTAGTTTTCGGCTTCGTGGGCAACTTTTTCCTGCTCTGCAACTTCACCAACCGCATAAGATATGTCATTGCACTACCTGGCACCATAATCTGTTGGTTTGCCGCTACTGGTATACTGATCGGTATTACAGCTAGCATGCAGATCTACGCGCCTCCCACCCGACCGCAGCAGACGTATACGCAAGGCTTTTGGTATGCAATTCTTGCGGCAGTTTCGTACCTCATCTGTGCAGCGGGGCTTATGGTAAACATGCTAGGATTCTGGCTTGGGCATTATCCCCACCGCTTCACTTTGACCGACAGTCAGAGAACCTTGATCCTGCAAACCATGATGTTTTTCGTATGGCTGGCTGCCGGAGGCGCGATCTTCTCCGCGGTGGAGTATGGCCCTGGCACTGAGACTGACGACGAATCAGACGGCACTACCTCTGCGAAATGGAGCTTCGTGAATGCGCTGTATTTCTCGGATGTGACGATCCTCACTGTCGGATTTGGTGATTTCTATCCTCAGAGTAACGTGGGTAGGGGTCTGGTCTTTCCTTATTCCGTCGGCGGGATCGTGGTTCTTGGCCTCATGATCTCGAGTATCACTGCCTTCGTCCGCGAACTGGGAACAGAGAATGTGGTCAAAGGTCACAAAGAGAGGACACGAGCGAGGACTATTGACCGAACTGCAAAGTCATCATTAGAGTTGGAACGTATGCGTACGGCAGATAATGATCGCCAGACGGCAGTTTCCACGGTCTTCGATGCTGGAAACTCATCACTACCACGTAGTCCCCGTTCTGATGATGGTAGCCATGGAGCAGCGTCTGGCGACTACCGCCGACTCAGAAGCAAGACCGCTGCCAGAAGAGCCACCACCTGGGCACCGCATCGTCGGGTCTTCTCGTCCCGACCGACCAGACTCGTGCTTCTCAGGGCGGAGAAGGATCGATTCGAGGCAATGCGTCGCATACAGAGATCAACTTCTCGCTTCAAAAAATGGTACGGACTTCTGATGTCGGTGCTGGCTTTTGGATTTCTCTGGTGTATTGGTGCCGTCGTATTCTGGCAAGCTGAGAAGAGCACCGCAAACGAGATGACGTATTTTAAGGCGCTCTACTTTGGCTACGTATCGCTCTTAACGATAGGGTATGGCGATCTTGCGCCGAAAAGCAACGCAGGACGGCCTTTCTTCGTCTTTTGGAGCTTGATTGCTGTCGCAACCATGACGATTCTTGTGGGCGATCTCTCCGACACGATTGTTCGGCAATTCAAACAGGGTACATCCGGTATCGCAGACTTCACTGTGCTGCCACAGAAGGGAATCTGGCGTCAATTGCTCAACAGACAGCCTCGAGTAATTGCGTTCATGCAGGCTAGGAAAGAAAGAAAGCAGCTAGAAGAGGGGAAGGAGGAAGGATTACCGTATGGACCTGAGCCAGATGATGAGGTCTCTCAACCTACCATTGATGAGCTCGCATCCGAAGACACAACTAGGGCTGAGCTTGCTCATAGACTTGCGAGATCGATCAAGCAAGTGTCTCAAGATGTCAAGAATGGAAGGGGGAAGAAGTATACCTACGAAGAATGGGTCGAATTCACTCGCCTCATCCGTTTTACCGCCGATAAAGAGGACAATGAGCTGGCAGAGGACGAGGACCTTGTTGAGTGGGACTGGCTTGGAGAAAGAAGCCCCATGATGGCCAACAAGAGCGAGGCCGAGTTTGTGCTGGAACGCCTTTCTGAGAGTGTCGGCAGATACGTGCGAAGGGTCGAGAAGGCTCTTGCAAGCAACGAGGAGCAACAAAAAGACCGTGTTTCAGTCTCTGATTCTTCGCGAGACACGAATCAAGACTCTTTGTCGCATCCGAACGAGGCTACGAATATTGTTTGAGTCTGGCGCAAGTCTCTCTGCTTGCCTGGTTCACTCTTTACCGTACATTTGGACCTGGTATCAGGATCAGGACGTATCGAAAACTGCCGCGGTACGCCTGGTTGATTTCTAGGAGAACACGGTTTCACACAACATGGCACTCCGCCACAACATCTCGGTCAGCCTCTGCCCTGTACACCATCCTGGTGCTCCAATTGGCACCGTTTGGCGTCCACCAACTCGAAGATGGGCAACTTTCGAGCCATACAGCTATCAGGTCAATGCCCACACCATCATTTTTTGCCATAGTAAAACATGCTAACACTCATCGCAGGCCGTGCTGGATAGTATCAGCCACTACTTCAGTGCGACTCCGAGCGCACACCAAGTCACGCTGCATCTTCCTCAGCAGTGTGATGTGGCTGTGACATCGCAGGATCTCAGACCTGGTGGGCAGTACCACTTGCTGGACAGGCCAAAGGCTCTCCACCTTCATGTTCATATCGACAGGAAGGATGGAAAGGATGGCGCCATTCCGGTCATCAAGCCCACCGAGTCGGTAACGAACTCCCAGCGTCGTGGCTCTGGCGATATCTTACAAGCTTTCAATACCGATCCTTCGTTAGATGATAAGAAGGCAGGACCGAGTCGCAAGGCAGCTAAGAATCCCCCACTGCGTATGCTGAAGACCGCCTCTGAGCACGTGCCAATGCATACCACTGCTGGTCCTCAGCAAACAAAATCGACTGAGAGACAGAAACGAAGCAAGGACAAGCCGGGCGACGCCCCTGTCGCACGACCTATACATGAAGTCTTCAGCAACAATGATGCGGTAGTATCATCCGAAGAGGAACTCCTGAAAGGCCCGACGCCGACTGATCACGCCACTACCGAACGAGCCCAGCACCCGAATGATCCAGCTCGCATCGCATCCGCGCAAATCTCGCCGCAAGTCCCCAGAATGAGCAGCGCGTTATCATCATCATCTCTGAGCGACCTCAGCGATCTGGCCTCATCTGATTCACTGCAGACTGAAAGTGAAGACCACCCTGATGTTGGATCACCTGTGCAGACCACCACTCAAGCCTCTAGCACCGAAGGCGCAGCATCAACCTCGCAGCAGACATACCTCAGAGATTTAATGCCAGTCAAGAACCCTGATACTTTTCGAAGGGAGGAGCAAATCTTTATGGTTCGGATCGGGCGCACTGAGCAGAACGTAGGCAATGCTGGTGACAGCACGGTAGCCTGTCTGAGCCTGGTTGTTGCAGAAGCGGGACCGGAAAACCTAGAATACAGGAACTGGAATGTTGCATGCTGGTCCATCAATGGTATGCTCGTTGGAGGATGGGGAAATTGCCTGTCGTTGCTCAATACAAATCCACGCAGAATATATCAGGGGTTAGAGATCGACTTGGTCTTCGACCCTCTGTTCGAAAGCCTCGTAAAGAAGGACGCTCGTGAGGCTCTGCTCGTCCAACTCCGCAGAGACAGGATCGAGGACAAAGAAGCACCGCGAGGGCTTCTTGCGGCGCCAATCATGCTCGTGCACAGCGAGCACGAGTTTGGGCCGGTTTGTGAACATCAGCAGCTCGAGCAAGGATACATCCACGTCGTCCTGGACTTCATCAACGAGAGTAGCCACAATTCTCTCGGCACCAAAGTCAATATCCAGTTGGAGGCTGACATGACAGAAAGCTTCGATGACATTCGGCGCTCCGCGAAGGAGCAGACAACAGACACTGCGAACGTTGAGTCGTTGATGGAGGAGAAGGATCTTGAGATTGAGTTGTGGGTCTTGCCGCAGGGCTCGGGACGACATGTCTATCTGTGGAAGCCGGACTCTGGACTGGTTATTGGCAACTTTCTCAACCAAGACGTTTGGCCAGGCGGCAAGTCGTTGTTCATCGAAGCGGTCCTCAAAGACAAGACAGGCAGACTGCAAGACGCTGGAAAAGAGACTGAGAAGGCCTCCTCACCATCTACCGGAGAAGTGCGAGATGTGTCTCGGGCATGAATAAGAGTTTGTAAGCTCGTGAAACAAAAGCCGCGGAGTTGAGCAGACGTGGAGGCTTCATGTGGCTCGTGGTCAAAGGATTACGAGAAAAGGTATGTGCCGCACGCGCTGTCAATGTATATTGAGTGGAGCAACTGCGTGGACATGACCCACATTGGGTAGACTAGAGCTTGTTAGCCTGACCTCGTCTACCAGTAGCACGCCATGCTTAGTAGGCACGCAATGCAGCGTAGCGAATGGTCAGTGCAGTGCGGAACAGATCCCGCCAAAGAAGGTCGAGTGAGAGATGAACATTGGTTCGATGCGAGGTTGCAGTTCTGTTCATCGCAATTGAAGTCCTTCGGAAATACGGTCTTCGCCATTTCTTGGGTGTGATAAGGTCCCGCTGATCGATGTTGCTGTGGCAGAGTATCGACTGAGCTCATTGCTTAGTCTCGCATTGTCATTGCCAGCTCAGAGGCAATGTATGACTCCACTCTTGATGAAGAGACCAACCACGCTTGATTGGAGTCGTTGTTGGAAGATAGCGAGATGTGAGACAATGCGCATTGTGCTGATCAATTCACTTGCTATCCGCACCGGTTGAATAGTTCATCCAACCCCAGCTATTTCGGGCCGAACCTTGACATCACGCAATCGGTACGCGATGACATGGTCAGTTGACGCCACATGTAACTCCGATCGCGACAGCCGCTCCTCTATTTCATCAAGCTCATCGCGCAGAGCTGTCGCCATGTCCATACTCTGTTGGATATCCGCCTGCAGCCATGGCTACCGCTCAAGTGATTAGACCTGGTCCCATTGGACAGCCCGATATCGACTATGCCCCGAATCTCGACAAGTACCTTGCTCGTGTTGCACGTCGCAAGGAGACCGAGCAGCTTGGCAACGAGCTGCCAGAAGGCTTTCCGAAGGAATTGAAGTCGGATCTTGTTTGGGACGGGAGCACGATTGCGAAGGAGTATAACTTCGTTTATGAGTTGACTGCCAAAGACCTCGACGAGATCGAAGCTGCGTTAGTCCATTTTAAATGTCAGTTCCTCTCCCTTTGAAGACTTGGGCTTACTCTAACGTTATCGAAGCTTTGAACAAGCCGCTTGGCTTCATCAACCAGGACACTTTCCCGCTGCCTGGCCTGCACGCCAATCTTCGCGAGATTTCGGACGAAGTTCACAACCGACGCGGCTTCAAGGTTCTTCGAGGTCTGCCATTCGAAAAGCATGATCGCGAAGAGAACATCATCATTTACGCTGGAGTCTCTTCGCACGTCGGCCCAATCAGAGCTCGTCAAGACCACCAATATGATGGCAAACCAGCCGATGTTGTGCTGGCTCACATCAAAGATCTGAGTGCCATCGTAGATGCCAACAAGATCGGTGCACCCGCGTACACTACTGACAAACAAGTCTTTCACACGGATGTCGGCGACGTGATTGCATTGGCCTGTCTCGAGACAGCTGCTGAGGGCGGCGAAAGCAAGCTTTCCAGCTCCTGGACTGTCTATAACGAGCTGGCTAGGACGCGACCAGATCTTATTAAGACTTTGGCGGAACCCTGGGCGAGCGAGAAGTATGTTGTGGTTTATTTCGCAAGAAGCCCCTATCTGACCAGAATCACAGTTTCAGTGGAAGAGGCGAGAAGTACTCGTTGAAGCCACTGCTTCACTATCAACCCAGCACCGAATCTACCCCGGAGCGACTGATCATTCAGTATGCGAGGCGGACCTTTACCGGCTACTGGGGCTTGCCCAGGTCTTCGGATATCCCTGCTATTACTGAAGCTCAGGCAGAAGCTCTGGACGCTCTGCATTTCCTTGCAGAGAAGCATGCTGTCTCTCTTGGCTTCAAGAAGGGTGATGTGCAGTACGCCAATAACCTGTCTATTTTCCACGCGCGAGACGCCTTTAAGGACACCCCAGATCAGCAGTGAGTCTTGCAACCAGGCCGATAGCACCAAATTCACATACTAACTAGGCACAGACGCCACCTTGTGCGACTTTGGCTACGCGACCCTGAGCATGCTTGGCCAACGCCCGAGGCTTTAAAGTCGAGATGGGGCATATACGATGGCGTGACTCCTGAAAACTCCGTGTTCCCATTAGAGCCAAAGATCCGAAGTGCAAGTGCAAGTGCAGGGAGCAGCAACAATAAACCTCTTGAGTAGTTCACTCTTTGCCGCATGTCTATGCGATGGCCCGATGGAAGGTCGGACCGAGAGAGGTTCATCCCATGCAGCCCGATAACTAGCTTCATCCCAACATGTTGGTGGTCCCGCGAGCGTAGCATGTAGCGCACGTGGCAGTACGGCACAGAAACCCTAGCCCCGTAACCTTGTTTCCACTTCTGATGTGCTGTGAGGGAAAGTCGAATCGAATCGGACGTTGAAGTACACCGAGGGCTCAACGGGTGTCTCCAAGAGCTAGTTTCGCGTTATCAGTATGCAGTGCTTATTCCGTCTCTCGCCGTGTGCATCCTCTGGTAGCATTTGGCTGAGCCAAGCACTCCGCCAATGCGACCATTGGCTGTCGTGCGAAGCGATAGGCCATGGCATTGGCCTTCCTAGGGTACCCGGTAATGTCGCAATCGGATCTCTCTCGCGTGCTCGGTGAAGCAGCACAACGTGGAAATGTTGCTCCTGTCGACGATCATCGGCTAGCAGTTCGACAAGCTCCATATGTATGGCGTGCGATGGTGAAATTTCCAGTCGAGACCACGAGCTTGTCAGCTTGGCCAAAATCTGGTACTGTGCTGGAACCTTATATTCGCTACCTCTCTTTGTGAATGCGATCCTTGTATGAGCTGAGCGACTCCTTCAGCTGTCGGGTTACACAGCATCTTCACACGGCAGCGAGCCGTCTATCCTTTCAAGATGTCAGCGTTGTTCAGGAACCGATTCAAGCCCGGTAACGATGCTGATCGAGGCGCATCTACCACGCAATCCGTAACGGCCAGCGGCAATGTCCAGGTTTCGGATGGAGATCTCAAGTACATCGGAGAACAGGGCGGTAACAGCTCAGCTGTTGGATACCAAGAGGCGAGCGGAGCACCCGTAGAAACGCAGTCGCCCTTGGGATACAATGTCGGGCCAATTACTATTATCTTTTTGAATCTGTCGAAGATGGTCGGAACGGGTAAGTAGACCGATCGTTGCCGATGGAATGTTCGCTAATTCTTGTCAGGTATTTTCTCAACACGTATGTGAGCGACTCTAGGATGACAGAAGCGAGATACTGACAAGTAGTTACAGCTGCCTCGATTTTGAGCGGCACAGGATCCGTAGGGCTCAGTCTGATCATGTGGACACTCGGGTTCTTCACTTCGGCATCCTCCCTATCCGTGTACCTGGAATATGCAGCATATTTCCCATCTCGGTCTGGTTCCGAAGTCGCATACCTGGAACAAGCATATCCTCGCCCAAAGTGGTTCTTTCCGACAGCTTTTGCGACCCAGAATGTCATCCTGTCCTTCAGTTCTGGTAATTCGGTCGTCATGGCCAATTATTTGTTCAAGATCGGCGACTATGAAGCTAAGGACTGGGAGACGAAGGGACTCGCAGTCGCCTGCTACACTTTAGCCGTGGCAACTGTCTTGTTTAATACCAAATGGTCCTATCGAATCAGCAACGTGATTGGTGGGATCAAGCTTATTACCTTGATTTTCATCGCCATTGTCGGACTGGTCGTGATCGGAGGTCACACTAGTGTTGAGAACCCGACAGCGCAATTCCAAAACGCTTTCGAGGGGGATGCATCTGCATACGGCGTAACCAACGCTATGTACAAGATCATCTTTGCATGTACGTGAAGTTCTTGTGTCTGAAGTCAAGATTACTAACCGAGATGCAGATGCGGGATATGAGAACGCCTTCAATGTGGTCAATGAGGTCAAGAACCCGGTCAAGAGCATCCGCAACAATGGATTTGCCGCAGTGTTGGTCGTTACGATTCTCTACATCCTGGCCAACGTTGCATACTTTTCTGCAATTCCCAAGGACGAGATCATCGCAGGCAGGACTATCGCTGCTGGACTGCTGTTCACAAAAGTGTTCGGCGACCATGGTGCTGTGAGAGGTCTCAACTTTCTCATCGCACTCAGCTCATTCGGAAATCTGCTCACTGTCTTGATCGGATCATCGCGGATGATTCGAGAGTGCGGACGTCAAGGAGTGCTTCCATGGCCAAAGTTCTGGGCTTCAACCAAGCCATTCGGCACCCCGGCTGGACCATACTTTGTCAAATGGGCTCTTACGGTGCTCGTCATCTTGGCTGTTCCTGCTGGAGACGCGTTCTCATTCATTACCGACTTGCAGGTCTATCCTTCGTCGTGTTTCAACTTGGCAATGGCTCTTGGTCTCTACATCCTGCGTTATCGCCGGAAGAAGCTGGGTCTCCCGAGGGCATCCTTCCGCGTCTGGGATGTAGTGCTGGTGTTCAACATCTGCGTCCAGTTGTACCTCATCATCATGCCATGGTATCCACCAGATGGAGGTGCCACCGGAGGAGATGTCAGTTTCTGGTACGGAACGTACATTGTGGTGGGCATCGCGATATTGCTCATTTGTGCGTTGTACTATGTTGTCTGGATCATCTGGATCCCCAAGGTCAAGAAATACGAAGTGCGACAAGAAATTATCGATCTCGGCGATGGTGCACAATCGCATGTATTGGTGAAGGTGCCGTATGATCAAGTTGAGGAGTGGGATGCCGTACACGATGCGACTGGACGCAAGTTCGACCACGCCCAGCTGAGCGAGTCGAGCTCGCAGGACGAGAAGATTACTGTGCATCCAGAAGCAAAGGGTGTACAGAACTTTGCATAGGAGCTCCGAGATGTATAGATCTTGTAGAAACAACAAAGCGATGCCGTTTGTGGGTGCCGCACCTCCAGAGTACCGACTGAAGTCTGCTTCATGTTCGAACAAAGAAAGTTGAGCAGCCGCAACCAGCGTCGACGACATTGTCAAAGCGTATAGTGTCGACAGCATGTTGCGAGCTTGAGAGTCCAGGCACAAGGCTCCTCCGGCGTAGTCAGTTGCCATGATTTATCGTCAAAGCCGTACTGTTCTCACTTTGGGAGGATATATCTGCTTTTCTTCTGTCATCGGGCGCCGCTGGCCCCATGTGCCAATTCTCGATTATTGGAGACGAGCGTCGCACGAGTTGCGCACAGAAACCCAGATGCGCTATAACAGCAACCGTTTGTCCCATGGCCGAGTCGGATGTTCCAAGTGGTGTGGCAATCTTACACCGCTGCGTCGTACGGACAGATGCGATTATACTTATTGCTTAACGGGTTCCACATACTGTTGGTCGCATGATTCAGAAGAGCCGTCTCATAGTGGCGTCCCGAGCACGGAGAAGGGAACAAATACGACCGGCGCATGGCATTCTTCAGAGCTTTCTGGTTCTCGGCGGGGTTGAAGTTGATGCCTGCTGGGCGAATGCATCATTCGATAGTTGATGCGCAAATGGAAGTCCTCCGTCGTTGACGATTGGAAAGAACTGAGCGAGTGTATCAAAGCAGCCAAGGATGTCCTGTCGAAAGTGTTGTACAAGCAGCTTCGAGCAGAGATTGTGTTCCGACTGTTCTCCTCAAAAGAAATCGATACGTTTCCTTGCTATCATGCACTCAACCCGGAGCACGATAATCCAGATGTCAGACGAGAGCTCGAGAAACCTTGTCATCGTCCGGAAGCGTCGCACGAAGCGATTGATAGATGGGCTCTTGCGGTCACAGCGTGACTTGCTGGCTTTGTCGAACGGTCCCTGGATGCCATATCGCCATCACTTGCCAAAGGTCAGACGACAGGACGAAGCTCGGGCGCGATACTTTTGGACAGAGCATCGATGCCCACTTAAGCGATCAAAACCAGGTCGGTCAGGTCGATGAGTCCGGGTTGTTGCCCGGTCTGGCCTCGCCGCAAAGAAAGGCTGGGTCGTGCAGAGGTATAAGGCATGACAGATGAAGCCATGTAGAACAAAGTGCATAACGAAGATACTTGGCCCCAATGTGCCACCCGAGGTAAAAGCGTCATCTTGAACCAAATTTTCCTGCAGTCACAGTTGCGTTTTGCATGTTGATTTGGTAGGGCGCGGTGGAGCGGGAAACCAGAGCGGCAAAGCGTGACTCAAGAGCTAAGAGCTGTGAAGTTTGCCGCGCGCGGGAAAGTCGAGCAAAGGCGGGAAAGAGCTCCAGAAACAAATAAGTCACAATCAACGCCCTGGTTCTATCAAGCTTCTCTGTTTAATCCTTGCAGCAACCTGAGGCCTAGTACCTAGCCTTTCGATATGGGATTACCAGAAGCAGAAGAGCCACGTCGCCAAGACTTGGAGAATGGGAATGATGAGCACGAATCTTTACAACAAGTCCCTCGTGCGGACTGCGGACGACAAGCTTGGTGTTTCCTGTTCGCCATCTCTCTCTTTGAGGCGGTTATCTGGGGACTGTAAGAAAAGCGGCTATTGGTCCAAATGCTAAACTGACATTTCGAAAGGCCATATGCGTTCGGCGTCTTTCAAGACTATTATCTGACTAATCCACCCGTCTCCAACAATCCCAAAGGAGTCTCGGCTATTGGCACAACGACACTTGGTCTTATGTACTTCCTAGCTCCGTTCCTGGCACTCGCAATGCAGCGCTATCCTTACGCCAGGACGCCTTGTATGATCGCTGGGCTGGTTATCACTGCTGCCGCGTTGATTGGTGCTTCCTTTTGCAACGATGTGCCGGGTTTGATCTCCACTCAAGGCGTGCTTTACGCGATTGGCAGCGTCCTTGCATACTTTCCTGGAATGCAGATCATCGATGAATGGTTCGTTAAACGACGAGCATTCGCCTTTGCTGTAGTCTGGGCTGCAGCGCCGTTGGCTGGATGCGTACTTCCTTTTCTCATGCAATGGCTGCTTGACTCGTATGGATTCCGAGTCGCCCTTCGAGTGTATGCCGTGGTCGTGGTAAGATCCAGAGATGTGCCTTGCTCGCTACTTCGATACTGATCCCTGCCTGCAGGTCGTCCTTCTTGGCCCAGCAACGGTGTGGATCAAACCACGAATCCCAATAACACAGTCCTGGAAGACCTTGTCACGAGAGGACTTTGCATTCATGGCTCGTCGGCCGTTCTGGTGGTACTTTATTGGCACGGTCGTGCAGTCTCTTGGGTTTTTCTTGCCAAGTCTGTGGATGCCGACCTTTGCCAAGTACTACAACTTTCCAGGCTTCGCTGGTCCTCTTGGTGTCGCACTATACTACAGCTCCTCTTTCATTGGAACTGTTGTACAAGGCTGGGTCGTGGACCAACACGGCGTGATTATCAGCTTGGCAATCACCACTGTCGTGAGCACGATATCCGTCTTTGTCTTCTGGGGCTTTTCGACCATCCAACCGATCTTCTACATTTTTGCAGTCACCTTCGGTGCGTCTGGCGGGGCGTACAATGCGACTTGGGCAGGTTTCGCCATTGACTTGAAGAAAGAGGGCTTCAAAGTCGATACCATGTTCCTAATTACGTTGATGGTGTTCGCGAAGGGAGTGGCATCTCTTGCGAGTGGGCCGCTGAGCGGGGGTCTGCACGGCCACGGACTAGGAACCGATGCAGGGTTCGCCTATGGAGGTCCATACGGTGTCATGATTGTGTACACTGGGATATGCAGTTTGCTGGGAGGCATTGCATGTGTGAGAAAACTTTACCTGTGGCTCCAGAAGCGGAAGTGTGCAAACAGCAGCTGACTTAGTGGTCGAGTGCTGAGATGCATTGCAGGTGTTGTGAAGAGGTCGATAGAGTATAGACATAGATATTGGTCATCCAAAGCGTCATTGGGCTCTTGCTGCGCGGGCATTGTTTTGGTGGGGATTGTCCTATAAGCTGCGCCTGTGGCGTCTCGAAATTTGACCGCTCGTGGACACCGGTCCGAACATCTTTCCCGCCTTACCGCTCCTGATTCGCACTTCATTACTTCATCAGCGTCATGAGGGTAGGTCGTCGGTCTGATGCATGGCAAAATCAAGGCCCGAATATTCTTCTCGCCTTGATTATCGACACACACTGAGCGCTGTAGCGAGGGTTTCTCCTTGTGTTCGCAGTGCAGCAGCGCAAGATGGACTGCTATTGTCCTTGAATCTGCTCTTCGCCTTCGTGAGCCGCAGACACTTGATCATGATATCCGAGGTAGCGCTCCCCCGCGAGAGCAAACACACCTAAGTTCGAGCAGATCTCACTGCCGATCCCACACAAGGTCCAGCGATTGTGTGGGAAGTAGTGTGTCGAGCCCTGAAGCAGAGTGGGCTAGCCAGTCCGCGTCCAAGATGTCAAAATCGGGCAGCGGTGGCGGTGGCATGTCGGTAGCTCCTGTAGTCAGGCTCTGATGGTTGTTGAAGGGAGGGCCATAAGCAGAAGATCGCGTCACCCGTTCGATCGCGTCAGAGCAACGTTCCAAGCACATGTCTGCTATGTCCCAGCCATAGTTCGCTCTAGCATCCTGCAAGGTCTCTCGAAATTGAATGAGCTTAGAAGTACAACGACTGAGTTGGTCTGGATCGTGACTTTCGATCATGCATCGAAGCAGCATGATGATGGTTGAGACCAAGAAATGCGATGAGTGCGCGAACCAGAACTCGGAGAAATGCTCGGGTGTAAGCATGTTCACGTAGTCTACGATAGTGATTGCGCTTTCCCGAAGTGACATGATGCGATATTGCTTCTCAGTGTCGATAGGGTACGCGGTCTGAGCGGTAGCGGCGCGAAGGTACAGTCGCTGAACCAATAGCCTGACTGATAAGAAGCAGAACTGCATACTGCTGTGGCCACTGGGAGGACCTTTGCGCAGGTCAATGCTGCAAAGTCGCCGCAAGTCTGCCTCCCAGTCATCGAGAGCACACTCGATTTTCCTCAGCCTCCTTGGCACTTCCTCCCAGCGGGTCTTCAAGCCATGGACGAGTTCTAATAGGTCGCTCAAGTGACGCGTCAAATAGCAGAACTGCGTGTTCTGCACTGCCATAAGGCTCGCGCGGAGATCATCATGGACGGGCGCCCAGTCCACAGGATCGAGCACGACCACATCGTAGCGATCGCTTGAAATGATGGGAGGTGTTCCATGAGCATAGCTTCCCCAGCAATCATGGATGACCACCGACCACCACAGCCTCTTCCGGATAGATTTCTCTTCTTGCGAAGCTGACCATCGAGATGAGTCCCGATGGAGGCCCATGCTGTGCGCGAGTGCTACCATCTTCCCGGTGGTCAAGATGTTCGTCGTGACGGTGCGAACAGGTCGGCCAAGGAGGTCCAACACAGCGGCAGTGATGGTAGAAGTGGTTGGCACCAGGAAGTCGCTCTGCAATGCGGCAGTAGCAAGATTGACAACACGGCCGAAATCTGGTGGCTGTCGTCCAGCCAGCGTTGGAGACTTGTGCCACAAGGGCAGAGCCAGCATGTATATGTAACAGAGGAGCGTGCTCGTGATTGAATCGTCGTTGCTACGCACGGCGTGCATGTCCACGATCGGAAAATGGGGGTGAACGAAGCGAGAATACAAGCTGACGAGCTCATCTCGTGTCGGCGCGTCGAGTAGCTGCTGCATTGCTGCCAGTTGTGTCTTTCCGGGATGTCTTGCCAGCTCCAGGCCAGCGTGACCAGGTGGCACGGTGACATAGGCCATTGCTTCTTCACTGCCGTTGCTGGAGAAGACCGTGTTGTATGCGGTGACCCGCCCGTGGCGTAGGCGTGGCGAACCTGCCCCAACATCGTTGCCGCTTCCATTGAGATAGTTCTCCTGCAGTCCATGCGCATCGAGAAAGTCTTCTAGTATGCGCACGTCTTCAGCGACTGCAGGTCCTACAAGCATCGCCGTCTTTGCCGCTGGCACGTCACCAGCGACATGGCCGGCTGTCGACGAAGATGCACTTGGCATCGCATCGGGATGTGAGCCTCTTGCTGGAGCATTCTGATGAAGATACCGTCGTCGCTGTCGAACGCGAGGAGACGTCGATTCGTTGACCTCATCTTCTTCTCCTGATAGCGATACTGAGCTGGCGTGTGGCGGAAGAAAAAGACACGTGCGACTTAGCCGCTGACAGCGCTTGCAGGTCGCGCTATCGTCGTCCACTTCACATCGTACTTTTCGTCGCCGGCAAGCATCGCAGGCGGGAATCTTGTGCGATCTATACGGTCGTGGCATCGCTGTCTTCGGTGATGGGGAGCGGCTGCGTTCATCGGCGTGAAGCTCGGCGGGCCCGCCCGGCTTGGCGATTTTGGTCTCCTCCCAGACGAGCTTGGGGTCTGGGTTCGTCTCTCTATCTACAGCGGCTCGAGTACCATTAAGATTGAGAGAGCGCTCAGCCACGGCGATGTGGCCTTCACTCGTTGCTCCTCGGAATGCGGGCTCCAAGAATTGGACATGCCACAACGCAAGGAGAGCGAGATAAGAGCTGGAGCACCCAACGACGATTTTGCAGAGACTCGGTGTCAACATGCGCCTCTGGCAATCAGATCTGGCTCGATTCTCATCGTATGCACCTGGGAAGCTCAGAGCCGCTCCAAAAATCGGATAAGAGGGAGCTAGCATTCGACTTGGCGAATTTGGCAATGTGAATAGTGCCTCGCCCTGGCGTATTCCTTCTCGACCTGTTCGAGTTCCTCCTTGCTGACAATTAAAGGCCCTCTACGCTCCTTCTCATTTGTTGATCGAAAGCTCAGATCTTTGCCTTCTCGAGTATTCGTATCCATATTCCACGCTGATACTTGCAACCCTCGGTCAAGCAGGCGAAGATGATCTCGGATATAGCCACGTTGTACTGGTCGATACATGAGTACACGACGACTTAGTGGATGCCATACTTGTCCGAGCACTGTCGGCCGAGAATCGCTTCGGGAAACATCAAAAAGTTGAAGCCATAATGTGTGGCATGGCATTTGAGGCGTTTAGTGATATTGGCCAATCTCGATCAGTGAGCGCCGATCTCACTCTAATTGTCTTCGGACGAGCATGGAAATCGTGGAAAAACGCCTGTGCTCGCTCTAGTCGCGTTGTGCTGCGACGAAACTTGGCGCATTCATGAGTCGATGGACCCCACCATCTGCCTGTCATTGCTAAAGAGGTACTTCTCCGCCGTCTCGATGGCTCGAGAAAACTCGTTCGCGGGAAGAGCGTTGCCTTCGTTGTCACGCACCTCGTTGAGATAGATGAAGGGGCGTCGAAGTTCTTTATCACGATGGCGTAGTTTACGGAGAACTTTACGGACTGAGGGGTTCCGCTAGACTTTGTCCAGCTGCCATGGATGGCCGTCATGGCAATCTCTAGATGGCCCGAAACTAGCAACATGTAGGCTTAGTAGTTGTTAGCAGCATGGCGAGGGTTAAATGGTTAGAAATATACCGTTCGATTGTAGAAGGTTCTGCTTGGTATCGTCAACCGTGGGCAAAAGCTTCACATCGTTGCGAACGACATGCTGGCCGAGCTCTGCCATTGCAGCTCGAACCTGATCGACATTGGTCGGCCCGGTTGTAATAGTGTCGAGCAGAGATCGTCGATGTGTGGTTGCAGAGCGTTTGCGGGCGAAGACAGAGAAGAGAACGATTTGACCGATAGAGAAGAGGAGAAATGCTGAGCAGCCGGCGGTGACCATCCTCTGCGGGTGTAACCTGGTTGGCCCACGCGTGCTTCACTCGGCTCGTTTTCAACGGCCTTATCGCGCAGGATCTGCCCATGCCTCGCCTCTGCAATCCTCTTGCGCGAGGAAGCAGAGTATGCCTGTTCGTCGGCTCCATCAGGCAAGTTGTGTCTATGCCGTTCCTCCGTAGACGTGTTGCGTACAAGGGAAAAGGTTTGTCTATCGAGTGCCTTTGTTGACCGCCCACCAACAGAGGCGAGTTCTTCCTTCAAACGATGAAGCGCGTTCAGTGTGTGGAATGCTCTCACGCATGTTGGCTGCAATTGTCCGAGATCGAGGCGGCTGAGGCGGCTCTCTCGACGGATACGGCATGTCATTATCACCATGCGAGGAGCGAGATATCCATTCTTGATCGTGACCTTGCTCGTAGACACTGCCACCGGAAGCAACTCCATGTACATCCTCGCCGCTATGCTCGATCTGAAGAACAAGCCTCTTCCGCTTCTTCTCAGCCCCGGTGAACTGCCACGATTGCGCTCGTTCAAGATTGGACACTTCCTTTCGGCTTAGTTTTGCGAGTTTTTGCAAATGGTAACATTCTTTTGGTGAGCCTCAATGCGAATCTACCATCTGGACGGGCCTGCTTCACAGAACAGCCGGAGCTGATGGTGCAGACGGCTTGATCAGCTTGATCTGCAGCATTTGCGCCTTCGGCGAGGGGCCTTCTTCGGATGGAAGCTCTTTCTTGTCATCAGCATCTGCATCATCAACAGACGGAGCTTGTTCCTCTTCTCCTTGGAACAGAACGTGCGGCGGGCGCGCGCGCTCCTTGCTGGGCGTTTTGGGCACTGCGACGGAGACCGGGAGTAAGAATCAGCCTCGTCGCTGAAGCTGGACGTGTCGTGGCTCTGGCTTTCGTAGAAAGAATTGAACTAGATGGCGGCAAACAATGTAGCGCAAAGATTGGCGCTAATGCAGAGGGCGCCTGTGTCCGCCTTTCAGCAAGACGAGAACTCGAATGCACCAACTTGTACGCCGCTCTTCAAACTTTCGAGCTTGAACGACTCCCATGAGACTGAAGCCTGTTCTTGAATAGGTGGCCAGAGCAATAATAATGCAGGACGCGAAGCAAGACATTCAGCACTAGCGTGCCGAATTGAAGCAAAGCACAGCGCCCACTATCGCAGAGCTACCTCCCAAGTCAGACCAACGTAGCTGCCGTGTTTAGAGGTGTTCTTGTCGTGGAAGTGACTACTTTCCGCGGAGCGGGTCTGATGCCAAACCGCGCTAAACAGCCGGATCGTACACTACGACAAGCCGACTAGAACGCAGTTTGCAGGTTTTCTAGCCTGTAACTCCGCACCTACGAACACGATTTCTAGATATTCGGAATCGCCGTTATATTCTCTAGAACCAAGCATCTCGAGTTTGTCGCATATGTCGTAACGTTATTCGTTATCCTCGAAAATGTCGCTATCGTAAGTATCTCCGTTGTTTACCGAGTGCACCCGTAAACGAGTACTAGGCAAGTTTTCTAGCCTACACTTTTGCCTGCGTATATATAAAATATACATATCCAGATTCTTCGTTAAAATACCTAGAACCGAGCATCTCGACTTTGTTCGATTAACGTTGTAGTAGTGCTATATCGTCGGCAAAGCAGTATTGCCGAACGTACAAAGTAACTCCTCGGCACGGTATGGCATCAGGCGCTTCGCGAGAGCAACTAAACCTAAGGCACCAACTCTGACTACCACTGCCTAGGTAGGAACGAGCGAAGGCACGCGCCTAACTTGGGAGGTAGTCGCAGAGCACGAAAAAGAGGTCACTGTGCTGGATCGCAAATCTGTTGAGCTTACCAAAGACATCGAGAGCGACCAGATCCGAGCGAAAAAGCTCAAACCAGACATTTCTCGACTTACGGCCGAGCGAGAACAGGCCTGCTCCAGCTTGGAGAAGGCCTGCACCAGCTCAGAGAAGACCAGCCAGGAGAGAGAAGGCCTGAATCAGACAGTGCTAAGCCTCAGGGCGGAGACGAAGGCCTCTCTGAAGACTATAGCAGAGCAGAAGTCCGAGATGGAGGGTTTACAAGGCGAGATCGAGATTTTGGCGAAGGCGGTCAAAGAAGAGAAGGATGATCTTCGCAAGACGCTTGAAAGCCCAGACTCCAGCGCGGAGTAGCAATCTGAACTCGCGGCTTACTTCTATGTCTTGAACAGGGCTATGGAGATCGAAGACTGAGGTGAGATTGCCATGAAGTCAAGGAGGCCTCCCTTGAGAGTTGAGCTATACTCTAACAGGCCTGTTCCTCCAACAAAAGCTGTGGGACATATAGAGAAAGTCTAGGTACACTGGGTGCAAACCGGTAGCCCTTTCTTTGATCAAGCACGCGGGCAAAGGTGCTTCAATGCGAGGCATGACCATAATTTTGACAATGCCTGTCTACGCACTCCGTGATGAAACATGCAACAGTACTCCAATGAGAAAACAGGGCCTCTTCTAGATGCGCAGGCCTGACCCAGCAATCAGATGTTTTCAAGCCTGAATTTCGCGCGGGCTGTATCTACGCCTCTTCTCTCACCTACATGTCCTCGCTCGCCACACCGCCCTCTAATTTATCTGCAAGAACACACAGATTGTATCATGATCGGCAGAGCGGGTGCTGACGGGCGTGAATTGGCCTTGATTAGGAGAGCAGCTGTTTCCAAGACCGAGCAAGCCTGGTGTTCTCTCTGTGACGTGCGCAGCAGTGGTCGTCCTTTGCACCTTAAAAAGGCTCTAGGACGCAAGGGCTGTGCTGCTCTTGCGATCGCAAGTGCCGGACTGGACACAATTGGATCGAGTAAGAATGCGGAGAGTGTCTCGGTCGTCATGAGTGCCTTGTGCAGAACGAGACTAATCGTCGAGCGACTCCGCGAGACCCGAAGCGCGAGATTGAGGAGATGGCGATGTCTCAGCGCGTTGCAGCTGGTCAGCAAGCTCCTATCTTGTCGTTTGAGCACTGGGCTCACCGAGCCTGCAACGCAACTGACTTTCAAGTCGCTTCGCCAACTGCATGAAGTGATTGTATTGAACTAAGTCGTCGTCCGGAAGCTCTGAAGAGGCTATATCGGGGCTGCTTTGGAAGCGCAGTGGGAGTGGCAGGATCTCAGCAGAGGTGGTTGTCTTCGAAAACACAATGCAGGTTGTGGGCGTGGAGATCGCTTAGTTGAACTTCGAGCTCTGGTAGCACCTTCTGCCTTGATCCGTTAATTAGGCAGGCACTTTCGAACGCGACATAACGACGCGACGCGACGCGACACGAGTTGTTACTTCGGGCGCGAGCGCTACGCACTTGCGACGGCATTAGTTCCGATAGCAATATAGAACATGCCCTATTACTAAATAGCACACTCCGAGGGCGCCGCTATGCTATATATTTTTCGAGTAGTCTAAGGAGGCTAATAATTAGGAGCCTACGCCGGCAGACTATATACTAGCGATAGTATTGTTGCTTATTTACTCTATCGTATTAAGTTAACCGGTTGCCTTATAGTCTTCTCTTTTCTACTAATAGTAGGCGTAAGGCCTAGTATAGTTAAGTCTCTAGTAGGTATCGACGCTAGAGTATTTAGCTTACTAAAGAGCTTAAAAGTAAGCCGACGGGACTAAGTCTATTATTACTATCTTTACTACTACTACTCGCTTCGATACTATATTAAATAGGATATAAAGTAGCGAGTATAGTTACTTTAGGCTTACTAATTCTATTAGTAAATATATTAATAATATAGATAATAGTACTACGCCGGTTATTATTACTAGATAAGCTAATTATAGACTATAAGACTAAGGAGACGGATCCTATCTATATAGAATAGAGCCTCTTCTATTTTAAAGACTATTAATATAAAGTAGTTATTATAAAATATAGTAAAGTACTACTAGCGTAAGGAAAACGGGCCTAATTCTACTCTAGATACTATAAATATAAACTCGATATAGATCTTACTAAAGCTTTCGGAAACGATATATAGAGTAGTATATAGTTAGTACGAAGCTTACGTATATAGACTCTAGCGGAGTAATATAAATACTTAATAAGCTATAGAATTTTAATCTATTATAAGTAACTCTCTATAGTAAAGT